TTGAATAAAGAGAAAATATTTCATTTTGTGAACATTGAAAAAGAAATGAATAACAAATAGTTAATAATTAAATGTGAACGAGTTTGAATATTCTCCCAATTAAGTCTTTCTAATGAGTTTCGTTCTATTTCAAGAATTAAGTAATTACTTGTGGTAATACTTGTCTCTGTTACACTCTCTCAAATGATTAATTGATTCCGCATAAGCAAGTCAATGGTCAAGTTTGTTGATTAACTCAGAACAGTAGATGTGAACCAAACTGTGTTGTTTATCAACAAACTTTTATGATAAATTGAATCAATGAGAATGTTTTCGATTTCTTACTCGAATATTCCAAAACAAACTCTGATTGCACACTGACAGAAGAAATTTGATGTATGGAAGCTCATAAAATTTCAAGATGATTTATACAAATAATTTCTTAACGTTTTTTATTCTCTAAAATATAAAATCCCTTTGAAGGCTGAGACCACCTATTGATAAGGTTTGAGTTCTAAAAAATTAAGAAGTTAAGTGGAGAATTGAAAGTTGATGATTAACTTACACATTTGTCTTATTCATACAATGATTTGATAAATTTCATGAATTTATTGAGACTTTGATCTGAACTAGTTATCAAAAGTAAGATAGAAGAAATTATTCATCGTCAGTTGTTTCAACTGGAATTTAGATAAATGGGAAATGAAAGGAAGAAACCTCAAGGCACATCATTTAATATCTAAACTTATAATTTTTCCATTTAATTTAGGGCAATGTTTTCACAATTTTGTGGAAATTTACTTATTTAGAATAATTTGTTGAGCCATTCAGAAAATTCAAAATTCAAATTGATGCTAATGAAATCACCGCTCGAAAAATGATCGAGGAAAACATTAATTTTTGTTGGTCTTTTTATCTTTTGCGATTTCACCGCCTTGTAATTTAAAAAACACTTCCCAACGAATATTAAGTGAGGAATTCAGTGAAATCATAAATGAAATGATGAGCGTGCTGATACGATCGATGATATGACGTCAATTTTTCTCTCCTTTGGGTAAATATGAAAGTTGTAAATGCAATTTCAGATGCAAAATTACTTTCGTATGTTGATACATTCTGAAACTTCCTGACCCCATTTTGGTGAATGTATTTCCTTCATATTGACAACATTGGAAGCATTTCACATTCGATACAAAGTAACAAAAAGAATGAAAATATTTCCTTTCCAAATTATCATGAAACCACGTAAAGAGTTGAACCAGAGATTAACCATCTCAATTTTTGAAATACTAAATAAGTTTCCCAGAAAATGATAAATGTGCGTTATAAATTGGAATAAACTCAATCAACTCAATGATACGAATCAATTTTTCGTGCTATTGCTAATGAACGAAAATTATAAACAAAGAGAGATCTTTGCAAAGTTGGTGATTGTTAGTAGGTTTCATTTTAAGATGCTCATTCATCTCAGTCAGTTTTATAGCTCGAACCTCACTCTGGTACATGACAACGAGTGTTGAGTTTGCGTGTTGAATTACATTAGCAAGTGGTATGAGTTGTTCTTTGCCTCTCTTGCGTCTCCATGTTCGGTCTGATTACGCTTTATATAGTGTTGAAGTTCAAATTTTTACCCTTCTCGCTACAATCATCGCTTCGTTGTTTTTTTCGCAGAATAAATTTAGGAGCTTTTTTTATCTGTAGTTGTAAAAAGGAAAATTATGTGAAAAAAGAGCAGACCGAAAGCAATAAAATTTGTAAGAGAAGAAATGGTTGAAAATGTTTAAGAGAAAAATCGATTTTTCAGTAAAGAGATTCATGAAAATGGTTTTCGGAAAAGCAAGGAATGAAAGTGTGAAACATTTTCATCTTCACTTTAATTTTATTATAGCATATTAAAGTTTCATCAGTGAAACGTAAGTTCATTTAAAAAGATTAGAGAAGACATACTGCGTGAGTTCCGTTTTGATGTTATTTAAAAGACTGGATGATACATTATTGTTACTTCTTCATATTGTATTTATGGAATGTAAATCATCGCTCGACACTGTAGACAGCTCTGAGATGTGAGAAGTAGTGATTATAGCCTCAAGATATATTTCATCATCATCACTTTTTACGCTTCCTCTCCACGACATATCAAATGAGCATTAATAGTCACCCAACGATGACCTAGGCGGATAATAACTTCTCTCACTTCGTTTGCAGGGAGTGGAAGAATAAGATTAATCAAAGATTTTAATCAACCAAGAATGAACCCATTTTTTTGCTCGTAACATTTCATTTATTCTTCAAGATTTGTCAGCATTTAAACTCCAAACACGAATGACTTTTTTAAGTACAAACAACAAACAACAAATCAACGGAAAATTCAATCTGAAAGATAAATAAATTAAGAACATAGCAAAGTGTTAGAAAATAATTAAAAGGCGCTTCTCATGTACCATCCTTCCAACTTGAATCTATTCCTTTTAAATTACAGAGTATAATGAGTGTCTAAACCTTTTCATCAACCTATTATTGTCGGATCGTCTCATCACATCAGTTTTTTAGATGTTAACCCTCCCACTTTTCAATACACATTAGGTTCGGTTTCTTGTTAAACTATGAATCAAACCGGCACAATCAGAATGATCTGCATTAGCAGTTCAACCTTAACGATTGTCAATGAAACTTGAGGCTTAATTATCACACTTCAACTCGTAATTAGTTGAAAATCTAAGAAAAAAATGATAATGGATGTCGAGGAAATATCATTAATTAAATAATTTATTGACATAAGCGGAAGATCTATATGTGCAGTTAGGTAATTTTCTTTTTAAGTCATCCGCAGTAAAAGAATTGAATGCAAAATATTACAGTTTAATAAGAGAAAGACTTTTCTACTATAAAAAGTAACCATAAGACTGCATCATTTATAAGCCTAGGATTTTTCATGACAATTACTTATGGGCCTTTTATATATTCTTTTACGAGTAAGAAAGTTGTTTTTTTTTCTCGTCACACCTGAGCTTCCATTTGCGAAAGCATCTAATGGAAGCAAGAAAAAAGTCGCTGTTTAAATTTCCTCTGTCGATTCTTTTTACTTCTCTCACTTATTTCGGATGATTGTGTTGATCAAATTATTCTCATATCTTCTACGCAGATACACAAACTTCACCTCGAAATGTTAAGATAAAAATATTCAATTAACAAAATCATGGACTCAATTTAAGGAAGAAAAAAAAAGTCAGAAAATTTACTAAAGAATTTTATTTTTCAATCATCTAAAAATGTTAATCCTCTTTAAATTACTTTTCAACTTCTTCCATAACGAATAGGATTATCCTAAATATCTTTGACTAATATCTCAGATTTTTCCACGTCAAACTTTTCGGATTTGTTTTCTTTTTCCAGTTTGAAAAAGTTGCTGATGATAATTTAATATGTAACGAGAAGGGTCACTAAAGTTTACGTGAAAAGCAATATTGCTACTTTTTTTTGCAGATCTTTCAGTTATTGATATTAAAAATATTAAACAATTCATAAAAGTTTACACATTTTTGCAGTAATTCGAAATTAAGTTATTCCATTTATTAAATATTGTCACCTGAGGGCATCAGAGGAAAATTCTAATTTGTTAATAGTTTAATTTCTGTTAAATGTGAAGTTATAGCAGATGCTTGAGGTTTTCTCAAGTTGATTTCATTATTTTTTACTGTCTTCTTACATGCCGCCACAGCCATCGAACTGTCGTCAAAATATCGAGTTGTGTCTTCATTCACAAATTGCTGACCATAAATTTGCAGAGATGATGATGATGATAATCATTAAATGCACAAATCATTTGTTATTGTGGTTTCTTCTGCCTTCATTTGAGGACTGTTTTCTGTTGTCGTGTGTCTTAATAACTTAAGAGTATAATTTTGTTACCTCAATTAAGATGAAGGAATGGAATGGATCTGTAAGAAATTTTCAAGGAGTTTGACTTCAAATAATTCCACTTCCTTTAGAAAGGAAATTAGTTTGAAATATCATGTTCAAGTGTCAAAAACGCATGACTTATTCGGAGACCACACAGATTTTTTTTATCAATTTTATGAATTTTTTTTTATTATTTGACATGAGCTTGATATTTGATGTGCTGACGCTTTCGACTCGAAATAAATGTAGTCATTTAAAAAATGTGGTTTTGTCGTCGGTCTATTCTTTGTGAGATTCTATATCAATATATTTAATAATTTCATTCGACATGCTGAGCGTCAGCCATTTGAATCGTGATCAAAACTATTACGCCCACAATACAAACAACATCCTTTTCCAAATCTAATGAATCATAAGACATAAAGTTGAAGTACTCTCTCAAAATTGAATTTCTTTCTAAAACACAAACATTGTCTTTGTAACATATGTCATGGGATCAATAGAAATTTCCCTGACACTTGCAGAAAATCAAGTTTAATCAATTTGTAACATTTTTAACATTTTGTTTATTTTGGCTTTCAGAGAGGAAAACAAATTGGTGCACAAATAAAACAGTCGTTGGGTAAGCAGATTATGTAAATTTCCGTAATAATGACAATATGGTGTCAAAAAGTAATGTTTGTTTTTCTGTTTTCCCTATTTCTATTGACATAAGCTTCTCTGAAAATTTACTTACTAAAGGGTTTTAAATAAGACCTCATGTCGAAAGGGTCGTCGGAGTATCATTAGCATTCAAATTTCTCCCACACGTATCGAATATTAATTGTGATATGTTTCAATTGAATGAAAAGATCTTTTAAGTAGCATTGTGGAAGTTTCACAATATTTCCTTAGCATTAGATTATTTGGATTTAGTTTTTAATTGAATCTACAAGTAACAACTGGAGAAATAGTAAAATTATGATGTTTAGGGTGATGTTGAGCTTTTATTAAGTTGTGGTATCTGAAATTTGGTTGGAGAAACTGGTAAATTGCTTAAAAACATATTATAAAGCGATTATTCCTTTCAAATACAAATCAATCAAACAGTTCACAACTCAATTCAACTAAAAATGCCAAAATTAAATTTTTTAAAACTTTTTTATTTATCCAAAAAGCATTTTAATGGATTTTACATTAAAAAAAGAATGAATAATGAATGAGTTTAATCGATGGCCATTTGAGTTTCAGTTTCACTTGATTCTTCAATTGGCTCTTCTAAGATTCTCGGACCATATAACAACACGTAAGCTACATGCCAATCGCCTCCACCAGAAAGACGTAAAATTTCTTCTGATGTTACTGATGTAACAACATCGTCATCAAATTTCATCCATTGATCACCTTTGTGACGAACCCAACCAACGTAATGACCTGACGATGATGATCTGCCTTGATGAGTTAAAACTGCTTGAAGAGTATAAAATCCACTGTTGTTGCTGCCTTCGTCTATCGCAATTGAAATGTGTAAGAAAAAAGTTATAAAACGAAGGATAAAACTTACCGTCTTCAAATGAATAAGGAAGAGCTTTTGTCTTCTTTTCAATAGGCTTGTCTCCTTTTAATTTCACTTGATCTTTGGCTTCGATTGCCGCATCTTCCTGTTCCTTAAACTTGCTGCGCATTGGTACAAGCTTTTGTTGTAAATCTTTTGTACATAAATCAAAAGCATCAAACTCTATTGGAAATTTGATATCTTTTAAGACTTTCGCGTTAATTCCTTCTTTTCCTTTATATTGGAACCGAACAAAACTAATGGTGAGATATGCTGGCAATCGACTGATGAGAGATTGCTTCATGTAATTAGCGTCACGATCTAAAGTTGGCGATTTCTTAGTGATTTGTTCATTCAAGCGCAATCTTAATCCACTGTGCATGTATTTAACTTCACTTGATATGAAGCAACTAAGTTGAAGAAAGTTTTCTTTCGACTTTTTAACTTCTTCATCATCAGCTTCGAGACATTTCATCTCACAATCAAATGTTCCGCCGAAATATTGTTCAACCAACGAAGCATATTTTGATGCACAATTTCCTTTTCTCGGTTCTAATTTCATCAACATCTTCATAAGTTCCACCCAACATTCATTTGCGTCTTGCTGACGATAAACACCTTTCTCACCAGTCTGAGCAAATTGTGGGAAAACGTTATGAAGTGTCTGAACCAAAAAGACTGGTGTGACCGTAGCTGACTTTTCCATTTGATCAAATACAGTTTTTATCGCCACTGTCATTGATTGTGATGCATTGAAGCCTGGTTCTTGTTTATATTCTTTCAAAGAATCTCTCAGCTCAGGCACAGAGCGAAGACATTGAACGACACTATTCAAGTAGCAAGTATTTCCCAAATTGGTTAGACCAGCTGGCAATTCAATAGCTTGTGCTATTTCATTCTCAGACATGTCTTCAAGAAAAACTGTCTTCTGAACAGGCTCAGGTGCTAACTCTTCACATGTACCAAGAAGCAAGATAACAGCTCCCTAAAATAAAGAAACACAAAGAAAATATTCAACATAAGAATAGTGATGACTTAGCAAAAATTATGTATTATATCTTACATTTTTAAGAGAAATATTCCATTCGTCATCCTTTAGAGTCTTTCCACCGCACATTATCTTTTGTCTATCAACAGGAACATTGCTTAGAGCAAAGAGTTGAGCTTTAAAATCTATAATATCACAATCCGTGTCAACTTCCACATCCTTGAAAATCTCCTTTCCCCATTTCACTTTCACTTTATAAACCGGCATTTTTAATAACGTTTAAAATGTTTTAGACTCAGATGTTAATTCTATTTCTATCAAGAATTAGAAATTAAAATATTTGTTTCAAAATCGCTCACACAACAACGATGATTTGATGAAAAACAAGTTGAGAAGATATTACAAAGCTTGTTTTGAAACAGCTTGTTATCTTTTCTCTAATAAAACTTTTGAATTCGTTGTAATTTGTCAATTGAGTAGATGATAATTATTGTTTCCTGTTTTGAGCTTGTTTATACATTTTTGATTTCGAAATTTTGCCGTAGTTGCAATGTTATGATAGACAGTCAGACCGAAATGATTTACGAAAGGAAGTTATTTTATTTTTGTTGCGAGGTTAATATTTGTGCACCCCCTTAACCCCTCGAAAAAGGAAGCATTTATCGAGCCTGTAAATTATATTTCTAAAAATATAATTTATCTAGGTAAAATCTAAAGAGTTAACATCAAAAAGTAAGTCAAATCATAACAAACATCGAGTATTTTAATTCAACATTAATTATGTTAGTAATTATGTAATTTTGATTGAAATTCCGGTGAAAAACAAAATCGTAACATTCTTGATGGATAAATCTATCTACTTGAAAGAGAAGGAATATAAAATACAAGAAATCTCATGTTTAATTTCCGAATTGAAATACATAAGAGTAAACAAAAAGTTTCAATCAACTTTAAACTCGTGCATTAATAAATTTATTTGATATAACATTTATTTAAAAGTTCAGATATGAAGTTTTTATGGAATACAAGGAAAATATTTGTGAGCGCGTAAAGAAAAGAAATGTAAGAATTTCACTCATAAGTTTGTTTAGTTGGATGAAAAGTTGTCATTGCATAACAAAAGTAACATTTTATCATCGACAAAAATATAATTAAGCTTAATCACTCAATTTATCAAGAACAATTCAAGAGAAAATTAAATGTTTTTACATTCATATATTTCTTCTTAGGTCGACTTCAACAATAATAACAAAAAACTTATTCGATAACGTTGAGCTTGTAAGTTCAACAGATCCATCAGTTGATGTTAATAATTTAGTATTTATGGATAGCGATTCAGAAAGCTCAGAAACCTATTTGCAAAACATTGGTCTGCAAGAGACCATAAACTGCGACAAAAATAGGGATGAAACATCAATGGACGCGACAGAAAATCCAATCCATGTCACGGTGAAGAAAGAGGAAGAAATCAATGTTTATGATGAAGATTTTGAATGCACTGAAAAGATTAATACTGAAGACAATAGTTTAGATCTTTCAGCTTTCATTTTAGATGAAGAATTGATAGAAGATGTTACAATTGGATACGACGACGGGGAAAAGGAAGTATGTGAGATTGATGGGACAACAATAATAACAATAGAGAATAGTTTTACATTGAATACGCCTCTTAATACATTAGAAGATTCTCTTTATCATCCTGCACAGTTCGATCTCATAACAGAGTCCGCAACAGAAATAAAAAAGACTGAAGATGAAAGCAAAAGTCATAACACTAGTTTGGTTGATCATCCATATTCACAACAACCAGAATCCAATAATGATGTTGAATTATTTGATGATCTTGTTGGAAATGTTCTACAAGGAGCTAAAAATATTGACAATCGTTCAGCTATTGGTCTTCTCTCTACGTACACAGACATGTTTGAACATTATTTCTCCAAGGAAGAAAATCCACAAATCGTTTCGTATTTGAGAAATATGAAGAATTCCTTGACAAATCGAATACAACTTATAGAGGAGAATAAATCTGAGGATGTTCCTGCAGTTTTAGAGAATATTGAAGAAAAAAGTGTTGAGATTGTTGGGAATGAAACGTTGGAATTTTCCCAGTCATCGGATTTGGATAAAAATGAAGTTGATGAGAGTGTAGAAATTCCAGAAACATCAACTGAAGATAAAGAATCAGAAGAACAAAATTGCAATCAAAAGATGTGTTTGAAGATAGAAAACGCTGTTAGCTTGGCGGTTCAACAAGAATCAATTGAGACAACAAAAGAAGATGACAAAAAAACGTTATCGGACATTGAAAAATGTATACGAAAAATAAAAGACTGCAGTTTGAAGTTAAGTGATGACACTTCTGAGCTTTTAATTGAAATGAACATGGCAAACATTTCTGAAGAAGATAATTCAGATGAAACTGAAAAGAAGTTAATTAAACTTTTGATAAATTCTCGAAAAGAATTTCGGAATGTGATAAAAGAAATTATTATTCAACGAAATATAAAAGCAAATGAAATGATTGAAAGAAGTAAAAATGCTCTGAATAATTATTCATCAGATTTGTCGGAGCTATCGAGTTCTGATTCAGAGGATCTCGATCAAGTACTCAATCTTAATCGTAAGATACCCAAAACGGGACCACAAACTCCGGCCATAGTCTCATCGACAAAAGAAGATTCAGACGCATCTGATAGAAATTTGGTTAAGGAAGAGACAGAAAACTTACTTGAACCATTATCGGAAAATGATGTCAAAGAAAACAAGAAAAATGTTGATAAGGATATCGATCGACTGATTGATTTAACATCACTTTATTGTCCTAAGCCAGCATCTTCGAAAAAAGTATCAAAACAGAAAAAAGTCATGAAAAAGAAGAAAAAGCGAACAAGTGATAACGAAAGTCCTTTCAATTCAACCTCAGGTGATGATTCACCTGGAAAATCATCTTCGTCGTCTTCGTCATCATCTTCAGACCGCGACACATCGGATGAAGAAAAAGCAATGTTAATTCGACAAAATGCAGACATCAAACTAAAACTTTTAGATAACAGCGACTGTTCAGCAAGTGATGAAGATAGTTTGAATGAATCTGACGAAAATTCTCCATTTAACTTCTCATCGGATGATGACAAAGATAAATCACCTCAAACACAGAAAAAAAAGAAAACTACTGAAATTAAAGAAGAAATCGAACCAGCAACAAGTGGAAATATTTCAGTTGAAGCGGCTATTGTCGAAGAAACTGAAAAACTAAAATCTGATGACGATGAACTGCAACCAAAAAAGAAGCGACAAAAACGCGATTCGTTCGAACGCGAAATTTTCAAGAAAGATTTTCTCGAAGAAAATAAAAGTCAAACAGCGTCAACATCAACAAATTCTACGAAGAAAAAATTATTGGAAAAGGAAGTTGAAGATGATAAACCTCCATTGGATGAAAAAATTGATCTTTCGATGTTTGAATCGAAACGTTTAAATAAAGAAATTGATTTGAAGAAGATATTTGAGAAGCGTGCGAATGCAAGTGAAGTTGCTGCTTCATCATCACCAGTAATACAAGCTCCATCAAAGTCAACACCACCAATTACTAATGAAGATGAGTGGATAAGTTTAAGTAGTGATAGTGATAGTGAAATTAGTGTCGTTCCAAGCAGTGGAAGCAGCTCACGAATTCCGAAACGAAAGAAAATGCTGACAGAAGAGGAATTGCAGGAAGAAACGAAACGAGCACAAAAAGAAGAAAATCGTCGCGTTGAACGTCTTAAGAAGAAGAACGAAACTTTATCACAAATGTTATCGGAACGTTTAAGTCAAGACAGCGAATCTCAACAACATGAACTCATCCTTGATTATGATTCAGAACGTAAAATAACAATCTCAGTTCATCCAAAGATTGTTAAATTGCTTAAGGACCATCAGAAAGAAGGCATTAAGTTCATGTAAGTTTAATTTAAATTAATTAATCTTAAATTTTGTTTATAACGAAGTAACATTGGCAAACAGGTACGATACAGTCTATGGATCAATAAGTGATGAAGAAAAGACGAAATCAGGATGTATTTTAGCTCATTGTATGGGACTTGGAAAGACTTTGCAGTTAATTGCATTACTTCACACACTTATCAGATTTCCGGAACTTGAAACCAAACGAGTCCTCATCATTTGTCCAAAATCAACGATAATGAACTGGTCAGAAGAGTTCAAGAAATGGCTTTCTGGAATTGAATCGAAAGGATTAAGAATTTTTTATCTTGAAGATTCTTATAAGTTTCCAGAGCGTGTTAAAGTGAGTTAGATTAACCAATTTTTTCCAATTTTCATTTGTTGAAGGGCAAAGCGAGCTTTTTAGTTGCATGTCCCCAATTTTCCTTAACTGATGAATTCTAATTAAAATATTTCCTTCTTTAGCTTCTTCAAACTTGGTTCGATAGAGAAGCACCTGGTGTGTTTATCATCAATTATGAAGCATTTCGTCACATGATTCATTACAGCGGATCAAAACGTGCAAAAATTAAAGTTGCTGATAAAGACGTTGAAGCTTTTCAGAAAGTCATTCGAAAATGTCTTTTAGATCCAGGCCCGAATCTTGTTGTGTGTGACGAAGGACATTTGATAAAAAATCAACAGGGGGCTTTAAATAAAGCAATTATACAAATAAAAACGCTTCGTCGAATCATTTTAACAGGAACGCCCGTTCAGAATAATTTGAATGAATATTATTCGATGGTGGATTGGATTAAGCCGGCACTTCTTGGAACTGTTCGAGAATTTAACAATCTTTACGCAAATCCTATCAAAGATGGACAACACCGGGATTCAACAACACAAATGATCAAGAAAATGAAACATCGAAGTTACATTCTTCATCGAAAGCTGTCAAAGTTCGTTCAACGTAAGGAAGCTTCGGTTTTGAAAGAATTTCTTCCAGAGAAATACGAATATTGTATCTTTGTTCCACTTACGAAAGTTCAAGAGCAGCTTTATGAAAATTATTTAGAGAAGAATCCTCTCAATGGTGGACATCAACTTTTAAATGATTACACGGCGTTAAGAAAAATTTGGACTCATCCAAAAGTTCTTCAAAATGCTCGTGAGCGTGCAATAAAAGGGGAGTTAAAAATAAACGAAGCAGGAAAACGTCAAAAGAATCAAAATCCGTTTGATGAAGGTGACGATGATGAAGATGATCTTTTAGATAAACTTGATGGCAATACAGGAGTGACGAGTGATTGGTGGAAACAATTTGTGGGCGATGATGAACTGGAATCTCTTTTTACAAGCAGCAAGCTAATATTATTGTTCGAAATCTTAAGATTGTGTGAGATGAGAGGCGAAAAAGTTTTAATTTTCTCAGCCTTTGTTGCAGTTCTGAATGTTGTCGAAGCTTTCATGAAGAAGATTCACAGTCAAGATTTTAATCCTAAGGCCAAAGAGTATGGTTACGATTATTTCAAAACAACATGGAAGGAAGGAGAAGATTACTATCGATTAGATGGATCAACAAAACGAGAAGTTCGACATCAAATGGTTCAAAACTTCAATGATAAAAATCGAAAACGTTTGCGTTGCTTTCTCATCAGTGCAAAAGCTGGTGGACAGGGAATTAATCTCACTGGTGCTAATCGTTGCATTCTTCTTGACACTTCATGGAATCCTTCATCTGATCAACAGAATATTTTCAGAATTTATCGTTTGGGACAACAAAAACCTTGCTACGTTTATCGTCTGATTGCTTTAGGAACGATGGAGGAAATTGTCTACTCACGGTCAGTTAACAAACAAGCGATGAGCTTTCGTGTCGTGGATAAGCTTCAAATTGATCGGCATTATCGAATGGATGAGTTATCAGAACTCTATACACTCACAAAATTTGATCCTGCAAAACGAACGCCGCCAAGCCTTCCAGTTGACGAAGTGCTTAAATTTTTACTTCATAATCATCAAATGCGAGCTTTCCGTTATCATGAACATGATACATTACTGGAAAATAAACCTGATCAAGATTTAAATGAAGATGAGATTAAAGAAGCTTGGCAAGCTTACGAGAATGAGTTGCGAGGTCCACAACCGCGTGTACCGTTGAATGGCAATCCTTTGGTGTCAAATGTTGATTTCTTCCGAGCTGATCTTTTGAATTATAATTATCATGCAGGATTAGATCCTGGAGCGTCAGATTTTGTTAAGCAACTTTATCCAACAACAACATTGGATTATATCGCTAATTTGCAAAGCTACTACAACAATTTGGATTATTTTGGTGCTTCAGTTCCTTCGACGAGTGCAGCAGGGGCAAGTAATGCATTGACAAGCAATCAATCGACCTTATTGAGAGCACAATTAGGCGCTAGTCTTCCACCTCCTGTCTTTCCATCTCAAATTCCTCCAATCAATACTTTATATAATTTCGCAAATTCAACACCAAGTACAATTCATGTTAAGTCACCGACAATTCCGCCTCGTAAACGAACGCCAACTGTCACCACTCCAAAGATCTCAACTGAAACCAGCAATAAAATGCAACAATTAATGCATTTGCAACAACGATTTAATGGAAATATTCAAGTTTCGAATGATAATTCGCTTTTGGGGAAGAATAGTTCAGCGAACTTGTCAATTCTTCCTGATAAAGTTACTTCGCCAACAACTTCGACCAGTCGTAAATTACCACCACCAAATATGAAGACAAATAATGTTAAAAGTACAAGTGAAAGTCGAGTAATTCCTTCATTTAGCTCAACTTTAACTAAAACATCAGCAAATGTTGGAACTTCATCATCATTACGAACATCTCCAATGATTTCTTCGTCTCAACAAGCAGCACGAACATCATTGCCAGTGAATACTATTAATAACAAAATTAGTCAAAATGTTGGCTTAACTCCAACAAAAACCATTCAAAAGCCACCAAATTACACTCCAACGCAATCCCCAAAGTCACAACAAACACCGATGAGCGTGAAAACATTACCGAAACCAGTTGTCATTCAACAGAAAAAGCCACCACAACAAGGAATCGTAAAAACATATCCTCCACTTCAAAAACAGCGAACAATGATTGTTAATGCACAACAAAAATCTCAAATGCAAGTATTAAAACCACAACAACAGCAACAGAAGCCGTTAACACAAAGTCAACAGGGAATTAAACCAACAACGAGTGTCGTGAATTCTAAAATAAATGTGGCACCAGTAGCAGCAGCTAAAAAAATATTTTATGCATCTCCTCAAAGTTTAGAATATCTTCGAAACATGAAAGCTCAGAAAGCTGTTCCAAGTACTTCAAATAATAAATCAAATCCAATATCAATAACAAAACTTCCACCAGTTTCAACTATAAAGCCACAACAGTTACAAAAGCAAGCTCAACCATCACTTGTTCAAACTAAAAGAGTGGAACTTCCTTATAATTCACAACAAATAACACTACAGAAGCTCCAGCCGTCAGTAATAAACAAAGTCAGACCACAGCAATCGCCAACGACCTTCGTTTCAAATCCAAAAATCGTTCAATCACAGAAGCGACCATATGAAGTGAGAATTGAGTTAAATTTTTTTAAGATAAGATATTGAAGATATTAAATTGTTAATTTTTACTTTCAGACGACGGTTTCAGAAGCAGCAAAACGATTGCGAGGGATGCCTCAAGTGAAAGTAATCACACGAGAAGAAAGAGATCGAATTAAAAACCAGAATTCGTCAACAGGTGCGAATTTTCTTGTTTTTAATATATCTGACATTTATGAACCGTTAAATCTTTTCAGTTGTTGATGACATCGTTGAGATCGAGTAATAAAAAATTAATTTTATTATTTCATTATCATCATCATCATCATCATCACTAAGAAGAAGATTTTAAAAGGTTGTTGATCGAAGAAACTACACACAACGCACAATCATAAAATATGTGTGCAATTACACGTGTATTTATAATATAGATTTTAATTTATTTTTTATGGAAAAACATTTTTACTGTAACTATTAAAAAAATCAAAATCTTGAGTCGGAATGTAAAATCGAGTGCTGTAATATTTAAGAGAAATAAAATAAAAATAAAAACCTCGATGTTAAAATTTTTTGTAATTTTCTTTAAATGTTTAATCCATTTTCATGTTTCCATTCATATCAGGGCAGGTTGCTTCCTCAAAGCTTACGTTCCCATGTAAAAATTTGATTGATCACTTGACTTGGGTATATTAATGAACTTGACTTCAAACGAGTCAAGTTGCTTGATCTCATTTTCACATTTCCTTGGATTAGATTAAAAAATTTTATATGGAATTGGGGTTAGACTAACGCGATGTTCGTAAAAAAAGAAAAAACAATTCAATTTAGTAACGAAAGCATTTTGAAAATTCTTTTTTTATTGAAACCAAAAAGTTGAACTTTGAATCATTGAATTAAGAGAGTTTTAAGGCGGCAAGTTCTTTGTTCAGGTCAGCTTCCAATGTAATCTTGTTCAGTTGATTTTTATCCAATTTCTCTCCTTTTTCCAACTTTTCTTTTAGAATTTTGATGTCTTTGAGCTTTTTCTTGATGCCAGACGATTTCTTCCTGTCATCATCGTCTTTGTCAGTTTTACCTTCAGTAGCAGAGTTTGAAGATTGAGGCTTTCTTCGTTGATTGTATCGTCCTTTGGATGCAGATTGACTTTTAGAACTGGTGTAGCCAGGAGGTAAACCTGGAATTGGTCCTTGAGCTGCTGGTGCTCCTGATGAAGTTGAATCTTCGCCAAAAGCACGCACATTTGGTGGCACATATTTTTTATCTGAAGCTTGCTTCTGAACTGATTGAACTCCTTCGACTTTGTCATAATTGATTGGCATTTCCTTGAATGTGTTTTCAGGACTTTTCTGCCACATCAACTCTAAAAGTTCTTGCTTTTCTGGCCACATCATTTCAAAAAGCAAAGCTCCAGAATAATGCCAGATTTTGAATCCATTTCCTTGACGAAGTCTTGGCGCTGTCGTCGCAGTGAAGTACAAGTCTCCTGACGGTGCCCATTGAACAAGAGTCGTGTCAGTTGCTAAGCTCATTGAAACTTGTCTAATAAATTAAAATAATTAATTAATGTTTCAATTTTATGAGTGATTTCTCATCTTACTTCTTTTTTATCAAATCCCAAACTTCAATTTGACCCTTCAAGTTTCCAAATCCCCCAAAAAGCACCAAATTACCAAAATCATTGAAGTAAATCGAGTTTCTGATGCCAGTTCCAAAATCAAATACCGAGTCACATTTAAAATTAAACAACGTTGTTTTAGCCGGAATGTAGCCATAAACCACAATAAATTGATTTGATTTTGGACTCCATGAAACTGCATGAATTGGCCCTTCAGCACCTTCAAAGAAATCAGTTAATATTATTAATAATCACTTAATTATTGCAAAAGAAATTTTTTGACACTTACTTAAAGGAACTGAATACGAGTCACCACTTGTTGCTAGAAAATGCAAAGCTTGCTTTCCATAGTACGAAACGCCTGTACTATCAACATCCATCGATGTCATAATTAAACATCCCGTTCCTTTATTATTCCATATCATTTCAACTTTATCAGCTTGAGCGAAGGTTTTCGAAGAAACGGGATTCGTGTTTATGTTTGGGTACTTGAAGAGTCGACACATTGATGGACTTCCTTTTTCACCTCGAATATAAACAGCAACATGAGATGCTCCTAAATAATGAACAACATTATTATTATTAGTGATTGATGAAAACTGCAAGGAAAACTTACCAGGCGAAACAGAAAATCCTCCAACTTTGCCGCTCAATTTTTGAGAAGTCTTCACGAAATTTTCATAAAAACAAATCTCGTTGTTAAGCATGATGGCAAAGAACGACTCGTCTTGCGCAAAATACGGCTCCCACTCAGAGTGTCGCTTCATAACAAAATTGCATTTCTCTTCACCTGTCGATGTGTCGTAGAAAAACAAGTTGGGATTGTCGGAATTTTCCTTGCTACTCGCAAAAATTTCATAAATGATAAGAAATGATTCCTTGGGAGAAAATTTGATGATGTATGCTTTCGTCCTTGGCACCACAAATTTCAATTCCATTTTCGAGTTATAAACTTTGACGCCGTCGACCGAATTTCCATAGGCGAAGAAATTGGAAGAACATGTCATCGCACGAGCAGATTTTGCCTCTTTAAAAAAGGGCTTGAATTGTCGAGAAGATGCGGTTGTTCCATCTTTGTTTTGAATATTCCAGATTTCAAGCCCGGTTCCGGATCTCACTAAAAATAAACATAATCGCACGATGACATGTGAAAATATTTGTTGAAATATTTCAATGATAAATATTGCTACATTAAGCAAGCTTTTAATGAAATTTTCAAGTTTTCCTAGTTAGTTACATCTTAATTACTTCATTTTAATGCTTTTATTACTAACTTACCGGCAAAATTAAGCATTTTGCTTACAAAATTAGAAAATTCACGACGTTCCGAAACAAGCAGCGAGGGGAAGCAAACTTTCGTGTAAATATTTCTTAAAAATATTCATCAGGCAATACCACACTCAACGAGACGAGCTACGTGAACTTGTAGAAAAATGTAAACAATTTTGCAACATGAGTTTTTTAAAGTAAGAAAAGTGAATAAAAAGTGAAATGTCAATTCATTTAAGGAAATTTATTAGTTCGAGGGTAAGTAAAACTTGTCAATACTTGCAACAATACTCAATATTTAAATATATTCATGGCAAATATTTATTTGGTTTGTTTTGATTTGCGATTAAGATAAACGAGCTCACATCTGTGAAAGGATGTTTTGCAAGTTCACTCGATCTCAGGAAAAACAAACAAGGATTAATGGAACTACGATTACCATTGTGGGACTTTGAAGAACTTAAAACATCAACTGCTTGGACAAAATCGATAAACAATGAAATTATTGAAAATGTTAATTGTGATAGAAAAGAAGTAATTTTCTCTCTAAACCAACAAAAGCTTGTTGAAGATGCCTTCAAAGATCCAACAAATGTCAAAGTTAATGAAAAGCCAAATAATTATATTATTGAATTTAGTTCGCCAAATATTGCAAAACCATTCCACATGGGACATCTTAGAAGCACAATTATTGGCAATTTCTTAGCGAATTTCTTCACGACAATCAATAACAACGTCATAAAAATGAATTACTTAGGAGATTATGGAACACAATTTGGTTTCTTAATGGTCGGTATGGAAATGGAGAAACTGTCAAGAGAAGAATTTAAAATTAACCCATTAAACAGTCTTCTTAAGGCTTATGTCACTGCTAATAGTTCGACTGATCCTTTAGTTGCTGAAAAAGCACGAATTGTTTTCGAGAAAATGGAAAATGACGAAGACGAAGTAATCATAAAACAATGGGAAGAAATTAAAAAATATACAATGGATGAACTGCAAGTGATTTATGAGCGACTGAATATTGTCTTTGATGTTTATGAGTTTGAATCAATGTATCGTAAGAAAGACTTAAATAATCTCTTAGTTCAGTTAAAGGAAAAAAATCTTTTGATTGAGGATGAAGGAAGATTGTTAATCGATATTGGTGAAAGAAAGGTGACAGTTGTTAAGAGTGATGGAACAACAATTTATTTATCTCGAGACATCATCGCATATGAATCACGTAGAAAATGTTATGAAGTTGACAAAACATTTTATGTTGTTGACGACAGTCAACTTAATCATTTCAAAGCTTTAAAAAGCATTATTGACTCCTTAGGATTTGATGCTGACAGTTCAATTGAACATGTGAAGTTTGGACGAATCAAAGGAATGAGTACACGTAAAGGTTCAGTGGTTTTTCTCAAAGACATTCTCGAAGAAGCAAAAGATCGAATGCTGAAAAAGCAGCAAGAGTCGGAAAGTAAATTTAAATACTTATTTAATAAAAAAAATTGATTGACGGATAACATGAGAACAAAAAATTTCTTTTCATAGCAACAAAAGTTGATTTGTTAGAATGTGGCGATAGTGTTGCTGATATTCTTGGCTGTTCTGCTGTCATTGTTAACGATCTCAAGCAGAGAAGACAACGGACTTATGACTTTGATTGGGACAAGATACTTCAAGTCAATGGAGACACCGGCGTTAAACTTCAATACACTCATTGTCGTTTACATAGTCTGATGGAAAACTGCGGAGTGGTTGAAGCCGAAAAGATCGATTTAAAATATCTACAAGAACCAGAGGCTCAACATGTTTTATTTTATATATTGAAATATCCTGAAGTCTTTTACGACTGCTCAAAAACGTTGGAATCATGCGGACTTGTGAATTATTTGTTTCGTTTGTGGTAAGTAAATTGATGTTAGAACAAAATATCTTCTCGTTACATTAAAACTGTTTCTGAATTTCGAAATATTCATTTTCGAAAGTTTCGAAATAAAAAATTCAAACTTCTTTCCGTTAAAGCATCACAAAAGCATAAAATAATTTTTGAGACATGTTTTGTTTATGTTTTCTGATTTTTCCATAGTAACAACACAAGTAAAGCCTTGAAAATTCTAAATGTTAAAAACGCTGACACAGAAACCGCATCGCAAAGACTTCTACTATTCAATATGGCACGGAAAATTTTGAAGCATGGACTTGAAACATTAGGATTGAAAGTCCTAACGAAGATGTGAAACATACGTATCAATACATTTTACATGTAATATCGGAAGATAAAAATAAAAGAAAGAAAAATAATGGCGAAACCATTTAAAATTAGATATGTATAATGGGATATATTTCCAAGTAATATTCACAGCAACGAAAAAGAAAAATCAATTTGACTTACCGGAATTGCGTGAGAAAGAAAATGCGTGGTGACAGATGTAGTAAATATTCATTTGTAGGAATGAAAATGTAAGGAAAAAAAACGAAAAATAAAAAAAAAGAGAGTTAGTAGGTCGACAGATTTTACAGAGAAAACATATCTTTCAGTTTTGAAGTTCATTTAGTTTTTCTTCTTTCAGCGATAATGAAAATTGTTTTTCTTGCAATTGCCTGTGGTAAGCATTTAAACAGATATTTTTTAGTTTATGAGAAGTTTTTTTTTGTCCTTGAGGAAGGACGTTTCAAATTATGTAAATACAGTGATTTATCGATAGTGTTGAAAATATCTTCGTTTAGATATGTTAAAACTTTTGTCAAATTCAAACTCAACTTTCTCAAATTTCATCAAAAGTTATCTTTAATCAAATTGACAATTCAATTTTCTCATTTCTTTTACATAGTAAGAGTGAATCGAAAATTTTCCAATAAAAAGTTTTAGACATTACTTAGGTGTTTGCTAATTTCTAAAAATAAATCCAAATGTTTCATAATTTATTACAGCAATCGTATATGTTGCCAGTGCGTCGACAACTGAAGAAGTCATCAATTTTGTCGGGGAAGACCGCGAATTGACCTGCATTGGAAGTGAAATTAACTGGTTGAGAAATAATACTGTCATACCTGCTGCACATCCTAAGCTTGTCATAAATGTTGGTGTATTAAAAAGTCAACCAAGTTCAACTCTCACAATTAAAAAAATAAGTCCAGTGGATGTTGCTGACTATCGTTGCTATTCACACAAATCGAAAGATGTGGACAAGACTTTCAGTCTTAAACTTTATTGTAGGATTATCTAATTAATTCATTCTTTGCCATCATCTGAAGATCTGTTTAACAATATTTCAGTTCCATTAACTTTCAGAAGTTTTACTAAAGACAGAGCTTTGATAACTGAAGGTGGTGATGTCACAGTAAAATGCAATGTTATTGGTGTTCCAACTCCAACGTTGAAGTGGTTCTTTGATGAGAATGAGTTATGTAAGAAAATCAACATTATTAATTTTTTTATATAATTAACAATATTTTCCAATTCACATAAAGATGACAAAATTAATGAGAACATTGAAGTTCATCCAAATGAGCTCGTCTTAAAGAAAGTCAGAAGCAAGCAAGCTGGCGAATATACTTGCATGGCAATTCAGGAATTTGGATCAGTGAAATATGTCCAAGAAAGAAAAATGGACTTAGAAGTTGAATGTAAGTTTTCTTTCGAACCATCGCGTGACTTTTATTTACTTTTTCATATTTATAAATAGATGGCCCGAAATCGCACACACCCAACGAAACTATCATTTATACCGACCCTGGTAATACAGAAACCTTAGTCTGCAGTTTTGTAGCAAACCCATTCGTTCAATTCACTTGGTCTCGTGATGGTTTTGGAATTTATAAAGACATCGACTCTTTCGATAATGTTTCGCGTCTTAAGGTGAAGAAATTTAATTCTACATAAACTTTTTTATCTTTACTTCCATGTTTGTTTGTTTTTCCTTTCAGATTAAAATTGACGAAGAGGAAATGAAACGAAAATATGTTTGCACAGCAAACAATGCTTATGGGCAAGTCAGTCAGGAATTTTCGTTCAAGCCTTCAGCTGAGAAACCTCCAGCAAGCTCATCAACGTTCATTACGTCAGCTTCTTTGTTCACAATGGCCTTGATCACATTGTTAGTCAATGTTCTTTATTAAAATATTTACACATGTTTCAAGCCTTAAATAAATGTTAAAGTGTTCTCAGCAGGAAGATTTCATTACTCAGTTAAGCATTTAATAAATGTTTGTATTCGATAGTTAGCACAATAGGAAATGTTCATTAAATAATGCGCTAAGAGTCACTGAAATTCTAATTGCATTTTCGGCATTTGATAAATCTATGTATGTTTTATGCTTGAATATTTAAAGGAAGTTTAATAAATTCAGAATTCTACGAACTTAAATAACTTTTTTTATTTGTGAAAATTTCATGTGATGCAATTACAATAGTTTCTGAAAATGATTCACAGAAATGTTCAATCACTTTCTTAGCATGCGCGATCGAAGAGCCGAAGTCACATGTTATGAATGAAATTTCGAGTTTTTTCTTCCTTCCTTACTCAAAGATTTTCTCTGCCTCAGATTGCGAAGTTCAAAACCGCCTTCAAGTAGAATTTTAACTTTCTCGGTTTTCATCAAGTTAAGCACAAGTTCTGTATAAAACGTTGTAAAATAATGTTGCGAATCATAACATTTGGTTTATTAATGATGATAGTTTTATCAGGTGAGTGGATTTAAAAATATTTCTTAATCAAATTTGAAGTTGAATTTCAACGTGTTCATTGTCATTATCGATTATGTGATTTCATAAAATTTAATTGATTACCTTAAATGTTTGATTAGAGTAACAAAGCAATTTGATCCTTTGCTCAACTATAACGGAACAGACAAAAATCATTAAACTTCGCACTTCAAAATATCCGCGCGACAATGTGGCGCCAAAACTTCTTTAATGTATTCAATTTCCTTTTTTCTTTATCGTCACACAATGTTTTCTTCTTATTTTCTCGTCATTTTCCGTTATGATTGGTTCGAATGTTTAGATGCATCGAGTGATGATGACTATGTACTTGGTCATTTGATTTTACAACCCGACGATCCTATTCAGGCACGTTATGAACATGAAGGTCACATTGTGGCATGTATGGGAGAACCAAAAGAAACTCTTAAATGGATAAAACCAAATGGACAAGAAGTTGGAACGAGAGGAAGAATTCATGTTGAAGATTTTGGAAGTGAATTGCGATTGATTTTTGATTTCTTGAAGCTTGAAGATGAAGGCGATTGGATGTGCATTCAAGAAACAGATGGATCGAAGAAAGTGATGACTTTGAAAGTTGTTGGTAAGATTTTCATCATTTAATTTCAAATTTATCTTCATTTTATCCCAATGAACTTGATTTCAGTTCCAATCTCATTCAAACATGTTAAAACAAGTGTCATAACAGCAAAAGAAGGTCATGTCGCAAGCATTCCATGTAAAGTTACTGGAAATCCTGAACCAACAATTCAATGGTTTCATAATGGAAGAAATATTATGGATTATTCAGAGAATGTTAAGTGTAAGTAATTTTTCTCAAACTTTGCTTATATCATAAATTATTTATTCAACAGCTAACGACAAATCCTTTGAAATTCTTCCTTCTGGTTTATTGATTCGTAATGTAAATCGAAATCATTCGGGAGAATATACTTGCAAAGCGTTTCAAATATCTGAAATTAAAGGTGTTGATACAGCAGAACAAACAGTACTACTTGATGTTCATTGTGAGTCTTTTTATTTGTTTAAATTATTATCATTGACAATCCTTAATAATTGTTTATTATTCTCTCAAGATAAACCTTCAATTGTGGGCAGTCATCATCGAACGATGTATGGATTTGTTGAAGGTGAAGTGAACTTAACATGTGAAGCATATGGAGAACCTTTACCTAACTTTAATTGGTATCATAACGGCCGGAAAATCTTTAAGAATTATCATAATGAATACAACTGGTCGGTTTTACGAGTTGAAATCAAATCGAAAGATGATTTTGGTGATTATAAATGCAAAGCAAAGAATGATTTGGGACATGATGACATTTTCATTAAACTCCAAAATGGTTCGAAGCCTAACGTTCCAAAGTTTGAGTTGAAGCAATTAGATTCCGGTAAAATGATTGTTGATTTTGAAGCTAAGATCAATGATAAGAATCGCAAGAAAATGAATGTGAATGGATATCGATTTGAAATGATTCCAAAAGATCTTTTCATGGATGATAATGAATCTTGGGATCGATCATGGATTAAAGATTTTGCTAATGTTAATGACAAAACTGAATACTTATTGGAACCATTGATGGAGAACACAACTTATTTGATAAGAGTTGCTTCTCGTAATGATGCTGGGTTTAGTGATTGGTCAGAAGTCATGGAAATGACAACATTGGAGAATTTTTCTGACAGTACGAATAAATCTCCATGCATTAAATATTCATTATTGCCAACACATCTTGTCACTTTCTATTTCATTCTCAATAAGTTTTTCGGACTTGCTGAATGTTAAATCAAGAAAGTTATCGCTACAATAATTTATGAAAAAATAAATGTGTGTTCAAATCTTAAATAAATTAAGACAATAATTATTCAGCCAAACAGCGTCAAACTTTATGCAATAATCGCGATCGCAACAAATCGTCTATTGATAATTTAAATTGAGTAATCTCCAATAACTTCTTCACTGATCAACATCCCGCTTTGCTAGGTATGAGACATTACAATCATTTGACATTGATCTTGTCCTAAAATCCATTTCAATGTTAATTTACATTAAGTGCGTAAAGAATTAAAAGAAGCTTTTAAATTAAGATCCTGTTCTATATTGAAAATAATCTAACGCTTACATCATTGTGAGAAACAAAGAACAATTTAATTTGATACCTTATAAGATCTCCATGAGCCACAACAATAGTTTATTAAAATTTTCATAATATTAAGGAACTTGTTTTAAAATTAAATAATCCCAACAATTGTTCAAGTTGGAGATTAATTTGAATAATGATGGAATAAGTTTGACAGTAATATCGTTTATTTCTGTCCCACATTTGTTACTTGCAAGATATCACTGTTAATGATGTCACATGAAGTTGTTTTATATAAAATTATCTTACAAATATTTAAAAAGCTTCTAGATCAATAAAAATAAAATATAAAAAGTTTAAATTGAAGTTGACATCATTTTTGAACAGCACACATCATCTAAATAATCCAGATCAGTAACTATAAAGCATCATGATTATTTCTGGATTGATTCGGAAGAACAAAAGAACACAAAACCGAAAATGATATTGAAACAAGTCAACTTGACAATTAACGCCCTTGAACTAGAAAAAAAGCTGAAAGATTTCGCTTTCATTCTATACTTGATCCACCAACAGCTTAGATTTCATTTCATTTAGTATAAAAGGATTCCAAGTTTCTTTCCAAACCATCAGTCACTTTAAAATCGTTCAGAAGATATCATTAAAAAATCAAAGCAAGCCAAAATGTACAAGACAGTAAGTTTTGGCAGTAATAAAAAATGTGAAAATATTAAAATAATTCTTTTTAGTTGATTGTTGTTTTTGCCATCATCGCCGCTGCACTTGCTGGCGTTCCTGGGGAAAGACAGGAAAGACAAGCTGTATACAGCACTTATGGTGGCTATGTTGCTTCACCATACGCTTATAGTGCTTCTCCATACGCATATTCTTCAGTATATCCTGCTGTCTCAGCTTATTCTGGTTATCCATCATACAGTGGTGTTTATAATGTTCCAGCTGTTCGTTATTTGTAAAGAGATTTGATCCATAATTGACGACCATACATTGCTTTCACCTTTATTGCTTAACGCGAAAACTTCATTTTAATAATAAAAGAATTAATTAAAAAAAGAATTAAATTGTTATGTTTGATTTTCCTCCTGACGTTCACTAGTGAACAAATTTAAATTGATTTAGAATCGACAACTCGATGAGCTGATGTGTTAGGAAACCTTACAAATGTTTCATATTCAAACTTTTCTATGGCTTTGAAAGCTTTTCTTTCTTCGAGCTTTCAGTTTCGTTAAAGTTCAGAGAAGCTTTATAATGTTCGTGTTGTTATTCTTTCGTCAAGATAAGAAGTAAATTTTAAAATCATAGAAAAATTCTAATATTGTTAAAAAAATTCTTCAATCCAGTTCTTCAATAAATTCACAACACCAAATGTAGATAGTTTAAGTGTTTCCACTTTCAATAGGCTTCACACATAAAAGAAATCAAAGAATATCAATTAGAAATGCTCTTGAGAATTGCAAAAATAGTTTTAGCAATTGTTTTGAGTTTTTCATTTACATTTTCTCTGTGGAAAATTATTATCTGTATACATGAAAATTATTTCACTGAGTTTAATGAAGTTGAAAGTTGGTTAAACGAAAATAATTTGGGACAATATAAACATCTTTTTCACGAATTCGGTAAGTGAACTTTTCAATAGATTATTTACTGAAAGCATTGTCATTTTTTTTACAAATCCTTGACATGAATATCAATAATGTTTCGGCATGACATTCTCGAAAGTTTTCGTGTTGCTACTTTTCGTGATGAAAATGTTCATAGAGTGGTAACTCTGATTCCATAACACTGTAAACAAAATTCATGGCATGAGATAATCAAGCAAAGTTCTGCAATTTTCTTTTTATTCATTTTTACAATTTATGTTTTGCTGTAAACTGTCGTTCACGCTTATCAATAAAATTTAATTAACCATTTATGGAAATAGTTTCACGGACAATTATGACCCAACAGGTTAAAATAATCCTGATTACAAGACAAAACTTTGACCACTTCAAAACTTACAAAATTATCACCTTTTTATGGTGATTTAACAAAACACTTGGAACTTTCTTTAATTCCCTCGATTTTTGCCTTAATGTGATTCAACAGTGATAAATGTTTGATGTTTTATTATTCAAATTACTTTTGTGGCACGCTCGCCTTTTTTGACGTCGAAATAGAATGATAAACATAATTATTAACATTTGCGACTTTTACAAAGTGAACAACAAATATTTATGCGTGTGCTTTGGAATGCGCAAGACAGTTTTTATTTACACTCAACGACATGAGAAATAGCGGCTCTTAAACTTATCAGATAACTTTGAATATTTGTTTGAAAATTGAAATCAAATCCTTTCGTGAAGATGATTGAAAAGCAAAACTTTTATTCATAAAAATCACAATGAAAAGCACTTAAACATGAAAAGCTTTGCAGCAATAAAAACTTTTCATCGACAATGTTGAGAGAACAAAGTCACGTGGCTGTGTAGTAAATGTTTGAATGTATTGAAGGAGCACGCGGTTATCTCTTCTGTGCTTTTAGCCTTTGGTTTCGGAAAAAAATGAGAGAAAACTTTTCAGTCTCGAAAAGCTGTTCCGATGAAATAGACGAAAAGTTCACGCAGAGAAAAGCCTTTGGTTCATTTTTTCTGACGCCCTAAAATTATTGGAAAAGTCTTTAAATTTACAAGTAAAATTTAAGCTTCTTAACTTAAATAATTGATTTAAGATAAAAAATAAATTGTAGTTGATTTAGTGTTTCTTGTTATTAGTGATTGATTGACTTTAGTAAAGTTATATGACTTGAATTAAAAATTTAATAAAAATATTCCACCAAAATAGAAGAAAGTGAAGATTTTTGACAAGCTGAATTCCGTCACTTAAATAATTGTGATAATATAAACAGCAAAAGTAATATTTTAAATTTGTCATGAAGAAACTTGAAATCAGGGAACAGATTAATAAATTCTGTGATGTTTTACATAATTCCACTGTACACAAAATAAAGACGTAATGAGAAAAGCTTCTGTGGAAAACCTTAGAAACGAAAAGCGTCTAAACATAAGTGAAACAACATTTGAAAACAAGAAAATTTCTACCTGAAGAGAAATTTCAAGTGCATTGTTGTCGCTTCCTAAGAGAAAATATAAAATATTGATTACTTAACCTAGTAAGGAATCGTGTAATCGTGTACACTTGTTAATTCAATAAGTATGGAGACATTAAATTGAGTGGAAAAATCGTTCAAATTGTTTCGATTTAAAATTCATAATTCAAAGTTACAAGAAGCAATAACATTTACATATCTTCATATTTATCTTCCGTCCCTCTCCACATGAAGTTATAAAGCATCCAAATATAATACTTCACAAAAGAAAGAATTTTATTATTTATCAATCATTCGCTCGTTTCCCGACGGAAAAAGCGTGGAAAATAAAAGCTTCGTGTGTTCATGGAGTTTGAAACGACTTTTGGCGTGTTAATGTTTAATATATTTCCTGGAACTTGAATGACATTTAAAGCATTTTCTTAACTGTCCAAGTCACTAAGCTAAATATGATTAAATGAGAAAATAAAAACGAGCCTTACAAAGAGAAATTCTAAGTTGATTAATGTTAAAATGTGGTCACCAGATTCAGAAATAAATTCCATTGGAATGACCGTTCGTCATTCTATATCATCGTCTTCTGGTGAGTTTATAACGTTAATAAAATCCTTCATTACTTTCACTATGACTGCTTTGCTTCTTTTTTCTTTATGTAGTCAAACATAGTTTTATGACATGACACAAAATTTTATTTTATTATCTTTTCTGTTAGTTACAAATATTTGAGGTGACGACTTTAAGGAAAAAGTCTCGACTACAAAGTGAACTTTTTTATGTATATCTACATATCTAGTAAAGTTCCATTGGCAAACGTCCAAAAAACGATGTCAAATTTGATAAAGCGAGAGATATCATAGCATATAAAAATTATTTCTGTTCATGCAGTTAAACTTTTATGTTCTTCATTGATCGATAAATTTAATTCCTTTTTTTTTGGTCCACCTTCAACTACAAACTACAAAATATTCATTGTTCAATTTTGAAATTCTCCTAGGAATATCATCATTGTCGAGTTGTGGAAATCCTCATGCTCTTCCAGAATTACCACCAGGCGATGAACATCGACTTCAGAGAGCCGCATTAACATTACAACAGAAGTTAATCTTAAGAGAATGGCTGAAAGAAAATCGTCTTCAAAGTCATTACTCAAGATTAATTTCAATAGAAGTGACGAGTCTCGAAGATGTTTATTGGTTGGAAGATTCACGAGCAAGTCAAATTTTAGGAAAAGATTTTTCAGCATGGAATCGCGCTCGACAAAAACTTCCAACATCAAAAGCACAGTTGGAAGTTTTAAAAGCAGAATTGTGGTCGACAGTTGTAAAGACTTCAAACCACAAAGATGCTTGGACTTATGGTGGAATGCTTGTTGTGTCGGTCAGTGTTGCTGGGTTGGTAACATTAGGTAAATAAAAAAAAGTTTTTTGCTTAATTAATTTTTGATGAATTCTGATTTTTTTTAAAACAGCTGCAATGACTCAACCATCACTTGCACCAGAAGCTCGTCATTCTCTCTTACAATACGTCACTGGAAAATATTTATTGCCTGCCAATTGTCGAGTTGAATGGCATTTTGAAGATCCTTCAATCGTTGGTAGGACGATGAGTTTCACCGTTCGATTCTATCAAAGAAATGGCAATGCTTATCCAATCTGTGATACTGATCAGTTCTTTGTGGAAGTTGCTTCTGAAGGTGCGAAGAAAGTTGTGGCAATTAGTGAGCTGGGATCGTCAACAAATCCCAACAATGCCAATGAAGCAAAAGTAAAATTCACTGTTCGAACTGCTGGTCAATATAAAATCTCAATTATGATTGGATCAAGTCATATTGCTGGCAGTCCCTTCACAAAGACATTCATGCCAAGTTCAATATCGCCAACACGTTCTCGCTTGATTCGTCCCGCTAGCATTGTCGTTTGTCAAGAAGGATTGCCAAACCTTTTGTATGTCGAACCTCGTGATGAGTTTGGAAACATTTGCAGTTACGACACTGACGTTGATCCCACGAAAGGTTATTTTGTTGAGATATTTGATTTGAACGATCAACCTTGTGAGAAATTCAACAGCGCGATAACGTTGAGTTACGACAAAGTCAATTTACGTGTCAACGTTATAGCATTATTCCCCGAGCCAATCAGCTTAAGGGTTCGCATCCTTTACGAGGGTCAACTCATACCCAACGCATTATTTGATTTGATTGTTTTAAGCTCGTGTGACACGACACTCGTTCATAAAAACATTGCTTCTAGAAAGCTTGCCATTTATGATGCCAAATTGTTGAGTATTGCGGGTGATGTGAAGTCGAAACCACGTAAAGTTTTATGCTACATCGGCCCAAAACAATTTACAATTAAAGAAATGATATTGAAGATTATTCCTAAACGTGTTGCAACGTTTCGTCTTTGTCCGTCCACGAAAGTAAGTGAAGGGAAAACTTTTCAATTTCTTTTCTTAATTTCAATTATTAAACTTCCCAGATTCAATTCCTTCCTAACGTTTCATCGCCCACACAAAAAAATTCAACGAACGGAGCTGTTTTCATAATTGATGATGGCTCGCAGCCAAAAATTGAACTTTCATCGAAGGATCGAAATCTTATAGCGGCAACGTTCACACATTTTCTTATTAAAAATATTGGCGGATCGGAAACTTTCAAAGATAAACAAGATTTCTTCTATCACGAAGTTCGAAAATTTCATTCAAATTGTTATCACGAAAAGCTTGCATTGAAAGTTCAACGTGAAAGAATTTTAGAATCGAGCATGAAGGCGACGAAAAATTTTTCCGGTAATTTTCCTTCTATCAATTTTATTTATTAAAGTTAAATTTCAAGCTTTTTTGCACAGTTTCAGATTGGTGTGGGAATTTTGAAGTTATTTTCCAAGGTGAACAAGGTAAATCACGATAAGAATTTTAAATGAAAGTCCGCAGATATTTCACATTTTATGAGAATTTCAGGAATTGATTGGGGTGGTCTTCGACGTGAATGGATTGAGTTAATATGTTCAGCTTTATTTGAACCAAAAAGTGGATTATTTTGTACTTTCCATGATAAACGCCAAGCTTTGGTCCATCCAAATCCTTGCCGTCCGTCAAATCTTAAACTCAAATATTATGAATTTGCTGGAAAAGTTGTTGGAAAATGTCTTTATGGTGGGAAAAAGAATATTTTTGAAGATTTTAATTAAATTAATGAAATGTTCTCTCAATAGAAAGTGCACTCGGATCATCATACCGACAATTAGTTCGTGCACGATTTACTCGTTCATTCTTAGCTCAGCTCATCGGTTTGCGAGTTCATTACAAACATTTTGAGCAAGATGATCCCGATTTATATTTGCAAAAGATTAAATACATTCTAGACACCGACCTCGATCGTAATGAAAATGTTGAAATATACTTTGTTGAAGAAGTTTACGATACAATGGGACAATTGGTGAAGACAATTGATCTCATTCCAAATGGATCTAAGATAAGAGTTCGCAATTCAAATAAGAATCAGTATCTCGATGCTCTTGCAACTCACAGACTGTCAAACAATGTGAAGGAAGAAATCGACAGTTTTCTGAAAGGATTAAATCTCATCATTCCAGATAATCTCTTAAGCATATTTGATGAAAATGAACTCGAGGTACTTTCTCTTCATGAAATGTTTGCCCTTTTTTTTCTCTTAATCTTTTGATATCTTTAAGCTTCTGCTTTGTGGGACTGGTGAGTATTCGATTGCTGACTTTAAAGCCAATCATATCGTCAATGGTGGAAGTGCTGAGTTTCGCAAAGTTTTAGGTAAGTTTTCACATAAATCGTCTCTGGGGAGAAATTTTCTATTTCTATCCAACAGACTGGTTTTGGGTTGCTGTAAGTAACTTTTCTCAAACGGAAATGGCACGATTGTTACAATTTACAACAGGATGCAGTCAGTTACCTCATGGAGGTTTTCAAGTGAGTTGGGAATTGAATAAAATGAAATAAAATTTATTTGAAATTCTTTTACATTCGTTTCGAAATGTTTAAACAGGAATTGAATCCAAAATTTCAAATAACTGCAGCACCAACGTTTGCCAATCGCTTGCCAACAGCCCACACATGTTTCAATCAATTGTGCCTGCCAGACTATGAAAGTTATGAACAATTTGAGCGAGCATTGATTATTGCAATAAGTGAAGGCAACGAAGGATTTGGAATGAGTTAAATATCCGAGAAATATTTTTTTAAAACGACTAAGAAAAAGTTAAATGTAAAAGTTTTCATTTTTGCCATTTTATTTAATTTAATAGTGCAATGCCTTTGCATGATAATTTAATGTGTAATAACAAAGTTATAAGTAGTTGAATATAAAAATATGTTGCAAATGTCGCAATCTCATTGAACTTAAGGAATTGCAGAAGAGAATTGAAAATTAGTTATTAGATTACGATGTTTAATTAAATAATCTAGAAATGTCGCCAAATTTAAGAAAGGATGAAAGTTAGAAGAATGAATTCAGTTATTAATTCCATAATTTGCTTGGCATTGTGTAATTTACTGTGATATGAAAACTAAAAAATAGTTAATTGAATAGTCAAGAAGTGACATTAAAAACCCCAAAAATTAAGAAAAAAGTGAAATTAGCAATAAAAGTGAAAATATTTTGAAAGTTTAGAATCTTTATCGATCATCGTGGTGACTATTTGACAAATATTTGACGTCATTTGACATTTACATACAGTTCGGATGCTTTTTCACTAAGTAAACGCAACAAAATCTGACGAAATTAACGTCACATTGTCACTCTGTCTCTGCCATATATTTTATTGTGTAGTTGCTTAAATGAATGAAATTTAAGTTTAATTCACAAAATATTTAAAGAAAGAAAAACTTAGAATTAAGTTAATCAATAACCGTAGACATGAATAATCAAACTGACGTTCACTTAATCTCAAAAAACTTTATTTTATCGACATTTATGATATTTATCGTCGTTGGAGACATTTGGAAAGCATCCCTAAATGATGTTTTGCTGTTTTTGTAGTCTAAGTGAACGTCAGTAATAACCAAAGCAATGAACAATGAGGTTGAATTGATAGAAAATTGTGATTGCCAATGTTTCTACAATTAAATAAAGCTAAATGAAAAAAAAAGTAGAAAATTTAACTTGAAGAATTTTTATTTCCTATTTCAGATATTCAGACATTTACAATGTTACATCGTCAGACTTTACACTTCACACACAATGCAAATGAAGCAATGAGTTGTTATCGTGAAACTTGTTCAGCTCGTTCCTTCCTTGAATAATCAAGACAGACACAGAAATTTTCTGTAACTTGCGCATCGTTGCGTGTGTCGATTGAATTTAACTTGTGAGAATCTTTGAGTCGTTTTTGATCAATTTCTGTGAGCAACATAAAATATTAAATTGAATATTTCCGTCTTAATCTTCTTCCTAATGCAACGAATTTTATTCATTTTCGAGTTTTTTATCACGCTGAGTGCTTCAAGTGACGTGTGCTATGATAAAATCTCAAATAGTTCCGAAGCTGTCACAGCATTAATCTTAGCAAGAGGTGGTTCGAAGGGCATCAAGTTGAAAAACATTCAAAGAATCGATGGCGTAACGTTGCTAGGAATTTCTTTGACAGAACTTCAACAAGCAAATAAGTTTGATACGATTTGGGTATCAACTGATCATCAAGATATTGCAGATGAAGCCGAAAAATGTTTGAATATTTATTTTGAAACTTCATCTTTAAAGTTAATTTGGCATTTCTTGTTTTCAGATAATGTAAACGTTCATTGGAGGGATCCACAAACAGCACTTGATGGGACTTCGTCGATAGAATCTGTGCAAGAATTTCTAAATTATCATCCCAATGTCGCTAAACTCGCGCTCATTCAATGCACATCACCATTCATAAATCAAAAATACATTCGAAGGGGAATCAAAAAGTTTTCGAATCATCATTGCGTCTTCTCTGTCAAAAGAAGCTTCAATCTTCGTTGGAAGTTTGACAAGAAAAGTAAAAGAATTTTTCCGATCAATTTTGAGATCAATAAAAGGCCTCGAAGACAAGATTGGAGTGGTGAGAATAAAAATTCTTTTAACGTAGTCTGTGATGATGATTTTATTATTAAAATTATTAGGAGAACTCGTTGAAGCTGGAATGTTTTACATGAGCTCAGTTGGTCTACTAAAACGAGGATTATTTCAAAATGAGAGGCGTGTACAAAATTTTACCTTTAGAATAATAAATACCATCAATTAATATATTTCAGATGCGGCGTTGTTGTCATAAAATCAGAAGATTCCTTGGAAATTGACAATCCAATTGATTTGGAGATTGCACGATTGCTTATTATGAAGAGATATTCCAATATCCGATATTAATTTTATTATTAATAAATTTCAATTCAAAAGGAAATCACATTTTTAAATTACAATCACTGTAATAATTTAATTAAATAATATATTTTGGAAACTTCAAAAAAATATTGATTGCTTACCTTCACACAGAAAATTATGAATATTTAATCGAATCTGTTAAAGATTAAACACGTCATGAATGAAAGCGATAAAAACACGAAGTCAATGTAAACATAATGCGCGGATAGTCATAAAAATCGAACATTTTGTTTCTCTGCTTTCAGATATTATTTCTTTATTACGTTTTAGATTTCTTTATGAACGATTACACGTTAACAGGAGCAATGCTTGAAAATGTTGGCTGTTAAGCTTTCTGAAAACTTTCGTCAGAATTCTTCCTTGAACGTTGTTAAAGTTATCGTGGAATGTGCCATGTCTGAGTTTTGTATATTTAATTGTTCTCAATTATTAAAGGAAATATTATTTAATTATTAATCTCAAAACATTATTCAAAACAAGAAACATTTCATTAAAAACGACTTTGTCACTTAATTTTACTTACTCAAGGTCATGTAAAAAGCAAATTAAGGCATAAGCACCTTAAAACTGCGAAAAAAAAATCAAAAAGCAGGAGAAAAAAATTTTTAATGACCTTAAAAGTGCTACCATCCCCACTTTATTGAGCACTCAAAAATATTGATCAGATCGCTACTCGATTGATTATTCAGTTGTTTCAAAGAAGCTTCACGGAGAAGAAAGAGAGATAAAAAAACGAGATCTTAAAATTAAAATTCAATGTCAAGAAAAAAGTTTTTTTCGTCAAGTGTAGTCAACGAGAAACGTTAAAAATTCACAAAATAAAAGAGTGAAAGTCAATTTCAGTTTTACCTAAGAAAATGGTTGAAATTTTGCGAAATTTTATATTTAATACAAAGAAAAAGAAACTTTTTTGGCTTTTTAATTAGAATCGTCGACATGAAATTCCCAAGGAAATTCCTAACTTATATACCTACACAAAACGAAAAAGAATTTCGAGCATATGCTGATCGTGAAAACAGAAAAGAAATTTTCATCATAGATGCACGAGAAGAGAGATTCAAAAATTCGCTGAAACGTCATATCTCGGTGATCTACGAGAGAGCTATAATATATTTTATCAACCAAATTTAAAAGTAGTTTTCAGATGCTATAATTTTGATCTCACATCAAGCGGTTGTTAGTTGTGCCAAATAAGCTGTCGCGATCGCACGAACATACAAGAAACGGTTGTGAAACGGGGAAAAAGGAAAATTATTATTAAGTTTTGTTATAATCTTTCAACCATAAGATGGAAAATTTAGAAGAAGTTGCGTCACATTTACAGCGATTTACGCATTTCGATTATGTGTTCTTCGTGTCGATGCTTTTCCTATGCATTCTTATCGGCATATATTTTGGCTTTGTGAAAAAGAAGGATGCAGATGCCGAGAGTGAATATTTAATGGGCGGAAGGAAGATGAGTGTCTTTCCCATCTCATTATCTTTAATTGCAAGGTAAACAAGTGGAACAAGTGAATTAAGAAAGAAAAAATCAATCAACATTTATTTTGTGATTCAGTTTCATATCGGGAATAACATTGTTGGGACTTCCGACTGAAGTTTATTTACATGGAATTCAATATGTTTACGTATCATTAGGTGTCATATTTATGGGCTTCGTTATGAGCGTGTTCTACTTACCAGTCTTCTATGGCCTTCAAATAACATCATCTTATGAAGTGAGAATCTTTTTATTTCGTAAAAACTTTCCATGACCTCGAGAAAATTTAAAAAGTGAATTAGATGCAAAATGAGTTAAATTTGTATTTATGTTTGGACAATTACCTTTGATTGAATGATTGTTGTTCTAATGACACATGAATTTTATACATTCACATCATATGCTGATTTATGATGATCAACAATCTTCTTCTTCTGTTTTATTTATTAAAAACTAAGTAAATTTAATTTCATTCTGTGACAAATTTTTATTGCGTCAACTGTTTGCTGATTCATCTTTTTCTTTTTAGTATTTAGAGATGCGGTTTAATCGAAGCTTGAGACTATTCGGAAGTATAATGTTCAGCATCATGAACGTATGTACGTTGAAGTTTTCTGCTTAGTTTAATGCTTTTCTTCCTTGCAACTGTGAAGCATGTGCTTGAAAATGCAATCAAGTTCAAGGAGTACGTAGAAAAGCGACTGACGAAAATCTGCCGACAAAAAAGAAGGCAAAGCATGATTTGAAAAGTTGCCAAAATTTCTTTTTTTTCGTTGACGACATTAGCGCCAAAGCAAATATTTCGCATTTCATTCATTGCAATGATGATTCGTATATTAAATCATCATCATTTCCATTCATGATACTTCAAAGAAATTAAAGAAAATTTTATTTTTCCTTCCAGTTTATCTTCCGATTGTTGGTAAGCTAAAAATAAATAAAGAGTTCCAACAAAATTTTGTAATTTTCCATATTTTTCTTCTTGTTTATTTATTTTTAAATCTTTTTAAGTTTATGTTCCAAGTTTGGCATTCAATCAAGTGACGGGAGTCGATGTTCATATAACCACGTGGTTCGTCGTTTTTGTTTGTGTTTTCTACACATGTATTGTGAGTTGATAAGATTTTGCAATAAATTAAAGCTCATCATTAATTAATCAACATTCAAGGGAGGTTTGAAAGCTGTCGTGTGGACTGATGTCGTTCAAACATTCTCAATGTTCACAGCTTTAGTTATTGTTGCTATAAAAGGAACAATGGACTTGAAAGACGGCGGATTTGGGAAGGTCATGGAGGATGCTTATAAAACCAATCGATTGGAGCCTCCAATGTGAGCTAATTAGAGCAATTTATGTTAATTAAATATTATTAAAAATTAACTTTCAGTCTCGATGTTAATCCACTTTTAAGACATACTTTATGGAGTCAACTTTTCGGTGGTGTTTTCTATTGGGTTCAAGTAAATCATCATTTAAATATTTTAATAAGAAACTTAGTAATAAATTTATTTATTTCTCAGACAAATGCAGTGTCACAAAATATGATTCAAAGATATCTTTCACTACCTTCATTCAAAGCTGGTGTTCATGCTGTTTGGATATTTGTCACTGGTGTTATTGTTCTAATGTTTTTGTGCTCTTATAATGGTCTTCTCATGTATTCAACTTATAAACATTGCGATCCATTAACAACAAAACTAGCTAAAGCTAAAGGCATGAAAAATTGTTCCTTTAAATCATTTTATTAAATAAATTAATTTTCTAGATCAAATGTTGCCACTTTTCGTGATGGAAACACTTGGCGAATATCCTGGCTTAAGTGGAATGTTCATAGCTGGTGTTTTTTCTGCTGCTCTTAGTTCTCTTTCAACATGTCTTAATTCAATGTCAGCTGTGGTGTTGGAAGATTTTGTCAAACCATTTACTAAGCAACCTTTAACTGAACGTGCCATTAATTGGATTATGAGATCGGTTGTTGTTGTGATTGGAGTTTTATGCATTTTTATGGTTTATGTTGTGGAGAAAATGGGAACAGTTTTACAATTAACGATGAGTCTTGAAGCAATCACAAATGGACCGCTGTTTGGAATCTTCTCAATTGGCATTTTCCTTCCTTGGCTCACATCTGAGGTAAATTAAAACTTAAACCTTGTTTGAACTCTTAACGAGACATTTCCCTTTTCAGAGTGCATTAATTGGTGGAATTAGTGGAGTGATTGTGATGTCGTGGATTAGTTTAAATGCCCAATGGGCCATTGCTTCCGGGAACATGCATTTTGAGCCAAAGGAATTAGCATCTGATCAATGCTATTACACTTTTACACCTTCAAATTCTTCAATATTTCAAGGACCAACTGAAGAGTATCACGATTTATATAAAATTTCTTACATGTGGTGAGTTGTTGAATTTTAATTCCAATGAGATTGTCAGTTATTGTTGGACTAATTGAATAATTTTAGGTATACAATGTTCGGTGCAGTGTTCACGATCATTGTCGCAATGTTCTGTTCGATATTTTATGGCTTCAATGATGCACAAAAAATTCCATCAAACCTTGTAACGCCATGGTTGAGGAAATTCATCTACAGAAACAATGAAAAACCTCAAATGAAATCAGTGGCTGTGAAAGCTGAGGATACAAAACTTTGATAAAAAACTGAGGATAAAAAAGAAAAATGAAATTATTTAGATAAAGAAGAAATTTTTATTTCTTTTCGTAAACGTTGAAGTATTAAAAATAATTTTTAAACAAAACATTTCTTTTATGATCGTTCGCGCTTTCTTTTGCTTGTTTTAGTTTTTCTTTTGTGTCTTCTCTCGTAGTCTGAAGAATATTTTCGAGAGTCTGAAGATGAAGAATATCTTCGCCTTTGCTGCTTGGACTTCTTCTTATGGCTTCGGTAGTTATCAGAGCTTGATGATCGTGATCGTCGCTTTTTCGATCGTTTCTCGCGTGATCGACTCCTTCCACGATATTTTTGTATATTAGATGAATTTTCTGAAACATCGCGTTCTCTTCTATCTTTTGATTTATTTTTTTGTCTGCTTTTATGGTCAACTCTTGAATGGTTCCTTGAAGGTTCTTCTGTTTGGTGGTGGTTTTCTGATGTTGTCGACGTTTTCAAACTTGAATTTTCAGACACTTTTGAAGTCGTTTCGCCACTTTTAAATTCTTCATATTTTTTAGAATCTTTAAAGAAAATTTCCCAAATTTTATTTTTAAATTATAAAAAATTCAGTTGAAATAAATTTAACTAACTCACTAAGAATTTTTCCGTATTTAGCAAATTCTTGTTTCGCTACTGGTTGTAACATAAATTCATTGATTGTGAATTTTAAACCTCCTATTGCAAGTTTCACGATAACTCTGCCGCCTCCATCATCAAAGCCTTCTATCTGAAAAAAATATTTGTTATTGTTTTAGAAACGAAATGATTTCTATTTAGAAAAGCTTAAATAGGATTAGGCAATCTATGTAGAGTTTACGTATGCATCAACTCCACTAGTCCAAATTAGCTGAGCGTTATAAATTAAAATAAGCTTTTCATTGTATTAATTGAAAAAATGAGAGGAATGTCCAACTTGAGAGACCACAAACTGTAAGTTTTTGAACGATAAGAAATATTAGTGATAAGATATCAGTAATTCTTGACTCGCACTTCATACACACTTCTTCATCTTGAGGGTTACAGTTTAATGAATTCTTTATCGAATCAAAGATAAAGACAAAAGTGTGCCATTTGAAACAAAACCAAAGAAGGGAATTTGCAGTTACAATCAGTCACTTTTCAGAGTTCGATTTGGAAAGATTTAAACTAAAAATGGAAGAAGTTCAACAACATACACAACTAATCAATGGTTATGTAACGGAAAATGGCGAAAGTCATGAAAAGGCGACAGTTGATGAACCTCCCAAGTTTGAAGTTCCTAAAGCGACCTTGAAGGAAATTGTTGTGACTGATTACATGAGAGAATCTTTAGATAAAGTTGCAATCGCTGAAGGTTTTAAGAATTATGACGTGAAAGTTGATCATGGATCAGGTGTGGGTGATGGTTTTGTTGGAATTTTATTCAAAGTGACGATTCAAGAGATCGACAGTGACAAAAATCTTATTGTTGTGTTGAAATCTCCACCAGATAATGAAACGAGACGAATTCAATTTGGTTCAATGGAATTATTTGAACGAGAAGTCTTTATGTATAACGAACTTCTGCCAGAATTTGTCAAGTTTCAGGAAGAAAAGAAGATCAGCAAGTCAATGGGTTTCTTTGACTTTCCGAAATGCTATTTTGCCGATTATAGTGCTGAGAGAGATCAGTCGATAATTATCATGGAAGATTTAAGAGAAAATGGTTATAAATTATGGGACAAATTCACACCAACAAATTATGAACATGCGAGATTCTTAATGGATGCACTTGGACGGTTCCATGCAATTTCATTCGCAATGAAAGCACAAAAACCGGAAATTTTCAATAGATTCAAAGAACTTCACGATCATCTTACGGATAAAATGACAGAACCGAATGTGGCTCAAATGATGATGCAAAATGTTGATCGAGCTGCAGGGACAATCGATGATCTTGATATCAAAAAGAAAAACCGAGTTTTGAAGTTAAAAGAATTCACAACTTTCTTAGGTGAATTAACAAGTCCATTAAAAGCAGAACCTTATGCAGTAGTTAGTCATGGTGATTGTTGGTCAAACAATTTTATGTTCCTTTACAGAGTAATTGAAAGAAACATCTGATTTTAAAATTTCTATTCATTTGAATTATTTCTTTAGGGCGGACGACCAGTGAAAATTTGTCTCCTCGATTGGCAAATCTCTCGATATTGTTCACCAGTTTTGGATTTACTTTATTTCTTCTTTGTATGCACCGATGCCGAATTACGCGCGAAACATTATGATGAACTTTTGAATGTTTATCATAAATCATTGAAAGATTTATTAGATCATTTGGGAGGCGACACAATGACGCAATTCCCTCTCACTGCCCTTCTTCGTCAATTGAAACAATTTGGAAAATTCGGGCTGACGATGGCATTGTTTTTAGTTCCAATGTTGATGACCAAAAATGAAGACCTTCCAGATATGGACTTTATGTCTGAAAACATGAAGGATCCAGATCCAGTTATGATGGAAGAAATGATGAAAGCATTTATGCAGCAAACAGAAGCAAAGTACAGGCCAAGAATGCGAGGCTTGTTAACTGATGCTTTGCGTTTTGGTTATCTGTGAAACTTTTTCGTTGATAACAATTGGAATTTTATGATGACAATTATAAAAATAGAGCAATAAAAATCAATAGAAAAAATGTCGAAGTTATACGATTGCAAAGTTCAAATAGATTCTGTGTGTGTGTTTACAATACATTTCACTTTTCAGAAAACAAGAAATATTTATTTGCTTATCACTATCAGATGAAGTTCGACAGTTTTTTCAGTTTCAGTGACGAACGAGATTCTAAACTTTCAGTTGATCATAAAAGTATTTTTGTCGTGAGATTAAGCGAGTTTGTTGGTGATTTCTCTAACTTTATAGTATAATTTTTATTGATATTCAAGGACATCTTATCACAAATATTATAAGATACAAACACGTTAACTATGATTTATATATAAGTAAACGTCCAAGACGTGGGATTGTCAAAAAGCATTAAAATTTTACTACGATAAAAAAGCATAAATGATACGATATCAGTGATTTTCGACTCACACTTCATACAAATCTTGAGGGTTACAGTTTAATGAATTCTTTATCGAATCAAAGATAAATACAAAAGTGTGCCAATTGAAACAAAACCAAAGAAGGGAATTTGCAGTTACAATCAGTCACTTTTCAGAGTTTGATTTGGAAGGATTTAAACTAAGAAATGGAAGAAGTTCAACCACAAACGCAACTAATCAATGGTTATGTAACGGAAAATGGCGAAAGTCATGAAAAGGCGACAGTTGATGAACCTCCCAAGTTTGAAGTTCCTAAAGCGACCTTGAAGGAAATTGTTGTGACTGATTACATGAGAGAATCTTTAGATAAAGTCGCAATCGCGGAAGGTTTTAAGAATTATGATATAAAAGTTGATCATGGATCAGGTGTGGGTGATGGTTTTGTTGGAATGTTATTCAAAGTGAAGATTCAAGAGATCGACAGTGACAAAAATCTTATTGTTGTGTTGAAATCTCCACCAGAAAATGTCACAAGACGAATTGAATTTGGATCCATGGACTTGTTTGAACGAGAAGTTTTTATGTACAACGAACTTCTGCCAGAATTTGTCAAGTTTCAGGAAGAAAAGAAGATCAGCAAGTCAATGGGTTTCTTTGACTTTCCGAAATGCTATTTTGCCGATTATAATGCTGAGAAAGATCAGTCGATAATTATCATGGAAGATTTAAGAGAAATTGGTTTTAAATTGTGGGACAAATTTATTCCAACAAATTATGAACACACCAAACTTTTAATGAGTGCACTTGGACGATTTCACGCAGTTTCATTTGCAATGAAAGCACAAAAACCAGAAATCTTCGAGAGATTCAAGCAGCTTTCTGACATCCTGACAAAGAAAATAGTGGACGCTTCATTCTCAGATATGATGAATCAAAGCCTCGATCGAGCTATTGGGACAATCGAAGATTTCGATATCAAAAAGAAGAACAAACTTATTCATATAAGAGAAAATTTAGCAAACGTGATGATACATTTGACAAATTCAGCTGAAACAGAACCTTATGCAGTGATAGGTCATGGTGATTGCTGGTCGAATAATTTTATGTACTTATACAAGGTAAATTAGTATTAAAAAATTATTATTTTACAAGTTATTATTAAAATATTTTTTCAGAGTGGAAGACCAGTTAAAATTTGTCTTCTCGATTGGCAAGTCTCTCGATATTGTTCACCAGTTTTGGATTTGGTTCATTTCATATTTAGTTGCACTGATGCCGAATTACGCGCAAAACATTATGATGAACTATTGAACATCTACCATAGATCATTGAAAGATTTATTGGACCATTTGGGAGGCGACACAATGACGCAATTCCCTTTCACTGCTTTTCTACGTCAATTAAGGCAATATGGAAAATTCGGTCTAGTGATGGCAAGCTTTATGGTTCCAATGCTTTTGGTCAAAAATGAAGACCTTCCAGACATGGACTTTATGTCTGAAAAAATGAAGGATCCAGATCCAGCTCTGATGGAAGATTTGATGAAACAATTTTTGGCTTACACCGAAGCACTATATAAGCCGAGAATGCGGGCTTTGATAAGCGACGCCTCACGATATGGTTATTTATAGGAAAAATATTATTATAGAACCGAAGCGTGTGTCGAATTTCATGTATTCCAATAAAATTTGTTCATTCTTTTGTCTCAAATAATCTGAGAGACTTTATCAGTAGAGGGAATGTTGTTAACAATTTGTTTTTGGAAAACATACGACTAGTAAACACTTCATAAAAGCACTGTTTGAGTGACTGGGCAATACCTAGGAAGAAACTTGTGTTGTAATCGTTTTTCTTTTGAATCTTTGAAACAAAAATAAATTTCAAATTTAGCTCCATTTAAGGAAGAAAATGTTTAATCTGGATGAACAAAGCAGTGTGAGTTATCTTATCGAAATTTCCATTTGGAGAATGCAATGAAATTATTTCCTCATTTTTTGATGAAAGTCAATAGTAAGATTTTTCTAGAATAAGTAGATGCAAGATCATTGTTTTAAATATTGTTTGCAAAATCTGATCGAGAATTGAAAATGAATAAAAAAGTGTGAGAGAGACAGTTGCGAAGATTTCCGATCGATTCTCATCACATGAACTGCCCCTCGATCCAACACATCAAACATTTACGCACACTACAATATTAACTTGATGCCAATTAATCTGCGAATCAACAAAACTATAAACTACCTAAATGGTTTAAACTTATCTTATCAAAAGTCAAGTGAAGATAATTCAGTTCTTAAAAATTAAATTAGTGTTGTTCTATCACTCGTGAACAAGTCAAAAATGGAGAAAGCCGAACTGCCAAATCATTTGAAAGAAGCAATAAAAATATTTTCGGAGAAAAATGGATTTGTGAATGCAGAGTATAATTTTAGTGAAGGATTTGATAAAGGTTTTATTGGGTTAATAAGAAAATGTCGAATCGATGATTCAAAGTCAAGTTTATCAATCGTTTGCAAGTTTTTACCTGATGACGATCATCATAATAAAAAGTATAATTCATACAAATTATTCCAAAGAGAAGTTTATGTGTATGAAAGAATATTGCCATCAATGGAGAAGCTTCAACTATTATACGGCTTGAAATATAAAGATAATCAAGGATTTTGGGCATATCCAAAATGTTATCAAGCCAAATATGATCATGAAAATCCTGCAAATTCATTTATTCTGATGGAGAATTTATCTGAAGAGAATTTCATCATGAAAGACAAAAGCATTCCTTCAGATTTTAATCACACTCACGCACTTCTTGTACAGTTAGGAAAACTTCACGCACTTTCATTTGCATTGAGGAAGGAAAATCCCGAAATTTTTGAGGAATACAAGAAGCTTGGCGATTTGATGTGTTTATTGATGACAACTCCATTTATGAGGCATCTTTCACCACGTGATGTCCAGCTTGCAAGTGAACTCTTCAACAACCCAGACGAATACGAAATCAGAGATAAAGTTTTAGCTTACAAAGACGATTTATGGGAAAGAACACAGAAAACTCTTGAAGGTTCACTTGTAGAACCATTTGGGGTCATTTGTCATGGAGATTGTTGGATAAATAATGTTTTATATAATTATCACGATGAAGAAATGAAGAATATTAAAAGTCTTCGTCTTATTGATTGGCAACAAACAAGATACGGAAGTGGCGCATCTGAATTGATGTATTATTTGTTCACTTGTAATGATAAGAAGCTGAGAGATGAACATATGGAAGATTTATTGGAATCATATCACATGTCAATGAGGAACATGTTGAAGAATTTCAATCTCAATATAGACGAAGTTTTTCCATTCACAAAGTTAAAAGAACATTTAAAATTATTTGTAACATTCGCTTTAGCTATGACGACTTTTGGCTTTCCAATCGATTGTGAATATCCAGAAAAGCTTTTCAAGGATAAAAATGCGGAATTAACAGAAAATGAAAAAGAGAGGGTTTTGAGATACAACAAAAGGATGAAAGAAACTATTTATGATTTGAATGCAATGCGACTTTTGTAAGGAATATCAACAGAAATTTGACGTTTAAATAAAATAAATTTACTTACAGTTCCATAGAAATTCTTGTGTTTTCCTGCAAGTATTTTTACGCAAGCATTCTTTTTAATCTCTAGCGTTTCTGACTGGTTTGGTTGTACAAGTAAAGGCTGTTTCTTGACAACTTTATCAGCACCTAATCCCATTCCTTTGGGCCTTAGCACAGGAGCTTCAAGAAGCTTTTTATCTTCTGCCTTTTCATCATCTTTCCATCCCATACCACGAAGCATTGCTTTTCCGAAATCGCCGATTGGAACACGATCATAATCATCAAGTGACGATTGAATAGCTCCTTCTAAAGGCAATTCATCAGCATTCATTGGAACTTCAAATACTTTAACTTCAGTCTTAACCACCTTCTTTTGTAAATCTTCGATAAGTTCCCTTGCAGCTTGTTGTTCGAGTGTTTCATCAATTGGTTCTTGTTTAATTTGAATTCCATTTGTTTCCTCACTTTTAACTAAATTGCTTAATTTTTGAGTTTTTGCTGCTATAAGTTTAGAGAGTGGAGTCGTTTTCTGATCATTCGTCATAGGAATGACAAGTTTCTTTTCCTGATCTGCATAAGAACTCTTTCTAAAAAAATAAAATAAATTAATCAATACAGTATTTGAATATATAGAATATGAGCATACCCATGCAGTTTAATCGAACTTCCTTCAATAGATTCGATCAATTCTACTTTATTTGATTTTGAAATATTTTCATTGTTGGTTTTAAGTAAGTTTGGCTTCTTCACAACCTTACTGAACCCGAAACTTATTTTATTTGTTTCCATTTCGTAAATTTAACACTCAAAATACACTTTATCTATACGTTCAACTTAAAAATCGCGATACTTCAATTGGTTTGTTTACATATTTTTTATTAATAAACGTTTACCTAACAAATTTATGTGAGGTTGTTCAGATCAAATATGTTCAAAGAAGAGGACAGTAAAGAAGCGAAACAAATTCAAATATTTGAATCGAAAAACGTTATTTTTTTATTCATGTGTAATGTATTAGAAATAATTATAAGCGACAATCTTAAGCTGATTCAATTGTGTTAATTTGTTGTGGGTGGTGAATTTAATTGAACAAAACATTAAAAGTGAGTGAAGAAATGTTAGAATGCAATGATTGATTGATCGTATTAAAGGCAAAAAGATGGTAATAAAGATGATTATTCTTGTCCAGCTGCTGCAGCGCCGGGTGCAGTAATTCCATCTCTATCTCTTTTCTTTGATCCCGAAACAATATCATCAATACGAAGAAGAAGGATTGCTGTTTCAACGGCAGTCTTATAAACCTGCATCTTCACGGAAAGAGGTTCCCAAATTCCTTGAACTTTCATGTCAACAATCTCGCCAGTTTCTCCGTTGATTCCATAAGAGCATGGTGTGGTATCTCCTTGTGGATGTGATGCGTGTTTGGCACGCAATGCAGTGAGAGTTCTAATTGTATTGGCACCACAATTTTGAGCCAATGTTCTTGGAATAATTTCCAATGCTTGCGCTACAGCACGGTACGGTCCTTGGATCTGCTTATGAGTTAAAGCTTGTGAAACTGCCATTTCAACTGCTCCACCACCAGGAACTAAACGAGGCTCTAACATCAAATTTCTTGCGACATGAAGAGCATCTTGTAGATTTCTCTCCGTTTCATTGAGAATGTCTTTACTTGCGCCACGTAACAAGATCGTGCATGCCTTTGGATCTTTGCATTCAGTGATAAAAGTGAAATATTCATCACCTAACTTGCGAACTTCAAAGAGACCACAACCAGTTCCAACATCCTTCTCTGTAAGCTCTTCTGTGCGATTCACAATTGTGGCACCGCAAGCTCGTGCAACACGTAAATTATCAGTTTTTCGTAATCTACGAATTGCTGTGATTCCAGCTTTGAGCAAGTAATGCTGAGCTAAATCAGAAACACCTTTCTCAGTAAATACCAAATCTGGCTTAACAGCAATGATGTCTTCGCAAATACGTTGAACAAATTCTTCTTCAATTTGCAAGAGTTTCGTGAAGTCAGTTTCACCGCTAATTTCAACGTTCGTTTGACTTTCACCTTTCTTGTATTCCAATGAACAATCGAGAAGAACAATGCGAGGATTTTCAATACGACGACGCATTTTTGGATGAGTCACATCTTTGTTCAACATGACACCCTTCAAGACGGTGGAATCATCAATGGAACCTCCTGGTATTTTCTCAACTTTTGCATACTTCTTGATATCAATCTCGGTTCGTCCATTCTCTTCAAACATGACAGTTGAAACAGCATCAAGTGCAATATTTACTGCCAGTTCTGACCAACGGCCGATGAATTTCGTACCAACACAAGCTTTCACAACTTCAGCAACTTTTGATTTGTCACTTTTATCCAAAGCAATGCTGACATCATTTTGTAAAACATTAATCATGTCTTCTAATGCTTCACGATATGCTCGGATAATGACTGTTGGATGAATTTGTTGTTGAAGGAAAGGTTCAGCAACTGCTAACATTTCACCAGCTAAAACAATGACTGATGTTGTTCCATCACCAACTTCTTCATCTTGTGTGCGGGCAATTTCGATCATGCTTTTTGCAGCTGGATGAGTCACTGTGATTTCTCTCAAAATAGCATTACCGTCATTTGTCATAACGATACCGCCCATGGGATCCATCAGCATTTTTAGCATAGCCTGAGGTCCAAGACATGTTCGTATCAAGTCTGCAATAGCCTGAAATGAATGAAACAATCAAAACATCAAGTTAACCTACAATAGCTTTAAAAAACTTCTCGAATATTCTTCTCTTAAGATGTCAAAGATTTGTTAAACAAGTGACACAGGAATTAAGTAAAATATTGTAGAATATTTAACAAGCTTCACTGAATTAATTGTTCAATTACCTTTCCGGCATTGATATTTTCGACCTGCACCTTTCTGCCTGATTCACGCTTTGTATTTTGGCCTAATGAAGATGAATTGAATTAAAAGCGGAAATTTATGATTGAAATTTTATATTCACTTACTCAGAACGAGAATGGGTTGTTGTCCGTACATATTAAATTAATTTATTTGAATCACACTTCAGATTGGAAAAAAGAATTGCGTAGGGATAAACTTCGAATGGCGTCACGTGAATATGAATGTGGGGTATTCGTGAATGACGGGAGACAAATAAATTTGTAATTCTTAAATAAATAAATTGTAAAATTAAATGATATTAATGAGACAAATATTCCTTTTAATATGACAAAAGTTTTTTTTAATGACAAGTTATCTAAACCTACTTTGATCAAATGTTAAATTTTAAATATTCCAATGAAGTTCAGCTTGATTACCCCGGAACAAACATTGGAGTGTATTCAGTTAAAACACTAAATTAGGTTTTGTCCGAGCGCATAAAACATTCAAGTCCAAAGCCTTCGACGATCGCGTGAATCTTAAGTAAAAATATTTAACAAGCTATTTAGAAAGTAATTATAAATTTAAAATCTTTAATTTGTACATAAAATACAGAAGAAATTGTTTAAAAACTCGTGTGCATTTGAATAGAAGTGAGAATTTGATAGAAAAGTTTCTGTAAAATTTTCAAGTTTTCAAAGATGAATCCCAATAACCCCAGCCAATGGCATGTTCAATTTCAACACGGCGGAACGCAATATGGGTAATGCATGATTAATAATATCATAGAAGTCTTCCTTAAAATCGGATAATTGATTTAGAAAAAGTATTTTTTGTTTTTCTTTGATCCTCGAGGAAAATGAAATAAAAAATGGCGAAATCGATTTTCCGGTTTTAATGTTCCAAAATTATATTTGATAAATTGATTGATCTCTTTTTTTAACTACAGGGCACCGGGTTCAACATCTTATACTCCAGCACAAGGAGCATATAATTATGGAACTCCTCAAAGAGCTCCAGGCTACACTGATCAATCAGCCAGCTACGCAGCAGCATCTCAAACTTATCCTCGTAAATATTCTCTCTCTAATATGTTTGAAAAGCATTTGTTAATATTTCTACTTTCTAGCTACTCCACAACCTACATATGATTACGGATATGGACGTCCCGCACAAACTTACGACACCACCAAAACTTATTATCAACAAGCAAGCGCAAGCTACGTCGCTGCTCCTAGTTATGTCGACCCAAACGCTGCTAAAACTTATGCACAACCACCGACTCGTGCTCCAATTCCACAAAAAGTAACACAATATTCAGCACCCGCATCAAGTGAGTAAAACAAAGCAAGCATTGAATTAATTCAAAGTTTTAATAAAAATTCTTTTGTAGTGGCGGCTGCTAATAAACAGCAAACAACAAATGCTCCTTCAGCTGCTTATTCCAACTATGACAGTGCTTTATATTCAGCAACTGTTTACATGGCTCAACAAAATAACAAAACTCCAAATCCAAATCAACCACAGCAACCTGGATGGCAGAAAAAAGGAAATCCTTTCAAGCAACGACAAAAAGCAGTTAACGCTAATAAAGTTCAACAAGTTCATTATTGTGACGTTTGTCGAATCTCTTGTGCTGGACCTCAAACTTATCGTGAACATTTGGAAGGGCAAAAACATAAAAAACGCGAAGCATTACAAAAGGCACAACAAGATCCACAAACACAATCTCAAGGCACAGTTCGTGGCTCTAATTTAAGATGTGAATTATGTGATGTAACATGTACTGGAAATGACGCTTATGCAGCACATGTACGAGGATCTAAACATCAGAAAGTTGTGAAGCTTCATACAAAATTGGGAAAACCAATTCCATCATCAGAGCCAACACCGATTGGTGTTACAAAGGAAAAAGATGGCGAGAGTGATGATGTTCCAGTTGGTGAAGATATAAAGCCTGTTGGTGAAGAATATATTGAAGAGATGAAAGATGCTGATGGAAAGATTGTCACATTTAATTGTAAATTATGTGATTGTAAGTTTAATGATCCAAATGCAAAGGAAATGCATACAAAAGGACGTCGTCACCGCTTACAGTATAAGAAGAAGGTTCAACCTGATTTGATTGTTGATGTTAAGCCGACACTTCGTCAACGTAAAATGGCCGAAAGAGAAAAACAACGTCAACAAATGCAAGAAGAATTTTGGAATCGTCGTCGTGATGGAGGCGACATGGATGATGATGAAAGAATTTATTGGGAAGAGAGACGTCGATTTGAAGAAGAATGTGGTGGTGATGGCCAACCATGGGCTCGTAACTTCCCGTTAATGCGTGGTGGACGTGCACCGCTCATAGGATTTCCAATGTTTAACAACGTTCGTCGTATGGAAAGTCTTGATGATCGTCATGTCATTGCACGTCACGCTGAAATTTATCCGAAAGAAGAAGAATTGCAAGCTATTCAAAGAATTGTTTCTCACACTGAACGAGCTCTCAAGTTGGTAAGTGACGCAATGACTGAAATAAAACCGATTCAAGACGCACCACCAAAGCAAGAAGAGAACATGGAAACTCAACCGAATGCTGTTGAAAACGAAAGCAACAAAGATAATAATGTCAATGCTGAGGACAAAACTTGTGAAAATAAGGAGAATGGAAATCAACAAAATCAAATGATTTCATTCCAAAAGGAAACTGAAGGCACTATTAGACTGTTGAAAGGAGTTATGCGAGTTGGATTGCTTGCAAAAGGTAAGAAAATTTAATTATTTGTATGAAAAGATGAAAAAAATTTATGTATTGTTTAGGTTTGTTGTTACAAGGTGATAGTGTAGTGCAGCTTGTTGTTTTATGCGCTGAAAAACCAACATCGGCAGTATTAAAACGTGTCGTCAATGAACTTCCCATACAGTTAAAGAAAATCTCTGAAGAACAAAAGTACACAGTAACAATGGCACCAGTAGAAGGAGCTGTCTTAGTCAGTGATGGCACCATTATTGTGAAAGTTTCTTTAACATCGCCATTGTTGAGAGAACCACCAGCTGGTAAGTTTGCAGCAATTCAATTTTACGAGCTACGCGAATATTTATGAAGTTCAAGTAATGAAAAGTTTTGCGATTTCGATCTACCAGTTTCACATTTTGTGATATTTTTCAGCATATATGATGTTGTTTCTTATTTCTCTTACATTATTATTATAATTCTTATTACTACTACTATTCTCTTGAAGTTATTCATTCAACAGGGCTTTAAAAAATGATAAGTTTTGAGGATTCCATCTGAAATTGGTAAAATTCGAAATCGAGACTTCAGCATTCAGGAAATAATAGATAATATAAAAGATTTAATTAATTTAATAATTGAAACCTATTTCATTCATTGATATTATCGGGAATTAAATAGGTTGAGAAAGATGAACTAAATTTTTCGGGATAGAAAAACATTAAAAAAATTATCCCGATAAATGAAAGTTTGAAACTTTAAAGTGAACGCTTGAAAGTATTTAATTAAAATGAAAAAAGAATATATAAAAGGAACAAAATATCTTGGTTTTGACACAACAACATTGGACTCATCTTCTTAAGGAAACAATCAATAAAAAAAAAAGAAAAATGATAAAGTGAACATCAGTGGTCCATAAATTAATTAAATAAATTTAAATCTAAGGATAATTTGTTCTTCTATGAAAAGCTTACACAAAAAAATGAAAGCATGTGGAAAGAATTCGCATTATTTGCATCTTCTTTCTTAATGGTGATGAATTAAAGAAAGCAATTGCAAAGATAAAAAAGAAAACAAAAGAAAAATGTGAATATGTGCGCAGCAATGCAATGGGTCTGATCATGAAAAGGAAAAAAGAAGAAAAAAGTTAAAAACTGTTGGAAAGATTTTTTTTTTAATGTTTTATCTACTTTTTCACAAAGTTCAATGCAATGCTCGCCCATTGAGTCAAAGAAGAGTGCTTGAAATATTAGCTAGGCAACTGCTAGCAAAATGAAAAAGAAAACATCGAAATGAAAAGAAAAATAACAAAAACAAAGATATGTGTGCATAAACTTTTAAAGGAAAAATATGATCAAAGAATGAAGAAAAAATATTTTTTTGATAAATGCGCGATTGTCTCAAGAAATCTGAATGAAAATGCAGTAAACAGGATTTTTGACCAATTTAATCCATCAATGAAGAATGAGAGAATTCAATATCTTTGTGGACAGAAGCTTTAACTAATTCCATCAATTCTGTTCCCTAGATATTGGTTCAAATATTTCAACTTCAATGAGCTGTCAAAAAAATAAATTAAGAGGCAAACTTTTCATTACAAAATATTCACTTTTATATTTAGCAAAAAAAAAAATTTTTGGTCAAACATTCTGTCAATAATTAAATTTTACTTTCTCTGCTATTCGTTTTGAATCGAATTTCCTCCAGACACCACCGCTAGTACCGAAACTGTTTCAAATTCTGAAGATCTACTGCCGAAAGAACCATGCTTGCAAGCACTTGCGGCACTACGTCATTCAAAATGGTTCCAGGTTTGTTTTTGTTTTTTTTGGATTGAAAAAAAAGTATAGAAGAAAGAAAAGAAATGAGTTCTTAATAATCACAATAATTTGATAAAATTTAATGTCATTTTATGAAAATGACAGAAAAAGAAACAAAAACAAAGTACAAAAGAAAAATATTTTTTATTGAAGATATTTTTTCCTGTAAAATACATTATGTATTATTTTTAATGATTTTTGAGATCCTAGCTAACAGTTAAAGCACCTACATACTTTTTAATTATCAATATCTATAATGAAAATATTTCTTATGTAACAATGCTAATTAAGATTGTTTATTTGAAAAACATCAAAATATTAGGCTAGAGCAACGGGGCTAAATTCTTGTGTTATGATCATGAGAATCATGCGTGATATGTGTCAACGAATTCCAACATTCACGCCACTGAATCAATGGGTAAGATAAAGAAATATCGTATCTTAAAAATTTATTACAATTTACATAATTAAAGGCAATGGAATTGCTAACGGAGAAAATAATTTCATCGGCTGGAATGCCATTAAGTCCTGGAGATTGTCTACGTCGTGTTATGGAAGCAATTTCAAGTGGAATCTTAATAGTAGGCCCGGGCTTAATGGATCCTTGTGAGAAGGAACCTGTTGACGCTCTCAATGGTTTAACTAAACAGCAACGTGAAGACATAACAGTGACAGCTCAACAATTCTTACGTTACATTGCTTTTAGACAGATACACAAAGTTTTAGGAATGGATGCACTTCCAATTCAGGTTCGTCTTGAAAATTTATTAATTGATTCTTTAGTAATATATTTCTCTTTATTTCATAGAAATATCAAGGAAACCGTCCGTGGAAATTCAATGCAAGCCGCAAACGTCGTCGCTCTGGGACTGAAACGTCAGAAGGTTAATCAATTTATTTTATATTTTACTGAATTTGTATGCTAATCATTTTGAAATATTACAGGAGATGGACAAAAAATGGTTAAAAAAGAAGGTGAAAATAATGTTGCAGAAGCTGCTGGAGAGAAGATGGATACTGAAGCAAAATAAGCATTCTATTTATTATCATATTTTCATTCAAATTATCTCTGACACTATGCAAACAATGAATTTAATCTTAACTATGAAATATTCCTAGAACTTGTGAAACTGAATTATAATAATAATAATAATGGGAAAATCATTAATCAGAATAAAAAAGAACTTTTGTCAATGATAAACAATAAATTTCGAGTTTTCCTTTCTGTTTAAAATTCTTATAATTTTTAACGGAAAATTTATATTTAAATTGAATTTCTTCACTAACATTATCAAACCATCTCGTAAAATAAAATGTAAACAAAAAACAATTTAATTCGTAGTATTTTTAAAAGGTTTCTTTGAATTATTTAAAAATGGATACTTTCTCGGACAATTCAAGATGTTCTAGTTTTGAGGCGTTAAATCATGATCCTAATTTGTCAAGATTAGCAAAGAATATGTTTCAGAAAACAAATGATTTTATGAATTTTGAGGTAAATTATGAATTGACAAAATATTAAATTCACTAGATATTTAAACTGCCCCTTTCAGCTGTCATCTAATCTAATGGACTATGAGTTGATTGATAAAATGAATCAAACAGCATCAAAAAGTGTCGAAACTATGAAAAAAGTTACAGATGACATCGTCGTTGCTAATGATGAGATCAACACAAAGTTTGATGAACTTGAGCCACTTATGAAGGAGTTACAGGAAATTGAAGCAACTGTTAATAAACTAGAAGTTGCAGCTTACAGATTGGATGCTTTCACACAGCGACTAGAAGAAAAAGTCAACATTCATTTACAGAAGAGCCAGCAAACATGAATTAATAAAAACAATTTATTGCTTCATAGATTCACATAATCGATTATTTACTGAAATATTTATGTTACTTAATAAGCCCATGTTACATTTTAAACAAACTAAAAATCGGTTTACTGTAGGCTTCTGAATTACAATGCTTCGATTTACATTTATAAATAAATTTTCTCATTTAACTTTTATGGTGGCCGAAAAGCTTTTTTTGTAGGGTGAAATTTCTTGGAATCAATTTCATCAAGAGACATTTCGGAATGTTCATGTCAAGAATAATTCATCGTTTGTATTTTTAGAAGCATCAGTTTATAATTATCAAACATGAATAATAAAGGGATGAAAATCATACAAAGCTTATTCATTCTAAGACATTCTGGCGCTACTTTTATTTTCGATCCCTTGTTAACGTCGCAGGATGACGAATCCTTATGATTCACCATCATACTTGTTATTCTCTCCCCATGGAATAAAGAAGAAATGAAAATGTCAAAGGCCAAAGCGCCAAAATCTCCCCTTCGTTGTACAAAAATCTCGCTCAACTACATAAATGCTTTCATTTTCCGACCTAGATAACTTTTTCTCGGGATGATTCATCCCGTTCGGAGAAAGGAGCTTTACTGCAACACCATAAAAGGAAAACCTTTCTCTTGAAAGCCTCTCTGAATAAGCCAAAAGCCGGTTATATGCTTGTATTTGTATGCAACACTGAAGGACGAATGCGAGAGAAAAGTTTCAGTGAGAAAGCTTTTCTTTATACTGCACGTGTATAAAACGTTGGGTCGTCCCATTCCACCTCCTTTCGCCTAACGTTACACATTTCTTGGAATCAGACGGTGACTCAATGTTCTGATGATTTTTTTTGTTAACGGTAGTACTTTAGCAAACAGTGAGTAAGGATATCACCAATAAATTATACTTTTCAGAATCATCGTATAAAATCTGATAACATGGGAAAAATTGTTCTTTTTTGTTGATAAGTTTTATGCTAGATATTTATTAACATGTTTTTCTCACACTCCAAAAACTTATTATTTTGAAGTGTAAGTTTGCATGGTATACTGAAAATCATCAATCATTCTTAGAAGGAAAATCTATCATGCCGAAATTTTACATGAAAAGTTTAGCCAAATACAATTTATTGATTTTTGTTACATGCTTTCTTTCTTTTGTTGATAAACTACCGCTAATTTACATTGCTTGCCCTTGATTTTCATTATATAGTCGAAAATTCACGTGATAGTTAATGGCTGATATGCAAATTCAAAGATTTTTGTGAATATGGTTAACTTGTTAATAACATTTATTCGAGTAAATGCTAAGATGCCGGTTTGAGTAACCGTAAGAAAATGTTTGTAGTTTGTAGTATAAAAACACCGGTAAATGGCATTTTTTTGTATTCAATATATAAGCGTATGGGATTTTCCTAAAAAAATTGTTTGTAAATATTTTGTTTTATAGCACCATTTAATCTCTTCATTTAAGAATATAAATGGGAATCATGAGTAATATTAATGATTACAAAATTTCGCGGGAAACCCTACTGATAAAAGTCTTGAGAGAACTTCCTAAGATTGATTGACATCTCTTTAAGGTGATTGAAGGCATCATTGTTAGATCTTGTATAAGTTTTTTATTATTTGTTTGTGAATGATCTTCAAGGTTTTATATCTTAACAAGTAACATAATTGTTGTAATATCCTGTCAATTTCCCAAAATCATAATTATGTAAATAATTATTTACTGAACAAGAAGTTGGTATTTATTTGTTTACTATAGCATACAAATTCATTACTATGTAATAAATATTCAAGGAATAAAATACTATCGATGTCATATGTGCGCATGTCAAGATGACGTTATCATTTCTTTGACTTCATATGTTCAATGAAAGTTCAGAAAGAGAATATTCTTTCGTCGTGTGCGTTATGAAAGCAATTCAGTTTCTATCGAACAAGCAATTCAATGAGAACCGAGAGCGAAGTCGCGTATTTGACACTTCTTATTTTCTTTACACTTTGATGATGTGTAGAACAGGAGAGTTCGCTAGAACAGTTGTTTATAAAGCATTCTCAATCGAATATTTCGGCTCATTTGCAGTTGATACATCCACCCAGTTAAAAGTAGAAATAAAAAACTTTAGTAAAATATTACAAGACTTGTGGTTCTGTCTGAACTAATAAAAAAAGTTTGATAAGATAAAGGAAAAGAATTGGTAGAAATATCTTTCTATGACATTATCGAAGTATAATTAATGACATTGATAAAACATAAGTGTACCGACTACTAAGCAATTGAGTGCACCTTCTGAATATTTAAAAGTAAGTGATTTGTGCAAGTTTTTGGCGGTTAAAATTCGTGATACTGATAAAATATAAATTGAAGTTTTTTCCGCGCCTTGATGTTTTTAAAACATGAATCATCACACAGTGGTAAAGATTATTTAACCATCTCTTCTTTCGCAATTCATTGCACGCGATTGTAAACAACAATCTATCGAAAAACAAAATCCGGCTTCGTTTCTCTTCTCTTTCGTTTCGTTTTAAATTTGTTTTGAGAGTTTTTATATTTTTCTTCAACTTCAATATTTTCTGTAAAGTTGTAAGTATTATTAAAGTTGAAAAGTCTTTACCAGTCATACTTAGCACGTGTTAAATATGAAAACAACGTATGACGTAAAGTCTGCTATTGTAGCTTTTTAATTAAACTAGGTTTTGGGGAAATTCCCGGCATTTTAGGTCCACTATGGACATCCAACGATAATCAATTAGTTTGAGTTAATTTTTTTGTAAGCTTCATACCTACCGAATATTTTTTTACTGTCGATGTGAATGAGAAAAGAATAAAAAAAGATTATAAAACATTTGGCGATTACTTAATTTTTTTCAAATATTCGAATTTAGATTTCAATTCATTTCAATAAATAAAAATATCTAAAAAAAAATATTTTTCGAATGTTTTCTTCTTTTCTTTTATTTCCAGATGTCTTCGTGGTATTGCGATAATCATAATGCTTAAGAGGAGTCTTGAGTAGACGCAGCAAAATAGAATAAAACCAGTGAAAACATTGCGAAATGTGTAAGGAGTGATATTACAACAAGCATCCAAGTTCATTGTATTAACACTACATGTGAGAGCGAACATTTGTTGACGACACAAAACAGACAAAAGTTTCCGTGATACTGTAATAAACTCCAAAAGACAAAGTGGGTACGTTTGTATTTCATTTTTTTCTACCGATCGTATATATGCACGTAAATACATAATCATGATCAAGTTCCACTGTGTTGTTGCTGCTTACTAGCCAAAACTGATTTTTTTCCTCTGCTGCGTCGCAAGCAATCAGTTTCATTCAAGCTTCAAAGGCATGCGAAGCTTTTTTGTTGTTTATCTAGAACAATAATTATTTTTTGGTAATTGTAAAATACTCTTTTATGAGTTTTATGAGTGTTTAGACATCTAATATAATGAAGAAAAAAAAAGCAGAGAAATAATGTTATTAATATACTCTTTGTTATATAATTTTGAATGAATCACTCGCTGTTGAGTTGGAAAAAAAGAGTGGACAAGTGAAAGTGGTGAATTTCAAGGCCAAAACGTACAAATGAAAAGAGCTTCGCAATAATTTAAAAATAAAGCCATTAATACTCTTACATTGATAAGAAAATTTATTTATAAATAAAAAAAATATTCTCGCGTTATTGCCAGTTTTAGTTGTTTCTTTTTTATTTCATTTCTGATATTGATGAATAGAACAAACAAAACTTTTCTAAACTCTGTTAATGCTTTGGCTTAGAGCTATTTACACTTGTTCAACCGGTTCTACGAAACTGTGTTTGAAAATTAACTTTTCTGATGCATTTTCAGAACAAATGAAAACTTGGAACATCTTTTCGATTACAAAAATTATCTCATTGGGAATTATTGTTTGCTTTAATCGTTATTACTTCACACAAGCGTCAAAACTAATATTTATTGTTTGCTTTTTCTTTGAATTAATAATTTTTTGCACGATTTTTTTTACAAGTTGCTAGAAAATGTCGAATGATTTTCATTTTTCGGTGATTTACCATTTAGACTTAGCGTCATTGATTAACATGTATCTCTTATTCTTAAATATCCACAGCATTGTAAAAGTGAACAATAAAGTTAATTAAAATTCAAACGTCGAAGCAACTGAACTGATAAAACTGACAACAAGATTTAAACTTTAACATGACATTAAATATTTTGATCAACAAAAATACTCAAAAATAAAAACATTAATCAGACTTTTGTGAAAGTGAAGAAATTTGTGAAATATAATCCAAAGTCTTAAGTATCTACATAATTATAAACAGAAACAAATAATAATTCACAGAAAATGGAAGATATAAATAACCATGGAGACTTAAACTTTACAGGTAGTTAATTTAGTTATTGAATTTGTCACAACCAATTAGATTTCGAGATCATCTTAGGCTTAAGCGGCTGAGTTTTATGAAGAGTTTAATTAATTATACCAAAGTTCAAAATTTATTTTTAAAATTATGATGATAATCACCGTAAGAGAGAACAGTAGCATCAGTCGTCGTCAGCGATGCTTAAAACTCTTCTTTCGTTAGGTGATTCACAAGATCCTATAACTTTGTGTCAAATAATCATAACAACGCTTTACTTTAGTGGCTATTAATGACTTGAGGTTTTTTTTCCTCCATTCGAATTGATTTTATTTTTCGTTTTATTCTTTAAATGATTCATACTAAGCGTGTCTTTGAGAAATCATGCTGCTCGTGTACAAATAAATGTACAGCATTTTTAATATCATCGCTTCTCTCAGATTTTGTTTTGTGTATATCAAATATAAATTGTAAGATGATCGAAAATTAATTTAGAATTCAAACAAGCGAGACAGTCCACTTAAAGTTAAACTTCATTTACCAAGAAGCGCCTTTTTGACCTTAGAAAATTGCGTTGAATGTTTTTATTAAAACGTTTTAAGTCTTTAATACCTTTATGTGACTTTTTGTATCCCATGAACATCTGTTTTACAACCTAGCGAAAACACTTTTAATTTAATTAAATGTGTACACTTCAAGCTGTTGAATATCATTACAGTTAAGTGCAATTTTTGTCATCTTTTGTTTGAAATATGTGATCGTACAAAAGTTTTCTAAATGCACATCTTTCATATTACTCTCAGCATGTGATCACTTGCTACGTTCCATTTATCATGTCGTGATGATAGCTTTGGAAATAAAGAAAAATGAACAAGGAAAATTGAAATTGTCAAAACAAAGTGATCGCTCTTTGCTTTTCTTTTCTTTTCTCATCAAATACTGAAGTTAATTAGATGAAAATTCTTAATGACTATGATTAAATTAATTGTTAGTTTGTTCCAATAAAGTTATGAAAGAATTCACGATAAATAATAAAAATATAAACAGCTTGAAAATTCCAAAAGAGAAAGTCATATTTTCCTGGTTCATTCGTGGTTTTTACTTTCATTAAGATTTATTGACAAGCATCACCGTGCCAAGATTTTCGAAATACGATGAAATAATTTTGTTTTCCTTCTGGTATGTGAAAAATTCTTTGAATTGTTTAATCGTTATTAAGTCGGTTGATGTTAACGAGCTGAAATTCTTTTGCCGACACTGACCAATTGTAAACAGTTATCATGGATTGGAACGTGATCGTCGTTTTGGCAAAAGCTTTTCATCATTTTCCTTGGTGTGTGGGATGTTCGACAACATTTTTCTAAGAATTTTTTCTCTTTGACTTGGCTCGTTTACAAGTTCATCTGATCTCATGTTTTTTTGGAACACAAGACCAACTCAACTTTTGTGGTCTATAAAATTCCCCACATTCACATACAATCTTTTTAAATGCTCTTTTAAGAGACTTTCAATACAACTTAATTAGTAATCGCTTCGACGAGTGAAGTGAAAAAGAATTAAATTAAATATTAAAGAATGGAGCCTATAAATAGTTTTCCACGTTTTGGACTTAAGCCAAGGGTTATTGTCGCAAAATAAAGCAGGAGATTCACATCTGTTCACAAAAAACAGAACAAAACGTTAACATGATAAGTGAAATCACAGATCGCTTGAAAAAAACGTTTTTAAACTGCTTTGCGATATTTTATTCTTCTTTTTATTACATTTTTCATTCAATCTCAATGAAAGTTGTCACATTTTCTTTGCGCTTGATTTATTTGTAACAAACAAAGATTCAAACGCACAAGAAAAGTAGTGGAGAGTAAATAGATGCAGATGACAATTTTATTGCTTCATGCAAGTGTTCTTGTTAAAAGTTCCGGGTCGCGGAAAGTTTAATTACTTTTTTTGCAATCAAAATTCTTTCGTTACGTTGTCTTGTGAAATGCGAAAGCTTTCATTTTCATTTCAACCGATTTCAATACAATAACATTGTAATAATTATATTCAAATTTCCAACCATTCGCCTTTCACACTGTTTTCCATCACGATAAGCTTTGATTTTTCTTTTTATTATTATTTCAATCGATTCTCTAAACACTCCAAAGGAATTCCCAAAGTTACGCTCAAGTCTAACCGAATTTTTCTTTCTTTCATTCGCGTTGCTCAATGTTCCTTACAACAATTTAATGTGCTTATGTACACGAAAGCTTTTCGGTTGCCGATAGATATCATCGCATAAAACTAACTATGACAATACTTATGAAAAAATATTAATGTTATAGAAATGAATATTTTATGGAAGATTTCTAGGAATTCCTTCGATGAGGATTTCATATTGTTAACCCTCGTTGATGTTCGTGATGACAATAATCAGTGTTAAGTTTATGTGACACATTCCCAGAATATTCCCTCGTAATTGTTATGAAGTTCCACGAATCAAACGTAACGAATGGAATGCGCGACTATTGATTTTCATAAATACCTTCATATATCCTTTTGAAAATGGGCCTTTTTTGACCTTGAACTTGAATGAATTTGGGGAAAGGAAAGGACCTTGACGAATGCAAATGCTTTTGGTGATTTAGTTAATTATTATTCACTTTGTTTACTTCACAGAGGCTTCTGGCGTTTCGATCCATTTGAGTGATGTCAGTAAGTATCTCCACATTCTTACAACCAAAAATTTAAATGATTATCGTGAGAAATATTGAGGAAACAAGTCATTCTACATTCTAACAACTGCTCAATTCTTTAATCAAGTGAAAATAAAATAAATTTTTCATATAACTATACACACAATGTTGAGTTCACTCAAGTAACTTAAAAATAGGTGCCTGGGAAATTAATGAAACGCGCTGAATGATCGCGAACGAGTGTAACCAGCAAACATCTTCTTCTTCTTCTTCTTTTGTGAAAATTAAAATTTTCAATTTTCTCTCGAGAACCCAGAAATAAAATTAAAAAGAAAACTTTTCCTTCAACAAACGATGTCAACGATATCACGATGTACTGAAAACAAACATAACTTCTCAACAGCCAATTGTTACAGCAGAGTATGACCAATAAATAAATAAATAAATGAGTAGGATTGAAAATTAAAACATCGTCTACAAATTTCTTCAAGTTTTTCCTCAAAACTTTTTTCCTCTCTGTTTAGCTGATGTCAGAATGAAAGTCTGTGACTCAGAATATTTATTCACTTCTTTTTTTCAAAGGACACCAACTTGCGTGTGTTATGATTCATAGATTAAATCAGATTAAGTAGAGTTCATGAACATTATTTTTGAAAATGATGACAAAATTGTCATTGGTCATTTTCTGTCGTCGCGATTCACGTTAATTTGCTTAAACATAATTTTGTATATTTTATTACTAATAATAAAATAAAAAGAAGCTTGCGAGAAATACTTGATATTGGCTGTTGGATTTAAGCAAACATGATTGATGATTTAAACAAAGATCAATTTCATAGATCGGAAAAAAGAGAAGAAAATTGGAATTGAGAAAATTTTTCATTTACAAATTAACTCCAATGAGAAAAGAAAAACTTTTTTCTTTTATTTCACAAACACTTCTTCAATGATTTTTTATTCATGAGAATTAATCTTCAAGTTGGGTTTTGTTCATCGTCGTGTTATTAATTTAAGAAAATTGTAGCATGTACCTAAATATTCAAATTGAGCTCCGCAACAGTATGAAAATAAAATTAAAATATTTTCTGTGTCTGTGGATCTTTTTCTCTATTATAATTTCTCGCAGTGATCTTATTCAGTCTATTCGGAAAAATCGCTTTCGTTAGATGCTAAAATTTCTTTTTGTGTAAGCGAATCACTGTGAATGGAATAGAAAAATATTTTAGGATAACAGTTCGAACGTAAATATCTGCACATCAGACTGCAAAAATCAAGAAAAGTAATTTTAATTTTGGAAAACGTTTTCAATCAGTGAGAAAATAAACAACAATTTTAATGAATTGTTTGTAGCTAAAATAATAGTTTGAGACGTCAGAGCAAAAATCAAACAAAAAAACTTTTTTTTCCTTCCAATACGTTTTGGTTTCTGCTTTTTAGCTTCACTGGTGATCCATTGAATCTAGCACCACATTCGTCATAGTTTCAAAAATAAATTTTCAAAAAGAAAATTTTGTCGAGATTTATTTCAAGTTGGAAGTTTTCTTTTACTATTTAATAAACGAAAATAGAAGAAGCGAATTATTTCTTCTTACATAATTACTAATCAAATAATAAAAATGAATTTGAAGAGGTTTTTATAATAATAACTCCACCTGCCTAACTTCTTTCAAGAGATTTAAATGAATCAAAGCAATTATCTTTATGATCTGGCGACAAGCTGTTCAAAGTCTGCGAAGTTAGTTAATTTACCTGTCGATATATAAAGCAATAAAGCAATCAACTAATTTATTCATCAACTCTCGTTTTATATTATTGAGAGATGACATTATACACACACACACACACACACACACACACAAAAGTACAAAAATATTCTCTCTGAATGTTTTTCTTATTCGATCTTCAGTAGTGATAGAAATCTCGGGAGATTAACATCATTTAATTTTTGTTGGTTTGGTAGGAAATTAGTCTCAAGTTCAAGTGTTGAAAGGAATTAAGAAAAGATTGCTTTAAATTTATAATAATTCTTAATGCGATAATTTTTTTGTGATGGTGCAAGTGGAAATAATATTTTAATGCACTTAAATAATCGTCAAGGTCAAGGTACGCAGACATCTCAAAGAAGACGATATAAAAGTTTTAAAATAAGCAATAAATTTGGGAAGCAAGGAGTGTCTTCAGATATTGTTGTCTCACGTGTTGCGACAAGTTTCCTCGAACTTCAAAATAATTATTTAGTCAAGATTTTTGTTTATTTAAGAAGCAATAAACAATTATGACTAAAAGTCGTGTCATTCTCATTTTCAGTTGCTGTAATTGAAAGCACAGATCCGGCAGCTCAAAGAATGTTTCAAAATCAAGACGTCACCACACAAATGGCAAACACAAATCATTCTCCAATCAATATAAACCAAGAAAATCAACCACAACAAGAATCATTGAAACCTTATGTAGCAATCATTGAACAGCCAGCACCAAAAGCCCTCCGTTTCCGTTATGAATGTGAAGGAAGATCAGCTGGATCGATTCCAGGTGCCAACAGTACTCCCGACAACAAAACCTATCCTACCATTCAAGTGAAGAACTATGTCGGTAGAGCTGTTGTTGTTGTATCATGTGTCACCAAAGATGCACCATACAAGTGAGATTTGTTAACTAAAACATTTCCAAAAAACACTTCTTTAATTAAATTAAATTCCTTTAGACCTCATCCGCATAGTTTAGTTGGCAGAGAAGGATGCAGGAGGGGTGTCTGCACATTGGAAATCAACACTGATGACATGAAGCTAGCTTTCAGTAATTTGGGTATTCAATGTGTAAAGAAGCGCGACATTGAAGAAGCTTTAAAAACCCGTGAAGAGATTCGTGTTGATCCATATAGAAGTAAGTTTCATTAAATATTTTATTTATCTTCTCTTATTTCATATTTCACTCCCACATTAGCTGGATATGATCATCGCAATCAACCATCATCAATCGATCTTAATGCCGTACGACTCTGTTTTCAAGTTTTTCTTGAGGGACCTCAAAAAGGAAAGTTCACGACATTGGTGAAGCCTGTGGTGTCGGAACCAATTTACGATAAGAAATCAATGTCAGATCTGGTGATCACTAAATTGAGTCATTGTAATGCACTTTGTAATGGTGGACAAGAAATGATTCTTCTTTGTGAAAAGGTTTGTTGTTGATTATCTTTAAATGCAGTGATTCTCAACCTATAAAGATGTTGAGAAGCACTGCATTGAATGAATTAATCTAACTAATTTCATATTTAACAAAGGTTGCAAAGGAAGACATTGGCATTCGTTTCTATGAAGAAGCAGCTGATGGTTGGGAAGGATTTGGTGAATTTCAACATTCACAAGTACATAAGCAGGTCGCTATAAGTTTCCGAACACCAAGATTTAAAGCAATTGACATATCAGAGCCAGTTAGAGTGAAAGTTCAACTTCGACGTCCATCTGACGGTGCCACAAGCGAGCCATTAGACTTCGAGATGCTTCCTTTAAATGAAGGTAGGCGAGGTTATTGGAATATTCAACGAGAGTTGAAGAAGAGATCAGCAACGACTGATCTCTTTCAACAACTTTTAGATGATCATGATAGTTTTAAGATTAAGGTACAAGAAGGGGGAGAAGATGTAACAAAAGTCATTTCACAACCGTTGCATGAAGTTGTTAATTTGGTAACTCCCGTTGAGGAGAATTCTAAGTTCATTGATAATACGACACATGATGAGAAAACAATTAATTGGTTAGAGAATGCCGAGTTCATCATTGACACTAACAACAATGAAAACGATCAGAATTTATTGAATCAAAGTGAAGATGACAAAGCTTTGAATGAACTTTTAGAGCAAGTGGCAGAATTGGATGTAATTTATCAAGATCATCAATTACGTCGTGACACTGACATGTTGGAAAATGATTTACGTAATTTGGATCAGAGTTTGCCAAAAGAAGGAGAACATCAACTGATGGATATGGAAGATGCTTTTGATTTTGATGATGCTGCGACATATACAAGCTTACAGAAAGCATTTAAACATCCTTTGGATATTTCTGAAGGTCCACCAGTTCCACCAAAGCCTGGAAAGTTTTCCGATGGAACAACATTTGATTTAATGTTACCACCAATTGTTATAAATCCCGCAACGCCTGACATTTTGGGTTGCAAACGTGATGTTTTTGAAAATGAAAAGTTGCCGCCACTTCCACCAAAACGTGCGAAGAAAGTCGTTGAATCTTACACTGTTGATAAAGAGAATATTGTTGAAAATAAAGATGATCAAAATGGCATATCAAGACACAGTTCAAATCGTAGCCTAATCCAACGTACACCATCACAAATAGTTATTAAGTCAGCTGATGTTCGACGAAGTCCATCACATAAATTACCACCAAAACCTATCAGCACTTCAGCTAACAATTCACCAAAGAGTTCACCAAAACATGCGACGTTACCAAAAACTAAGAAACCAGGATTCTTCTCGAAAATATTCTCACGCAAGAAGAGTAAACCTGACATTGGTCATGAAGTTGGAAAAGATGAAAGCATTTTTGCTGATCAGGAAACTGTCTCAATGATTCACTTTAATCCAAATGATCCAAATCGTGAATCAATTCGCAGCACGAGATCATTGAAGCCAACAGAAAATAAAGCTGCGAAGCCTGGTAAAGCAGTTGGTCGTAGTGTTAGTAGCGTGTCAGGTAAACGTCCTTATTTGACGCCTGACATTGTTCATATTCCTTTGAAAGGTGACAGTTCAAATTCATTGCCATTGCGTGGAAGTGAAAGCAACACGCATTTATCATTACCAGGTAATGACTTTTATGAACGCGCTAGCACCGCTTCACTCCATCCAATCGATCATAAAACAATCAGTGCCTTGCAACTTGCAGACGTTCCCATATCAGACGGTGACATGGAATTGGTTGCCATTGCCGATGCTCAAAGTTTAAGGAATCTTTGTGAGGGTGAATACGGCATAACTTTAGATCCAAGCGTAGATTTAACCGAAGCTGAACATTACGCTCTCTACACGACACTAGCACCTCATGCAACGGAAAGTGAATTTGACGAAGCTTCTTGTTATTATCAACCCGTTGAATCGGGTGAAATTTTGACGCCCGCTGATGCGGCAAAAAGATTAGCGGAAAATTTGTAAATGAAAAAATTTCATTCATTCAATAATTTGTTTTGCTTTTGAAAGACGCTCATGCAAAAGCTTCGAATCTAGTCAGTGAATATTTTCTAGTCTGAAGCAATTTATGATGAGATATACTCGTAAAATAATAACTCTGAATATCATATCGGATAATGATGAATAAATTGTTTTTTAGAAGTAAATGAGATAAGACGAAAGAGACAAAGGTCAGGTGACGATGCCGCTGTAATTGCTTTTAAAAATTCGCCGGTACATGATGGTCGTAAGTTGAAAATTCTTGTATTTCCATTTAAAAAAAAGAAAATTTTGTATTGGTGACTGGTGGTTAGAGAATTGTCGGTAAATTTGTCGAATGGTTTAAAAATTTATTTGTTATGGTGTTGGTTGGAAAAATCTTTTCTACTGGAAAATTGTTTACCTCTTCAATGGGGAATGTTGTTGCTTTTTGAGATCTTAAATAATTAAGATTCTTTTTCTTGGTAATTATAGAAGAATTCGTTCATATTTCATATTGAACTTGAGAAGCTTTTTGAGAAGATATTTACATATGAATAAATATGAAGTTGAAATTGAGACGTCTTGAAGCTTTTCCTTGGACATTAAACTTTCTATCTGTTCCTTAACTCATAAATAAACTTTAATCGTACAAGAAAATTCGAAGAAGTCGAAAAGTAATTTTTTACATTTAAAATATTAAAATAATTAATATCATCGTAGTAAATATAATGTAGCGATGTTCTTGACTCAAAGTCATTAATGATTGCTTTCAATAGACTTTTTCCGCAAAAAGCTCAAATTTTTTGGTGACTTGCTGGTTAGAGTCACGATGCAGATTCGAAATTGTTCTTTTTTTTAATAAAGTATCAATGAAATTGAAATCTTTATAAGACGAAAAAAAATCTAAACCTGATTTGTACTCAATTTGAAACAAAAAATGATTTAAATGAATATTTGCGAAGAAATTTAATATAAATAAGTAAGGAAAATTTGTTTGTAAAGTTGTCTAAAACAGCTTTGATGTATTCTCGAGATTCATGATAATCTTATATTGAATGTTGGTAATGAATAATTAACTGAAATAAAAGCAATCTATTAAATGTGATGAAATCGTTTTTGTATTAGATTAGAAAACTTCTAAATCGATAATTCCGATCTTACAGACAACAATTCTGGAATTTTATTATAAAAATTAATCACGTTTGATATTTTCTTGTATAAAAAATTATCAAGATTTAGCAGCAATTGTAAGTTAAACTTTTAAGTATATCTATCGATATTAATTTTCGTTGTTTTTTTTGCTTATTGTAGCTGTAACTATTATTAACTGTGTGTATGTGTGTGGGAGATTTTATTACTAACTAACTGCTTGCTATTTTATTTACATTTTCTTTTTGCATATTTGAAGTTTGTTTAGAAATATTTAATTATTTATTTTCATCTTCATTCAGCTTCGTACGCTCAAAGAGGTTTCAACGTGATCAATGACCAGCCAGTGAAGATTGAACCAAGAGAACAAAACACGTCACCTTACTTACATTTCCCTGGAGATTATCGTGATCCATCACACAGTACACCATCACCACAACCACAACAAATATCTCCGCCCATGTTTTCACAAGTCAGTCCATCACCTTCACCTTACAATAATAATAATCACAACATGGGACAAATACTACAAAATCAACTGCAAGCACCTCGCGTTACCACAAATAATTTTCAACATCAAGAGACGCATGGAAATCAAATTTATACGCCGAACATTCAGCATACAACATTTCCAAGCGGAAGCAACTCAATATGGACTAATAACATTAATGGAAATGATCCGACGATTAGCAGAGCATTCTTTAACAACACAATTCCGTCGAACGCACCAACATCATCAATATTTAATCAGCCTTTGACGCCATTGCTACCAAACAACTTAAGCGCCAATAATGAGCCGATGGGCTCGAGTATTCTAATAGACTTGGACAATCAAATATTAAATAATCTTTCCGGAGATCTTCAATGTTTATCATTTTCCGACTTCGCAATGGATTCTTTTTCAAAAACTGGTGAAAAAGTCAACAAGTTGTAGGCTTGAAATTCAAAGTGCATGAATATATGTTTTCATATTGTTTTTAATGTTTTTTTTTTTTAATTTTATATAAAATTATGCAATAAAATGAATGCTCAAAAAATGATGAAATTTTTTATTTTGTTTTAATGTAGGTATGATTATTGTAATTTACTGCACTGATGTAGTTTTTATCGTAAAGATAAAAGTTGAAATGATAAAGTTGATTGCCTTATAAAAATCTCAAATATTTATAGAAAATCTTTCTTGTTTTTTCCAAAATATTATCAAGAAGTCTTTCAAATGTTAAATAAATCCAATCAAAAGTCATGACATTTTTTTATTATTTTTTACAAAGCCGCATTAGATTTCATTTATTATCATTTAAATTATTTAATCATGTTTTTATGAAATAAATTCCAATCAATCAATTTAAAAATACGATCAATCTGATTACATGTCATTCCCTTTTGTGATCTTTCTTCTTATTTAAACGTTTCAAGCAAAAATAAATTTTAACTTTGAAAACTTTTTTTGTTAAACAATAATTGAAGGTGGACTAATCGAAATCAAATTCAATGTCGTCACGTCGTCTATTTGAGGAACTTCCTGATGGATTTTCATTTGAATTGGAACTATGATTGGTTGTATCCATTGATGCATTGTTAGCTTCTTGACTAGAGGATGCTTGATTGCCGATAGAAAAGCCTGAAAATATTTAAATTAAATATTGAATGTTAAATAATTTCAATTCTTACGCAATTGTGTTGCTACTTGAGCAGCGGCATTATTGGCATTGCCTTCGTCTTCGGGTGCTAACAATTTCCTACAAATAGGGCAGGTGCCGTGAAGCTTTAACCATGGTAAGATGCACGGCTCATGATAAACGTGCTGAACACACACAAAGAAAATAAATAAAAATTAATTGACAAATATCGTGAGGTTTAAATAGAAATTGATGTCATACTGAGCAAGGGAGTTGGCGGACGATTTCTTTCAATTGAAAGTCCTCCCAGCACACACTGCACTGTAACTTTGAATCAATCTGTTCTTGTACGATTTCACATTTGGGAATTTCTGCGATTTTTTCTTGATCTAACGGTGGAGGGCCTGTGAGAAAAATTTCATTCAATTGTTTGTAAATATGCAAAAAAAATTAGATAATTATATGTAGATATGGATACCTGCGTTGTCCATTTGATTTAGTAGTTGCGTGACAATTGTGTCCAATCCTTCCCGACCCCAAGCATAATCGCCTGTTCAACATGATTGGTACATAACTGAATCTAATAATAAGAAAAATATTCATACCAGGATTTCCCATAAAGAACATTGGAGTACGTCCTGAATTCGGACCATCAGTAATCGAAACTAGAATCTCTTGCAATATTTCTTCGAAATTTATTGGACCTTGTCGCCTTTGGCCACGTCTTCGACTTCCATTTGTTTGCGAAGATCCATTACTAGTTGAGCTTCCATCAGATGGCTCACTGTTATTGCTGAAAACATATTATTCATAATCATTACATAAACTGAAGTGAGTAGATCGTTGCATGAAGTACCTGCTTGTGCTAGCTAAACCTCCAAGACTACCAGTTATTATAGGGCCTAAAATTTCATTTGCAATTCTATAGTATGGAGTATTGTTATTGCCTGATGACATGTCAAAAGGTCCCATAGAAAAATCATTGAAAACACCACGCATAAATTGTGATTCATCTTGTTCATCAGCATTTGGATTTAAGCTGCTTTCGGGCAGCTCTTCAATAAATTCACTTGAACATGTCGAGCAGGTGAAGTCCTAGAAAGTAAAAAACAATAAAACAATTACGATAATTATTCAAATCAAGTATGACATGAAGGAGATCCAGTATCTAACTTACTTGATCAGGATTCTTTCTGAATTCATTTTGACATGAATGACAAAAAAATGATTTGGTGCGCGGCTCTTGAATTTCTTCTTGTGTCGACATGCTATAAGCTGTGTCGATTAAAAAGTTTAACAATTAAACGTTGCACAAAACTCTCAAGCTATGTTACAATCTTATACGATTTTCAGGAGCACAGCAAATTTGTAAGTTTTTCTTTTTATTTTATTTTATTTTTCCTCTCCTACTAAAGCTTAGTTTAACACCCTTGAAAGGGACACTTAAGCTATTATGAATCAGTAACTTTTGAAATTTCATTCTCTCCCTATTGTAACTGAAATAACAAATTATTTATTTTTATCAGATTCTGATACATTTATCAAGTGAAATTAATCAGAAGAGTCCAAGTTTTGTAGACGATTATTGTGAAAATTATTGAAAAACAGAAGGCTTTTAATTTAATCTCTACATATTGAAAGGATACGTTGCTAAACAGATTCTTTCACCCTTTTCAAAGTGAAGTTCAAAAAGAAAATAAAGTTGATTCCAAATTGATAGAAATTAAAATTAAACAAAAGTAATAGATACAAAATGAGTTCCTTTATTCCGTTTCTTGATGAATCGGAGACTCCTTTCAGTCAAGAAGATGTCATTCGAGCAAGAACGATGGTAAAACCTTGTTAAAAAGTTGAAATTAAATTTGAGATTTAAATGTTATTTATTTTCAGATTATGGAAAACTTAAATAATCTCATATCAGCATCAGGATCACCAGCTATGAAAGTGGAACTGATTACAAAGATTCAAGAGCAAGTCTTGAAGTGGGCACCAGCCATGAAAGTCCTTGAAGAGATTATCGACGATCTTTTAGCATTTGCTTTGGATGTTCATCAGGATGTTAAGAAATGCATTGTGACTTTCATCGAAGAAGTTTGGTATGATTTTAATTTTGATTATTATTCTAATGAAAATATTAACTCTCTTCATCTTCAGCAAACAAAAAATTAAGATGCTGCCGAAAGTCATCAAAAGCTTGCAACTTCTTCTCCGCGAGGATTCAGCGATGGTCATTAAACGAGTCATTCAAGCATGTGGAGTAATTTACAAGAACACTTTGCAGTTTCTATGTACATCTGATGATGTTTCTGATGAAATGCACGAAAGTTGGATTCAATTATGTTTCATTAAAGCACAAATTCTTGAATTGATTGATAATGAGAATGATGGAATCAGAACAAATGCTATAAAGTTCCTGGAAGGTGTCGTCATACTTCAAAGTTTCATTGATTCTGACAGTTTGAAAAGAGACAACGATTTCAGTTTAGATAATGTACCAACAACATCCGATATCGTTGATCGAAAGAAATTAGAAGATGAAGGGAAAAATATTTTCGAAATTCTTCTTAAATTTCATGGAGCATCTCACATCTCATCAGTTAATTTGATTGCTTGCACTGGAACACTCTGTTCCATCGCTAAATTAAGACCATCATTTATGGCTCAAGTTGTAGAAGCTTTGAAAGTTCTGAATTTAATGTACCCTCCAACTCTAACAGCCTCTCAACTTTCTTCCGTAAAGAAAAACCTCAAAATGCAATTCATCAATTTATTGAAACTTCCAGCAAGTTTTGAATTTCGTTCAACAATTGTTCCAATATTAGTCGACTTGGGTGCATCACAAAGTGAGATAAATCGTGCACTTCCAAGAATGGATAAGAAAGAAATTCAATTTCGAACAAAAAGAGCTCATGAGAATGAAGCAGCACGTACGGCAGCAAAGAAAGCAAGGCTTGAGTTTGATGAAAAGCGAAGAATTCTTCAAAAACTCACAGCAACGATGGAAGGTGACGATGACGAAGTTCAAGATCAGAAGAATCGAGCAAACGCTGTTAATGAGAGATTTATCGCTGATGCTTTGAAGTCAGTTGAATTGACATCTTACTTGGTGATAAGTTCAATGTCAAAACTTCCAGACCGTTGTCCAGATTACTTTCTCAAGAATTATCATGGAAGTCCAACTGTTCAAAAATGCATTGAAAACATTTCAAAAACATTCGCTCAACAATTAACTGGTGCAAAGTTGGGACCTGGAGCGAAAGAATTAACAATTGACATCGCTAAAGGATCAAAAATTGATGACACACCAAATTTAAGTTCAGGAAGTGACAAGAAAGATTTCGAAGATTTCCCGCGGGACGAAACAGCTCGAAAGTTAAGAGAAACTCTTGAAAGAATGAAAGGAGAACAACCAAAGATGAAGCAACGAGTGAAAACTTTAAAACTACAAGAAATATCAAAACCATTGCATAAAGATTTGAAGCATCAATTTCTTCTTGATGCTGTTAAGAGAGTTTTAAAGTGCGAGCGTCAAGCTGTCATCAGTGGAATGGGACCAAAACGTAAGAAAATTATTTCGGTATTTGCATCAACATTCATGCCAACTGTACGTGCCTTGATTATGGATTATATTATGGAAGATGTTGTCAAGCGACTGGATTTAGCTTTTATGTGGATCTTTGAAGAATACAGCTTGCTGCAAGGATTCACTCGATATTCTTACGTTAAGACTGAACACAAACACGACTACGCTTACAATTTGCTGCTCACCGATCTCGTCACAAGAATTTTGAATCTCGGAGCTGAGTTTCGTGAACGTGAAAGTTCCATTAAACGAATTTACCTTGAAGCACCTTTGATAACTGATGAAAGTTTGAAAAGTCTCGTGGAAATGGCTGAGATTCAAGAGCTTGAAGAATGTAGTCTGATATTGCTGAAGGATCTTCTCATTCGTCGTCCACCGAGAGAAGAAATGCTTCTTATGACTTTAATGAAGTTTACAGTTCATGGAAAGACGTCAGTTCGTGAGAAAGCGATTGAGAATATTCTCAACGTTTACACACTTCATCAGATTCTAACGGATGAAATTGAGAATTTTGCGATTAAATGGATTACTTTCCTTGAGAAGCCAACACCAAGCAACGAGATGATGAAAATGTTGTCGTTAATAGATCGAGATGACTTCAATGATGCTACAACATGGAGTGAGAATATAGTGAAGCTTTGCTTGAATCTTCTCCTCAACCTTTTACCTCACAATGAAAAGCTGATTCATAATTTATGCGATGTTTATGTTGGAACAACATCAGATGTTAAGAGAATCATTCTTCGAAGCATTGAAATGCCTTTGAAGAAACTTGGAATGGAGTCGAAGGAACTTTTGAAAATTATTGAAACATGCAAAAAAGGAACTGAAACAATTGTTACGAGGATTATTTATGTCTTGACAGAAAACAGTAAGCTGATCGTGGAAAGTTAATTAATTTTTATTAAAATCATATTTTTTTTAAAGGCATTCCAACACAAGAACTCGTCGAGAAAGTTAAAATTCTTTATCAAACAAAGCTGAATGATGTTCGAATTCTCATCCCAATCGTTAATTATTTGTCGAAAAAAGAAATAATTTCAGCCCTACCGAAATTTATAAAATTAAATCCACAATTGATGAAAGATGTCTTTATGCGATTGTTGGGACTCAAAACAGATTCAACGAAGACAAATGCTGCACTTTCAAGTAAGTTTGATGTCATTGACAGATGAAAATTTAGTTTTTATTTTAAATTTGACTTTTGCAGTTACGCCAGCTGAATTATTAGTTGCAATCCATGCAATTGACACAACACAAGTTGAACTGAAGTTGATTGTTAAAGCCACATCGTTATGTTTAGCTGAAAATGAAATTTACACTCATGAAGTGCTTGGAGTTGTCATGCAGCAGTAAGTGAAATAAAATCAATGTTGATGATTGTTAAATTTTTTATTTTTATTCGCAGACTTGTTGAAATGACGCCACTGCCTACATTACTGATGAGAACAGTCATTCAATCACTCACAACTTATCCTAAACTGGCTGGTTTTATCACAAATCTTCTCCAAAAGCTTCTCCTGAAACAAGTTTGGAAACATAAATTAATTTGGGATGGTTTCATCAAATGTTGTCTTAAACTGCAACCCCAAAGCATGGGAGTGTTGATTCAACTTCCAGTTCCACAATTACAAGATGCGCTGAACATTTGCCCTGAACTTCGCAGTCCCCTTTTGGAATATGCTCGTGAAATGAACAAACATCAGATCAGTCATGTGTCACAACAAGTTTTAGATCTTTTACTTGGCAGTTCAAGTAGCAATTTGGGAATGTCGTCATCAGATATAGAAATGGGAAATATTGATAATATTAAACAAGAACCAATGGATGAAGGAGATTATTTGATAGGAAAACCTCCCGGCGTTGATTAAATTGTTGGTCATATTGTAATTGATTTTTAAGTGCTTCATGAAAGAAAAAATAAATTTGTTTGATTCATTTTAATTTTTTATTTAATTTCTCCACCAATTTTTTCTCTTCAGGAATTTAGATTAGGGTTAAATCAAATTAAGTGTAAACGAAACAAACACCAGATAGATTTAACACTGTTAACAACAATAAATTGTGCGATAAATTGTTAAACGTTTTATTATTCGTTTCATCTTAAATTTTAATCAAATTAATGCTGAAGAAATTTAATTTACTGATTAAATTAAGTTTATTAGAGAATAAAGTCGATAAAAAGCAATTGATCATTATACATCAAGAAAAAGACGTTAAGAAGCATAAAATCACTCAAAGAATCGACCGTAAATGGAATAATTAATTCACTAAAGTTTACTTTTATGTTTCAAGCAGTTACTTCACATCAATCTTTAAAACAACATTGCAACTGCTTGTTAAATTAATAAAATTATAATTTCGATTGGATACTTTGTCGTTGTCCAACACAATTGCAAACATTAACTTTCTCAGATTTTCTATGCAATTATTTAACAAATTTAATTTTCTACCTACTTAAACTTCTTTTTTGAAAGTTTTTTAAGCTTTCGTGAAGAGGAATAAGAAATTATTTCGATCATTAACAAATGAGTAGCAATTATTGTTGCAGACGAGCAAACTTGTTGAGTGTTGAACTGATTCTGATATAAATTTTGCTTCTTCCTCGTTGAGCTTGTATGAAAAACCAAAAATGTGACTTGAATTCCGAGAGATTTTAGAAGAGAAACTGACAAACACAAAGAATTTTTTTTTTTTTCAGTTCTCATCTCTTTGCTGATCAAAGTTGAGTTTGAGAGTGAAACTCGTATTCAGGAAACGTTTGATTGAATGTCGACCCAATTTATGTAAATAGATAAATAGCAGAAGAAACATTGGAGCAATCCCTTCGGGATTATATTTATAAAGATAATCGAATGAGTATGTAGATAAGATGAAATTAAATCTAATTGAGAGTTATGAAATAAGAAATAGGCACAAGTTATGACAGTTACATGAACTTGAAATCAATTTTCAGTCTTATCTCTTCACTTCTCATGAAAAACATGTTTGTAGTAAATTGCAATATTTTTGCTTAACCAGTTTTATGTAATCTTAAAAATTTCCTTCATGCCTGTTGGTAATTGGTGGTTTGATTTCATTCCAATGACTGACGCAACAATTCTTCATGTTAAGTGATCATTTTTATCGAACATAAGTACGCGACGAATGTTCACTCATAAATAAATGACAAAATTGTTGTTTCAAATTGAATCAAAGCTGTTTGAATTGTTGGATGATAAGAGAGGTGCACCTTGCCATTGTACCATCTAAATAATGACCTACATCTAGAATATGCCGTCAAAAGCGGACTCTATTTATAATTCAACTGATAGCTTTAATAATGTCGATTCGTTTATTGTTAAAAACGTTTCTATTGAATCAGCTGTCTGACGCGTCATTTTTATTTTTTTCTTCTTATTTAAAGTCTATTGAAAAAGGCGAATGAATTAAATTGCGTTCTTCTCTTCTCGTTTTTTTTTGTTTACTATTCGATTTACGATTCTTGTTTTTGTTTGTAAATGAACGAGAGTTCATTTTGTGGCAATGCTTTACATTCAAGGAACTAACTCACAACGTCTTCTATATTTAAATGATCAAACGTTTCTGCGTAGATTATTTCTTTCTTTTCCTTTTGTGTTCATTTCATTTTATGAAATAATCTTAGATCGAGACTTAGTAGGTCTGTTTTAATCGGTCAGTGTCATGTGAAGTGCAATTTTCCGACAAGAATTTGCAAGTTGAACACTTGACTGTGTCACATGTGCATGATTTTGCATTCATATACACCCACACAATTGAAACTGAAATCGAAAAGAATTCATAAAGAAATAAAATAATGAAGTTGTTGATAAAATATTGCAATCATCTTTTGATATCTAAAATATTTTATTGACTATGATTTTACAATCTTACAATGAAAAGTTCAATCTAATGGGTCGAGTAAATAAAAATCACTGCAAACAATTTTAAATCATTTCTAAAGAAATTGTTTAAGATTATGAGAGGATGCGAGTTTAATTTGTTAATTAAACTGTTATCAGTCATCGATAAAATTTACAATCTTTTTACTATTAAGGAGGGAAAAGATTTTTATGAATATTAATTATGGCGTACGATTGTTCATTCATTGTGTCATTTCCAACATCGCAATAATTTTAAATTTATTTTTTGATATTTCAACCACACATTGTTTCTGATACTGCTTCAAAGGATGTACAGAAAGCACTGAAACGTCGCAATAAATTAAAAAAATAATCAAATGGATTTTCATACGCGACTGAAAGTCGCTTTATTAACAAATTAATCATTAAACATTTTGATTAAATAGATATAAACAATTTATGTTCAATTTAAACTAGAAAATATTTTCCATTAAAAGTTTCAATCAATCAATTAAAAAAATTATTTTTATTCGAATGATACCCAAGTTGTTGGGGAAAATTCATCAGACTGATCTTTGGTGTAAAATTGATTCAATTGCGATTCATTTTCAGCTCCCAAATCAATCAAACATTTGGTCACGTCATCATTTTGTTGTTTGGTCTCGTCTGATATCAGCTTCTCAATATTCAAAACGTTGTTTTGCGTCTCAACATTTTCTTTGTTCTTCGAGTCTTTGTTGCGAATCTCTTCGAGAAATTGTTCGTTTTGATAGATTTGAAAAGCTCGTTCAAAGGCCCTGAAATAAATATGCAAGATGAGATCATTAAACTCGTTAATTTGTAAAATGAATGTTTTGGCTCCAGTCCGATTATTTAAAGAGTGCTTAAATTTACTAACCTTGCAACTGTCATTGTCACATTATGAGCGACTTTTCTCTTCTGACATTGAAATGCATGTAAAACCAAGCCATCTTCTTCATCCAACGAGTTCGACTCTAATTGACCAGATGGCGATTCTGGTGATCCAAACGTCTGTGCACTTTTCTCGAATGTTTTGCTTCCTTTATCGGCTGTTGAACTCACGAAAGCAAAAATTGTGTCATGTGCAGCGTCAATTGAACAATACGAGATTTTGTAAATTGGAATTTTAAGGAGCGTCTCTTCAGTCACCGTGTTGAATGTTTCGATTCCTTTTGGAGAAATTGCAATTGTTACGTCTGGAACTTTCTTTTGACTTTTTGAAGCGCTGATAACTTTCTTAATGGCACTCGTTGTTATCATTTGTGACTTTTTGCTGAGTTTAAGTTTCTTGTTACTTTTATCGTCTGGAGGTGTTGTCGACGTCATCACTGTGTTTCCAAGGTATTTCAAGTTAAAGATGATCGCTTCGTCAGACACTTCTTCGTCATGGATATCCAATGGACTGTCAGTAAAGTCACTGATACTACTCGCCAATGCTATTTCTTCATTCAATTCTATTTCGAATCAGAAGTCAAGCGAAAAATTAATTAGTGGGTGGCTTTTTTGTCATGTTCATTTTGAGAATGTCTTTGAGTTCGCAATTTCATCAAAGCTTAAGCAATTATCACTTAAGACATCATCGCTAGTTTAATGTATGCAAAACAGAAACTTTTTCATGGCCTTCACAGCATCTCACATAGAGAATGCAAAGTAACGAATAAGTTTCATCAGCTGCTTAGTAATTTCAAGACAAGAGATGAATGAATAACTTAATTGAACGATCCGTTTCACTTACTTTTATGCTTCGAGCTGTTCTTCCACATTGATTTTAAAAACGACATTGTTGAGCTGATTTACTTTTAATCGATGATTCCACAAACCTCAAAAAATTTCTTGCTAACTTCTAATTAATAATTGAATTATTTTTCTTATTGTCTGATTTAATTTTCTTTTATTGAACCACAACTTTCAATCCACTTCTTTACAGACAATTGCACTTTAATTTTTCAATCACTCGATCACAATTCGAATCAGTTGAGTTGCGTCAAAAAATAATTTTTTCGCGTCCGATTTAGTCGACAGTTGAATTCTTTCTGATTTTTCTCTAACGTGATGTGTTTATGATCGGTGAGCGACTGGGAGAAGAGAAACAAATTGAATAAGCTCAGCACACACAAGCACGCAAGCAAGCACGAAGCTTCGTTTTGATCTCTCTTTGGACAATTCTGAATGCAATTTGCATGATAAGATAAACGTGATAAATTGTTTGATATAATTTCATTCTCTCGCTCTCTTTTTTCATGTGCAGACTCTACATATAAAAAGTAACAATCAACAGCATAATTTGATGCAAACTAGATTCACACCAAGGCTCCAAAGAAACTGATCAAGAAATGATTTTCTAGACATTTATGGATCGTTGCACAGCATTTTCTCTTTTCACTTCATGTTGACAAGTTTCTCATAAATTATTTATTGCAAAAGAATGGTTGAGTCTTGCATTTCGTTACAATAATTCATTAAAAGAAACAAAATGAATGTAAAAATGAAGGTCACAATGCTTTGAAAGTTTCGTTGTTCGTTTTTTTAATGAAAGAAAAACTTCCAAGAGATCGAAAGTTTGCAATTTCTTTTCGGGGATTTTTTAAGATTAAAAGTTTTAATGAAAAACAACATAACATTACCGCGTTTACTTTGATTTCTTTTAATCTCATGATCGCGATGTTTAATCTGCAAATAATTTTTTCCTTTGAATTGTGCGTGCATAAGAGCTGATGCAATATTTCCACATTCAACGATCACATTCCTTATGCCAATAATTTATTGAATGCGATTAATAAATTACAACAACTCGAGTAATTTCATTTGATTCAAGATTAGCTGACGTGAAGATGTTTCATCGAATGACCTACATGTTGTGATACTTTTTTTCCACAATAAAAAAGACGAAAGCAATCAATCATCTAATTGTTTTGTTTCGATTTTATTTTACTCGAACTTTTGCTTGAAGCGTTATCAAAAGACACTTTTTAATTTGTGTAACTCAAGTCAGTCGTCGTCTAAATCGGCGTGATTATAAAATGTGCAAAAGTCGAACAAAAAAATCCTTTTCAATTGCGCAAGTGAATTAAATTGCGTCTCGAGACTCAGTCTTATGAATACAAATAAAAAATTGAAAAGTTCAAATGCCAATGATGAATTCAGAACAAAATCAAAGTTTTGCGTTGTTCCAAAAATACCCTTGATGAGTTGACGTAAAATTTCCGTATTAGATTTATTCTGTTTTGAGTTCATTGCTGGTTGAAATTTCTTGCCTTACTTTGCATGCGAAATGGAACTTGAAATGTCGCGAGCTGCGATCAATGAAAGGAAATTAAAAATGTGAATGAAACTCCCATGACTGATAAGAAGCTAAACAAGATTTTACATCCTTGACAGTTTTCATTGAGTCTAGAATCACTTGGCGTCTAAGCATAATATTTTAATTAGAATCATGGCGATAGTTGATTTGCAATATTAAAATTTTTCATGGTCTCATTTAATTTATAAGCAAATTGATTGCATAATTTTCATATAAAATTTGTCCCATGACAATATTTGCAATTAATTTCAACTAGAATTTCTGATTTTTGAATAAAGTAAGTTAAGTGGACAGCGTCATATTCTATAAAAAGTATTCTTAAACAAGGTTGAGTCAAAAAGTTTTTTCTTGTATAATTTGACGAGAAGAAAAAAGATTGAAAAGAGAATTGAAAATCTTAAAATGATGAAAATTTATGATTATTTCTGCATGATGAAAAAACCTGTTGAGATTTATCAGACGTTTTCATTGAATTGAATTGAATTGTTATGCGTCGTTGGAAAGAAAGCATGTGAATCTTTTCAATTCAAGGTTAAAGTTCAATAAACATCAGCATAAATTTAAATTGTGATCCAAGCGATTCATTTTGAAAAGAATTTTGTTTATTTTTTTAAATTATTTTATTGGCATGTAATATCTAAAAGTTGATTGATGTCATTTATTTATTACAGTGTTACATGTAAATTGGTATCGATTTTCATAATACGGCTAAACATTTCTTTTAATGAACTTTGTGACTAAATAATTTGATTGTTTTTATTTAGATACGAATTTTTATTATTTAAGCAGTTGTATTTCAATAGTTTATTGTATGAAATTATAAATTTTGTTATTGATTAGAACTTTTTTTATATAAATATTCAAATATTTGTATGATGGATGTATGTAAATGGGATTAGGATTAATTTAAATCCTACGATTAATCTAACAATTTATTTTTAATCTTTTCCTTTGCCATTATTTCATTTCTTTCATTTCATCTATAGAAACATGTCTTGCAGTATTTTCATAATCAGAAAGTATCAAAGATAATTCAACATTACAAAAATAATTATTTTATCATTTCATTTCATCGGAGAGCACTAAAGTTTTTTTATTCATCAAAACTGTTTTAATTCTAAACCTTTAATTAGGTATGAATGATTATAGCGAAATATTGAGCTTAAAACATTGATTTTTTTTCTTTTCTAACGCATGAAAGCTTTTTCTTGCCATAAACTTGCTTAATCCTACAATTTCAACTTTTTTTATACAATTCATTAAACGAAACGCAATTAAAGCATTTTTATTTTGTTTTTACATTTTCTAGTAATTCGAAGAATCTCGAATTTATCATATGTAAACTCATAAACAATAAAGTAATTATAATTCAAGTTTATTTACATGCATAATTTGAAGCATTTCTTTTCTTTAGATGAATGCAAATCACTTTTTACGATACAAAAGTCTTCTCGAGTGATAAAAAGTGCAAATTTCAATAAATTGCCTGTTATTTTATGCGCAAAATATAAATAACTCGTTGTTTATTTTGTTACATGCTTATTTAGCTGAGCGATAAAAAAAGTTATGTCACAAAAATTAATAATTTTCAGAATTAATTATTGTTCTTTTTTTCGAATATTTAGAATGAAATATTGAATAGGAAATGACATAATTCAACTCCAACTTTGCTATTAAACTGCCTGTTAAATTTCCCTTATTCAAAATTCACGCTTTACGTAAAAACTGAAAATTTCTTTTATTTTTGTCATCATCAATTTCATTTAAAATTCGATCGAATATTTCATATTAAATGCAAATTTCATTTGTGCAGAGTTTGAGTTTGGAAGTCGTGAGTTAATCGATCAATAATTGTAATGAAGAAAACTCTGTGATCTTTCAGTACTTTACTCAACTCTACTTTTGTGCCATAATTAATGATAATTTCTTTGTCTTTTAAAGCATTGATTTGTTTTAATTTTCATGTCATTAGTCAAAGCATAATTTTGAGTAGCTAATTAGTACTTTATGATATTCCATTTCTGTGATTATTTAATCTATGTAGATAATTTATGCATGCAGCTTTTTCTTTTCTTTATTTTTGACACATCGAAGGAAGATACGATAGAGATGAGGTGACTAAACAATTTAGGTATATGTAAAAAGTTTTTTAATTATTTAGTACAAGGAGACACAAATGCTGTACAACACAACACATGAAACAATGTCGCATATTGACACAACGTCATAAGATGCAACATGATGTTTCGCAACATGTACTAAAAATGTCTTTTTGAAAATTTCTTGATTATTAAAATGTTTTCAGATTATTTTGTTTCCTTTTGACATGTGCTTTTTCTATCGAAACATTTTCGTGAAGATTATTTATTTTATTAGTATAAAAAAGAAAATTAATGTGTTTTTCAGAGCGTTATCATCAACAAATTCTTATCTATCCATTACCACTTTCAATTACGCCAGTCTTTCTTCGAAACAGCAGAAACTATTTCTTCTTTCCATCACTCTTTGACTTTTCCGCTTTCTCGTTATATCAAGCGGATGTTTCATTTGGTTCCATCCACTCTTCATCGCTTTCATCGCTGTCACTTTCCGAATCTGTTAACTCAATTGCCACACGACGTGCAAGAATCGAAGCAACGTCATGAAGATTCGACTGCTTTTGATGACGAATATCGTCTCGTAATTGCTCAACTTTTCGAAGCTTTATACCTGAAACATATCATGTAATTTAATTTAATTAAATCTTCTCTCTCGTGTCATGTAAATATGACAGTAATTTACCTTCTCGAATTTCACGCATCAAATCTCCTTGATTATATCCACCACTTGGTACTCGATTCGGTTGTGGTTCAACTTTTCTTAATGAAATACCTAAAGAAAATAAAGTTAATTAAATCCATCCATCATGCCATCTCAAATCTCATTCTTTTACCTGTCTCAATCTCCTTCAACAAACCAGCATGACTGTTTGATTGTGGTGTGATGATATTTGCAGGCTTTCCAATGCCATTCGAAAGATTTCCATTAGGCATTGGTGGTGGTGGTGCCATCTAAAAATTAAATCAATCAAGAATAAATGTAATTAATCACAATCTCCTTTCTCTTTCTATTTAACTTACCGGAGGTGCTGGCGGCGGAGCATTTGGTGGCGATGTAGAAATTTTCTGTGGTGACATGTGATACTGAAAATAATTTCAATCAACTTTCAACATCAATTATAAATTAAAAATAATTATTTACCTGATCTGGAACAGGTGGTGGGGGCGGCAGATCATTAATATTTATGTTATTCATCTGACTATTGAGTTGTGCCATCACATGATTATTCATATCATTTCTTTGAGGAGAATCATTGCGTTGATTCATCGAAGTTCTTCCAGGATGTCTTAAGATGCCACCATTAGCGACTCCCATTTGATGAGGTGGCGAAAGTTCTGGAATTGGTGGTGGCGGTGGCAACACATCACGTCCTGTTGACATGCTTCGACCTCTTGTTGGTGTGTTTGCATTTGAGACATTTGGAGTTCCACCAGATCCGGAGCTTGGTGGTGCTGGCGGTGGGTGCGATGGTCTTAACTTCCCACCTCTTGATGGTGTGCCAGGAGCGTAAGGACTTTCCATTTGTTGTCCTTGTCCATACATCGATGAATTATAAGCTGAATCGTCATTCAGTTGTTGATAACTCATTTGCTGTTGATAACCTGGCGATGTTGGCGCATACCCATCCGATCCATCAGGATAACTTCGTCTTAACTCGATCGAATTCGGACGATTTGGTCGTCCATCATAATAATCTGTGCTACTGTAGATCGTCACATCTTGTTGCTGATGTTGTTGATTAATGATCGAGTTTGGAGTGCGATAAATAACATTGTTCGGCATCAAAGTTTCACCATGCCCGATAGCAATTTGTCGTTGCTTCTCTCGTGTATTTGTCGGTTGTCTTACCCGTTTATTTTGTCGCTTTCCACCGGCAGCTGTTGTATCTGACTTAGGCTTATGTTTCTGTTTGTGACGATCATTCATCTTCTTTTCAGTTTCCTGAAGAATATCTTGTCGCCATAAGTCAAAGAAATAATTCGGATCAGTGTAAAATTTCAACCCATCTTTGCCATCATCACGATAAATGTTGAGCTTATCTAAAGGTGGCGGTTTATCGCACATTTGATAAGTTTCTAACATTGCTGTTGGCATTGTGGCACGAGAAAAGATGTCTTGATCAAATTGAGTTATGCTTTTGAATGCTTTCTTCTTCGTGATGTCCTTTAATGGAACTTCCTTCACATCGCTATCAAGTTGAGTGACTTTAATCGACAACCGATCAATTCTTCCTTGAAGTGAATTCGCACGATCAGCCATGTTGTTTGTTTCCCTTGCCAACTCCCCAAAAAGATCTTCGGAATGTCTTGCAAGTGATGACAATTGTCGCATAATATTTGTGAGTGTTGTGTTGGTAACAGTTTCTAAATCACCTGGCAGTTCATTTCGTTGATAAACTGAACGAGCCACAAACAGCGGCTCAATAACCCGCTTTGGTAGTGGCATGATGAATTTTTTTTATAATTTTCTTCTTGTTTCTAAAATTTCACGTTCTAATTTCTTTCGTTTTATTCAAATATTAATTTTTAAGGTGATGAAGATGATGAAAATAGCTGCAATGACGCAATGCATTCACATGATGACACAAAGTGTTGTTAGCTTTGCCTAAAATAAATAAAACAAAACAAGCAAAGAAGCTTTGGGTTAGAATATAAATTTCTTGGAATGACAATCAAAATATGTTTGAAAACACAAATAAACAAATGATTAATATTAATGGAAACTTCCGCTTCGTATTTTCACGAAGGGAAGTTGTGATTATAAATAGAAATTGGGGAAATGCTTCGATCTTGCTGATTCAACCCAGAAATAAAAGTGCAAGTTGGAAAATTTGTTGCATTATGAGATATAAAAAATTCATTGAAGTCGTGTCATGATTATTTATAATAAAACACATCAAGAGGTTTCAAAAGTCAAGTTTAAGCTCTGAATTTGTTGGACATTCTAATATTTAATTTTCATTAAATATACATAACAACAAAGTTAAATTATCAACAGAGTTGAACAAGTCGTTGTTATAACATTCTCTACATAAATTAAAATATCATTCACCTCGTTTAAATTTAGCATGAGACTGATCGTTTGTTTAGAAAGCATGTTCAACCCTCTCTACCTTCGATGTCATGAGAATCACATGAAAAGTGTAATCAAGTTAATTTAATACACTGAAAATTTAATCAATCATTCGAGATTGACATTGATGACAGTGAGTGTTGAATTTTAAACAAACTTTACTACACAATCAGGAAGCATTATGAAAGAATTCAATTTTAGATGAAGGGAAATTGAACTTTTCCTCATCATTATGTAGACACTACTTCAATTTCTTGTGGTCATTAAATTATCAAGTATTTGTTACTTAAGCAACTGACATCATTCACAACTTAACTTGTAGGTCAGCAGGTCGCCGAACGAGGCAGATTTATTGATCGTGTCAAGTGCGAAGCAAAAATGAATTTCAATTGAATTTTAATATGAAATAAAGTCGGTAATTAAATTCACTATTCGATCAACAACAAGACTAATTTGATTACTTCACTCGCTTTATAGTCACAGCTTTATATGCTGTGATGTTCATCATTATTGAATCATCGCGTGATTATGTGAATTATTAGCATCGCAAAAAGAAACGATGAGAAATTAAAAGAGAAAAGAAGAAGTAAACAAACGCAGCAGCACGGAAAGTGATTTTATAAAGCTTAGCGGTGATCTAAATAATACTTAAATATCGTGGAGATTTATACGATAATCATTTCATTTTACAACTGAGAAGAGTGACAACTTTATAGGAAGCTCAATTAAACGATAAAATACAAGATGGTTTCGATTAATCAAACTACCGTAACAGTTCATACAATTAAATCTTCTTATTTAATGCTAAGTAACATCATCGTGTAAACCAGCGACGCAATTAACTCTTTCTTGTGTAACTGTTAAGATTTATTAAATTTGCCCACCGTCTTAATACTTTTCCTTCCTTCTTTCTTCTCTCTCTCTGCTTCTCACAAATCAAAAAATCAACTCTGACGTCTTCACAACGTTCATTCGGCGCTTTTTCATTCTTTCTCTTCCATCATTCGTTAATTCTTCTTTTTTTGCCTCGTCTTTTTGGCTTCCAAAATTCAACTTTTCATTAGATTTTTACATAAACGATGAAACATGGAGAAATATAAAAATAGCAATTTTTTGCATTAATCTTTGTGAAAAATTATTTTCCATATAAGAAATAAATTTACAAATCGATAAAACTTCAACTGACACTTGATAAATATTTAACGTTTTTAGCTATGGGACTCTAATAAGATTCACAAATTGTCATGAGAATTTCCTTATGGTTCAATGACACGACACTCCATTCAGCACTAAAAATACATTTTGACGAGTTTAAGTAAATAGAAGAAATGTTTTCAAACATCCCACCATGTAATTTACAATTAAATTAAATGTCGAGAAAGAAGAATTATGTGAAGTATATTTAATGTTCGTTTTAACGGTAAATTAGCCAAAAAATAATGTCGTCTTCACTTTGCATTACAGTTGGAAAAAGAACCGCCACTTGAGGCTTCTTATTCAATTGGAATGAAGATATAATTCCGATTTAAATGACTCTATAGAGATTTATTAACCTGTTCAGATAACAAATGTTTACTGAGTAATCTTACGAAAGTAATCAATATGAAACAAGTCAAGAAGCTACTTAACTGAGTTAAAGTTTCATCAATTTGTATTCATGATAAACTTTTCTATATTTGTGTCTGTGTAACTTTATTCGATTCGGTTGGGTTTAAAGAGAAAGGTCACAAGTCATTGCGGCTGCCATCGAATAAATACAACAAAAGGAACAAAGAACGTTTGATTTATGAATCATAAACACACAACAAGGCTGATCAAGCAAAATTACGTCAAAAACATTTTTTTTCTTTCTGTTAAATCATGATAACAAAGTCGTTAATTAAATTGATAGAGTGGACGGCTATTGTAAACAAAGGATCGGTATGGGCGAGTAATATTAGTGGTTGCGGTATCCCCCACATTTCTATTCCTTCTTTTTTGCGGAAACATTTTGTACATTCACATCTTACAGTTGAATTTTTTAATAAATTTTTACGATCTGAAAGAAACCAGAACCGCATGTTTTCAATTCTCAATTATTTAAGATTACACAAAAAATTTCTTGAAGGAATATTTTCACTTTCATATCAGATGAAATAAGTTTTAGTTAATAATGACCTATCGCGACATGCATTGAATGTTTATTGAGTCAATTCATTTGATTTCGAGAATTTATTTTCATAATCGATGAGGTTTTCTCAATCGACTGGAGGGGATTACTGAACTAGTTTCGTTTTATATTTCTCTCATGAATTTAAATTTGCGTTGTTATTATTGCTTAAGTACAACTGGGGAGTAAAATATCATTTCATGGTAAAAATTTATTCCTGTAATTCCACCCCATAAAGTTCCATTAAACCATCAGCCGATGCCAATTCTGACTTCAGAGTATGAAAATGGCAAGCAATTTATGAAATTTATCATTTTTTTTGCTTCCTCACAGTCGAAACGAAAGAAAATAAAAACAGAGAATACGCCCATTGCTTATCTTTCTTATCACTTGTTACTTTTTAAATTCCATCCAGATTTATCATCCACTGAAAAAAATAAGACGTACTGATAACAACAGTAAAGAAGGTCATAAAACTGAGAATTAGATTTTCACTATTTTCCTTCATTGCTAAAAAGCGGCTGTGGCACAGAAAAAGGTAAATACGAAGGTATGGGAAAAGCTGTTAACGTTAGCATTATAATGCAATATAAAGAAAGTTAAATAATGAGATTTGTTCTCGTTTAAAACTGCGAAAATCATAAAGAAACATAAAAATTTCTGGTTATAGCACTAAATCGTAAATCTACCATAAACTTGAGAAAATGCATTTGCTGAAAGAATTTCATGCTTTATGTACGCCTTCGTGCTTTCATTCAGCATGTGTAGTTGTCGGGATTTTTTATTATTTATTTATATCTAGGGTTGCTGTGCATTCCATTCTTTTGTTTTGAATATTTCTGACATATTAAAATTCTTTGAGATCATTCGACATGAATTCTTGTCATGTCGTTTTCATTCTTCAAAATAATTGAGTCTTCATAAAGAAAAACAACTTCAAGTGCTTTATTACGTATGCATTTCGTGTTATTTCCGCGGCGTTAACTCATTGATTTAATTATGTATTGTGATTGGATATTAATGTCACGAAAACGAAAGCATGGTCATGGGCAATGAAATAAATTCTTTTACCACGTTGATACATTAAATAAATATTACACTGCATAATTGAGTTGTTATAGATGCCTAACATACAATCATCTCAATTAACTATTCAAAAACTTGGGATATTTTTTTTTCACATTAAAATTGCTTTTGAATATTCGTTTTACTCCACTTGTGTGATAAGTTACACATTCACGCTGTTTTAAATCACTGTCATCATCATTTTCACGTTATTTAGACACCACACGATGTTTTTCTTTTCTTTCTTTCGTTTCTATTGTTCTAATTATAATTGCACCGACATTTTGACATCATAATCGATAAAAACATGTTTTCCCTTTCACTAGAGAAACATTAAATATTTTTAATTCATCTATCATCAACCCTCAAAGCCGCAACCTATCTAAACATTTCTTCATCATTTCTTTTAAAATTTTTATTCTTCCGCTCGTAGTTCTACTACAGAATAATAATTACCACTATTAGAAACATGAATATGAATATGAAAAGAGAAAGGAAACCATCATTATGATCATGATAATCTGGGAACATTTCTTTCATACCTCCCCGCGGAAGTGAATGGAGCTTTGTTTCTTTCATTTAATTCTCTTATAAATATTATGCAAATTCAGGAATTCGTCTAAGCTTGTGAAGAGAATGAATGAAGCATTCTTTATTTTTCAGTTTTAAGTGGAATGAATCACTTTTAAGATGCGTTCGAAGCGGCGAGAACTTACGGTTCAATTTTCACATTCGTCAGCTCTAAACATCAACTCAATTAAGCTGATATGATGATTTTTGCACACTTACCAATTGTTTCACAATGTTCAGTTACTTTAAATAATGTTATCAACTCTTAGAATGGAATATTTTGCTTCAATGTTCTGTTGGATTGAATAAATGGCTTTATAAAATCACTTTGAGTTGTAAATTTCTAAAAGGTGTGGATTTTCGCTTTTATTCCTTTTTCTTTCTTTTCCTTGATATCCTACATACTCCATAAATGCTCATTTATAAATTTATACCATACAAAAACCAGAAGATTCACTGTTTATAAGTAATTTAACTATTTTTTTCTTCAAATCACTCTCGATAAAAATTCTATTTTTTTAATTTTCTTTAGTGACCATAGATGTCGCACATGTGAAACCAAATGTGCATGCGGCTGAACTTTTATAGAATATTCAATTTGAACTTTTCCGTTAAATGGTAAATTACAGGACCTACTTGGACTTTAAGTTTTATTTGAAACCTCTGCTGACCTAAGAAACTTAAAACCATTTTAAGGAGATTTTATCCATTTACCAACGTTAATATTTAGTGTTTTTACAATCTGTTTATAACTACTATGGTTAAAAAAGAAGATGTTAATATTTTGCTTTCATTATTTCCTTGTTTTTTCTTTTAATTTTACTTTTTAACATCTTTAGATTAGGGAAGCTTATATCCGTGAGACACGAAAAATGGGTATATTTTGTAAGATATGCAGCCGACCTTCTCTTCTTAAATGCGTGAAATGTGAAACTATTTACTGTTCTGCTAGATGTCAAATTAAAGTAAATTTCTTTTTTCTAACCTTAAAATATTTTTAAAATTGATTATTTTTCCTTCTCCAGGACTGGGATCAACATCAGTTCCAACATTCAATGAAAGATCTTTCAATCTCTTCTTCGTCTTCGTCTTCTCGTTCTTCTTCTTGTGATACTGTTTCGAAAAATGCTCAAAATGATCAGAAAAATAATTCGGCAACTAAAAATGTGGCAAAACCTTTGACTTTAGAAGAAGAAATCCAATTGACAGTAAATGACGTGGCTAAAAGTGTTGAAATGTTGGATTTTGTAGTATCTTCAAACAATAAAACCAGCACTTCTTCTTCGTCTTCTTCCGAAAGTGAACCCAAACTGTTAAAATTGGATAAAATTATTGAATCTTCTGATATAAGTAAATACGAGAAATGTTTTCAACAAATGAAAATCACAGAAAAGGAAAATTTAAGAAATGGTTCCGTTTTCTACTGGGTCATGCCTTTAGAAGCCAAAAATTCTTTTGAATCATACAAAGTTTTACTAAACATGATTTATGAGTTTGATGACATTCCATTGATTCCTTTTGAGAAATTGAAATGTTTCATGTCCTCTTTGGTTATGGCTGAAGTCGACGGACAATGGCGTCGTATGAAGATTTTTCAATTGGAAAATAATTTCAAACGTGTAATTCTTCAAGATATCGATAGTGGCAGAAAAGAACTTCTTCAGATGCAGAAAACCATAATCAAAAAACCGAATCGAAAAGATCTTCTTAAACCGGCGTTTGCATTTAAAGTTAAATTGGAGAATGAATCTTGCAGCAATAAAAGCCAGTCATATGAAATTGGAAAAATAATTGAGCTGCGATTTAAAGCTAAGGAAAACTCGAACAAAAATACTGAAAATTATATCGCAGCAGAAGTAAAATTAAAGGAAAAACTTGACGCTGAAGTTAAACCCGACAGTAACAAAGAAGTCATGAATGAACTTGTTAAAATCGACCAAACGATGTTTACTCTTCCAGAACGTTTCTATGTAGATTCAATTGAAGTTGAAGATCTGCCGATTGGTTCCAATATTAATATTTTAATTCTAAACAACTTGTTGGAAGTGGGAAAGTTACATGTCATGGAAAATGTTAAAAACAATATTGAATCATTTGCTAAGATGTGCCAAGATATTAAAACATATACTGAATCATATCCATCAAAAAATTATTACAAACCAGAGTAAAATTTTAAAAATGTTTTATAATTGTAAAAGGAATAAAATTTTTCTTTTTTCACAGGAACCGTGAAATGGTTTTGGTAAAGCATTCAGATGGGTATTTTTATCGCAGTGTTTGCATTCAATCAAAGAAAACTGGAGCAAAAGTTTTCTTCATTGATTACGGTACTGAAGTCGATGCAGAATTTAAGGATATCGTGAAATTGCCAAAAAAACTCTTTAGAAAATGCTTCTCGCATTCAATCGACATTCAATTAGCTTCAGGACGATCAATTACCGAAATTAATGTTCAGAAAACATTTGAACATTTGGAAAAGAAAATTAATCAAAAAGTGAATGTTAAAATCGAATATTCGCCACAAAATAATGAAGATTCGTCAATTTATTTAGCTACTTTAACTGACTCGTTGGTCGTTTATGAAATGTAATTTTATATTCAAATTATCATGTTAAAAATCTCGGGGAAAAACAAACAACAATATTTATCAACCGCCAATACGTATTTTAACATGAAAGTTTCAATTTATTTTTCTTTAACATCAAATAAAAAGAAAAACTGTGACACGAAATAAAAAAATCTCGTTTTGTTTTCAATCAAATATTTTAATGAATCGAAACTTTTTTGTTCACCCCAAAATAAGTTAAAATAAAATAAAACTTTCAACAATGCAATGCTTCGATATTTTATTCATAATTTTCATAAAAACCGAAAAACAAAAGAGAAACGAAAAATTAATTTTAGTTTTTTTAATATAAATTCAGTAAAATATTTCAAGCACTGTTTTGGCATAAAACTTTGAAATTCAGATGGCCTCAGATTTAGATTTTATTAAACAACAGCATATGCAGCGTAATTTGAAATCCCACACATATTTACGCCACGTTTAATCTAGAAAAATGATAAAAATGAAATCAATGAGAGTTCAATGAATGCATAAATTAAATAGAAATAAAAAGTTGCAACTTACTCTCATGTAGCCTTTTTCTCCCCACTTTCTTCCCCTGTGTGAATAATTAATTAATTAAACATTTAAACTTCTTCGTTTACGAAAACTTACCACCAATTTTTTAAAATCCAACTGTGTTCGTCATATCCAATAAGCAACATTGCATGATTGACAGTGTTAGACGAGCAATCTTTGTCATCGTAAATCCCTTTACTGTACAATTGGAAAGTTCTTAATGAAGCATTAATGGAAACCGCTATCGGGCCAACTTCATTCAAAATTGCCTTCATAACATTTTCATTTTTTCGTGGAAGAATCGCCCATGACGTTATATTAACAATCGCCAAATCGGGGTCGTAAGCACATTTGTTTTGCTACTTAGTAAATATTAAAGAAAATATACTTTACACTGCTGATAAAAACGAATGTTTTAAATCTCACTTTAGCATTGTAGGGATAATCAACTTCTCTCATTAAACCGCCACTTTTCTGTAGATATTTAAGAGTAGTTCTTAAAGAACCTCCAGCACATCCGTGATTGCCATAATCAGTGCTGCAATCAACTATCTGTTGAGTGCTGAATAAAATATTTTAAAACTTCATCAAACATCGCTTTAAAAAATTTCCCACCTTAATTCAATAATTCTGTTTAGTCTTTTGAAAATCTGACCTTCGACTGAATGTCCAATACTAAAAGCATAACAACTTCCACATGATTTTTGATTCATCGGTTTAGTTACAAAACCTTTTTCTCTCCAGTCGAGTCTACTTGGATAATCGCCATGTTCGAGACCAGCACCGACAATGTTTTCCTGATCAGTTGCTTCATCAAAATCACTGTCAACAAGTCTCACAAAGTGCTTGAGATATTGCTGATTCGACAAATCGGCAAGACTGTTGGAGCTTATTTTAAACGACGAACTTCCGTTCTTAAAAGCTTCATTGTGTTTTACAATCTCATCTAAATTTTCTTGAAATGCTTTCTTATGTCGTTCTTCTCGATAACTAACACTGAAGTTCTTATGATAACGAACCTGTAGAAAATGTTGAATTAAATTTAATGACTGATGAAAGAAAGCAATTTAAGACTTGCTTTATAAGTCTCCCATTGTGGAGGTTCATCATCATCGTCATCATCTTCTAAACTTATACTTTTACTAGCAAAATTCGTTGGTAAACATAATGATAAAAGAATCACAAGCACTTTTATGTTCATATTTAAATTTTAAACTTATAACTTTTTAATGAAATTTTGAAGAAACGATCGAACGTGTTGATGTTCAAACAATAACTGATGAATAAAAAATTGAATTGATAACGAAATGATAGTGAGAGACGATGAGAGTTAACCCATTTCAATGCAACTTTTAAAAGGATACTTTAGCTTTGTAATGTGTGATGTATCTGCGAGCTGTATTCTCATTATCATTTATTTCTAGCTGAAAAATATCAAAGTTTGTAATTTCTTATCAAAGTTTTTGATCCAGATTATCTTTAATCTAAATCTTGTTTAATCTGAGTTAAATTTAATCCTTCAAAGCATAACAAAAGTTTCATTTTTTCACCCAACAAAATGGAATGAAGGGGAATTGTTTTATTCAATTTCTTTCTTGATATGCAATGTCAATGCATAAATTGTCAGCAAATATTTTAACGAGCTGAAGCAGAAACTGAAACTTGCCAGACACGAATCTTGTTGTCACTGTAACCAGCGAAGAGAGTTTGTCCGTCAGTTGACCAAGCCAAAGACAAGCATTGTGGTGGATCAGCCTTTGATGAATCGTTTGATGACACACCTGGACGCAATTCTTCAACCATTTTCTTATTTGCCAAATCCCAGATCTTGATCGATGATCCGTAAGCGACACACAACCAATAACGGTTGGGAGAGAAGCACAAAGCATTGATGATATCATTGTGGTCCAATGTGTGCAAATGTTTGCCATCATTCAAATCCCACAATAAAGCCTTGCAGTCTTTTCCACCCGATGTACAGAGTGAACCATCAGGAGAAATTGCGACAGTGTTCTAAGAAGCAAACAAAAAAAATTAATAATTAAAAAAGAAATAGTAAAATTTATAAACTCACCAAATATCCATTGTGACCATAATGATTCAACTTCAATTTGCAGTTAGTCAAGTTCCAGACCTTGACGGTGCGATCCCAACCAGCTGAAACGATGATAGGTTTCACCTGATTGGGAGAGAAACGAACACACGAAACCCAATCGCTATGTCCATCTTCTTGAATGGTGTATTTGCATTCAGCCAAAGTATTCCACAATTTAATTGTCTTGTCGCGTGATCCAGACACAATCTGACGATTGTCAGCTGAGAAAGCAACAGACAGAACGTCCTAATAGATAAGAAAATTATTAGATTGTTGAAATTGTCAGAAACATTTCATAAATTTATAACATTGAACTATCATTTTCATTTCTTTCTACATTACCACAACGAAATCCATCGAAGATAATGTCTCCAGTAATATTTTCATGGTATACACCATGTCTTCTGCCTCGCATAGGCACAATTGGGAAAGTAAAATCAAACGCGCATGGGAAATTAAAACCCTTAACGGCCCAAACTAACGAGATTTACAGCCCCAATAAAATCAAATTAGACAACAAAGTCACACCTTTGTATGATCCTCGAAACGGCGAGTACTCTTGCCTGCAGCCAAATCCCAAAGACGGAGAGTCTTATCCCAAGATCCGGACAAAGCGTAGTTTCCATCAGATGACAAAACAACGTCGCTAATGAAGTGACTGTGTCCATAAAGACGCTTTTGTGGAACCCCATAGCTGTTTGCTTCACGCAACAAACGCCAGACAATCAAAGTCTTGTCTGTAATTTAAAATTAATGATATCAAAAGGTTATGTTGACTTTAATTTTATATGAATTAAAATCTTACCTCGAGAACTTGACAAAATCATGTCAGGATATTTAGGATTGGTAGCGATTTGAGTAACCCATCCTGAGTGACCAATCAATGTTCCTTTTAATTGTAAAGTTTCGGTCATTTTGCCGACTTTTTTTAATTATTTTTTCGTGAGCGAAAAAACACGTTTGGTTCGTATCGAGACGAGGAGAAAAAGAAAGAATTGGAACAAAATTCTATTTTCATTCCCCTTGCTGACATGAGAAAACAATTTTCATACCCCTTAAAAATTCCCCGAAGCTTGCATGTTTTGAATTTTTGAAAAAAGAAAATAGTTTAATTTTATTAAATATAACGAAGAGAATGCCAAGAAACAGAACTTCAAGTGATTCCCGACAACTTTTACAACACAGTGAGAGTATTGAAAACAACTCAGATTCACCAGCCACACCATTACCGAATTCAGTTTGCCTAAAACGTAAATAAATTTTCATTGTTTTTGTTTTTGAGAATTTCTTGTTTTCTTACAAACATTTATATTTGAAATATTTTAGAGCTTCTATTGCAACGGGCCTGGGAGTTTTGGAATGTAAAACAAAATGAAAAGGCAGCGATATTTTATCAAACTATTAGCTTTTGCATGCAATCAGCTTTGTATCAAGATAACGAAGACATTTTCAGTTATATCGAAAAGCTGAAGCGTGAAGTGAGTTACCAAGGTGGAATCGAAAAGCCTATTTTCAATTATTCTAACTTTGATGATATCAACAAATACCTCGAAAGAAACATCAACTCAATATGCCTTAACGAGTTCCCGAAAGAGTGGACCGTCGTGCAGCTCTGTAAAAATTTCAATCCTGTTTCAATTTCAAGCAAATACGAGGATATTGTGAGCTATAATACTGGTATATCAATGGCAATTTTCAAACATTCTTCCATCAAAGATATGGTGATGATTGAGATTAAGAAACCTTCACGATGCCCTGAAAATGTCTTTGAGAAAATTTACAAGCTCAATGGCAAGGTAACTGAAACGTTAAACTTCAGAAAAATGCCACAAGATACATCGAATGAATGTAAAGAATCGAGAGAAAAATATTGGAAGGCTCATAAAGACATCGATTTTTACGTTCAAGACGTTATTGTACTTTTAAAGTCTTTCATTGGGCCTTGGATTTGTGCACTCACTGGAACATTTAAGAATCAAAAATCAATAGAGATTGAAAATAAGATAAAATTTAAAGTTTATGAGTTCTTGAAGACTCAAAAATATAGCGAACAACAGGAAAAGTTAATACTAATTATTGCTAAACGCACTGATCTCTTGTCACATGAACAAATTTTTCTCGCCATAACTTATATTTTACGTGACAAGCCAAATCTAGGCTATCATGACATCGACCTCAATAATCTTTACGATTTTCTTACTTGGATTAAGCAAGAATTTGTGTATGATGACGTCTCATGTCATCCATGCATTCTCATTGTCGATGAACTTCTCGATCAATTGCCTTTCGAGATGTTAAACACTCAGCAAGAATTCACACGCGTGTGTTCATTTGCAAACCTTAAGAGATTATTTGAACGACACAGTGAGAATATGGAGAATGGTTACATTGTTTGTCCGACATTAAATTGTCAATCAATCATAAATCCCGATGGAAGTTTGGTGGCGATGGAAAATCGAATGAAAAGTTTCTTCAATTATTGGCTACCAAAATGGAAGTTTACGTTCAATCAAAAACCTTCAAAAGAAGAATTCTACGAAAAGTTGTCACAATCTGATATTTTGGTTTATTGTGGCCATGGTTCTGGTCTTCAATTGCTGAGCATGGACAGTGTTTATAATCTTAAGACAAAAGCTGTTGTATTTCTTTTCGGTTGTGGTTCTGTTGGACTTACGTCTTCGGGTCTTGTCAGTGAGCTGACTGGAGCTCACTCCTATTATCACATTGGGAATTGTCCAGTTGTTGTTGGATTTTTGTGGACTGTTACCGATTTCCAAACGGATTATTGCACAACAAAAATTTTAAGTGGCTGGTTCAATAACAAACAAGCGAAAGCACATTGGCAATGTATTGATCAAAAAGTTTGGAAGTCCACAGGGAATTTAAGTAAGAGAAAGAAGATGGAAAAAAAAAGATTTTTGTTTATTTATTTCTTTTAATTTCAGCATTTACCAAGAATGGTGACATCGTTTCTTCAGAGAGTCTTGCAGAAATCGTTACACGATTACACAACGATCCTGAAATTAATATAGCGATAAAATCCGCACTTGTTTATCGAGGCTTACCAGTTATCGTCAACAATACTAAGTAGAGTAAATTATCAACACTGTGCATTACTTTACAACTCCATATGCTCAAGATTTTAAGATTAGTTCTTCCCCTCAACCACAATGATTTTATACCTTCGAATACGCTTCTTCAGATGAATACATTTTAAAAATAGTAAAATATGTTAAGTTAATTTAAATTTGTAATTTGCTTCCTTTGTTTTTTTTTAATTAATGTAAAGAATCGGAAATGTGTTCACTGAAATTTACGTAACAAAAACAAGTTTTAAAATATTAAATTTACCTAATTAAAGAAGACAAAAAATTAATGATTTTTGGATATTTTTAAAGTTTTCAGGCGATGATGAAATGAATGAATTTAATTTAATCCACACAATTTCTTCAACCGTAGAAGTAAGTCATAATTTAATTAGTATTCCCAAGTCCTTCAATACAAGACCAGCACAATTTTAATATTTTTTAATAAATTAATTCTCATGCTTCAAATTGATGACTTTGCTTCTTAGAAAGTGTCAAGTCAACTCAAAGCATAACAAAAGTTTTTGTTTATTTAGATATTTATTTATAAAAAAGTTGAAAAAAAGTTTAATTTCTTTCCTCAATAATCGTCTTTCTTTTATTTTATTTATTCTTTTTTTTTGGTTTCATGTTAAATGTCTCATAATTTCCTTTAATAAGGTTTTGTGTTATTCATTCATCTACATTTCCTTAATATTGAAAATTATTGTTGAATTTTGTTTCCGTCGCTATCATGTTTTAAAAAAGAAATTGTCAAATTTATGAATCTTCTTTCTAGGTAGTTGTGCTACTTTTATATAATTTTCTCTAATATTTAACTCAGTTTAAATTTGAGGGTTCTCTTCTATTTTATATACACCAGGTATGTGCTACATAATTATGTTTTGTGTCAACAATATTTAAAATCATACTTAAAAAAATCAATACCACTACCTAGATATAATAAACTTCATCTCATTTAAAATTTAATATGTTTTCGTTTCACATCGTTTGGAACTTTTTTTTTGTGTGCTTTTTTGCACATTGTTAAACTAGAGTTATACACTCAACTTTTATTCAACGATCATTAAGAAGTTTCTGACTGTAAGTTTTGAAATGAAAATCTCTTACCTCTTAACTATTTTCTTGTTTTTTAGATACGTTAGTTGGAAGGAGAAGGCAAAATATGAAAGTATGAGAAGATTTCCTTTTTTTGAATAGATACATTGGGATCGACTCTTAAAATCTACTGCGACCTTTCAGACACATGAGGAAAATTTTTCCTTGTTTTCTTTTTTTCGGTTATCTTTTAGGGAGTATACGTTTTATCAGCTTATGTTGATGCTCATGAGAAGGAAGAAGTTCTAAAGATTTTCTAAGCTTATAAAGTTATTTATCGTTTTTCTGTCTGATTTTTTTTTTCATCTACCGAATATGTTTAACAACATTTAACATCTAAAGGAAAAAATTGTTGTTTGATTGGGATATGAGAGAAAAAATAACATTTTCATTCGATAATACTTTGGTCAACATGCTTGTAGTAAGTATTTATCTTCTGCAATTGTGTTTGACATCGTGTTTCTTTTATCATGATTCAATAAGCCTGAGTCATGACTCATGAGTGTGTACTTGATTTTAATATAATTCAATAAAACAATTGTCTGGTGGTTACTTTCGTAACTTCCTCAAAATTATAAAAATTAACACCCCTACTCTATCTTTAATGTGAATCACCAAAAACACTCATGGACGCTTACCATAATTTTATTGATGGGACATGAGGGACCAAAGCCTTTCATGTTCCATGGGTCGTTGCATAACATTTCAAAGCAGTATGTACAAAGAGCTTTAAATCCATCAACATGACACTTTAAAGTGGAGTAATGTTATCTATCTAGATATCGTAAAACGGAAAAAGTCTTCTGGTGTCTCTTGATAATTTTCTTTTTCGACTATTCTCTGTTTTGAATTTCTTCTGAGATACAATAAAAGTTTAGAAAGCAGAACTTTTCCTTTAAAGGAAAGAGAACAAAAAGCTTTTAACTTAGAGATTTAATAGAACGAACGAAGAAAAAAAATGAAAATGAAAAGTATCGTAAAAAATAAGAAATGAAAGGAATTTCTCTCGACATTAAATTTCCTTTTTAAAAAGACTTTTCCCGGATTTTCTCATTGTCAATAATGTTTTTCTTAATTTATTTAATTGACTTTTTACAACAAACACAATTATTCACTGTTTAAATTTGTTTGTAACCATTTGTATACTTAAGAACGCGATGCTTGTTGGCTTGATATTTAACAAAAGCCGCGCTTAAGAAAAGAAAAAAAATTCGTCTCATTTTGTGAAGTATTTGTGGACGTGTTTTTGATTCATTTTAATGATTTATTATTCTGACAATTCAAACTAAATCGAGAGGAAAAAGGCAAATATAAATTATTCAACGGGGTGGCGCAAGCTCAGGGCTGTTCGTAGTTTTTTCTTCTTTTTTCTTTTCTTTCTACATCATCGCGAGAAAAATAATTTTCCATTATAATAGAAAAATTTCCTTTCATAAAATCACGATGAAAGAAGAAAATGGAAAAATTTGTATAATAACTAAATCGTTTTCATCTCTTTTTAACAAGTTAAACAAAAACAAAATCAAGCAACAAAAACAAAAAAGCTTTCAAATTGTTTTGCTATTTTGAAATCCGCACGATTTATTTAATAATCACATGGATATTTCATGAAGTTTTCATTTCAGTATTCTTCTATTGTTTATGTTGATAATGTGAATTAAACATAGCTCGCTGACTACTCTTATTGAGGCGTTCAAAACGGAGAATCGTTAGGAAAAAATAATATTATTTCAATTCATCATCATCCTTTGTTCTTGTTCAGAAACTATGTTATCAGATTTTTATTGTCGGTTTCTGTACGTCACAGGATGTCAATTTATTGGGGGAATTTTACGCTCTGTCGCATCATCTGCGATATTCTATCTGACTTAATTTTTTTCTGCCAAATAATTCTTTCTTTTAACAAAGCTTTTAACGATGTAACTACTGCTTTGTGCCAGTTAATCAGCTTAAGAAAATAAATTTTGTCAGCAAACTTCAACAGGAAAAAACATGGAAGATGTTTAGATATTTCTTCGCCTTTCTTGTTTCTGTTGAAATAAAATGAAAGCTCTGATGACAATTTTTTTCTACTTAGAACTTTAATTAAAATCGTCTTCTGTTTTCATCTTGGTGTTTATTTTAAAATGTCATTTGATCACAAGAAAGAAGAGAAAAGATAGAAATAAAATGACTACAATGGATTTGGAAACTCCCTCAGGGAAAACAATAACATTTCAAAAGAAAATCTTAATGTTAGCAAAGAATTTCACCTTACAAAACACAACAGAAGAAATTTAAAGAGACAGAAAAGCAAAAAGTTGAACTCTTCCGGCTCATAGATTGAAACTCAAGAGAAAAGTTTGTTGAGGAAATTCATTCATTTTTATCTAAACGTGAAGTAAGAAAGGAAGGAAAATGCAATTTCAAGTTTAATAAAAAAATATATTCATGTAGGTCGTCCGACATCTCATTTCATTCACTATAATTTTATAACTTCTGATCTCATTACCTTCGTTCACCATTTCAATCTTAGTTCCGAAAAATGTTTATCATTCCAAATTTTTTTAAATTATCCTGTAAAGAAATTTTCATAAAACTCAATGAACTAAAAAAACAAAGTCGCGAACCAATCTTTCGAATAACAAACGAATCGTGAAATTAAAGCATAAAACAAAAAAATCAAAGTTAACAAAAACCAATTTTTCGTATATTTTTAACAATTTTCATTAATATATTTTAACAACTTTTCTTTTTGGTTAATGTGATTTTCTGTTACACCACACTCTGAAGCTAAATGTAGGTCAGGGCGAGTGAGTAATTATTTTTTTAATCTCATTCTATCATCAGTCCTCGCCATCAAGATGATCTGACAACATATTTCATGGATGGGTCAGTAAATCATCTTTCAAGCGAAGGAAGCTTAATGTTATGATGTTTTCGTTCAATTGTTTATGTTTGTTTTCTTTTCTTTTAAATTCTCACTTAATAAAATGTACAATATAATTAACAATTTCTAGATGTTTAATGGATTCTCATTTCAGTTTATTTTTTTCTTTAGTTATTAATTCAACTAATTATTTTAACAATTGATACTTCTTTTGTCTGGTTTATCGTGAGAGATTATATAGAGCCATTCTTGTCTTATGTTCTCAATCATCTTTAAACATTGTTTCTTCATATTTCTTCTTATGTACGTCAAGAACCAAACTTTAACGAAACTTCATCTTCTGATATCTTCATTTATATCTAATATTTCAATATATGAACTTAGTTCACTCATTCTCAAACACCCTCATTCTTCTTTTGTTATGTAATGATATATAGAGTTGAGAATGTTTCTAATCATTTATCATTTCTTGTTTCTTATAATTTTAAGTTTTTTTTATTTTTGTTTTCTAGGGAAGCATTTATGAGAAAAATTTTTCATTTCTTTTAGATAAAATCTTTTCTTTTCATCTTCATTTATGCGCCAACTTAAAGATAATTTTTTAAAGATTCTTTTATTAGCCTCATATTACTTATGTAGACAATTTTAAAGTTCAATGTTGTTTTCATCATCTTTTGGAATTTCTTTCCATAATGTTTTGGTTTTTTCTCATTTTAGTTGTTTATATTTGTAATTTGTGACGTGTTTTATAGTTTGATTTAAAATCATTAAAAGCGTATAACAACAATCCATTAAATTGGATGTTAGTTCCGAAGAAAAAATTGTTATTCCTTTTGAAAATTTGTCTTTTTTTCTTTAATATTATTATAAATATTTAAAATTCTGTTGAGGGTGAAATTAAAAGTTCACAACATTCATTTCCTTATGGGATTCAGAAAAAGTAATCGGTAAATGTCTTCGAATAACCAAATGATTATTTGAGATTGAAAAGTTTCGGAAATCTCAACATTTGACCTTTCGTTTAAAAAGTATCACTCACTCTCTTGAAAAGAAAGCTCGTTGTTGAGAATGATTTCCGTGAAATTTCCAATTTTCTCGCTTTCCATTTGAATATTCACTAAAATTCTATTGCAACATTAAATATTTTGTCTGCCACCGTCAACTATTAATTAAAAGACTTTTTTTATTCGTGGGGGGATTACATGGTATAAAAAATGAGAACTTTTATCTTTAGAAGATATTTGTAAAAACTTCTGATGTAATGAAATAAAGGATACAATTTCTATCTGATTAACATTTCAGATGATTTTTTTTTTCACCACTTTTAAAATACTCCACGCAATGAAGCGAAGAATTCTTTTTTATGTCTTTTATAATCTTTCATTACATTGTTAACTATTTTTTGTAACAAATTTACATCACATTATTGTACCAACTGTAATAACAAATAGAAACAAATTAGATCTTAAGGGAGCTGTAATTATAAATATAATGATATTTGTCTTGTCTCAACAAATATAAAACAACAAATAAAAAGGGACGAGAGAGAGAGAAAGGGAGAGATAGATATCAATAAAGAATGGAGAGAGTAAAGGAGAAAGATACTATAAAAGTCACGAAGCATTGCCGAAGGTCATGGAAAAACTGGGCGAAGAGATTCCATCGAAAGCTCACATTTAAGAAACGTGCAGCATTGTCTATGATTCTTTTCATTTACCACGATCCATTTATATAATTACCTCGGCAACTCCGAATTAAAACTTGTCCTGAATTTTTTACCAGATAATATCCACTGTCTGAGAATTTATAAGATGGATCAAGTATATTTTCCTTCATTTTCTTTGCTTTGTTTAATATACATGATTATGTGTTTCATTTTTTAAATTGTGAGCAAGCACAACAGATTGTTCTTATCATTCGTTTTGTTTCTGTTTGCTTGTTTGCGAAAAAGAAATGAGAAAATTAACTTAGAGCTTATCTGTTTACTTCTTCACCTACGATGATTCAAAGACATGAGAGTAAGATTTGTCTGTCAGAAGAGTGGAATGTGCACATGCATTATAGTATACGTCAGTTATCGTTTATCTACCGATTTTTTCTTAAACACTTTTATGTGAAAAATAATTGAAATACATCATGATGAGAGATAAACGAACGTGAACACAACGTGATCCAAAAATTCATTTCTGACTACTTTCTTTTCATGTTTCTCTTTTTTTTTTGTTGGTTCCTCGGAAGTACAATTTTAATATGAATGTGTTTGTAGAGCCGGAGGAGCCGGGTAGATGATTGTGCTTTTCATTTATTTTCGGGTGGGGAAAAGCGTTGATTCATGTTTTCCCTTTGCTTCATCTGCTTTCCATGCTCTTATTATCTTTTCTTTTCCTTTACATTTTATTCTATATTTCATCTTGTACTCCGCCATAACTTTGCTATTTATTCGTCAGCTCACGAGCGTTTCTATCTAAAAACACAATCAAACTGTGTGCTTTCTGTTTAAACAAGGCATTTGAAATTATAAATGGAGGAAAATCGATAATCGTTTCCTTTTGCTTTGTGCCGATTCTCTTGTGTATTGCACGATTTCGTTTTGAATAAACTTTTTCTTTTGCTTTTTCAAAATTATTTTACTCCCAAGCCTCTCATATAGGTAGGCAATAGAGATGACGAAGGTGTGTAAAGGCGCTTTAAATGATTTCACTATGAGCTTATTCTTATAGTTATCTTCCATGGATTTAAAGCATACATAAGTTAATGGAAAAATAAAAATGTCTAGCAAATGCTCGTTGGTATAATTGTATGTAGTGTGGTTTGCTTGCTCTATTTTCATAGTGGTCGACAATCATTAGCGATATTATCTTTCCGTTTGTTGTTCATGTATCGAATAATCTACAATGTTTCGTTATAGTTTTCTCTACTGGAAATTTATTGTTGTAATCAGATTGAGTACCTCACACTAATTAATTTTCTATTGGCTTTCCACTGACTCCTTTCGCAAATAACTTTTCTCTTCGTCATTATTTTAATTACTTTCGATCGAGCTGTTTTACTCATTTATATCATAAAATTTATTCTTCGTCTCATGGCTGCTATGTTGCTATATTCACTTAAAAAAATTAGTAAAGTCTAGAGTTTTCAATTTTATTTTTCATCATCATTTAATTAAATTTGTTTCAATTTTCTTCTTTTTTATATTAGATTAATTTATTTTATTTTTTTCAATACCTAAAATTCTAGTATTTTATTATTGCTTTCATTTTTAAATTTTCTTTTTTATTACAATCATCATGGAAATTAATAATTGAGCAAAAGAAAATTGATGCAATGTTGTTAATAATTTAGCATTTCTTTTGTGGATTATATGTTTTGTTTTCTTAAAACGTATGTTGTTTGGTAATTCTTTTCAAGTGTTCGTCTATGAGATTTTAATAGAGCACGAGTTGCTATATGAAATACCGCAGAGTGAAAACGAGAAAGTCTAACATAAAACGTAAATTAACGTGACGAAAAATGTTTATCGGTAAAATAAAATCTAAATATTGACTGTGAAAATGCTGAACAACGTTAAGGTTAAATGTGTTAGGGGAGTAAGAGAGGGAATCGTTTTTCAAGGACATCAAGCAGAAAAAAGATTTCTTCCTTAAATATCAAAGATAATAACATATCCTCACTCAACCATGCTGTTTCCATTGAATGATTCAAGAATAGTCTTTCGCAAAAAAATCATTAAAATTCTAGTCTAAATATCAAACAAAAAGTAGAAGAATTTTTTGTAAGGTTACCGAGCCTCTCAAAAAACCATTTAAAGAAAATCGAGACGAAAAGAAGAATTTAAATTCTCGCATGGGTGACATTTGAGGCAGCTAGTTATTTCCATATGCGACCATGTAAATTACAAACGAAAACTTCCTTTAGTCAGGAGAAACGCGACAGGGAGAAGAAAGAAAAAAAAAGAATCCCTTACATAAAATTGAATTTTTGAAAATAGCGAGAAGGGAAAACTAGTGAGTGGAATGATAGTGTATTTGTTTGTTTATACATAAAATATTCATAAATAAATTATTGCTTCCAGCAAGTGTATGATGAAGAAGTCTTCTTTTTTACCTTCAGACATTCACATTGTGGAAAATAATGAAAGAACTTTATGTTCGCTGACAAAAAGTAAGGGAAAAGGTCATAACAGAGAAAAAGGAGAAAGAGAAAGAAAGCTCAAGGCAGAAATATATTTATAGCACCAAAGGAGAGTAGGTATGCAATCTAAAGTATGGGAACTTCTAAATATTTCCAAGCTTTGAATTTCCTTCCATTTAGTTTGCTTTTCTGATTGTGTGTATGACGAGGTGAAAAGAAAATCTTTACATAAAACCGATAAAAAAAAGAAATCAATAGAAAAGGAGCTTTTTTTTGCAAAAATAGATGAAAAACAAATTATTCTCTCGCGTTTTCTCACATTTTCAATTTTTGAGAGGGGAAAGGAAACTTTTTCTCTCTCATTTCTCTCTGTTTTTTCTCAACATAAAAGCTCAAGAAGAAAAGAAAAAAAAAGCTTAAGCTCTAATCTTTAACGAAAACACATGGAACAATATAAAAAAAAAGTTCCTAATTTCCTTCATCCGCTGGCGTTAACTGCCCCATGTAGCGGAGGCTTTGATATTGAATTCCACATTAACTTTGTGCTTTATTACAGCTTTTTACTAATTATGGTTAAAACGACGAAGAAGGAAAAGGCAAATGGGAAGAATGAGTAATGATTTTTCTATGCAAATTTCTTCTTTCTTCGATTACTTCTCGTTTATTACTGTTCAGTTATTACTAAACATCGAAGGAACGCGTGACAACAACATCAACGATTAAATAGAAATAAAAGAAGAAAGATAGAAGAAGAAAAGTATATTTAATCAATTTATTCGAAATGTGTGTATGAATAGCGAAAGAAAAGTGATTAAGCGCTGCGATAATTCATGGCAATTTATTCGAATTAATCCATCGTATATAATTTACCTCTTCACCATACTATTTTCCGCTTACTTATTCTTTTATCCGAATATTCGATAATGTGCGAATGCAATCATCACGCAAAGGAAGCGAAAAACTTAATTAACTTTCTAGAATTTGAATCAATTTTTTTTAGATAAATAGATACATATTTCTCAATATTTAAATTTTATGAAATAGAAAAATTATTCCTATCAATGAGTTCAATTTCTTTTTGTATTCCTCGCCTAACTCAAGAATCAATGTTAGGGTCGTTTAACGAAACTTTCAACATATCTAGTTTAATAAGGGTAAGCAAGAAATGCCATTGAACTTGAAAACATTTCTTTCTTTTTAAATTATTCAATTAACCTTGCTTGTCTTTACGCTCTAATATCAACATTATTCTCCTTTCTTCTCTCTTAACGATTAATTTATTTCCTATTATGTCCCCCCTAGAAGCAAAGTGAAACGCAAATCCCATCGTCAAATAGCCCAACATAATCGTTCCCATGAAAGAAGAAAGAAGTTTTATTTTTCGTGCGCCACACACTATCTAGAATTATAGAATTCGAGACTTTCGAAGTAAACTATAAATATCTATATGCTTTCTATATGCGATTCTTATGTAAACTTGCTTGTGAAAGACAAAAACCTTTACTTTCGAATGATAAAAATTGTTTCTAGAATATATTTTTTAAAGAGATTTATAATCATCATCATTCACTTTGTTTTGAATGGAAAAATTGGTAATTTATGCTTATTTTAATAGAATTATTTTAAAGAGATTTCATCTTATATTTGTTTCATAAATTTGCTTCCATTTTTTGTTTTTTTTTTAGAATCGAGAAAGGGATTATGATTTCTGATAATTTGTTATGTTTTTTTTTTCTGTTGAAGGTATTCTCATAGAATTTCTTTTTATTTTTACATGGTTTTCTTTGCAATATCATTCTTTCATCAAATCACATTCAATATTGTTGTCTTTCAAGTCATAATGCTTTTCGTCATCGTCATTTATCGTATATAAATTTGTGATGTTTTCGGTTTTCTTATTTATCTTTGTTAAAATAGCGAATGGATAATTATTTGTTTAGAAGCTTCGCCCTACTTTCCATATCGGCTTTTCATGTTTATATGCTTTTCATTCTTTTTTTTTGTTTAGATTCAGACTTATAACCTTAGTCACGGGAAAAGCTTTCTTGTTTTATAAGCCATGTATTTATGCACAAATTTGGAGTTGTAAAATTTTCGCTTCCCAGTCGAGCAGTAACTGCAGTGATGAAAGTGCCTCTTAGCACTCTTCCACGAACTAATTACAAACTTTATAATTATTTCACTATGTAGGGGGCGAAGTTAGACGAAGGCAATTTCTTAACCACAAATTGCAATCTTACATGGAGATGTGAAACTCTATTCGTGTGATTTTAGTTATATTTTCTTTCATACTGATTATTTCTTGTGTGGGCGTAGAATTTGTGGGAAAAAATAAAATATATAGCACAGGAGCTCATAAAACCCAGACAAACTTTGAAAGGGTGAATGTGCATCATTGTTGCTTTCGTCCTCGTAAATTTTTCATTTATTTTTCTTTTAAAATAATTCGATTTCTTCTGCAATATTTTCACCCAAAGATGATATGAAATATTTATTGTTTTCTTCTTTTATTTTCGCTTTTAAAATGGAGAAAAGAAAATATTTATGTTTATGTCAAAGCGAGAAGTAGAAAAAAACATGTAAATGAAGAACGGTAAAGAATTGAAATATGGAAATAAAAAGAGCTTTTAAGGGATGGAAGTTGAAATATGAAAAGATTGGTAAAAGTCCGCGCTTCAACATATATTTTTACTCGGAAATGAGCTTATGGATGTTTGTAGGTGGGCATCTATTAAATCTTTCATCAACTTTTCTTTTTTATCTCTTTACAATTCAAGCAATTTCAATTCGAATTTCTTACATTCATCTATTGAAGGTTTCATATTTAATTCCCTATGTGATGTTCATCTTTTTTCGGTTTCTATACGTTTACTTTAATTTCTTGTTTTGACTTTATGAAACCCGTGAGCGCTTAAAATAACTAAACTTAAATCACTTGTATTCTTTTTAAAAAACTTTCTATTAAAATTCTTTTTCTTAAAAATTTCAAACTTTTTTTTCACATAATTTCACTGCTTTTTCTTCATATTGTGCTTTAAATATTTTTTTGTTCTTCTTCAAATGTTAATTTTAAATTTATTATTCTTGTTTTTTTTTGTTAATTCCCCGAATAAATGCTTTGTAGGCTTCGTGTCAGAAATTTGTAAGTTACGCCATAAACTCACGATGAGTTTTAAATCATTCCTGTAATAATGGTTTGATGACTTGTTCCAGTGACTTTTTTCGAGCTTTATTCTAATGCGGACACTCGAGTTTGTTGTATTGAAATGCCAACGAAATGGCAACGAATACAAAATATAACAGAAACATTACGAATCCTAAGCCTTTATTCATCTTCCATCGGAAACAGGCAATTGATATGATAACAAAGAGTAGCATCAGGAATAATATGGTTATTGAGCAAACCATACCTGCAGAAGTCACTTTGACGGGTTCTCCGTAAATGATGCAATAAAGCAACCATGGTACTGGTAATCTGTAAAAATGCAAACACAAAATATACCATTAATAAAGAAAAGAAATATTTTCACTCCACTTCGCATAAAGTAATTTTCTGAAACAACATGTGGCAATCAAAATATGACAATTCTCATTCAAAAACAGGCTTCATGTTATCATTTATTCAATTCACAAGTAAATGTCCGTGAAAGAGCGCACAGTCATGAAAGGACAATTAATTAAACTTCATTCAACTATGCATGTATGCATTTCATATTTGCGTCAAAAAAATAAGAGAACGATGAATAATTTATTGTTCAAACTCAGCTGGAAGTCAACAAATAAAATGACCCGTGAATTTTTTTTTTATTTTCTTGTTGTTTAGAATTTCAAATTGAAAGGATTTCTTTAGAAATTGTTTGAATAATTTATAAGAAACTTGATAAGTTTAAAGATTTAAAAATTAACATCAACTTACCCTACGGTAACATCAAATATATTACTGCCAACGGAACTTGAAACAGCCATATCACCAAATCCTTTACGCGCTACAATAACAGATGTTATTAAGTCTGGAATTGAGGTACCCGCAGCGAGAAATGTTAGGCCCATCACCTACACGCAATTAATTTAGATGAAAAAGGTTGAAAAGGAAGCAGAATGAAATTGAATTAATGAGAGAATTTGCTTGTTAACTGTGCTGTTTTTCATATATTTTTTCATGAAGGGCATGTGGTGCAATAAGTATAAGAGGTTGGGCTTACTTCAGCTGAAATGTCCGCAGTATCACCAGCTACATTCGCCCACCACACCATCAGATATGAGTAGGCAGCAATCCACACGATCGAACCAATGAACGTTATGGGGAAGAATTTCTTTCCTCGAGGCGTTCGTGTGTCGGGGAGTGTTAACCATAATGGAAAGATGATTGGAGCTACGAGTAAGTAAGTGATGCGGTCTTTTGTTCCTGATGGCCATGCCATACTGAGAGCTTCCGGCTCATCTTCATCGGGAACCTGAGAATGAATATTAATGATATGGTTTTTTCATCAAAATTCCATCGTATTCATGAAACTTTAATGAAGTTCGCTTTGTTTCGCATCGAAGCGTAGACATTTAAATAACTTTTTTTGCGCCTTGAAAAATGTCACATTTGACTCACCGTATCTAAAGTTGAATCAATGTTTCCATTCGGTCGTCCTAATGTCGTTTCTTTCAAATTTATTTTTACATGATTCGCAGCCGACGATGTGGCAGCACCACGTTGGGGTTTTGTTGCGTCCAAAAGCACTTTAAGGGAAGCGATGGCATGAAGTTGAGTCGCTTTCTCATCCACTTTACCTGGAACAGATTCTTCCATTAAGTATTTTATGTTAATTATTTTGAGATTTGAAAAAGAGTCCGAATTAGGTTAAATAACTATAAGCACAACATTCATATAAACATTAATTAAACGTTGTCAAGCTTTACTTCTTTTTATTTCTGAAAGTTTCAGGATTATTGCTTTATGACGTCATGTCTTTTGAAAGGTCAAAAAATGATTTTTTTACATAAGAAACATAATTTACGGCGGAAAAAAATCATTTATTACAACGTGACTTCAACCACACACAATCCTGTTTCATTTTTTATTGTTTCAGCCATAAATTCTCTTGTTGCATCATCTAAGTGGAATTAATTTTTTTTTTATCAGAAATTCGTCATATTTCATGCTATTTTCTTCTTTCGTTTATGATTAAAATTGGAATAGATTCGAAGAGAGAAGATAGAAGATTTTTTATACATTATAAATCTCACATGCATTAAGTAGCATCACAAAAGTTTTTGGAAAATATTTCAGTATAGATACATACATACATTTGTACAAAATCTTGCAATCATCTCAGAGTGTGAGATGCATAAAGACGATGGATTTTATATTTACAAAGTGAATGAAATAGATATCAAAAGAATGAAAATTGTCACAGAAGTTTAAGCTATGACAGAGAAGAAGATATCATGTGTGTAGAAAAGGGTTGAAGCATGAATATGTTTTACACTTTTAAGAAAAGAATTTACATGAAAGGAAGAGCTTTTGACATATGGTAAGTAGTAATAGATGATGGATCTACAAGATTGCTTACTCGTTCATTTCACGTCAAAGAGATTAAAATTGAATCTAAATTACTATTTTTCAATCCTTAAATTTCAACTCACTTCAAGGTTCAATTCAATCAAACTTTTATTTATTGATTTTCAAGAAAACTTATTCAACATTTTAGTTTTTTGTTGAAGCAAAACAAATTTAATCTCTTCGACAAGGAAAGGAATTTTTCAGTTTTTAAGAGAAAGAAAGCTTGATTAATGTTATAGACATTGTAAATTTTACAAAATTATCTACATAGATATGTAAATAACAACATAAAAATTGACAAAAACAAAAACGTACTAAAAATAGGAACATAAAAATAAAAAAGGATTTAGAAACATCATGAAAAAGATTTTATGTTCTAGTTTCGATAAGCTAATCTAGATTGGATTAGACACATGACTGTACATAATAGAATTGTGAAGAAAGCGCAATGAGAAGAAGCTTCGAGGATAATCTTATCAGAAACCTCTCAAAATTGAGTCGAGAATGAAACATCATGAAGCAGTAAGATGAATAGTAAAGAGTTTTCCTCGCTCAGCCATTCAAGTTTATGGCTGTAAGGCCATTGCACATTTCTTTCTCAGTTCTTCTCAATCTCAATGGCAAAACATTCCATCATTGACCTTGTTGTTTTTATTTATTTATTTCTTGTTTTCTTTCGTTTTAATATATTCAACGAGATTTTTTTCCCCATCATCTCCATTTTGCATTCAAGATTGTCGCCATCATGAAAAGTTCTCTGTCAATAGCTTTACATATTGAGGCTTGAGAGAGAAATGAATGTCTGTTTACGTTTATTATGAAACAGAAGGAAATGGAAAATTTTTCCATTCATCGATGGATAAAAAAATATATCATAAAATATGAGGGGCTTAAGGGCTTTGTTTTGCTAGAGGGCAGAAATTAATCAAACCATGAAGAAGAACTTAATTGAAGAACAGTTGGAGAAGAAAATTCAGCTGGATTATCTCTCTTTCTCTCTCATGCCTTCTGAATTCTTCAGCATAGATACAATCTTTATGTTTCTGTGAAAATCGTTCGAGAGACAGAGAGATCTCATAAATCATTCAGCATGTGGTTTGATACATGAAAAAATTGGAGTGAGGGGAGAAATTTCTCGAGACATTTGTTGAAATAAAAACGATAGATAATCAGCAATAAAAACAAATGAAATAAAACAAAAAACAGAAAACAGAAACACAAGTCAAGAAAGATAAAATTAAAGGAAAATTGAAGATGAAAGGAATAAAAGAAAAATACGAGAAATGATTTATGAAATAGCAGAAAGAGTTCTATGAACCTTACCATCGTGCAATGGGTCAATAGTATGTATCATTAGTTGCAGTAAACCGTGACGAAATTTCTGTCCTGTGGCTGTTTGTGCTGTGCTATTACCTGGAGCGCTTCCGCTTGATCCTGGCGGTCCCGAGCGACTCTCCGATGCGGCACGTGATGTCACTGAACCGCCTGGTTGCGTTGCCATCGATGTTTCTGATGAATTCGCTGCATTTCCCTGTTTGTAATAATTTTGATGTAGAAGAAATCGATTTTAGACAATTGTAGAAAAAAAGGAACAGAGAATTTAAAAAAAAACAAAGAAAGTACTTATTAAAAAAGTTTCATTGACAAATTGTTCATCATTTCCAGTGGCATATATTAAAGCATACAAAATAGCAAAGTGGAAGCAGTAAAAAGCAAAAATATAAATTATCTAGAATCAATCTTAATCAAGAATCATCTTCTGGACAATTTATTTGTGTTGAAGCTTACTTTATATAAATTTTTTAAGGTCTAACAAAAGAATTTATCATTGTGCATTATTATAAAATTAGAATTCCATTTTGACAGAGGGATGATCATGTTTCATGTCACATTGATGAGTTCTGGCAATTTTTCAATTTCTAATGAAAATTTTAAGATCAAATTTATTGTTGTAGGACAATTGTTTAACTTTTCAATAGCATAAAAGCTCTGATGCGAGCTTTTAGAAAATTTATGGCCATATTTTCATATTAAACGATAATTTTTTATAGCCTTAGCCAATTTCATCTGTCAGTGTTTTTCAGAAACTCAACAGAGTGTAAAAGCAATATTTCGGAAAGCTTTTGTGACTAAACTTGTGAACAACCCTCTAGGATAAATAACTGAATTGAGAAAAATACATTTTATCAAAAACAGCTAAGAACGTGACTACCGAGCTAATGGATAAACATGGTTGCAATTTTCTGGTTCATTCGTCATAAATAATGACAACTCAGAAAGCTTTTTATAAATTCTCAACATCATTCACGCAAGCAATGCAGTTTTGTCGAGAAACAATTCTCATCACTTCTGCTGACAAATTGAAAGTCTGTCGAATGATTCGAGCTTATGGTGTTGAATCTTTCCAATCTTCGTTCTTGCATTCAATTTTTTTTTGTCGATAAATGAAGACGTTCACTCTCGATTTTCTTCATTTCACTTTCTTTTATAAAAAGAAAATTTGAATTGTTTTAAGACGAAAATTTTCACGTACATGACCACAAATCTGAATCAAACGACAGCAGAAACAGTAGTGAGTAACATACTACATATGTTAACTATGCAAGAAACTATCATGAAAGCCAGAAAAAAGGGAATTCAATAAATGAACGATTTTTTCAAGCTTCACTTCGTTTTCTTCCATATACGTATAATAATAAAAAAATATGAATCATTCAGCAAGATGGGGAGAAAAAAGAAAGAAAATAAATAAATAGAATGGTAAAAGCAGAGAGAAACATCGCCGAAAGAATAGAAGAATGGAAACATGTAAAAAGATTATGGCTCGCAATTTGGAAGGAAACAAACGAATAGATATGTGGTAGCAAGCTAACAGTAAAGCAAGAGATGAAATGTTATATGGATTTTCATGTTTTTGATAAGGAAGAGAGACAATCGCTGTTGTGAATGTTATTCGTTTAGATTTCAAAGATTTTCGGATTAGCCACACATTCATAACTCGTTTCCAAACTTCTGCTTTGAGCTTTGTCTGTTCTGTTATTTATTAAAGTGGAAAATAAAACTTTGTAAAATACTCTCGTTGTTCTCGAGAAACACTTAATCACAGACAGAACTATTATGCTCAAATTTTATAGTAAAGAATCACTGTAAATGAAGTCTTGGGTTTGCAGTCCATTTATAAAGTTCATTGAATTATAAACTTCATTATTTAGTTCGTTAACGCTCTGATTTCATATTCTTTTTAACTTTCCTTCGTTTCCTTCTTATTTATCGGCGTATAACCTCAAGAAGATTGTTTTCATGCTTTTAATGCTTTCAGATTATTAATTTTTACGATTCAAACTATAAACACTTTTTCGTTAAATAAACGATGATCAAGTCGAAGAGCGTTTTCTAGTAAATTAATTAATTTGAGCCGTTTCAATTGAAGCAGAACAGTCTGTGGGCTAAGGTTGTTATTAGCAGACAAGAATACGTATTAGAGCTTTTATCATTTAATTGAAAATAAAAGAAAGCTCTCCTTACAGGCTAATTATTGGTCTCTTCTTAATTGCTAATGGGGCCGTTTAAATTTTGCTCAAGTAAGATAAAAATTTGGGTTTGTGAGGGAAAAAAAGAAAGAAAAAAATTCTTGTGGTATAGAAAAACGAAAACTTATGAAAATGAATACTCATAAAGCTAACAATGTTATCTTTTATGAGCTCGTTATAACGAACGACGCCCATTCAAACTTTTCGGTAAATCAAAGTATATTAAGTGACAAGAAATGACTAGGAAAAGTAATTGGTGTTTCAGCACAATTTATTATAATTAAGTTTCCCTTTTTTTGTTTTAAATACTTGCAAATAAACTATTAAAATTTATTCTATCATCTTTTCTTGCACTTTAAGAATTTAAAGAAACCAATAAAAGTTTTGTAACTCACTCATTTAATCGAATAAAGAAGTAAAGCAGGTCATGTTAGAAATAAACACTAAAACTTCATAATTAAATTCTCTCAACTTTAGCCATGAAAGCAGTTAATGTCATATGACTGATTTATGAGTCAGTGTATAGTAGAGTTAAGAATGAATAAGGTATGATGACAAGGCACTTGGTTATGATTGCTTTTGATGTGTGAAAATTATTCCCACAACACAGTGAGAGTCACTGAAAGCAAATGTTCACCCACTGATAGTTTTATGATGGCAGATATGATTTAGATATGTTTTTATTAATGCTTTGGCAGGAATATTAATATTGTCATTCTTGTAGATGAGATGTATATAAGTATAAGTATAAGCCATGAAAATATGTAATTTAATTTACCTGTCCCAAGAGGGCATTATGGACTAAAAATATCATCACTTCTCTTTGGATTATCAAATACTGAATTTAAATTACTCGCTTGTTAGTGTTAGCAGAATTCGTTAAATGTTATGAATATGGAAAGATGCTTTGAGTAAATATCATGATAACGTGACGTGATGAGACTCTTGCTTTCATTTTTAATTAAAATTCAAATGTCCTTCATTCAAACATTTGCCTAAAATTCTCTTTATGATTGTAAAGTTTTTGCAACAACCTTTAGAAATTAAAGTCAAACATTGTGACACGTTATAAAGCAACTAAAAATGATAAACGAATAATAAAAAGGAATTAACGCGAAATAAGTTGAATTGATTGATATGCTTGCTCGAAAGCTCATTAGCGAAAGCTTTTTTTATTGTTATTTTCATTTCTCCATGGGAACTTTCTTGACATCAACACAGACACTTCGCAACGAAAATTGATTTTGAAAAGTTGAAGAAAAAGTCGTGTCAGGAAATTTTCTTTTCGATGACTCTTAGCACGGCTTTCATCACTAATTACCATCGTCTTGTTGCCCCACTTTCGTTCTGGATTATCTCATGACTCACGATTCTTGATCTCTTTGGATTTTGGTACTTGCTTTTATGTGTCTTTTGAAAACGTTCTTTGATGACCTATCTTCGCTTTGACTTTTATCTTTAACATTTAAATTCACGATTATTATTTTCTTTATGAAGCATTCAGGGATTCATTTTATAGTGTCGATGGATATCTGTTTTGAAACTATAAGATTAAGGTTTCAATATAGTTCAAGGAAATATGTTTAATACTGTTATAATCTCAAATCAGATCTTTGTCTTCTTGAACTGTAGAAGTACCATCGATGAGAATTTACAATCTTCTTCATTCACTTTATAACGTAAATTTATATTTATTCTAAGCTCATCTCTTGCAATCATTGATTTTGAAATTCATATCAAAGATATCTCGTATCTCATCGCGATGTTTATTGAAAATGTAGGTTAACAGGAAAATTTATGTAATGGAAAATTTATCCATTTACAATCACTAACAAGATAGAAACCAAAGATCATTAAACAGATCTAATGATGTACGGGGAAAAGCGAAGTTTTCTTTTTACATTTAATTACAAATTGAAATGTCTAGAAAAATATTTTCATAAAACATTAAGGAATAATTGGGTTTAATTAAAAATGAATTAGATTGTAATGATGGTCGTTCAATGGACTCTTCTATTTCATATTAATCGTTTTAAATTACTTAATATAACTTATGATAAAGCAATGACGAGAAATTCAAAATTAAGGAGAAAATTACATGACACAACGTTTATAATATTTCGAGTTTCATTTTTGCTTGCGTATCGCATTTGAATCGCACGTGAATGGGCGGGAAAGAAATGGAAATAATGAAAATAGCATGAAATTTCATTATTCCGTCCTTGATTTTCTTTCGCATGTTCTATGTTATGTCGCCTTTAATGATCAGCATTACGCATACGAAAAACGAAATAATGACATGAGAGAAATGTAGCGTCGCTTTCTGCATGTTCTGGTTGTCGCTTTTATGTTTGTCTCGTTCAAACTCGTATCGTCTTGATTTCATTTGTGATCATGAAAATAAACTCACTTTGTCACCATAGCTGTTTTGTTGTCTTGCTTCTTTCTTCTATTCTTATCAGAATAATATAAATAATGATGGCTATAATATTACATATCAAATTGCCGTAAGAAACTTTCCATCTTCTTCTTGTTAGATATCTAAGATTTCTGTTTTAGAGGCGGTCGAGTTAATAAATGTTAAGTAACAACAAGAACAACATAAAAAAATGAAAATGAAACTGTAAGAAGAGGGAAAGAAAAGGAAGAATGAACGATTCCCATGAAAATGAACAGAAAATGATGGAAAAGTAGGAAAGACGGTTAAGAAAAAAGATTGATTGTCATTTTTTATGGATCAAAAATGATCAAAAATAATTTTGCCTATGAAAATTGTTCGAAAACGCTCACAACTCGTGGAAAAAGAAGAAAATCTTCTCGAATGTCTTCGAGGTGACCTAAGTTAAACAATATTCAATAAAATCTTCAAAACTTTGCTTTGTAATAATAAATAAAGCCTTAAATGATAAAATTTAAAGCTCAAAACCTTTCAAATATCTACGAAGTCATAAAAAATTTATATTGAAATGTGAGCGGGTAAAAACAACTTGAGAGCTTGGACATTTGTTTGAAAATTGTTAGCAGATGGAAGGAAAGTAATCTAAACAGTTTCTTTACGCCGCACTCGATTTAACTTTAACATTTAAAATAAATTTCTCATCTAAACTATTGTAAAATTTTAAATAATTTTATTAAAGCTTTAAAGCGGTATTAAAAGCTCTATAAAAGCTTTCGATAATAAAGAAAGCTTTATGAAGGTTTCTGGATTAAAATATTATTAAGAAGACTTTTGAAATTCTTCCTAAAATATTTCTTGATTCTCAAGTCATGACTTTTCGGAAATTCGATTTCAACAATTTTCTAATGAAATCGTTAAATATAAAATAATACGAAGAGTTTGTTTAAACTTTAAAGCTCATAGCGTAAATGAAAATGTAAATAAATTGATTGTGTGTTGAGATATGCAAAATGTAAATGCAGCAAATGGCAAGAGGCTGGGGTTGTTGCGAGATAAATGAAAAGAAAGATAGAGACAGAAGGACAGGCGAGCATGCAACTGTAAACTACTTACAGCAGGCATAAGTTGATCAGTGCTTCGTACTCTGGTCACCTTATTCTTATACACCAGTTTCTTGACGAAACGCTCTACTTGCTGATTCCACTTCATGAATATGGCATAGCTAACGTAGATGAGGAACAGCAGCGTAGCCTCATGCACTTCGATCTTGTCATCACGAAAAAAAATTATAAGCGCTATGAGACTAATACTGTAGAATGTACAATCTCGAAACAGCGGCCACCAGGTCAACGTCAGGAGGGTTTTTGAGAATATCGCGCACATTCCGATAACGAATAAAATATTGAACACTGCGGATCCAACAATTGTACCGATACCGACATCGTCGAATGACACAAACACACCAATCACGCTGGTGAATAATTCTGGTGCACTACCGCCAGCTGCCATAAACGTTGCACCTGCGACATCGTCGGTGATGTCAAGCTTTTCGATGATTACGTCCAATGAAGGCACAAAAAATTCATCGCACACAATGGCAAGTGCGACAAACATGTAAATGACGCCAAGGATGTGAAATACTACAGCACCGTTTTTACGTTGTTCAAGGGTGAACAAATCTTCAGGAAAGAGTGGATCTTTCTTCACGGGTGCCGTTATATTTGTTTTGTTAAAATTATCTAAAAGTTAATAAGAAGAGAAGAAGAAAAGTCATTACGATTATTTATTTGTTATTAATTCAAAATATTAGAAGTTTTCAATAATGTTTGAGTTGAAGCTTTTAATTTCCTGAGAGGAAGGAATCGAAGAAAGTCAACTTCAATGTGTAGACACGTCATAAGAAATTTGGAAGATAACAATTCTTTAAGCTTATCAATAAACTAAGTGCTTGAAAGCTCCATTAATCTCAAAATATGTTTTTCGTTGTTCATAATAGAAGAGAGAAAAGAAAAGAAAAAATCGGATAAAAGCTTTCAACTTGTTTACTTAAAATAATGTAAACGAAAGCTTCAAGTTTCATGAAAACAAATTGTTTTGGTCAACACATTCCTGAGTTTCAGAAGTAATCACTTTAATCCTAGCTTTAATGACGACTTTTTGTCGCAGCTTCTTTCAAGTAGCTTCGTGAACGAATGAATGAAGTGAAAATCATTGAAAACAATTTCAATTTAACCTTAAGCTTTGAGCTTCAACATTAGGATCGTTATCTATGTATACATGTAAATCCAAATCATATATCTGCCAAGGGAAGCCTGCAATTTTCAAAGGTCGTTTATTTGAAATCAGAAAAGGTTGGAAACAATTTCATAACATTCTAAATGAAATGTGAGAATTCCACGAAGCAAAGCAAAAAAAAAGGTGAGTCGAAGGTGAAATAAAGCAACCACTAGAGTTGAAACTTAAAACAAAGAGAACAAAAGGAATTAAATGTTCAATCCAATGTTAAATATTAGTCAGCGAGATTAAGATTAATAACGCAATTTTCCATGACAACTCTGTGTGCGAGCCAAATGTCGCTGGTAAAGTTTATTGGAGAAAAAAAATATAATGGAATACAATGGAATACACACGAAGCTTAAGAAAAATGAGCAAAAACGAGGAAGAAGAAAGAAAAAAATGTGCAAGGTCACGAGCAAGTGGGAGAGATGAAGAAAAACGAACAGCATTGGAATGGGAAGTTGTCGTGTTAAAGCTTATGCGAGAATAAGAGAATTTTTTCACACATCAAACAGCCCCGAAAAAAGCTCTGAAAAAGGAAAAATGTTTAAATGGTGAAATGGGCTTTCTATCATCAACCGACAATGCTTGTTTGCCTGTTTGTACAAACGTACACATACCCGTGACATAATAGTGTATCGTACATGAAGCGATAGAAGTTTTAAATACAAAAACCAACAACAAATATTTGGGTTTCGCTTAATCTTCCGCTTTTCATTTTATATAGTTATTTATATTTAGACGGGACGGGAGTAAGCTGAAAAATCCCTTCACTCGCTTAAAGGGAACCATCATTTTTCATTCGCTCAGGAATCAATAAGAAACACATCGGAGATGGAAGCTTGTAAGTAATGGCAGGTTCCGGCATCATAAAATGATGAAGATAGGTAAATATTTCTACAACATAGGCATCCATTTAAAGTAACAAAGAATTGTAATCATTGACAAGCAAGGAAACGAAGAAGAATCAAGGAAATATGAGGAGAGAGAAAACTGTCAATTTGCATAAAAAGATTCATTGAAGATTCTTCATGGTTTAAAGGATACGAAGCGAGCGGATGAGAAAAGCAGATGCAGATAGGATCATTAAACAATTGTCTAGAATTTACATAAAATGATGCCGAATTTCATACCTACACAATGTTTTATCAAACTTTTCATCAGTTGGTTTTGTTTGTTGATGTTTCTACTCAGGTAATGCGAGGTCAGAGATGTTTAAATCAGTTTGAAATGTGAAATGTGACGTTGAATATTATGAAATCATTTCGAAAGTTAATCTAACTTATCATTATGGAACTAAATGTCATGCACGTATTTATTACTTTACTGGACGTCACAATGAATTTAATTTGATTGAAAGTTATGTTATTCAAATGGTATCTAATTGAGTTAAATGTCATATATTTGATATTAATGATGAAACCTATTTTGAGCTTTGAAGCTTTGAAGCAATGCTTTGAAATATTAATTTAAAAAAGGAAATAACTTTCATCGTCGAGACTTTCACAAGAAATATTTCCCATACTCAAGCACTTTTTTAAATCGAAATGTTTTCTCTTTAAGGAAGGGAAAATTCGAAGTCAGAGTGAACGTACAAAAGTTCTGTGGCAAAGAAGTCTCGTGTAGGAGTGTAGGAGGCTATTTCGAGGAACATAAAATGCCTCCATCTCGTACACATTGTAAGAACATTTACAAATTATGTTCTGCCTTTTGGAATGTACATACACATAACATCCATAAAGCATGTATTTATGTAGGTCAAAAATTGCAAAAAGAAAAAAAAACTGTTTTATGTGCATTTTTATACTTTCATGCAACGCCATTATGAATTCATTTTGATAAAAAAATATTTCTCACTCTTCTTCTTTTTTCTATTTTTTATCCTTTCTTGATGAAAAAAACTATCGATTACTGTATGACGACGTTTAATGGTGAATGAGATGGAGATGTATAATTTCTTATAATCAAACAAAAATGAAAAAAAACCAGCCACATCAGATATTTATTGGAATGAGTGGCAGCTTAAATATACGAGTATGTACGCAATAGAAAGCTTTCGATATAAATTTGTTATGGAAATGAAAAATGGAAAAGAGAAGTAAAAGAACCGAACGCTCGTAAATAAAAGGACGTAGAACAAAATTGGTTTGATGTGTTTTCTCGTTCTTTTGCTTTCATCATAATTTTCTGGTCGATCAAGAAATTGCAAACGGGAAAAAAAGGAAACAACAGCGAAAATAAATGAGAATTCATAAATAATGTCGACGTTTTAGTGTCAGAAAAAACGAACCACATGAACTTTTATATTCAAAATGAATTTAAAACCATGTTGATATTGATTGATTTAAATACAAAACGAGATTTTATGTTATTTTTGTGGTTAAAATTGACAAAAAAAGGAAAGAAAGAAAAAGTGGAAATTTATTTTAGGGTTTGATTCGATGGAAACTTTCTGTTAGCTAAATATTTTATGATGTTTCTTTCAGTTTTCAAAAGTATCAGAGCGTGTAGGAGTTTGATTTTCATTTTTATAACTTGGGTTGCTAAATTATTTAATGAGAAATTAAAGAATATTTAAAGAACTGCAGCAAGAAAAAGTTCATTAGACTCCCAACAGTTTCTTTCCGTTCCTTTCTTGATCGATCCTATCAAGAACATCTCACCACTTAACAACGAAACTTTTACACAAAAATTTCAGTGAGAATTTGAATCCATTAGAAAGTTTTTCTCGCTCTCGAATAAAAAGAAACTTTTCCAATCTAAACCGGTTTGAATCCTAAACTTTATATGATTTATGCGCATTCATAAAACTTATGCTTTCGAATCTGCTCAACAAATGACATCTTTCAAGAAATAGAAATCTGCTGAGTTCTGCTGTTAAAGCTTAATCCAAAGAAAGGCTTGTAACTTCCAACAACTGCTGTTCATTAATCATATTTTTCTTTCCTCTCGTCAACGATACTATCAAAGGAAGAAGACAAGAACTTCAAGAATGCTACTTCGCAACGCTACTCACCAGTAATATTCAATCCATTATTCGTCACAGAAATATTGATTGCGGCTGTTGATGATGGATCGTATTGTTCTGAAGATTGTTCATCGGTGTCCGCATTCACACTTATGCGTTGAATGGACAGTGAGAGGAAAAGCATGATAAAAAACAGGAAGCCCAAATGTGTGCTCCAGTTACGACTTCGTGTCGCTTTTCGCTTGCTTGGAGGTCCCATGATGTGTGTTGTTGCCTGATGGTTGCGTGTACCTTTGCGATTCGAAATATTCACCTTATGTATTATTATTATACGTTTTATTTTTATTGATGAGGTTGTGAGAGTGTGCTTGTAACTCGATTTTTTTCCTTCTTTGTACTCGCCACAAAACCTTTTCTTCTTCTACTTCTATTTTTACTTTTTTTTTCACCACTCTCTGAAACTTCTCTTTCTATCTCGTGACAGGAATGACTTTTTTTCTGAGTTAATGCTTAAACTTTTTTTTTCTTATTTTTTGAAGTTCTGATGGGTCAAACGGAAAGCAGTTTATTCCATAAAAAAAAAGTTAACAGGGACCCTTAAATAATGGTCTTTTGCAGGCAGATGTAGATTAGATGATGTGGAGGGAGGCTTGGATAGGGATTGATGGGGAGGCAACAAAAAATAAATGATAAGAAAAAAAGTTAAAAGGAAGTTGGTGGTGAAAAAAAGAGAAAAAGATTGAGGATCAAGGATTATTTGACGACATATTTGCTATTATATAATTGCGCTATATTCCGTTTGTTGACTGAACTTCCACCGTTTAAGTGTCTTTGAATTTTCACATTTTTCCATCTCATCTAGTCACCAAACAACAGCTTCGTTACCCTCGCCTTTTTTCTCCTTTTTTTTCTTGATTTTCCTGGGAAATCTTTAACCTTTTTTACTACCACGCACAATTCACAGTCTTAAACGCTCATTCACGAATCTATTTCAAAGCAATCAGGAAAAAACTTTACAAAAACGCACCATGGCAACTTCAATAACGCTTGCAATATATTTTTTACTTTTTTCTTAATTTCAATAATTTCTCTTTTTCAATTCTTATCGATGGGAATTTTATTTTTTTTTAATTCAACTTTTGCAAGGCTACTTTGCCTTAAAATTTTGCGCGCGATCAAAACAAATTAAGAAGGAAAAGAAATGTTAAAACTATATACAGATAAGCGAGCTCCTTTTGGTGTAAATTTTTCTTTAAATTTCCACTTTCAAATAGTTTGCTTCTCTCCCTCTAAATTTTTTTTTGATTTTTTTATTTGTTAGGAGACCTTTCAGTTATTTTATAATGTTCACCAGTTCGACGCGCAACCAAGACTGAGCACCTAAAATTTTTCTCTTCCAACGAGAGCTCGAAAGCGAGCAAAGTTCTGATATGTTTGTGTTGGTTTGTATCTCACGTCGATCATTCAAAGGATTAAGTTGTGGTTGTAAAATTGTAAGGACGAAATCATTGCACAAAAAAAAAATATTTCCAGTCGAATCTTTTATTTCAATTTTCATTTTCACATGAAAGCAGAAAAGCTTCGATACAAAAGCTCGGAATCAAAATAATATTGGATTCCACACTACGATGACACGATAAATTTCGATTGTTAGTATGGAGCCTATGTTCCAATTCCACGTTCATGCATCCAAACGGCAAACATACAATGTGTGAATGAAGGCGAACAATGAGAAACAGTTCAGCCGATTCATTCTACATTTTCGACAACGAAAGCAATCAATAAATGTGTTTCATGTTTCTTTTATTTTCTCTTGATGTTTGTTTGTGGGAGATTTTCTATTTATTCTTCTCATAATCAAGCTTTTGAGTAAGTGTATTCAGTAGGACGAAGCTGAAAGGAATGTTGGGCCTAAAAACTAATAAAATTTTAACGACGACTTCAAAGTGTGAACAAAAGCAGCATTTAATTTCGTGGTTTAATATTTAATAGCTCTTTTTATGTGCAAAGCTTTTATTCTTCTTTATTTTTGAAAAAATGTCATTGCATTCTTTCACGGAAGTTTCACAGGAAAAGCTTTCACTGCCTTTTTACATCTCCAAGCTCGTCACAGCAGTTGAACAGAAAAAATTCCTTTTTTTCTCCTTCTAATGAAACCATCAAACAAATTGTACGTACATATATGTATATATAAGTCGAAAACATACAAACAATAACTCAGAATCTCTTGAAAAGACTTTCCAACAGCTTTTACACACCAGACGTTGTGTTCCATGAGATTCTCATGTGCGCATGTCACGCGAAAACACAAAAGCTTTCCTTTCTTTCCCACGGTGTGAAAAATCAAAAAAAGAAAAAAACAAAAATCGAGACTGCAGAAAGGAAAGTTCTTGCGCAAATATCGTAAATTGCTCCCATCGTATGCGAAGCTTTTCTTATTCTTCCCGACATGGTGCGAGCTATAAATGCCGAACTTCATACATGATTTTCTTTCCTCTCTTTCCCCTTTTCACTCAAGTATGGGGGCTTGAAGTGAAATTTCCATTTAGGAAAAAAAATGCGATTTATTAAAGCAAGATAAGAAGTTTTCTAAACAATATGATGGGAAAATTTTGAAAATACTGTGGAAGAGAGAAAAAGCCTCGAAATGTTTTTAAGTGTTAGGATGGGAGAATACATTGTGGGGTGGCACGCAACGAACAGAAAGCTTTATGTATTCCATGCGATGAGTAAGCTCCACCACCAACGATTGTTTTATTCGTAACATGATTCCAAGGAAATGGGTAAAAATTACAACTATTAAGCCAATACAGCCATGTGATATTTAATCATCAGGAGGCTTTTATATCATGTTTCTTCATCCACCCACCCCTTCTTAATTCGCTTTCCTCAACTGCCTGATTTTTATTGCTCAACTTGTTCATTGTTTAAATACTCTGGTGATCAACATTAAGGCATTAGTTGCATATGACTTGATTTCAAGGTTTGAGAGAAAAGAAAAATGTTTTTCTGTGTTGTGATAGTTTAGGGAAATGTTTGTCAAGGGAAATGAAGAGAAAAGAAGAAGCAAATACAAGTATGACATCACTTCGACGAGACTAGAGAATGTGATGAAATATCTGTTCGTTTTTATTCTGTTATTAAGTATTTGCTTTCATGCTCGACGAGCCAATTACACAATTTAACCCAAATAGCATTCGTGAAACTTCCATTAGGTAATCTTATTTAATTTTTTTATATTCAAGAACGAACATAACACTCGCGCTGTTCTTCGACAGCTCTCTCTTGAGCTTTTTCACTCAAAGTTTAGAGAGAACTTTTTGCTGTTTATTTACCTCCTAAGTACCTACCTAGGTAGCATTTATTAGAATGAAGGAAAAGAATCTACTTAGTTTTTTTATTCAAAAATTGGTAAATATATTTATTAAAGCTTTTTATTATCACAGAGGTCTGAGCTATTTTCTGCATGTGACGAAATGCTTCGATCGATTAATTTACATGTTTCTACCTTTATTTATTTCGAAATGATTTTTAATTAATTTTCTTTGTTCTTATCAATTATTAATCGTGACATTTGAGTTCATAATAATTAAATATTGAAATCAAATTAATTTTCAAGACATTTTCACTTGACATTCTTCAATTCAAGTGAAGTGATGAAGTAAATAAAAAAGAATTTCATGTTCGTAGATATATTTTTTATTGCTTTTCTCTTCATTGTCGAATTAATGTCTCAAGAAAGAAGGAAGAGTGACGAGAAAGACATGAGAAGGAGAAAACTACGTGTTGTTGTTGATGATTAAGGATAATTTTAGCTTGTTTCATAGCACTTAAGGTTTTTGTGCGTGTAAAATAGCTTTTGAGGTGATGTTTCATTTAAGAAATTGATTTAATTTTGATGTCTGTGATTTTGATGACTGCTGTTGAAATATGTCGGATAATTTGGATATCGAAATCAGTTGTTGAGCTTTAGATGAATGTGAAAGTTGCTGAGGAATGATAAGACCAGCTGTCTTCTTTTTCTTCTTCTTTATCTTAATTTTCTTATTCTTTTCATCGCCTTTATGACTCAATTCTTCATTCGTTTCAAGTGTGCTGCTTTTCACAGATGTTGCAGGATTTTCTTGTTTATTTGCCTTCGGTTTCCAACAGAGAACTTTCGTTACATTCTTACAGATCTCGCATGTGTAAACCTGTGATACCATATGGTCAAGTTAAATAGTTCTTCATAATTAAAGCTATAAAAATAATTACCGCTTCGTGATTATTCAACTTTTGAAGATGTTGAACTTTTCGCATTAATTTTCTCTTTTCATTCTTCTTCTCGATTGTCTTTAGAGCTTTCTGAAGTCTTTCGATTTTATGTTGTCTTCTTCCTCTTCTTCGATGATTCGATGGATTTATTTTCAATGAAAATTGTCCGACTTTCCAATGTGTAAGACACTTTTTGCACATATGCTCATCTCGTGTTTTTATATTCTCCAGATTAAGACTTCATAAATGAATTTAATTAACTAAAATTTACATTTTTGAGAGAATTGAAATTAAATCTTACCGATGATATGTTTCAATTAGTAAATGACTTTGGGTTTTAGCTTTTGGTAAGCTGCCAAGTATCGTATGAGTATGATTTTCCATAATAATTGATTTAAAAGAAAATATTTTGTAAACACCGGCAAGTTTTGTTTACAAACTTCAATTCCCTTGTTTGCGGAACATGACACAACTGAACACCCCTTAAAAAAGTACATGACCATTCCAATAATATTCGCCAACTCACAACAAAAGTTTTTCTGCATTTTAATATGGATTTATCAGGTATTGTGGGCATTGGTGATAGTGAAGATTTAAAGACAACTGAAGGGATTGACAGACTATGTGAAAGAATCACTGAACGTGAAGCACAAATTAATGAAACATTAGAAAATTTATTGTCGAAAAGATTCAATTTAGAAGCACGATTAAGAAATTGTTCAACTAAACATCAGCAAATCTTGAAAGCATCTGTGAGTGATGACTCTAAAAAGCTTGCTGAAATGATAAGTCACACCGCCGATCTCGCAGAGAAAGTTAGTGCAAAAGTTCGTCGTCTGGATGTTGCAAGAATGCGGGCATCGGAAGTTCAATGTCGTGTTCATGATCTCATAGATCTTCAGCTGTGTAGTCAAGGTGTCATGTTAGCCATTAAAGAAGAAAATTATGAGAAAGGTGCTGCTCATGTTCAACGATATTTAGCGATGGATAAGAAATTGTTGGAGAAAACTGCTGACGATGTTTCCTCAATGACTTCAGTGAATAAAGCTGTTGACACTCTTGAGAAAGCTGCCAAAGAGATGAGGTAAGTTACACAAATCAAAGAAAAATCTTCAAATCCTAATTAATCTTTAATTTTCAAGGGAAATTGTTAAAGTTAAACTTGATGAAGCCATCAAGAAAGACGATCTCGCGTCAGTCGAAAGATTTTTCAAAATTTTCCCTCAACTGGGAATGCACGACGAGGGAATTGCAAAATTCACTTCATACGTTTGTTCAAAACTAACAACAAAAGCGCAAAAGGAATTGAGGCAATCAATGGACATCGCAAAAGCTGAGAAACGAACGAACGTTGCTTATGCCGACACATTTACAGTTTTATTAGAAAATGTTTTAAGAGTAATTGAAGTCAATCAGCCTATAATTGAAAGTTATTATGGATTCGGACATTTGTTGAAGATGGTGAAGCTTTTACAAGTTGAATGCGATGATGAGACAAGAAAACTTGTCCAGGATTTCAATAATCAAAGAAAGATTCAAAGAAAAATCAACCAAATAAATGATTTCATGAAAAGTCAATCAAGCAGCTCAACGAGCACACTTGGTCATCTAAGGAAAGCTTCTGGAAGTATGGATAAGTTGAATGCAAAGGATTTAGATGCACTTATTGCTGAAGTGACAATAATGCATTCAAGAGCTGAACTTTATGTGAAATTTATTCGACGTCGTGTAACGCAAGACATTGAGAAAAGCAGCATGTCAGGTGAAGATAAGAAATCAAACATGGAATCACTTGAATCAATGATTAAAAAGTCACAATTAAGCACACAAATGCATGAATTACTCAGCACTTATCTGCTTTTTGAAAAATATTTCATGGAGGAAAGTGTCGTGAAAGGAATCGCTTTGGATGCTTTCGAGACGGGACAACTTTATTCGAGTATGGTTGACGATGTCTTCTTTATCGTACGTAAATGTATTCGACGATCAATTGGAACACAATCGGTTGATGGAATTTGTGCTGTCATTAACAATGGCGCTTCATGTCTTGAACAGGAATTTATTAATTCACTTAAAAGTCCTTTGAAAGCTGGTTATCCTTCAGGTTACATCGATCTTGCACAAGCTTACAATGCTTTTCAAAGCAGCATTCAGCAAGGAAAGATTCAAACGAGTGACTCGGAAGTGGCACGAACAAAGTTCATCATCACTTTGAATAATGCTGACAAATCAACTGAATACATTGAGACACTTCACATCAACATGGGTGAAGAGATAAAAATTTCATTTCCAACGATGTCAGCTCATAAGAAAGAAATGATTGACAGTTGTTTGAGTGGATTAAGAAATGTCGGCGATTCGTTGAAAGCTGTCATTGAGTTTGGAATGCAACAACTTCGTTCAAGTGCACTTAAGCCAAGATTGAATCCGTGGATTGATCAATTTCAATCTTACAATCATATGATGACAGAAGAAGAACTTGCAGCTTATGAAGCTGGTGAAACTTTCATTCAGTTCTTGATCGTACAACTTGATTCGCTTTTAAATTCATTCAAAAAGAATCTCAGTGAAAGGAATTATGATGTGCTTGTGAGCATGTTGGCGATAGATGTGACGACGAGATTTGAAAGATCGATTAAGAAGTCAGGTTTTAATCGTCTTGGTGGTTTGGTTCTCGATCAAGAAGTGCGAGCACTCGGAAGCTTTCTAACAGCAGCTACAAGCTGGACAGTTCGTGATAAAATGGCGCGACTCACACAAATTGCAATTATTCTTAATCTTGAGAAAGTTACAGAACTTTCAGAGTATTACGATCCGAAAAGTCAAAACGATTGTGGACCATTCACAGCGTGGCGTTTGACACCAAACGAGATCAGAACGATTTTGAAATTGAGGTGAGTTTGCGATGAATTTGATTGTCGAATTGAATTGATTTTTGTTTTTAATTTCCAGAACTGATTTTAAGATCGAAGATATCAAGAAGCTCACGCTTTAATCATTAATTAAATGTTATTTAAAAAAGAAAATTTATATCGATAATAAACTCGCTTTGAAAAACAAAAGAAAATTCTTTTTTTATTTCCTCTTCACCTTCATTGTTACATGTTATAATTAGTTTAATTATAAATGTTGTTTTTTTTTTCTTTTTCGTGATGAAACAAAACTAAATAAATGTTGTAGTGATAAATTGGATGAATGAATGAAAGGAAAATTGCATCGAATAATGGAGACAATTCTCAACTAGTTCACTGTCATTGCCATTGTCAGAAAAGGCATAAAAAGAATGAAAATTTGGATTAATAAATAAAAAAATGAATTTAATTAATTAATGAGATGTGAGACTAGATTAATTTACATATTTTGACCCTTTAATTCCTCTGATGAATCGTAATGAAATCGATTCAAGTCGTGTTCAACATTAATTTTCATGTCGATGACGCTTTTCACTCGCAATTTTTCGCTAAAATTTAGAAAAATGCGTCAAAAGCTTTCATCAACGAAATTTTCTCTTTTTTTGTTTTAATGTGATTAATTTTTCGCTAACATGCGACTCTTCTCTTCAATTTTCTTTTACAATAAATTGACAATTAGCCTGCTCATGATTTAATCTTTTACGTGTTAGATATGTTGTATGTATGTATAAAAAAATATCCATGAAATGAAATAAAGAAAAAAAATTGTAGAAAAAAATTGGACTACAGAAGTTACAAAATTTTATCTTAAATATTTATGTATCTTGTTGTTATGTTGTTAGAAAGATTCATCGCAGATGCTTTAAAAATAATCAACTAATCGTCATCATCAACTTCAATGACGTCGTCACTCGATTCAACAATGGTACGCTTTTCAAGGAACTTCTCAGCATCCGAGTATCTCACAACAGCACTCGAGCTCGTCTCAGAGCTTGATGATGAATTCTTGAAGTGGAAATTATTGAATTATTTAACTTATTGATTTTTAGTTAATTTTGAAATGCTTTGTTTGCAATTAATCTTATTTACATTAAGTTATGCATCTTCCACCTGTAAAGTCTTCCATGTTAGTCACAAAAGCAAAGCAATTCATTGTTAAAATTGTTATTTTCATTTCTTTTTATATTTTATTAATATTTTCAATTCAATCTCCAGCTAATTACAAACAAATGACTTGATGTGTAGATGAATTAAATTAGAAGATGAAAAGATTATTTATGGAAGAAATGAGATTAAAGTTCGAGATTGTTATCACCACATCCATCAATAAATATTTTAAATTATCAGCAATCACAGACATTCAAGTGATCGAAATTTAGAAATATATAATCCCATCACAAGTTTCTTTGACTAGTCAGTTACTCTGTTAACAATCAATATTTCATTTCATATTTCATTAAATTCGTTTGCAAAAAAAATAATTGTTTTAGATAATTGAAAGATCGAATGTTTGATTAGATTAGAAAGAAGATTCAGGAAAAAATTAATAATAATTAAGCAAATGCAAATGATTTAAGCTTCACGTGATGCCATCAACTTTGAGTAACTGTAACGTGATGTTGAGTTGCTCAAGCACATTGTTGATGAAGCACGTTGAAAGCTTTTCTTGTTATTGTTAGTATCACATTTTTCATCGACAATTTCATCGAAGCTTTTACTATAATGAGTGTTAAAAGCGCTGAAATTTTTTCTTAAAAGTCGTCCACTTCCACCTTGATAAACGACTCGCATTTTATCAAAATTAGTTGAAGCTTTCTCGTTGTTATTAATAATTGAGATCATGTCAATTACCTTGTCGCGAATAATTGCTGGAATCTTTTCGCGGATATAATCGTAGTTGGTTGGCAAACCCTTGCATAATGGCAAATTTTGATAGAACCACCAGAGAGACTTCTTTGTGTGAACAATAATCTGATCTTCTGCAATTTGTTGAAAGAATCTTTCAGAAGTGTTTCGAATTTTTATTCAAGCTTATAACTTACTATCTGGCTTAACTTTATTAGCCATTTCTGGTGTGCTATCTTTACGTGAGAAATGAGAACGACGTGAACGACTCAAACCATTAGCTGGTGCATTTATTTGTTCTGTAACTACAGTGGTGTTTGATGAGCTTGATGAATCGATCGATGATGATGATGTCAACACTTGAACATCATCGTTACTGTTATTTGGACTTCCCTGCATAAACACATCATCTTCGACTTCATTTGAAAGCTGAACTACAGCATTTGATGATGATCGTGCAAGAAGATCTAAATGAACTCCACTGTCGATAAAAGGTGATGATTGCGATGACAATTGATGCCCAAGTGGTATCATCGATGAAGCTGCTTCAGCGTTTAGCATCATAGCTTCCGATGATTTTAAAAATTCTTGTTGAGTGAAGAAATCATCAAGAACAAGTTTTGCAACCTGAAAAATGAATCACTTTGAAATTTAAGAAATTTTGAAAATTAAACTTAGTAGTCGTCCGTTAATTTCAGATATTTAAATTTTCTTCGAAAAATGGTTTTCGAAGATTAGCTCAGAGGGGGCTGAGACTTTATTTCAAATTAATCAGTTCTAGTTGAAGCATTTCGTGACGACTTATAATAAAAAATTATACACTTACTTTAACCAATTCCAATGAATCACCGGTTATCTTTATACTGTGATTTCCAACGTTCACCGTGTATTTATATTCACCTAATGAAGCATCATTCGTACTTAAACTGTGAAAAACTGAATTATTATGATGTGAATTGCTTCGCGTTAATTTATTTCCCATCGGCAACTGAACATTAATGTGTTGTTGCATTGCCATTCGTGTACGTGGCAAAACTGTTACTTGTTGATCATCTGATGATGCCAATGAACTACAAGAACCTTCTTGTGATGCTTCACGTATTGGACTTGCATTACGTTTGATTGTATCTTCAATCAAAAGCTTTGCATAATTAATGCTTTCTTCACTTGGTCCAGTGATTTGCACAAGACGTTCCTTTGCACCAGGATTCACTAAAAATTCAAAAATTCATTAGACATCAAAAATTTTTCAAAATATCACATTCACATGCACAACACGAGTTAATTAAAATATTCAGCGTTGTTTTAAATGTTTCTTAGATTTTGTCTTCATCACAAATGAGTTTTAAGAGCAAATGAAGTTTTGAAGATTAACATTAATAGATTAGCAAGCAAATAAAGTTATGCGAATGATATTGTTATTGACATTGAGCGCAATATGATTAAAGATAATTAAAACTTTACCACGTTGAAAGGAAATCACGCAATTGCTCATCTCTTCAATGATGTGCACGCGACGTCCTTTTATTCCCATCACTGTGTGCGTGGGTGGTTGGGTTGAAAATAATTGTAATAAAATTGATATCGAAAAAATGTTAACATCGGCACTTCTTACCTTTTCCACTGTCAGCATTACGAATTATGATTTCATCTTTTGAGTAATTCTTGCCAGGAATCTTTGTTGGCTTGGCAAACTTTCCACTGTTCTTGACAATCTCACCAGGTGCCAATGCTTGTCCTATCAATGTCATTCCCATGTTGATCGAAGGGGAAGTGCCCAACATGTTCATGTCGTTATCAGGCTAAAGTAAAACAATTAAATTATTGAGTTTAACTCGTAAATATTTCATCCAATTCACCTCAACATTCGTTGCAGCCTTTTGCTTGTAATAAGTGTTCAGTCCATCTGATAATTGCCAAGAATTGGCTCTCAACTCAATGAGATTAAGCAAATTAAGACGAATGGAAATCTTTAAGCGATCGTCCTGTGATGCATTCCGATAAACGATGAAGCAACGATCGAGAATTTCTTTCGAGTAAATTTCAAGTTGTGGTCCGTGCAATGAAAGGCTGCTAAACATTTTATTGAAAAGATCAAGGGAAACATCGCCTTGAGAGAGCGAGTTGGCAACTGCTTCGATTAATGCAATCAAGTCTTCAACTAAAATCGAAACAAAAAGAAGCCAAATAAATTTTTTCAAGTTCTGAAAGGTGAAAAAGGAAAATTTACTTGAATTAACTTCGAAGCTTTGCTGTTGTTGATACAACGGCATTGCTTGTTGTTTAATGCTCGATTTGAGTGGTCGTGGTGTCTCCAATTGTCTTCCAATCTGAGACATCTTTGATTTTTTCAAATTTATAATCTTTTATCAGCACAAAAAACAGAACAGGAAATAATGACGAAACTTAAATCAGAAGATTTAACTGAATGGAGATGGAACCGTTTTGAAACAATAATGAAATGAACTGAAGCTGTGAACGAAAGTGATATTCGTTGCACGTCCCCCTACGAAGAAAAAGTAATAACTGTGTGATTATTGAGAATGTTGTCAATTGAAAATTGTTGATGAATCCTTAGAAATGCATTGATTCGAAGCTTTCATCGATTTTTCATGAGCGATTGGATAACAAATACGAACGAAAGAAAGTTATAAGTTTGTTACTGTTTACATCAATGATAAATGATGTTACTTTAAGTTTCCATCATCGAATGTGTACAGCAGAAATTTGTTCAAGTGACTCAAGCTTGTTTCTACTCCCACGAAAACACAAATTTTCAAGTGAATCATGTTGTTATTTTTACTGAGAAAGAAGCTAACTTTACAGAAATGAATTCTAAATTCTTGAGATTTTGTTTGTCAAATTTGGAAGGTTATCGACAGTTTGTCTATAGTCTAGAATTTTAGAGAAAGTTTTCAAGCATATAAATTTACAATTTAACCAGAATGTAAATATTGCAAATTTTGGGTTAATATTATTACGAGAAAACGATTTCTTTAAATTTTATACTTGCTACATTAGCAGGACACTTTTTGAATTCTTTTCTACATTATATTTTAAAAGAATCACAGCTGTTCAATCACTTTTATAATTAAAAAAAATATGATTGAAAAAAGCAAATTTTTGCACAAGGTTTCAACTTCTAAATCGATGGAATCAATACAATCTTTGACATTTCTATGAAACTAATGTTGTCTTTTTTAACATCATCATAAAGAAGAACCTTAAATTGCGTTTAATTCGATAAAATTTAACAAATCAATGCTTACCTTAGAAACTAAATTAAATTACTGAATCCTATACTTAAATTTTTTACAAGGGCACATGTACAGATCAAAAGTATACTCAAAGTTTAAATTTATCTATAACTGCTACAAGTTTATACCATTTTCTGAGCTTCTGTTAAATAAAATAAAAAATTTGATCTCAGCTGAAATCTTCAGAAGAAATTGCTTTTTATTCTGTTGATTTCTTTTTTCATCTATATTATAATTTTGTAGATAACACAATTTTAGTGATTTGCAATAAATTTTTCATTTATAATATTCGATTAGATTAACAAAATAAAACGAATGAAAAAAAGGAACATATTCCATAATCAGAATTTCCTTTATGCAAGTGTTTCAAACTTTACATTTCTACTTACTCAAAATATTTATCTTTTTTTTATCAAAATGATGTCCGAATTGTCCTTGATAGATCACTCGAAAAAAGAAATCTTTATAAACATTTATTAGACGAAAATTGCATCAATATTGACTGTCAAAAAACATGTGTCAGTCATTCAGTCATTTTCTTATTAATTTCATGTTAGGTATGTAAGTTTATGTTGCAAATATATATTCGTATAGAATTTTAAAGAATCAAAAGCTTTACTTTGTATTATTCTGATAAGTATGAATAATAATTCAAATATCTATAGTACAAGAAAAAAATAATTTTTTCAATGTAGATAAGTTTTATGTGTCATAAAAAGAAGGCCTCACATTTTTATGTTAAAACTTTGCAATTTATGTTCAGTCTTTGGCATTTCTTCCTGCTTTCAACACTACTGGAGTGGCAGTCTCTTCCACTTTTACACTCTTATTGGATTCAACACATAATGTGGTAGGAAGTAAAATTCCAATACTTTTTCAACATTGAATTCTTTTTTGCCCAGTTTTCAAAATCTGAATAAAGATTTTTTCAAGCAAACAAAATATAATTGCACTTAGTATTTCAAGGAAAAATCTTAATTCATGACAGGTCTGGAAATTTTGGCAGGTATGGATATGTTGGCTCATCCTTACAGCAAACTTCATTTCCGTTGCATTTTGAACCCCATGCATCCTATATACTGATGATGGGTGACAATCATTTGACGGTGTACAAACTCCGAAACCATGTCAACAAGATCTAAAGCAACAATCTAGTCCTTGTCCGCATTCTGTATTCCACTCGAGTTTGAGGACAACGCCACAATCATCAGTGCAATAGCCTGAACCTCTGTAGCACTGCTTGGCTATTTTTCATAAATTATTTGAAGAAAAAAATATTTAGGAAATTTAAATTGAAAAATTTATACTAAAATATAATTTATAAAATATAAAATTAAACCTCCTGATGTAATTGCCAGGACAGAAAAGCCAACAAACGTGGCTAGAAAAATTTCTACCAAAGTCTTCATAACTTTAAACTTAATGCTGAAGATTCACTTTGTAACTGAGTTTTGAATAACTGAAATTCTTCTTTTATATGTTTCCCGAAGGTGGTAAAATTAGCACAAGTCAGTCTAGGTACTTGTTTTAATTCACTAATTACTTTATTAGTAAATATGAATAAATTATTTGATAAAACAAAAGTTATTAGACAATGGGTGGAAAAGGGGAAGAAATAAAAATGGTTACTTAAATTTGTTCTCACTTTAGCTGGTGGCAGTCTCTTCCATTTTTAGAAAGCTATTATTGGGTACAACACATAATGTGCCCGAGAAACACCAACGCTCCATGAGATTCATTTAAGCTTGCACTCTTCAGATTTTCATGGCCAAGTCCATAAACATTTCCATAAGAATTCAGCGAAAATCCACGTAGCATTGCTATTTAACCCAAACATGTTAATTTTGTGTCGCTGTTTCAGCTACATTTAGTGCTACACAAACCTAACTTAAAGTATCTTTACAAGTCCGTTACAAGTCCAACTCATAACTAACTTAAGAAGATAACATCAGTGGTTTTATGCTCACAGTCATTCATATGACTGATCTTTATTCAATTCAAAGCAAACAAAATATAATCGCTATTGGTAATTCAATGAATAAGCTTCATTTTTGGCATGTTTGGAAGTTTCATCTTGTATGGATATTCTGGCTCAGTCCAACAGCAAACTTCGTTATCTCCGTAGCAGTTTGAACCCGGTCCATAATTTATGACTCCCCCTTTGCAGTCATCTGACTTTGTACAAACTCCGAAACCTTGTTTACATGGTCTTAAGCAACAAACTTGCCCTGATCCGCATTCTGGATTTCCCCTGAATGTGAGGAGAAAACCACAATCCTCTTCAGTTTTGCAATTGCCTGAATTTTTGTAGCACTGCTTGGCTATTTTTGATGAATTATTTGAAGAAATTAAATATTTAGGAAATGTGAATAAATAATTTAAACTAAAATATGGTTTAGAAAATATAAAATTAAACCTCCTGATGTAATTGCCAGGACAGAAAAGCCAACAAACGTGGCTAGAAAAATTTCTACCAAAGTCTTCATAACTTTAAACTTAATGCTGAAGATTCACTTTACAACTGAATTTTGAATAAATGAAATTCTTCTTTTATATGTTTTCCAAAAGTAGTAAAAAAGTACAAGCTTGGTTTAATTTATTTTATTAGTAAATATGAATAAATTATTTGATAAAACAAAAGTTATTAGAACAATGAGTAAAAAAGGGGAAGAAATAAAAAATGTTATTTAATTTTGTTCTTGCTTTAGTTAGAGGGTGGTATGGTCATTGGTAAAGCATTCCATTACAATAGAATGACTATTGCAGATAGATAATTAATTATTATTTTCCATAATTAAGTTTAATATTGACATTTTTATTATGAATAAGACAGCATTCTATTGAACGTGCCAACTTTAAAATTTTAAAAACAAAATTGAATGAAAACTTTAGAGACGTTAATAGTTCGTATTGGATGAGTCAATGTGGGGAAATTTCCAAACACTTAAACTCTCTAATTTTTTAGTTCAGCAATTATCATACAAATCTAAAGTACCCTCAAGATTCAAGATCAGTTGAGACTTGAAAGAGTTGTATTCATGTGAAATTTAGTAGGACAAATGACGCAATTTCAAGAACTCAAAAGGGAGCTTTATTAAACTCGAAATTCGTGGTAAATTACCTTACACTCAGAAAAAAATACTTTACTCTTTCCTCAATTGAGTCTTTGGCCTTTTTTTCCTGCTTCCATCACTACTGGAGTTAAAATCTCATCCGTTTTTACACGACGACTCTTATTGGGTGCAACACATAATGTGGTAGGTAGCATAAGAAAAATCCATATCTTTTCAACATTTAAGTAGTTCATTTTTGGCCAATTTTCGAATCTTTATTCAATTCAAAGCAAACAAAATAGGACCTAATTGGATTTGGTATTTCAATGAAAAATCCTAATTCATCTTGTATGGATATTTTGGCTCATCGTAACAGCAAACTTCATTAGGTCTGTTAAGATTCACTGAATTTTACAACTGAATTTTGAATAAATGAAATTCTTCATTTATATGTTTTCCAAAAGTAGTAAGTTGTTCACGACTAAAAAGACGTGAATGAAAACATATGATCAATATCATATTTTTAAATTCTATATTTTCGAAATAATTACATTTTCTACCAAATTAAAAGCAATTTATTTTACTTAAAGGGCCTAAAGCTCATTAAAGCAAAATCAAGAGTGTTCACGACTAAGAAAAACAAATGCACGGTGAACATGTCGTTATAGCGTCAAATGCATTATTGTGGTTGAAATATTTTTTCTGGGTGTCATAGAAAACATTAAAAAATTAAAAGGAACTCGATTGAATTCACCTAATTCCAGATTTTTTATTCGATGCTCAGCTTGAATGCTTCATAAAGGGGCATACATAAAAAGTATACTCAAAGTTCAAAGTTATTTTTGACTGTTGCAAATTTATACCATTTTTCACAATCTAAATTAATTGAAAATTTAATCTCAGCTGAAAAATTCAAAAACATAAAAACATTAAAATATTTCAATTGAAAAACAAAATGCTTTATTCTGTTGATTCTTTTTTCATTGATTTTATAATTTTGTAGAAAACACAAAATTTAATTATTTTCTATTTGAAATTAAAAAAAAAGTTTTGTTTTAATTTTAAGTTTCCTTTTCATTTGTAGGTAGTTTTTTTTTAAGATAGTCAAATTGGAGAAAAACTCATAAATAGAAAAAAAAATTGCTGTATTGTGATTAGGAAAGAAAGAACTTCGAATGTGAATGTGAAAATTACATTGTATACAACACTTTTCTCTATTTTAAAGACTTACAATTTCTTTTTATGTTCGTTCTTGTGGATTTTTGTGAGAAAATCAAAAGTAAGAAGAAAATGTTTCATGCGACGAATTATTAAAAAAAATTCATTGTAAGGTTGTGTGGAAAATTCAGGAAAAAATAAGATCACAAAGTCGGACGTTTTTTCCCTCGCTTTAATCAAGTGAAGATGGATGTTTGCTTTTGAGGGGGTTGATTGATGGTTTAGATGAGGTCGAGTTGGATGAATGTTTTTCTTTTCGTGAGCGACTTTGACTGAAGAACCATTTTCTTTTATTGAACATTTCCTGCCTTTTTTTCAATCAAATGAGTAATAATTAAATGTCTCAGTTGCAACTAACTGCATCAACTGGTTCGATTTCTCTTATTGTAATGCAACGTTTCGATAAGAAAACAAAAAAATTAAGAAAAAATCATAAAAAAATTGTTTTCGTCTAAAGAATGTTTTTTTCTTTTTCTTGTTTTTCCTACAATTTTTGTAATGAGATAGCAGTGTTTGCTGGTGGTAAGAATGTCGCGAGAATATTTATGTTTGTTTTTTTCGTTATTAACCACTAATGCGAATGTAAACTTATATTTTGTGTTTTCATTTTTCATGAAGCGATGTCACCATCTCGATCATGTTTTTCCTACACATCACAAATACTGCATGCTCTCATCACACCCTTAAACATTACGCCAAAAAAAACCGAGAGGAGTTTACGATCGAAAAAGAAAGTGCTTTTCTCTTTACATTGAATTATTACCATTGATTCATCAAGTTTCTCATCTTAAATATATATTAATTTAAAACTTTATAATATATACTTTTTGTGTTTTGCCGTGTGTTCTCTTCCTTCCATCCCTTTACTTAGCAATAATAATGCAACACACACTATTACTCCTCTTGTTTTTCATCATCATTTAAAATTAATATTTGTAGTCTATTTTAATATTATTTTTTTTTTCATTTTTCATCTTTAATATTTAGGTTTTTGAAGTGTTTTTTTTTGTGGTTTTTCGCAATTTTTCTTAAGATTTCTTCAGTCACTGCACATTTACAAAAAATGAAGTTTCGTCGATTACGCATCATCGTCATCATCGTCTTCTTCTCCTTCACCATCTTCCTCCTCGCCTTCACCATCTTCTTCTTCTTCATCTGCAAGTGTTTTTGAAAGAATTTTGTGTGATTAGAATTGTTAATTAATTATTGAAATAAGTTGAGTTAAACGAACCTTCTCCGTCGATTTCTTCCTCACCGTAAGGTAAATCGTACTCCTCGTCTTCGGCTTCCTCATTTTCATCCTCCACCTCTTCTTCATCTTCGGCTCCATTTTCATCCTTTTTGGATTTTTTGGCTTGCTCGGGTTTCTTCTCCTATAAGATAAGAACAAGTAAACAAAAGTTAAATATTGATAACTTGCTTTCTAAAGGTCAATTGAGGTTTTTAATTAAATTAACTCTTAATTATTATAATGACTTATTCAAAGATTTTGCATTATTTAAATTTACATGGAAACGGATAAACGTAAGTAACGACGCTTCACGTGTTCGTTCTACATGACGAATAGGAAAACAACATGCGTGGGAATGAAACAGTTTCTTATCTTTCATCCCCCCCATTGACGATCAACAACACAAAAAAAGAGATAATAATAAAAAAAATTCCTATGGTTTTATACTTGTTTGTCCCTTAACTACGTAATAAAGTGTAACAAAGTTTCTACATCTTCATGTAAAAGGAGACAGTGAAAAAGAATATAAAAAAGGATTTTATCGATTCCTATTTTCGGTTACAATTCAAGTTGAGATGAAATCGCGCGCCATTATAATCATTCGTAAGACCCGAAAAGGAAGGCATCGGAAGAATCTTCCAGGGGATGAATGTGTTAGTGACGAAGGCTCCGATACATTTGACCGGTTTTAGTCTTTCGAGTAATGTAGCACTTTTGATGACAGATGGGACTTTTATGATACATTTCACGCGTACATATAAGCACATCCGAAGTTTCTCAAGTGCCATTCTATATTAGACTTTTTTCTCTTATTGTATGTTCTCTACCATTGAAGATTTTCAAAACAAAAGTTAAAATCGGGCAATGAGAAGAGACGTTTTTGGCTTGGCTTCATATTCAAAGTAAAAATGGTGTGAATATAGTGTACAGATTTTATTATAATCATTGTTGTATAAACGAAAAAAAAACGCTCTTTCCCTATTCCCATCTCGCTTCTTCGCGTAAGCCCCTGAATGAAAAAATCTTTTTTGGATGAGAAAGAATAAACGGCAAAAAAAGACGAGAGCATAAAATTGTTGTAAAACTTCATAGAACCTACACATACAAAAATGCTTCACGTCGCTTTTACTCGAATTTCTTCTTTACAAGCATTAATCAGAAAAACATCCATTCCAAACTATGAGAGTGTTAGTGCGGCATATGCGTGCTCACGACAAGAACGCGTCACACATTCATGCCGATTTTTGGATGCGCTTGTGTGTGAACGAACTTTTCCCCCATTTTCCTCAACGAATTTTACAAATTAAAATAAGAATAAACTAAAGAAAAATTATCAAGCATATTAAGTTGGATTAAATTCTATCAAAAAACTTATTTGTCCATGTTATTATGAAAAGAATAATGAAATAATTCATGATGCCATTTCATGTTCACCAACACTTAGCGAGTGTTTACATGTGTACATGATAATGACGCCAACGCCAAGCGCAAAAAGCGTAAACTCTTCAACTCAAAAATGCTATTAAAGTACAATATTATGCGATATCTGAAAGTTTCGTAACTATTTTAGATTGATGTTTCAACACTTGCTCTCGTAAACTTTTGCATTGAATTCAGGTCATGTTGGAGAAATGCTTTCAACGCCATGTTTAATGCTCTTAAACCAAGGTCGAGAAAGTGAAGAAAAAGCGAGGGAAAAATTACTTTGGTAAACTTCAAAGTAATCATGAATTTGTTGAATTAAAAGCCGATTGCTTACACCTCGTCATGCAGCTGAGTCAGAAGATGTTTTCGGCTTGTCCCGGTTTTCGGGAATTTAATATACGAATGGAAAAAACAACATTTTCATCATGAAGCGACGCCATGGCAGTTTCTCTCTATATTCTTATATGCCTTGCTTTTGTATGTGTATGCTACCGGCTAAAAAGAGTATATCATTGCTTTTTTTCGATTTGTTTTACGGGGGAAATTATTCTTGTATAGGAAGAAATGTGCTACATTTATCGTCGCTCCCCGAAGCTTCTATTCTTTCTTTCATATATTTCTACGGAGGGAAAAGTTCGGTGGGGATTCCAATCGAAAGTAATTCTTGAAAAGTTCACCTATCCCGATAAGAATGAATAGCATCTTTCGGTGGTATCAGGCAAACATCAATTATGGAGTCGCTAATCAATATTTTCTTCTCTCCCATCAAGTATTTTCCTATGCTCATTACGTATGACTTTTGAATACTATAAAACAAATCATTATACTCACTTCGGCAGCTCTTTTTGTCCCTTTAACTTCCTTGGTCTCTGTCTTTTCCTCTGCTGCAGGTTCGACTGTAACTTCTTGATTTTCTGTACTCATTTTGATGGGTTTTGTTTTATTTTTTGTGTGGTATAAATTGAAACTAGTTAGAATAAGTTATTTGACTTGCTTTATGCTTTTTTCTTAAATTTTAAGAGCTTAAAATGCTTAATTAGCGGTTTTTTCTTAAATTTTTTTTCCACTCGAAGTGAACTTGTCAATAAGCACGAAACGAATGAGAGCTTCTTGTAGCGTTTGCCAGTTCCAAACTGTATAAATGGTTCGATTTACGCCGCATTGGCGGCCAGGTTTCAGTTTTTTATAAATTATTAATACTAAAATAAAATTCATTATGATAAGATTTATATCAAAATTCATGAAATTAATTTTCACAATTTCTTCAGTTTTCAATTGATAACTTTTCTTTAATTAAAGAAATATTGCTTTAAAAAACGAGGGTTTCTTGAGTACAAATCTGGGGTTGCCAGGTCATATTTCTTGAAGTTTTTTGGTGTCACTTCATAGATGGCGCTGTTTGCACGAATATTTTAAAAATAAAGCGTCGCTTTGAGAAATTTTTGGACGTTATTTTTATGATTTATTCATTTTATGATCGTTTTATGATTTGTGCAGCAACTTTAATAATTTAAGTTCTGACCATTTTATCAATTGATACTTTATAAATAGATAATTATGTATTACATAAGCATGTTTTAATTCGATCTTCATAATAATCTTATTTGTTATTTATCTAAAAATATTGTTGGCGTTTGCGCGTTTCCATTATCGATTTTTCCAATCACCAAGAAAAAGTTTTCATTTATTCAGCTTCACCTTTGTCTCCTTAAAATTTTCAATTTACCAGTCATCACCTTCCACTCATCTCCACACATCCCTTCTGCAGTTAGCTTTGGTTATAGAATTATTAAAATCAAAGAATTTGTGACTGAAATATTGAAGAAAATTAATAAAAACAAAAAGAAGTGTTTAGTGAGTTGCTACGCAAACAATCAACAGATAATTTTTCCAGCTAAAAGCTTTTTTCTTATTTTGGTAAAATTATTTTTGCTAAATTTATTGATATTTGCGTCAGCAATTAAACTTTCAATCATTCATTTCAGCAAGTTAATAAAAGCAGAAATCCTGTTCACCATAAGTCAAGAAAGTGAAATTGTCATAGCAGGTAAATATATAAATGAAAAATAGAAATAACAGAATAGCAACAGGTTGCAATTAATTTATTCAATTCTTTATCAGTCGACATGCCGGATTTCGGGGTTTATCCACTTCAATCCGAGTCGCTTTCACAAGATGAATCCGAGTCGACATTTGAGAACAAGTCAGGATTGGCGGAAGACTTAAAATTCCTTGCGTCAATGCCTGAGCTTTGTGATGTGACATTTCTTGTTGGTGAAACACGCGAGCCCGTGTGCGCTGTCAAAGTGAGTGCGAACTTCACATAAACCAAAAGATTATTAAAATATTTCTCTTTCTTCTTATGCTAAGGCAATTCTCGCTGCTCGATCGCGAATCTTTCATAAATTGCTTTATCAACAGCAAGCATCACCCCAAAGAAAAAATCAACCCAACCCACCACCCGTCCGCGAAAACAAATTACGCTTGTTTTTAAAACGATCATCTGAACCTTTATTAAATCTTCAAAATGAATCACAAAAGGTATGATGAGAAGCTTTATGAATGACGTAAAAAAGCTGGCTTTACAAAAACTGGAAAATAGAAAAAGATATTTTCGTTCAAATTGTCATTTGAAGGCATTCCAGTCTTTTGATTGCCGCTTAAATCCATTAAATTTCGTGTCATGTTATACATACATAAATTTGCTTTTTATTTCGAACATTCAAATTAATAACAAATTAAAAATTAAATAAAAAATGGTAGAGAACGCTCGTCTCCCAGCCAACCTTAATGCCCACAATCTACGAGGTAAATTCAAGTTAAATCAAAACAAATTTCGTTGCTTGTCCTTCTCTCCTTCTACTGCAAAAAAAGTAATTTTCTGAAAATAGATTTTCATCGCGGACTTTTTGTGGTTTGCTTGTGACGTTTTTTATTTCACTGGCATGGTAGAGTAGAAAAGTTTTAGAATCACACGTTCTGTTTAATTGGAGCAACCAAGTGACTTCTTAAGTTTTTATTTCTTAAAATGTATGACTTAAACTTTTATAAAAGAAATTTATGAGTTAAATTCACAATCTATCAGATTGAATGAGCTTTTTTAAATAGAATTTAATTTTCTATTAAACCTTTTTCTGATGAACTTTTAATTGATTTTGTAGCCTGGCTGTCAAACTCATCAGACTTTGATAATCGAAGAATTTGAACCCGGTGAGTGGTTAATAACTTTACAATTATAATTAAATGAAATCTCTTTGATTGAGGTTTTCTAAAGTAATTAATGTTCTTGCTTCGTAAAATCTTTAATTAAACATCCTTTCCCAAAGATGTTTTCCGTCAAATGATTGAATACATTCACACGGGTAGCGTGACGTTGCAACCTCGTACACTTCTCGGCGTTATGAATGCAGCTGATTACTACGGTTTGGAAGAATTGAAACGAGCTTGTAATGGCTTTGTTCAACAAGGGTGCATCACTGTCGATACGGTGTGTGCATTGTTGAGCTCTGCTGAACGCTACATACATTTTAAATGTACAAAGTCATTGGTTCAAAGAGTCCTTGAGTTTGTCGACGAACATGGTAAAAATATTTCTCATCTCTTAATTGACTCTTTGTTATGAAACTTTCATTTTATTTTTGATGTTGCTATTGTAGGAACGGAAGTCCTTAATCTTGGTTCATTTACTTTATTGCCGCAACATGTCGTTCGTTTGATACTCGGTAAGTAAACAAGTGACCAACATGTCAAACGAAAAACTAAAAATAAATTATTGCTGTCATAATTAAGTTCATGAAAGTCTGAGTGGTTTTTAAAATATGTTAATTGGTTCATGAAATGAAATTACACTTATCGTTGTGAACATGTTTGTTTTATCGCACATGCAACTCAATATTGTAGCACGCGAGGAACTACGAGCTGAAGAGTTTACAAAGTTTCAAGCAGCATTAATGTGGAGTAAGAAATATTGTGATTCAAATCCTGTAAGTCTCTTTCCACCAACCGATTAAGTTGTCAGTTATCTTTATGTATTTTACTGTAATACAACTTTAATTTATTTCACACTTCAGAACACGCAGTTGAAAGAGATCATGGGAACTTTTCTTGCCAATATCTTCTTCCATAAGATCCCAGCAAATGTTTTAATGCGAGAAATTTATCCGCTCAATGTGGTCCCACAAACAATCCTAATGAATGCGTAAGAATTCAATATTTTAAGCGGTCAATTATTAAAGAAGAACAAATTTTCTTGTCATTTAATTGTGTTTATTTAGGTTGGCTTATCAGGTATATTCATGAGTTATTATATCGTCTTACAGTATCTCATTGTTTTTATTCGACAGGCAGACCCAAACTCCAGTAGGTGTTGACATCCATTCACATTTCATTACTTTAAAACATGTGTTAGGTTTTTCCCTTACTTAAATCGTCGGACGGGATGAGACAGAAGGAAGAGACCAAGATAAAGAACATTTTTCTTTGTCAACTGTTCAACGTCCAACAACTGTTCAAATATTTTGTCACAAAGAAAATTTATGTGTACATGAAGAAATTTATTGTGACATGTTAATTGAACTTTTCCAACGACGCAGACTTTTAATATCATGTTCCAATAAATATAAGAGATTCAATGTCTTCTTTTCATTCCAGTTGACGAACTTACCATCTCTCCCAACGCAAATCGAATAAGAAAATCGCAGGGTCGTTCCATGTCAATTCAAAGCTCCGACAATGGATCAAATATCACGTTGCTGTCGAGTAGTGGTGGCAGTAGCGGTGAACATTAACAACTAGACATAGCTTTAACTGTTTTAAGTGATGTTATTCTTTGAGATACTTTGACACTCAAAGATTTTAATTGATATCATGGGTAAGATGAATTGTTTGTTATTGTCATATTATTATACATAATATTGATTTGTAATCAACTGATAAATATTTGATATGAAATGAATTAAGAAAGTCATGAAAAAACAAACAAATGTTGAGATATTTTATGTGAAATAGAAAAAAAACATTGATTATGTTTACACTTTTCAATGTTGAAGGTTTTCTTTGAAGTTTTTCCGATGAATAAAGAAAAAAAATCTTGATTGACATTTGAGATTTATCAAAGGAAAACGTCAAAGGAAATGTTTAAAGTAGAAAGTTGTGAATGTTTAAAGTTTGATGTAAAATTTATGAAAGTGTTATTATGTAAGTCAAAATGATAAAAGTTATCAATGAGAATACTTTCAATACAAATTAGGTAACTTTCAACCTCATGTTAGAAGTTTAAAAAATGTGTTTGAAAAATCAAAAAATGAAATTTTCTGATTGAAAATTACAAAATAAATTCTTTTTGTGATTCTTCTGACACATTCCTTGAAGCCTAAATGTTAAGCAGAGCCATCAACTAAAACTCTTTACAAGATTTCCCTTTTTTCTCCTTAAAGGCTCTAATAGTAAAAGTACGTACAAGTGAACTGCTTTAAAATGACTCTAAAACTTTTATATATGAAAATTGTGGTTTTATAATGAAAGACGAGATAATTCTTTGACTTCTTCTTTCATTTTTTGCTAACGACAAAAAGAAATATTATCGCGTAGAAAGAATTTACATAAACCTAGTTGTAGTTGAACATAAAAATTATATATTTGAATATGTACGATAGAATCGTGTCGTACAAAGCTGGATTAGGGGCCGTTTATATATCTGTAGCTTAAATGTACATTACTTAAATGACAATTTATGTAAGAAAATATTTAATAAAATGAAAAGGAGAAAATAAATAAAAAGAAATAAACACAAATAAATATGGAAGCATAAATATTAAGAATGAAAAGAAACCTGCAACAAAGCTCCATCATTTTAATTAATTACACTTCGATTTCATCGCTGTAATTAAATGGTAGCCGTTTATTTTCAGTCTCATGTAAATTGATACCAATCGCATGTAATCAATTTACTACAAGTATCATTTTAAGTTAACATCTCACACAAAGCGATCAATTACAGTTCCCTGAATGCAATTTATTGAATGGCGAGTAATTGCAGGCGAGCTCATAATTCATTTTCATGCGCCTTGACCATTAACCGACCAGGTAATAAACGAAAGCTTAAAGGCACCTTTGACAGGAAAAATTATTAATGAACTTCAATTCTAAAGCGCAATAGCTTCATTCGAGAACGAGGGGAGAAGGATGATAAATAAATCTTACTTCTCTTGAAACTGTTGCAATTGCTTTATCCGCCCCTTCCCGTCCTATCCCGTCCCGTCCCGCTACACCACAAAATGTACAAAGATCTTCAATACAGCTTAAGTAATAGCCATTGTGATTAAGATATATTATTTCGTTCCATCGCCTCATTAAACATTTTTTCCCGTGCTTATTAACAATGCCTCGTAGCCTTTCGAGAATGGATAAATTACTGCCTACACGTTAAGCAGGCCTAAACATTTATTATTGTTTTTAATTTATGGTTATAACTTGTAAGCGCCCTGTATAAGACGTAAGACGGTTGGTAAATGAAAAAAGAAGAAGAAAATAGAGAGGGAGGGAAAGAGAGAAAAGGCAACAGTTGCAATTTTTATCACGCAAATGAAAATTGTTATAATACATGTTTGTTGATCACGCATTGAAATATCCACATAATTATCGTGTTTTTACATTCGGCTTCTTTTTTGTGATTACACTGTGCGGCATGTGATTGCCTCATAATACGAGAGCATAAATATTTATGCATTTAATGCAGATTTAAAGTGCAGTGAAGTGTTATAACAGTGGCGACCCTACCGTGAAGACATTTTCATTATTTATTTGTTGCGTAGCGAAGTTGATTTCTTCTTATCGCAGATTTGTTTCCTGTTTTGCAAAATAAATATGTAGGTAGACGACTTTAATTCATTCAACTGCTTGAGGTCGCAACGACAACTCAATAAATTATTAATTTTAATAACAATTTTACAATTTTTATAGCTGTTTAGCATTTATTTTTTTTAGAAACATTTTAATGAAATAACAACTTGCAATACAAGCAACACAACATTTCCAGACTTTGTATGGGAATAAATGTCTAATTTGAATATAAAATGAACAGGGAAAGCGGCTGTTAATTGCATGCAATTCTCGCATGCATTAATGCATTGAGGTGTATCGTAACGTTAAAATTCCTTCACATTTTGTTTTTTGTTCAATAAGAAATCCCTGGAAATGGCTTCAGGGCGAAGTTAAATATAAAGCATATTATTGTTAAATTTATTCACAAATAGCGTGATAATTTGTAATATTTATTGTTGTAAGAAACAACCTGACGTGTTACTTTATAATCAATGATTTTTACGAGCAATTCACTTGAGATAGCACAGCGAGGCTTTTGTGTGAATGAGAGCGAAAAAGTGGCTTTTGAATGTTACTGATGATCAGAGGATATCAAAACAACAACAGGAAAAAACGCACAACACGAGAAATAAGAAACATGAAAAATGAAATAAAAGCAACAACAGCAGCGAGAGACTAAATAATGAAATATAAAAATGTCCATTTCTGCTAACCAATAAAATAATTATCATTGCATTAAAAAGTCGCAAAGAAAAAGTTTAAACCACCAAGTTGAGCTATCGAAAACATGTAATGGAAGTCACAGTGTGAAATAAAGTCTTTAGTTCGTTATTTATACTCGAGCTATATCATAAATTAAATTTAGTGCCTCGGGGACAGTGCAAGGGAATTTCTTGTACCTCAATTGCATTCTGATTGAAATTTTTCGCTTTCCTTTTGTGTCTTTAACGTCAATTTCTTTAGCAACAACGTTTTTCTTTTTTAATTATGAATGATTCGGAAGATTTTCTCCTCAGAGTTTGGTTCATTTTTTGAATTGTCTCTTGCTTGTTTGAAAATGTATCTGAACAGTAATGAAATCGTGAAAGAGTCGCATAAAGACATGTGAAGCAAGAGACAGAAAAAGCGACTCTGCAGAAAAATTGCTCGTTTGCTGTACGAAGTTGTCGTTAATAAATTATTTTCTGTCCACACTTGGCAATTTATGAGGCCATTAATTTTCCGAACAAGATTTTCGCTGTCATGTGCGAGTGAGTGTAGATAGAAAATTCGGATGTTCGAATCGTTTATTTGTTTGTTGGTGTGCTGTGCTTGCGTTAAATTTTCCACCAGATGAGAGTAATAATTTATAACCTTAATTAATTAAATTCATTTTACTCTTTAGTTTTTTATCCCCATCATTGAAGTTGTTTTCTTAATATCTTACGTTTTGCTGTCCATTTAGTTTAAGTGTGGGACGACTGAGTATTACATAAAACTTTTTAATCACTTTTTGAATGACTTTATCTCATTGCCTCGACAGCTTCGTTTGTAAAAGCGACGGTGAATTAAAATAACTCTGTTGACACATCAATAAGTATTTAAACTTGATTATGTATCACATCGCGTATTAATTTTATTTTTCTTCTCTCTCACTTTTACATGTTGTTAATTTAAATATCCGAAAACTCCTTGAGACTACATATAACGAGAACATCACGATTTTAAACACACAAATAAATAGATCAATTAACATTCACAGCACATTATAAGTTTCTTCAAACGTCAAATGTATCATGGCGAAGAGAAATCTGTGACTGTGGTGATCCATAAATCACAGTATTAAGTATTTGAGGGTGGAGAGAAAATAAAAACGTACAAAACGACTTTGATTTGTTTTCGTTTGTCTTTTGAATACGACACTTTAAAATAAAATGAATTGATTGAGTAGCAGTGGTAATGATTTTTTAAGTCATAAATTTATGTTGTTATGTAAATATAGAAATTAACTACGGCCTAGATTATAAGTTTTGAAACCAAAGATGTACTAGATGGCCTAACTTTAAATGCTAAATACATTGTACTAGAATGTATTGCTTGCTTATAAAACTGCTAAAATATCTTTTGAAATCACTAATATTTTAAGTTTTCTTCCCACTAGATAATTGTAATTTAAAATCATCTACATTGAATAACATTGTAGGGAATCCCACACAAAATAAACATCCTTAAATCTTTTGTAATTAATGAAAAACTCATCACTCAGTAAGAATATTTTCCGCCACTTAATGTGGACACACAATTGATTGTTTTTTAAGTTTACCACGACTGTAGCAAAGTGGATTTACGTTACCACATGACAAAATAAGTTTCTGACTGCTTTCATCTGAGCATCATTTATTTTCCCTCTTTGGCTGTCGAGATATTTTGTTTTGTTGATACTTAAACGTGATACTTTACATATTTTCTCGAATTTATGTATGCAATTAAAAGGAAATTTATCGGGCCATGAGAGAAAATATGTGAAAATTAATTCGATGTCACTCGCTTTCTTTCTGGCATTCGCTCAATACGCAGCGGAGGGATTTTAAATTCCCATAAATTCCCACTGGGACTGTTTCAGTGCGAGAAATATTTCTGTCATGTCAACGAAGCAATAAATTCTCAACTTAAATATTTAACTGAAAAAGAGAAAGATTTTTGAGTGAGACACTTAATTAACTCTCAGATGATGATGTTGCTTTAAAGTTCATTAGAAGGAAGTTGCGTGCGGGAGCCTCAATGTGGAAATAATTTTATTTATGTTGCCCATAAATTCGTCAATTAACGTCATGTCGCAATCTTTTTCTTACTTCATTTCAAAATGATGACAGTTAAAAGTCGAAGTGTCGTTTAGGGCAAAGTTGAGAACAGATTAAAAATAAAAAAAGAAGCTTTTTAACTGACATTCCCAATGGCTGATGTTTGTAAAGTTTTTACCAACAAATCAGAAACATCGAAGACAAATCGCTTTTCAGTCATTTTAGGGACAGAAACATGTCAAAATATTCTATCATTGTATGGAGTTCTTATCTCATTTAATGCGCATACATGTTGTCAATTCTCAATACCCTTCTCGCCAATTCAAAGAAAACACTTTCAAATATAAATTTGTTGTTTGGGCACAACGACGCTCTGGTGGATTGGAAAGTGTTTGTACTGCTTCTTATCAAAATCACATTATCTAATAAATAACAACATAAAAGGAACACACTGGTTGATCGTATCATCCTCTCTTTTATATTATATTTAAAAGCAGCATTTAAGAGTTCAAAGTTACATTCAAGGGGGGATTATAAAACGATGGAGATATTCGAAAACAACGAGTTGACTGCGGCTTTCCACGCCATTGTTCTCGAAATGATTTTCTTCTTCATGTTATTTTGCCGTAATGTGTCTTCGAATGAGTCATTTATTGTCAAAAGACTGAATGTGAAAATGCATAAAAGTTTAATGGAAAAGAATATAAAAAAATCCGCAAGAACCTCAAGTCATGTGAGTCTTCTTTTGAAAAACATAAAAAAGTACAAAAACGAATGTTTTTCGTGTTTGCAATTCTTTTCTTCCTCCTTCCTTCACTTTATTCTTTTGAAAAATGCTATCGTTGCTGTCATCAGACTTATGCAGTGATTTATTATTCCGTGCAAAATGTTGAAGTTGAAAAGGAAATAGGATGGGTGAAGAGTCATTGCAAAAAGGGGAAGATTTGGCACCTCTTGTCCTACTGATCATGTTCAACGAATATTTAATGAACTTATACAACTTGCAGAGAACGATGACTCAAAGTGATGATCAAGAAAAGATAAATTGATAAAAAAAAACTTACAAATTTCAAAGCTTTTGATTTTCACGCTCTAAAAATTACGAACATCTTCACAAATAATCTCAAGGGTATCACAAACTTTTTCAAAACATTCTTCTTTACATGATGGGATTTAAGATTGAATGGGAGTGAATAATTTAAATCCTAAAATATTCCGCCTAGTCAGCCTCAAAATTAAGTTTAAATCATTTCGAGCGCCTTCGGAGAACAGAAGAAACAAACAAAAATGTTTCATGTTTCTCATTCCTCTTATCTGTAATTCAAAAAATTGAATAAATCAAATTGGTTAAACACCGGCTTATGTCTTTTGAGCGATTACCCTCTCCGTCGTCGCCACGCGGGTTCTTCACATTTTATTAGCTCATTTTGTTTATTTCGTTGTTAAAGCTGTCAAGACGACTGACGTTCTGGTTTTCTACTTGTCTTGTTTGTTTCTCTCCGCTTCTTTCTCCCCAAATAAACTTGACTCACTTATTTCTTTTCGGCGAGAACTAAATAATCGAGGGAAAGCAATTTTAATGACATGCTATGTGATATATGCGATGGTAAGAAGCAACATTGCATGTTTCATTTCACTTTACATGCGTGAAAACAATTTAATGTGCTTGACTGAAATCATTTCACATGACATAGTTGAGGTGAAGTTGCTTGGCTGCAATTATGTGAAACCGCTGTTTGAAACTAATGTTGATACATAAATTTGAACAAATTAATTCATTTTCGAGTTGGAAATGAAATCATGAAAAAAAATTTATATTTAAGTACACGAGTTGTTGGATGTAACCAGTCATTTGGTGTTAAAAACTTTGAATTGAATGCTTCATTGAATATTTCGTGACCTTTCTGTCTCTCTTGCCATGTTCAGTTTTTCAATTTTCATTTTCACCCTAACACGTTGACGAAAACTAAAATTCGTGCATGTCAACTGATCGTTTATGAGTGTTTCTAACAACATCCCATGCTTTAAATTATCCAATAATGGGTTGAAAAAACATATTTTGCAAATTAAATTCGTTCATGATATGTGTCAATATCTTGTTATGTACATATGTAGAAAGGAAAATAAAAAAAATGTCGAGTTGAACGCCAAAATATGACTCAAAAAGTCGTCATAAATTATTCCTAGTGAAATGATAATAATATTATTTTCATTTTTCTCGTATCTAAAAAATGATTTACAACGACTGCCTGTCAGATAAATATTCTTTATGGCCGCTTACGAGTGTGTACGGAAATACAAATGGAAATGTTCTTTCAAGAAAGAAAAATACTTAAATCGATTCCATAAGCTGAGAGCGCATTGTATTCGAACATATCTGTCATCAGACTATGGTTGGAATTGTGAATAGATTTCATCACGTCAATAAATTATTAAATGTCAATTAGTTAGACGAATCTCTTAGGTTTTCTTTTCAATGAACTTTACTGCCGTCGGTATTGAGATTAAGATGAAGATAACAAACAACATTTACTGTCAGTTAAATCGTAAGAATTGAAAATATTTATGAGATACTTCAGACTTGTCTAATAAACTCTCAAGCTTGGTCTGATTAGCTTGTCGTAAATGATGTATAAGCTTCTCCCAAAACGGCGCTGAACGATTACTCAAAAAAAATAAAATTTATTGGATTTCAAATTAAATTTCAAAATCTCATTATTTATTCCACTGTCATGGCACATGCATATATGGCATAAAACTATTCGCTCCTAATGACAAGCGAGGCTCGCTGAAACTATAATCAATAATTTATGTCACGTTCGGTGTATCCATTGTGTATTATAATCACTATCAGTTTGTTTTATGTCTGCTTGAAGCTTTGTATAACAAATAAAATAAAATTTATTTCATTCGATAAATAACAAAATTCACCAAATAAAAAAAACTGCCTGCAATCTCGATGTGAAATCAGGCAGTAGAATTTATAATCATATTATAGTATTATTAATATTTTTCCTGATAAAATATGTATGTAAATATCTTTTCGACTTAAAATAATTCACGATTAAAGCTTGCACGCTCATTTTGCGTTTCAACGACTTTTTGCAGGAATTTTCACGGCTGTCGACTCTGATCATAAGTGATACAAGCGCGACGATGTTAATTTACATGTTACGACCTTTTGTTTTAGCATTTGCTGAAACTTTAAGATTTACGACAAATTGAGTTAGAAATAAATCAAAATTCATGACACATTAATGTATTCAATTTAAAAATCTAGCAACAACTTCAATGTCACTTGCAAGAAATGAATAGACAATAAAATGAATGACAAATCCAATTAATTTGCTCGCTTAGTGGGTGAGCCGTGCGTGATATCATTAATATTTAGTCGTCAGTTCAAAAGTGACTGATTTTTACTTCGCTATAATTTATTTTTATATTTTTTTTCATACATTATTCATGATTTATGATGTTTAGGTTGTGACAACTGGATTTGTTTTATTGCTTTGTCGATGTTGCTTTTCCATAGTAAACTAACTATAAAGCTATTAGAGATAAAAATAATTGATGTAATTAATTATTTTTGTCTGATTGCAGATGTCTAATGACCTAATGAACGCTATATTATTTTTTTTTCAAGTAATTTCTACGTCCACTGCCTTTGTGCAAAAATGATTTATTGTCGCTTAAATAAAGTAAGGAATAAAATAAATGTTGAATAATAAATTAAATTAAACTCCAGCATTAAGATGAAACAAACAAACAACCATTCACAATCTTAATGAATAAGAAATTAATTTAAACAACACGAATGCAATCACAACTCAATTGAGAAGTGAATATAGAAGACGTGAGCTGCTAGTGAAATGTCCAATTACGATTATTCTTTTCAAAGTTTCAAATTTATTTTCAGTTACCATGTTTATTGCCCGGGACTTTATGAATAAAAAACGAATAAATTAGCATTTGGTTAAATAGGCACTTAACTTAATGGAATTTCAGACTCACCCAAAACTTATACGCGCCAGGTTTCTTTTTTTTTCTCCGAACGAGCTTAAAAAGTAACCGCACCGCCTCTGAAATATGAAAAATTATAAGAAGCTCTTTCGACTGTCGCGAAATGAAACAATAGCAAATTAAGATTAATAAAATCTCCATTTTCATATATTTTCTATTTCTTACTGTCCATTCTCTTTTGGTTTTATACAGAAAAATAAAACAAATTAATGACAATAAAAACTAAATATTCATTTTTCAAAACAGAAACATCGAGTTGTGTTTTTTTGTGGGAGCGTCCATAGTATATGTGACAGTCAGGTGTTTATTGTCAAGTGGTGACTGGTCATCGAGACAGTTACTTAATTAAGCTTTAACGTCAGTTATTTATTATAACGATTAAAATCAGAAAACAGCACGTGTCACCATCGTCACTTTTAAACTTGTCATTAAATATTTATTAAAAATCTTCAAACGAAACACAAAACTGTTCCACATTCTTTGAACGCACATCCAACAATCATAAATTTTAATTGAACTTTTCTTTTCTCACAAAAAAAAAGACTTTGGCGAATTTAATTTTTTGTTTTCTTTTCTACTTTTCATCATCAGCATCGTCATAAGAGAATAAAAAGAAAATCTTTAATTGTACGGATGTGATGTCACAAGACAAAGAAATTTAAAAGCTTTAAGCTTATTTAAGTTCATCAAAAACTTATTTTCACATCTAGATACACAAAAGAAACATAAAAGATTGAAATCTCAATAGACAAAACATCCGTACAACCCGTAACTAGCCAACTAAACATTAATTGATATGCGCACAAAAAATCCAGCGGAATTCTTAGTCGTTTTGATTATTTGGTATAAAGTCTACCGCTCGAAATTGTAGCATCATTCCAATCATCCAACAATGAAGTAAGATGGCCATTTAAAATCCCAGTTGGAAGTCATAACATTGTCAACCTCACGAGTCACAGCTTCCCACACATTTCATTCATTTATCAACTTTGCCAACTGGGTGGAACAACGTGAAAATTTGCAAACATTTTTTTTATTTTTGTTATTTTGAAAACGATTTGTTTTTCCCTATTTTGTTGTTTAATTATGTACACATCTCATTCTTCACTTCTTATTTGTTGACAGACATGATAACGACTCCCCGCTCGGATATTTATTTCACATTTGTCAGATTATCAAGCACATCATCATCATTAACATCATCAGTTGAATTTTATGGATGTAAATTAGACGAGCTCATCCGGGGGTATAAAGCGTATGGCGAGAAGTATTGTGCCAATGATGGATGCGGCGGTAAAAGTCCAGCAAGTGATGGTGTGGGTGGTAACAGTGGATTCTTACTGTATGGATGATATCTGGCACTTGACAGTGGACTTAATGGTGGTGTTGGATAAGCACGAGGAAATGCAGCTAACAGAGAGTTTGTCGATGCAGATGAAGCATTCAAAAGTGAATCAGGAATAGCATTTCCCGTATGCTCCGACCGCAAATGCTGAAAAAGCTCTTCAGATGCAGCGAAGCGTTTACCGCAATAGCTTGAATCAGCACCAACCCAATTACACCTGTTTTAATTAGTTTAGAAATAATCCAACGATGACAAGATTAAATTTTAATTAATATAACTTACACATACGGCATTTGTGATGCAGCAGCGAGTTGTGCTAGTTGTGCATGATATGCCATTGCAGCTGCGGGATTGTTTGTCATCGCTTTGTTTACTGAGTGATCATCAGTGCAGCCTGGTGGACATTGAGACCCGTTTTTGCCTAAGAAATGAGAACTTAAACTGCACCCAGTGCAGTAAGGATCACGACATATTCCCATCATCATGTCATTAGCACCAGCGGCTGCTTTCATTCGAGCATAATTCAAATAAGGATTGAGAGCGGCGGCTTTTAACATTGACTGATGTTGATTGAGTAATTCCATTGAATATGGGTATGGATAGCCATTGAAATAAGGCATCGAAGGATAAGCAGCGCTTGCTAAGCTTCTCAGCGCTTCCTTCTGTGCATCACTTTTCGGAGGTTCCGTAGGTGTTGTTGATTTGACTGAGGCACTTGAATTTGATGATTTTTCATTCGAAGTCTTTGGGGATGTTGTCGGTGGTGATTTTCTAGTGTGTTGTGAACTTACGCTATGCGTCGATTCACATCTTTCAGTGCCATTTGTTGTAGATGTAGCTGTCAATGTTGATCTCGATGGTGCCTTCAATCGACTGGCAACACGTAAATCATCAGGCGCATCATTATCTTTCAAACTAGATTCGTAAGGCTTGAAGCTCGACTTAATTTCATTTGGTGATCCACTTGAACATGGTGATGACTTATCACGTCGATTACTTTTCTCAATATTCGCCAAAAGCTTTGGATTCGGTGCATCTGATCCAATGGCACTGCACGTTTGTGCCAACAACGCCAAAGGACTTGACTTCGAGTCAAACTGTAAAATAAACAAGAATAAATTAATTAATTTAATGCTTTGTTAATTAACCTGGGCAATAAATTAAATTTAATTTCATATTTTTAATCCTTTTCGAGCGATCTCGGTAATTTATGTGCTTTTGAGGGTGTCCAAAAAGCGACTACAAAAGGCAAGCGCAATGTTTAATTTTGTGAATTTATGTTGCTACATTACTTTAAACAATAATGCTTCATTACTTGTGCTCATAAATTATGTTTTCAATACACTTCTCTCCCTTTTTGCTTTCATTTTATCTTTTTTTTCTTTCTTTTAACAACCTCTAACAACGACAGTTAAAATAAATTATTCGAAACCATAGAAAAGCTTTTATTAAAATGTTAAAAACGTAATGCAATGACATTTTACCAATGTTTGTAACAATCCCTGAGAATAAATGATCGAATAAGTGCAATAAAATATTTATTAGAAGCGATTTTCGGCTTTATAAAATGTTCAAAAGACACCGAGAAGGGAAAGAGGCAAAGCAAATAGCAATAAATTTTAATTGAATCGAGGGTAATGGGGACAAGTCGACATGGTGCGATAATGCAGGTCGTTGTCAGTTACTTTGAGTCATAAATATTCGTAGATGTTTATTTGCGTTCTATTTGCAATGTGTTAATGAAGCTCTTTACACCATTGAAGACGTCAATGAAATGTAAATAATAAAATAAATCCCAGTTGCACAATTGGTGTTAAATTGTAATTAACTTCGATTAGAATTCACGCTTATTGATGATTGAATTCTGCTGGCATTTAAATTTGATTAATTTACTGTCATTAGCCAATTGACTTTTATTAAATTGTTAGCTGTTGTTGGAGGCTGATTCTCAACTTCGTGATTTATTCAATATTTTATGTCGGTATTTACATTTTGCGCAACGCATAAATTATAATAAGTTTCGAAGAAAATGCAACGATTTATTTCACCAGACATGCACGAAGTACATTACATAGCCATCATAAAACGAAGCATAATAAAGATAAGAAGTTTTGTTTAAACTCTGCTTGTCGGCTTGAATCACGAAGTGCTTGCAGACGAAAGTATCTTGTAAAAATTTATGATTTTAATTGATTTTATTTATTTATAGCCTCTTCGTGAATGATTTATTGTTTAATTATCATTTTTTTCCCTTGAATGCTGTAAACAAGATGAAGAAAAATTATTTAAAGAAATAAAGTTTGTGCAAAACTGGAGATAAAAAAGTATTAAAGATTCCAAAGCATCACAAATTAAAATCATTTGCCTAAATTACGTTTAATTGATCATTTAATTGAAGCATTTGCTCATGCTCGTTCATTACTCGAACTTGTATTAATAACTGATTTTCAAATTAACAGCAACGTCTTATTAATTGCTTTGACTGCCTTACTTAGAGTTTCTTTCTTGCAAAATTCGACTTTGAAGTTGTATTGCTTAGTTAATTGGCGTTCGCAGTGATTATATCTCAATTTACGCGAATCATTGAAATAATTTATTTCCCGCATGACGTGTATGGTTGGTTTCTTTCATCGTACTTACAAGTGATCAAAATCGAATGAAAGATAAACCTGCTAGTTGAGAATGAGTTGGAAATTTATAATTTTATATTTTTTTTTCTACTTCGCCTTTCATGCCTTTTTGATTGACGGATCAATAGAAGCATTTGATTTAGATTTAAAGTCATTTGAGATGCGATCAAATCACTCAAACTCATTATTAAATTAAACTTGATATTGCAAAGTATAAATACCAGCAATTAAATGCTTTGGTGCTGTTGTTACGCTTCAAGCCATAACTTATAGTTTATCGGATTGAAATGTTCGTTGTAAACGAGTCAATATCTTAAATAACAAATTGAAAAAAATATAAAATATTCAAATCCAATATGTCGAAATGAAAAAATATGAGCCATTATTTTTGACATTAAACCTCGGATTCATGGCAATATCGAAACGCGCGGCAATAATTTAAGCAGCTTCTCGTTCCGAACATTTTCCATTCCGACAAAAGACGAAGAAGCATCTTCATGGGGACATTTCAAATGTAAAACCACCGAATTTATATCAGCAGTATCTCAAGGCCTTCTATTTTGTATCTTTCAAAAGATATAAAAAAAATGTATCTAGAAGTATAAAACATTATTATAATTCACGATGGAATTAATGTTAATTTTTATGACATGTAATTGGAGGCAATAAATTAAGATATTTTCTTCATCTTTATTGTTGAAACATTTTCGTTCTCACATGAGAGAGTATAATTCAGTAAAATTTATTAATATTGGGATTAAGAATGTTAATTTACGATCAACTTTATTTTCAAAGCTGCTCGTCTGATTACTTCTTTCATGTCAACTCTTTGGGTGAGTAAATTTCTTTCAGAAGATAATCAAGAAGAAGAAGAATTAAGTGGAAGAAGAAGAAGATGACGAAAACCTCGCATTCTCACACGGCCAACTCGAACGAAAAAAAAAGAAAAAAAGAGTAGCAGTAAGATGAATGGGATAGCAAATGTTTGTGTGACAACCGACCATAAAATATATTTGAAATATGTAAAACGTCATCTGCATACTAATGCGACATAAATATCTTTCAGCTTTCAGTGAGTTGTGTGTGCGATCAATTAAGTTCTTGAGTATTCGAGTTGGTTGTTGTTGTTGGCTGATCCCCCCGCACTGCGACACGGTTGAAATGAATGAGAAAACGAATGAATATTAGTCTTGAGCCGATATATCATGTTTCCTGTTTATTTATATTTCACTCAAAACATCAAAACGTTTTCCTTTTCGTTTAATTTCTCTCCTTTTATTTTTCTTCTTTTTTTCTTATTTGCCACACACAAACTTGACTCCCGCTTTTGGACGGTGTTGTGGCAACATTTCTGTCGTGATTAAATGACTATAATGTTAGGAGGATAATTAAGAGGGATTTGTGATGCATTAGCGAGGAATTTCTTCTCGTATTCGGTGGTTGTTTTGAATAGAGTTAGGGGGGGGAAGAGAGTAAGAGACAGAAAAAATTAAGAAGGATTTACGTGATGAAAACAGAGCACAAGCACTCACCGCAATCTTCAACTCTTAATAACTTAGATGTCAAGTGGAAAATTACCCTTGACTACGATAGGATTTTCACCATCAAAACAACAAAGATTATAGTCCCATTAACTGCTTCTGTTTGTGTGTTTATGTATCGCTCTAATGTACGTTTAGTCGCTGAAGTGTTATTCATAACATGAAAGCGGCAAATGTGCCTTTAATCCTTTGTAAATGTGCCATAAATTAAATTGTCTCTGATGTCTGTTTACGAAAATGTTCTCTTTCATATTGTATATGTTTTCATTCTTAAATGAGCGCAAAATGGAAATGAAATGGAGAAGAAAGAAGTCAAAATGTAATAAAGAAAATAAACGAAAAAAAAAGAACCGAACTCATCGTGTCTCGAGTCGAGAGTAATTCACTTGTGTAAGCTTGCTTCTTTCTTATGAAAAGAAAGCCTCGAGCGTGAGATTATAAAGAGAAGAGCGATGAAATCGTTAAACAAACGATCCACTAAATGACTCGTATGAATGAATTGTACCACATTATTTAATATCAACGAGTTGCCGCTTGCTTTCGCTCTCAACCCGCACACATTACATGCGATGTGAAATGTCTTGAAGTTCAGCGGCAATGAAAAGAAGAAGGTCTACTGAATGCGGTTAAAGAAGCAAAAGAAAACATAAACATCAAAGTTAAAAAGCTCTTTTACTTGTTTCATCTTCCGTGACCATTTTTCTTCTTCCACTTGATGAGAAGGAAAATTGAAGTTACATGTCTGATCATAAATTCAATAAACGAGAAGAAAGAAGCTGCACACAAAAAAAAAAGAAAAAAAAATTGCCGCCACAAGTCTTCGTTTCATTCGCTAATAGACGTTTCAAAAATGAAATATTATCGGTGATATGTTTACGAAACGAAGAATAAAACAAATTGAAATATTATTCACGAAATTTCTGCTCAAATCTTTTTCTCCTTCTGCTCATATTTAAAACGTAAATTTACTGTCGAAAAAGAAAACAAAAAAAAAATTCGTCGTTATTTGACTTCGACCTCTCTCAACGAGCACACGATGAAACTTTTTATTTCCTATCTGAAATTCAATTTAACAACTTTTAAACTCTCTCGACATCGGCTTATTTATGACAAGCTGTTTTTAATCAGGTGTTTTTATCGTCGGTCATAAATCATGTTTAGCTACGGCTTGAAGTGAAAAATAGTTAAATGTGTTTACAACTTGAAGCGTCTTCAATAATTTGAATGAATACTTATTACATGATTTAATATCTTTTCACATTGCTTTACTAGTGCTTCAACCCGTTATTTAAATTTTGAAGCTTGTCAAATTCTTTTTCACTTGAGTACCACTGAAGTCTTAAGTCTTTAAGAGTTTTTTGTAAAATAACACCCATGTGCGGCAGATAGCTTTCTTGATTTTCGTTCAATCAAACATTGAGCTGCTGCTGGCAAAACACTTTTTAAAAAATGACTTGTTTATAAGTTTGCTACAGCTGAGCGAAGAGCGTTTTACTGAGCGAGAAAGAAAATTTATTGATATTTTAATTTTCTGCCAAGATTTATGACTTTGAAATGGGATTTTTTTTTCTTTTTCTTTATTTCATGTTCATGCCATAAATTTCGACGTTTTCACAATTAATTTAAGCATTTAAATGCGAGTAATAAAATTCACATTGTTGTTATTATTGAATGTCGTTTACACGGAGCGAAAATTTTTTGTTTTCTTTCACTGGCTTGTAATTTCATTTCAAAATGTGATGATTTATGGAATTAGTTTCCGTTTGTCGAGTTTTGCTCGTTATTCATACAAGACGGCAAGAAAAAAATTTATAAGAGGTTGAATGAAGAAAAAAAAATGATTTATGACTGAAATGTGTTTGATCATTGAAAGGCAATGGCAACAGATGTAAAGATTAACACAGATTTCGGTCATCGCTTATAAAATCTGAATTCAGACGATTAAAGTCGATTGTGAAAAATGCAAAATGAATATTCAAAAAGGATTCCCATTCATTTACGACGTTGATCATTAATAATCAAAATTTATTCCATGTGATAAAAATCTATTCCTTTAACATCCTCATTAATTATTAAAATCTCTGCTGGTCTTAATTCACCACGACGATCTTTTCGAATGTCTCTCACGAGAGATCAGCTTACTAAGATATTAATGTAAAACGATCAAAGCAAATCACCATGTAAATATATTATAATTAATTAAAAAGAGGGAAAAAATATATTCACATTCAATAAAATTAATCATTTTCTGTTTTAATATATGCCATCAGCCATTAATTACTTTAGCTCCATTCGACAGAGACACATTCAGTAGGCGGTATGATAAATATTCATGCGATTATATTTCTTGTATTTTTATCGTTTTCCAACTCTGCTACAAGCACCGACATCGCTAATAGTGGGCCTCATTCTCGCAATTTATTATCGCTACATTTATTCGGGTAATTGTAACTACACTTTAATGCTTTTGCATATTTGTTACACACTCACACACATTCGACGCTTATTAATTTATGAAAACAGATTTCTGACAGAAAACATGGTTAATAAATAATAAAAGGAAAAATATTGCGCGCTTTTATATGAGGCGGGCACTCTCACAAGCAGCACTAAATGCGGGACAGCTCTCAACAAAGCCGCACTAAGGCAGCAAAGGCAACAACATTATTATTTTTTATGGGCTCATAAATAATGCTTTATAAATTTTTCAAGAGCTATAATGTTTCATATTTCTTTTTTTTTCGGTTATACGATAATGCCTCTTATTCGTATATATAACACTTTGTAGTATAAATAATGACTCGGTCATAAATATGTGTTTATGGACAGCATCGAATGCTTATACAGCTGAAGCAATTTATGACTTCCAAACAAGAATCATTGATAAAACTTCGTTTAGCTTTATTTTTTTTATAATATTAAATTTTTAATGAGCCCACAATTTTCAAATCGGAATTAAATTCATGTTCTTCTTCTTTTTCTTCCCCTTCATGTGTATGATTGATGATGAATCTCGGAAGAATTTTGTTTTCTTCTTTTATTTATTTCATTGACTTGAATCTATCATATCATCATTTTTGATTATAATGCGCTGTGTGAATGTTTCATCCTAAAGTAATATTTGAAAGGCAAGCAATAAAGCTTTATTATAGTCTGTAATTCCGCAGTGATGATGCGTTAGAGGTCGAGATATGAGAAATTATCGATAGTCATGGGATTTGAGTGTTGTTGGGGTTTGGTGAAGTCATGAACTGTAGAGAACTTTAATTGCAGCATTTCCCCATAATAATAACTATGTACGGTACTCATTAATCATATTTTCTCAATGACTGAGCATGGAACCGGTGGAATTGAGTAATCGATGAACTAATTGTTTCAAAATGCGTAACAAACTTCAATGGCTTTTCCATCAACTTAAAAACAGTAGAGGGAAATATGAATTTATGCACCTTTCGATACGCCTCACATTTCATGCCAGTTACTTTCAGTTTTTATTATTATAATTTTTGCAAAGTTGCAAAAATGCTGATTATTGACTAATAGAATTCTCAAAAGCCTCGATATTAATTCGTTACCCTTACAAAATAAAAAAAGAAACTTTTCAAACATACAAAGTATAAAAGCTAAAAAATATGTAAATGAAAATGCAGAAGAAAAAAAATTGAGCGAATAATTTATGCATTTGCGAGTTGGCTATAAAGCATGAACTTTATGTTACTAAAAAGCCATAATTTTAACGATAATAACTTTTAATGTGACACATTCAGCGGAAGAAAGAGTAAAACGATATCGATTATCGTATTTAACGCATGAATTATACAGTGAAGCTTAAATTTATTCATAGACTTTTATAACTTTTCATATTTGTTTCATATTAATTAAGATAAACATATTAAACATTTTTCAATCGGTGATTGGGCGACTGGCATTTGAGAAAATACGCCATAAACGAAGTATTAATAAGTGAACAAGAGCTTTTAGCATAAATCAATCTGACCTAGATTGCGCGTCTACGAGATAACAAACGATTTTCAATATTTCTTTCATCTCTCTTTCGTAATGTCATCAGAGTTTGACTGCTAATGGACTTGACGATTATTTGTCAGCTTATCACACATTTATCTACGGAAAGCTTCACATTCAATATTTAAATTTTTAATAAGAGTCTGTTCAAAGATAGTTTAAAGAAATCTTATGCATGAATAATTGAACAGACGGAGTAGTGCGTGATAGCACTCCGTTAAAATATCAAACAAATGGAAAGAAAATATTTCGTGATTCAACAAATAATGTCAGTTAAAGAAAGAGAACTATAGGCGTTTAACAAATAAGAAAAAAAAAACACACTAACTGTTTGATTAAATAAAAAATGAAGTTTTCAATTTGAGTTTCTTGTCATGAAGACAGTCAAAAATAATAAACAAATAAATTGACTTATGATTCAAGACAAGAGTCAAATTGTTATCACGCATTGAAAGACAAAGAAGAATAATTACTTGAATTACACAATGTATTGAAATTATTACGCGATTTCTTTTTTTTTTTTAATTTGATGAGACTGACATTATCGAATGCAATTAAATAATTCATTTATTTATATGTTTTCAACTTTCAACAGGTTGTTGTTGCTTTTCAAAAGCATTCGCTTTTTCCTTCTTTTTATTTTTTAATGTTCTTGTAATGATTGACAACTTACTGTAGCTGGCATTGGTGATAAATAATCCGCACTGATGTAATGACTTTGATTACTGTTATTATTGTTATTGTTGTTATTGCCGTTCACTGAACTTAGCATTTTCTGGTTTAATTTCTTTTCTCTCTTAATTTTTGTAGGCGATAACTTACAAAGTTTCTTTTATGACATCTATAACTTAATTTAAAAGAAGTTTATTTTATCACAATCACAATCTGAAGTAAAAACTTTTTATCGCCTTATTTTTTTATTATTATTATGCTTAAAATATTCACAGTAATCCAATGAACATAATTTTCGCATCCATATGCCGTTTGTGATTTTAATCCTTTCGCAATGAGCTGGGCAAATAATCCTCTGGCATTATAATGCGATATTAATCCAATGAATATTTTAATGATGCTGCTTTTTACACAATTTAATTATCGTTGTGATGTTATGTGTTTGCGCTCGGATAATTAACATTCGTTCACAGCAAGCACAACTTTGTATATAACTTGACTTGCTAGTAAAAAGCAGTTTTTTTTTCACATCTCTCGTCAAAAGTCGAACAGGAAAAAATTTATTTTACTTTTTCACATCATTTTAAGCGTGTTCTTTGAAATATTTTTTTTTCTATTTGATATTTGCACAACTGTCTGCCATAAATATTATAAAACTAAATGAAACTGAAAATTAATTGCGCTTCTTTATTTCGTTTTCTTTTTTATTATTTTTATTTCTGCTACCTCAGTAGAAAAATATTTTTTCTTTTCTCACTCGGACACTCTTAATCGTCTTTTGTTATTTATTGTTCAACGAGACTCGACAATTCAACACAATTGGGAATATTAAGTGTTTACGTTAATACGGTTTGACAGCAACTGAATGGGTATTAGTTTATTTTCATAATTTTTTCTCTTTTCGCCTTCTTTCGTTGCTTCTATTTTCTTCTTTACTTCGAACTGCGCTCAAAATATTTGTGGATATAAAAACTTGTGAAACTCGTTTTCTTGTGTTGGAACACTGGGGTGAACAGTGAACAGAGAATAAAATAGAGAAAATCATGAGGCGAATCTCAGAGCGTGAGCAGGAGAAATGAGCTTGAAAATGAGAATATAAACGTCAGCTTAATAGCACCAAATTGAGTGTTTCATTTACGACAGTATGTTTAGCACTCGCTCCTTTATCCGTGACAAGTTATTTTATGACCACAAAAAGCCAAGACTCTCAGACTTAATTATAATGCATTTTCACGTTTATGGTTGTTGATGTCTTTCTACAGAAGGAAAAAATGTTTATTACCTTTGTAGATCGTTTTCTCTAAATTGCTCTTAAACATTTCCGATGATGGCTGTTAAGTGGAAAGCTGGCGAGAGAGTGAAACATGCGCTTTGGATGTTTTCGAAAATAAAAGCCGAATTATCAGTAGCAAGAAAATGAACACTTAACGACTCAAACGAGTCTTTATGAATGTTTATGAGCTGCAGAAGGGAATCGAAAACCGAATGAAAACGATTCGATATCTAATTTGACTCTCAAGATTCATTAGATGACGTTAACATTTTTTTTTCTCTGTTCAATTGTTTTTGTGTCGCTCAAACGTCAACGACAGTCACGACTTCGTGGAGTCAAGCAATGATAAATGATTTTAATTAAGAAGCTTTTCTTCTTCTTTTCCTTCTTTCCATCCTTTTGAAAATGTGACAAAAAACTTTCAAAAATTTTCTTTTCTCATCTTTTGAGTGAATGAAGATTGAAATCTTGAATATTGCCAAAAAAAGAAAAAAAGAAATAATAATGAAACGATACGAAACGAAATATTTATCATCATTAACAACACGTCAGAGTTGAAAGAAGAAGATGCTCTCCCAAACATGACATTTCATCCTTTTTCATCACTTGAACAGACAAAGAAGTCACATCAGGGATGAGAGAAAGAAAAACTAGACGACAGTTCGAAGGACATTCTTCGGAGTTGGGCGATAATGGAGAGAAAAATTAGTCTGAACTAAATATGGTAAATAAATCAATGTCAGTAGAAGAGAAAGAACTTTACAAATATTGCACCATAATGTGTATGAATATCCTTTTTCCTTTTTCCATTCTCTCCCAGAAACTTAAAAGAAGTATTTTGGCAGGAACGTGAAAGAATAATAGAAAAATATTCTCGCTTTTCTCCCCATCGCACCATAAACTGTTATTTAATGTAATTTATTATTAACAAATTTATATCAATGGCCGTGTGAAATGACTTTTTCCTCGGATCATTAATCTTATTTTTCCTCTCTTCTCGTCTTTTCCTTTTTTTTCTTTTTCATTCATTGGAATGGTTTCTTGTAAAGCGAAATACAATTGTAAGTGCTACTTTCATGGATGAAGCAAAGGCCAGAACGTTCTGTTCTGTCAGATAGTCATCGACATTAATGGATGAGTTGAACGTTCTACATTCATTTTATCAATACATACTCTTTTCACCTCGTCATCCTTCAAAATCAAATGAAAACTACAAGCAATTTTCTTTCTCTTTTCATCTTCCATTCTTCTTCGCAAGTCAAACCATCATGAACTCGAAAGCTGTAAGTAAGAAACACAAATCCTGAAACATATCCTTTTTGACGCTTGTTTGCTTGCTTCTTTGTGAAAGGTTGATGTTTCTTCTCTCTTCTATTCTGTTTTCATGGGTGCCGAGAGATGTTCTTAATAACAGCAGCGAAGATAAATCAGTTTAAGAACGAGGGTTTGAAAGGATGTAATAAATCATTTACAACTTTTTTTTTTCCACTTTGCTATGGTGTGCGATTTTCTTTCTCCTTCTTATCTTACAGCTTGTGTTTGTGTTGTATGAAAGGCCATTATGTGAAATAAAAATCAGTTCAGGGTTCGAAGATATATTTCATAGTCGTTTGTTCCAAGGATTTCACTTCTTCATCTTCTTCTTCTTTTTTTCTGCAAACTCACATATGAAATGAATAAATCAATTTTCCCTTTTTTTCATTCCTTAATGCTTTTCATGTTTTCTTCTCTTCATGCTGTTGGTGAGAAGTGAAGCAGAGAATGAATTTCTGAGCAGTTGTTTGAATTAAATTTATGAGGCCACATGAAATAATTATAGACTCAACTGAGAGCCCTTAGAATAAATATAGATAGATAATTTCGTTTCTTTCATTCTTTTTACTTGACTTCTCTTGTCTATTCATCACTTGCTGTCGAGTCTATTAACACGATTGTTGATGTGTTTGCTGAGTGATGGTTGAAAGAGAAGAAAAAGGATGAGTTTGATTATCAAATGAATTATTCATATCGTGTGATGAAAGTCTCATCAACAGCAAACATCATCGCCATTTCTCGTAGCCGTGCTTATTTCAATTAATTTTTATTCATGCAATGCGGGACCCACAAAATACGGAGTGAGAAGATCAAAGCTAAAGATACCGCCAACCGCCAAAGTTCAATTGATCTTCTGTGCATGAAACAAAATGAAATGGAGAAGGAGAAGAATTTATGAACGTCGAAAATGATTGAAATTTCAAAAGATGTTTATTTGATATCGTGTGTGATGTTACCATTTACTACTTTTTAATTTTCTTTCCTTTAAACATCTTTTCCTTGAAATTTCATCCGCCATTCGCAGCTAATAGACAGATCTTAATAACGTGGCAATCATCAGATTTGATGCTAATTCATTTTCAAGTTTCAAACGGATCGCGCACATCAAGTAAAGATGAAATAAAAAGCCGTGCTGGTTAATTTAATCAACACATAACGAGAATGAAGATGTAATAGTTAGTTCGTTAGTTAGTCAGTTCTTCTTCCCTAACCCGATTCGTCGTGTAAACAAATCGCTTAAGTTCTTTTTTTTTATGATTCTCAAGTGATGAAATATTCTTGACATGTGATGATTAATAAAAGAAGAAAAAGAGAGTAAAAGAACGATTCCTATTGTGAAGAATGAACACCCGCACACCATAAGCTTATGACAAATTGTTAGCGCTTGTTGGTCCCGCACGCTACTGCTACTGCCGCCTTCATGTAACTTGCGACAATTATGTTCTTTTTATAATTGAGATAATCACCAAGCGAAGCGAAATATATAATAATAATTTATTTGTTTTGTCATGGTGATGTAGACTTGAAATATGATGTAATTTTCGTCTATTCAGAAAGTGAGAACCAAATGTGACAAGCCTGGTAATTGGATAGTTTTTTTTTAATTTTCTTCACGCTTACTGACATTTATTAGCCTTCTTAAATCAAATGCCTGAGGGAAAAACGAAAAACAACGATAATTCATTCAAATACTTGCTTGAATAGTTTTAATGCAATGTTTCACTTGATAAATCACTTTTTAACACATTTCAGTTTTTGCCTCTGTTTGCCTGGCCAAAACACTCCCAGATTGCACGAATCGTTTAAAAAAATGACATTGTAAAATATTGCCGCTTGATATTTATACCAATTTACCGAGGGGATTATGGTCATAAATTACAAATAAAATGTCATATATCTAAACTCCTTTTAATGCTTATTGTGTTCGCGCAAACGAAAGAGAGCAGTAACGTGAAATTAAAAATAAATGGAAAATTTACACACTATTTTTCACGGTAACAACCAAGCACGACTGCGGTAGGCATCCATAAACTTACACGTTTTGTTATTAGAATAATTTTTTATGCGAAGTTTTGAGACTTTTTGACTCTGGATCTCAGACACATTTTTGATTTTCAGGGATGAAAGTTAAAGAAAATAGAAGTTTTAATGTGCGAGATTATAAAAGTGAAATGTTTTTCAACAACTTTCAACTCTCTGCTTCTTAAGTTAATGTAAGCACATAAATCGTATTTTTGTGAGGATCATAACAATAAAAGAAACAAATAAATTGTAATGAGCATTAAGCTTCTGTGAAGCGATGTGAATTCTTTTTTTTTTCAGCTGGGAGGTAATGAAGGAAGAAGTCTTTGAAATATAAAAGGAAAACTAATCATTAAGTTACCTCGTAATATTTCAACTATAATCTTGTTAATGACTTTTGAATTATTGTGTTATTTCTTTCAATATCATTTTAGTCTTTGAAATAATCACTGATAAGTTATAATAATTAACAATTAGTAATCGACAAAGCCTTTGCCGACGAATAAAGGTCGCAATATTTTTCCACAATTTTCTTTTATTATCATCGTAGTTGGTGTGATTAGAAAATTGATTGATGAGAGTCATTGCTCAAACCAGCACAAAAAGCTTGTAAATACGTAATAATCTTGTGTTGAAAATCGATTCATTAAATATGATTTAATAATAGTAATTCATCTTTTACTATGTAAAGCTTTCAATGGAAACAACAAACAAAGAAAAAGGCGACCAACAAAATAAATTCTTTGTACAAATAAAGTCAAGATTTATGAGTAAAAATAATATTTATTATCGGTGGAAGGCATGAAAGGGAATAAAAAAAAAGCATTGAGCATGCAATTGCGATTATGGGAGTTGCTCGGGGTAGATTTTGATATTATATGCCACGAGATATAAAGATAATAAAATTGTACGTTATAGAGTCTCATAAAAACCTTTTGAGTAAGGAAAGAAATAAAAACGGAGCAACTCAATAAGTCATTTAGATAAAAACATTTAGTTCAAAGGAATGGTTAGAAATAAAGCGAATTCTTAATGGTTATTTTTGATAAATGGTGCATGATGTTGGATAAATTACCAGTATAGAATTTTTATGTGAATTGCTTGCTAGCATATGAACATCGAGGAACATAAATTTTAGAATAATGTTCAATCAGAAAAATATGGTTGAAGACAATTGATTATATTTCATTGATGATACCTGTAGCTACTTCAATGAATAAAAAGCTCATATGTTTACTTAAGATGAAGTTTAAAACAGTTCTTCGAATTCAAATCAAATCGATGATGACTTTCATCACTCAACCAGCAATTATTCACTTGACCCCAATTTCATGTTTCTGTTTATTGTCGCTTCATCTCAATCAGAATCCTTAGTGGAAATAAATTGAGAATACGAGATTATTTATGACAGTCAATCTACATCAAACGATGTATATCTAAATGAAGATAACGAATTCTGAATAAAAGAGTTGTTAAAATTCCGTAAAATGAAATTGATTGAAATTTATATGCGGGCCTGAGACTCAATTTATAGTAAAGCCTCGATGCTGATTTCGATGATTTTTTTTTGTTTTTGGAACTTTCATATGACATGGAAATTTAGTTATTTTATTATGATTTATCAATTTTGAATTTATGATAATTGGCTTGAAATAAATTCATTAGGGAGACGGAAAATGCTCTAAAAAATATATAAAAATGAAGCACTAAATTGAAATTTCAAACGGCTTTGAAAATGAATAAATTTGTTATATTATATTCACAGAATGAACCACGAAAATTTATGGCATGTTCAAAGCTTCCCATTAGGCATTAAAAGTGAATTGTGTTGAGACATTATAAACCATTTAAAAAACATATTGAGAATGGTTTGGTTTTCATTCTCCTAAAGAGTAAGAAAAGTGAAACCCGAAAGAAACTCAACGGGGGATTCAAGGCGCTGCAGAGACATAAATTATCAGTTCACAAAACGACGATTTTAAGTGAAAACATGAACGAGAGTCTCTCATGAAAGTAAGAAACGAAACCAAACATCAATTCTCCTGCAATTATTTTTCGTTTTTGTTGTCATTCGGTTATTGTTTGAATTTGAGATATGCATCGTCTTGTATTTATATCTCGACAAGTCAAACAACACCAAAGCGTCTGATTCTCATAAAAGCTGTTTGTTTCACTGTCATAAAAAGGACACAAATCAAGATTATTTATGACTTCCAAAGCATTTAACGCTGTCAGTGTGTAAATTAATATTTTCTCATTCACTCTTTGACATGTAAATTGTAGTTGTTTTAATAGTTAGAGAATCAAGTTACGACTTGTATAATGCTACTTAAATATGAAACCGTTTCAAGAGAAAAAGTGTCGTTATAAATTCAACAACATAAATTATTTTCATCATCAAGCTATTTAGTTTCTGTAGCAGGGAAAATGTGTGTACACATGTTTGCGCATTTGTTAATCGTAAATAATCATTTTTCTCATCCATTTATTTCTTGTTAGAAATCTTTCCACAAAGGAGAGTCGCTCGTTAACTTTAAAATATGTTTTATGGGCGAGCAAGGAAATTCATCTGACCCAAAGCAGTCGTAAAAGTCTCTTATCTTGTGTTTCCGGGCTAAAATTTGTTAATGGAGTGGAAAAATGGACGATTTTTCATCACTACATTATTGCAATGATTGAGGGGTTTGAATGGTGTTGTATTGCAAGGAGGAAGTTTATTGTAATTTTTCTTTATTTTCAGCTGAGAAAACTAAAGATTGGCTCCATTGCCTTTCTTCTTACTTTTCAAGAAAGCAAAAAGATTCCCAGAAAAAGACGGCGCACTACAAAGAAGAACTTCAAATTATAAAAAATAAATATTGCCGAAAAGTTAAAATGAAATCATTCCGTTATTTAAGCAGAATTTCTGCTTGATAGACAAAGAATTTTCGCGAGAATGCACCTTTAGAATTTTTTTTGTGGATTCTGATCTGTCAAGAGAATTTTTCTAATAGCATAATTTGATTTATTTCCCGAAATTTTTCAAACAAAAGCGATTGTTTAGAAGGGAACATTAATGCGTATTTTTATAGCTTTTTATTAATATAACAATGCGACATTAAATTTCTTCGCTGTCGAATGAAAGAAGATGATGGCCCTTGAAACCTTAAAATAAAAAATTCTTAAATTCCTTTCGCTTTCTTAATTTATTCTAAGTTACAATATAAAAGAAAATCTGAAATTGTTACCACGGCAGAATCGCAAAAGGATCCTAATTTGTATTTTAATCAGACTGTCAACTCGCATCGCATTCATCGTTAAAAAATTTCCCGTTCTTAAAACCAACTTGAAGACAAAAAAGTATTCAAAAGCAATCCTCTCTCTTTTTTTGGGTCGGCATTCAACAAGCTACAAACGATCAGATAAATAAAGAGCCTGAAGATTGACAGATGTCAATTTAAAAGGAAGAGAATAAATTTTAAATTCAAGAAGCCCGAAAACCCGAAAAATATAAAAAAAATTATTTCCAGACAATCAACCAAGATTTGAATGAAAAGCAAAAACAGATTCTGCGAGTTGACGGGGTAAAGTATACTGACGTTGTTTATTTGACTGAAAGATATCCACTCACTTCATCCCACCACGATTGATGAATGTCTGACGATGCCTTTGAAATGCTAAAGAGTGACTTCTTAAAACATCGATTTATGTTCAAAGGATAATTTATTTTTCCGCTTGATTAGCGAAGCAAAATTTATAACAGGGGAAAAAAAGAAATAAAACATAATTAAGATAAAATATAGTTTGTTAATTCCATTTCGGAGCCTCTGGCATGCCTCGTCGCTAAAGTGATTTTCGGCGCCTCAATATCCATTTTTCTTCTATCCAAAAAATCAATTTTAATGACTTTTCATTGAATAGATATTTGATGAAGCGTCTCAACAAAGTCCTTCCCGGGTGTAGAATGTTTTTGTGCAAACACGAGAAGAAAGAAAGAAATTTGAAAACAAATTCACGGAGCCGTAAATAATATTAAGTATCGATGTTATGATGCGAACAAAGATTGAGGGTTTGGGTGCGCAAGGCACACAACATGTTATTACCAACGATTATAGGTAGAAAGAGGAGAATTATAGAATTAAAGCTTCGAAACTGTTTATGAAGTCATAATTCATTAGAATCCAATTTGGAAGCTAAAAAGATTTTCTTCTTTCAACTTCCATGAAAGATTAATGGCAAAAGAAGTTAATCTAGAAAAGATCATTAAAATTGAGGTTCAGACGTTTTCATTTTCCCGCAAAAACCATCAAGGGGATTATAAATTTATCAAAGAGAATGTCTTGCTGAGTTCGAAAGTAACGTCACAACTTTTAATTTATATTTTTTGAGACTTGAATTGTGAGGTTTGACTTCATCAGCAGACGAAAGAAACGCCCAGTGATGAGTTGAAAAGTCGTACATCAGCATTTAAAACATTGACATCGACAGACCACAACAAACAGTTGAAAAAAAGCACAAAATGATTCGTTAAATTATCAAATCAGGCGAATAAACCATGTAAGTTTAAAAAAAATAAAGACAGTCGCATAATGACAATTTTAATCGGCTTATTGTTGTTCGTTGGTGAAAAAAGAAACTAAAATCGTCTTATTTTCCTTCTTTTTATTTCCATTTTATCTTGAAACTGTCACTCATCTATCTTCTTCGATTCAACGACATATGATGACTTGAGACAGACAGTCTTTCATCACTCAATTTTTTTGTGCTGTGTTGTGTGTTGTCAGAGAGCTTCTCTCATTCATTTGGTATTTGATTTGACTTCGTTTTTCTATTCCTGGCATTGTTATGTTCGTCGTTGCATTTATGTCGCTTTTCTCTTTTATTCCCTTTACCTTCTTTCATTGAAAAACCCGTCAGCAATCAATTTCATTCCGTCAATCCCTTTTTTTCCGCCTGCAACTTTGAATTTCGTTTGTCTCACTGCAATAGCTTCAATGTCTCGCTGTTTTTGCGGAATCGCTTGATGTTTTTCGTTTGTTTCAAAAATTGCATCAAATTCAAAAGGTAGAACATGTTTGCATTAATATATCTCGAATTGATTCTCTTTTTTGACGTCGCCATAACTATCTAACGAAGAAAAGACAACAAATCGAAAAACTAAAAACAAAACTTCATCTCGATTTGAAAAATCACTAATGCAATGTATCCAAAGCGACATTAATAAATCAAAGACGAGAAACAGAAACAGAAACGAGTAAAAAATGTCAATAAATAAAATTCCGTTTAAATAATGCGAATTTCTATTTCAAGACGCAAACAATTTATAGCATTCAATATAATTTATAATAGAAATATCTATTAATATAAACTAAACAGTCAGTCAGTATTTGTGCTGCCTTAAATTGCTACATGCATCAAAAGTGATCAATCGCAAATCAATGGAAATGGATGTGATGTCAACAAGACATCGATGAATGCTTGTTTGTTATGTTCTAGAAAAATAAAATATCTTAGATGCGAGTGGAGATAGAAGAAGGATTAAATAAGTTTAACGATCAGACACATTCTCAAGTTGTTTGCTGATGTGTCGCAAGTTAATTAAATTTCAATCGACTTGAATTTCCTTTCATGAACTCTACTAGACAATTACGCGCTGTCGTGATGATTTATTCATCCATCAATATTTTTCATCATGATGACTTGTCTTTCTTCGAATGTAATTGAAAAAAATCCATCAAGCGCTGATAATGATACATCAACTTTGGAGTTGTTCGAAGCCATTTATTTTTATTTCTTTCTTTTCAACTTTTCAATTGTCGATGTCACAGTTTCAAAAAGATATCCGACAGTCTTTATATTGAAAGTTAAATTGACAAGCGACGGTTATGATCTGACAGTAAACCTTTAATTGATATAAATTGAAATGGTTTGCCGCGAGTAAGTAATACAAAATGTGCTTTTATAGATGTCGACAGGTTTTATGCATGTAATGCTGAATGACTTGAGTGGAAAATCAATAAAAGTAAGTCGAGGAAACTCCCATTGCTATTTATGTTAGTTACAAAGTAGAATTGTGAATTAAATTGGAATCACTCTGTGCTTTTTTACTCTACGGTGAGTCGTTGTGCAGCTCGAGAAATGGAAAATGTTATTTTGTTGTGTAAGTAAGAGCATGAAATTTATTACTTGGTTAAATGAATCAAATGAATGATGGGTTAGCAGCAGACATTATTTATCTGACTTGATGGAAAACTTATACAGATTGTCTAGTATTCGCAATTTCTGCCAATTGCAATATTGGATATTCATTTCAGATCTGATTGAAATACGATAAATCATTTATATACGAAATTCACTACAATTAAGGCTTTTTGTTTACGTGATATGTCGACATAATGGAAAATGTTATTTTCTTTCGCTTCTGACGGGTAATTTATGATTTATTTTTATTTTTTCTATTTGTAATTGATGGCAATCTTTCAGTCTTTCAGTAGCTTGATGAATATGGATGTTGATTGCACATTAAATGTCATGGTGAAAGATATCTAAGTCTTATTAACCAATCACATAATGAATATAGCACTCTGGCTCGTCCAACAAAGCTCAAGCTTTCAAACAAAGCATCATATTACCGTAGCTGGTTGATGAAGTTACCATAAATAACCTCATACTCAACTTATCTCCCATCTTATCTATGCTTCACAAAGTTTTTTCAATTTCACATGACACATATTGTCGGCTATTAATTGGTATGTGTTTTCGTACAAACCATGCAATAATTTATGATCCAATATTTTTCTCTATGAAATTTATGATCCTTTTGCAGTTCATGCGAAACGTAGAGCAAAAGGTAAAAACGATAAAAATAAAATTTATGAGTCGTTCTTCTTCTCCTTTTGCTGTTTAAATAATTTATCGCTTCAACTTCGATTTTATTTTCATTCTCCAGCAATTTTTTCCTTTTTTTTTAAATTGTTTATTCTCTATTTTCAAAAGATATTCAATTTTATTTGATAGTTTGTCTACCTTAATTATTGTATACGCTCGCATGGTCATTGTCGAGAAAATTTTTATTGTGTCAATTTTAAAATATCCATCAATTCTTAACGAACGAACGACCGACCCTCTACAGCGGTGTCACAGGAGGTAGCATAATGAAAGAAACATAAAACTATTAGTTTGAGTTTAAATCCTATTGATGCTTCGACTACGACAATGAAATGTAAATAAATAATAAATGGAATCGATACAAAAGGGAGGATTACCAGTACGACTGCTGAGTGAAATATTGACAATTTTACCGACTTTGCTGTCATGAGTTGAAAGGACAAGCAATATTAGAAGAAAGAAAGAGAAAACTTTTTTTCTAACAAAACAATTGCTCAGCAGATTTTTTTAGCTTTCATCTGATGTGGCAGCAGGTAAGTTATCCCTCACACAATTCATGTTCATTCTCGAGAAAAAATAAAAAGTTGAAGTCAGGACAAGAGAAATAATAAATTAAGTAGTTTGTGTTCAATGTATACAATGAAAAGGATTTTTCTTTCTTACTTTGAGTAAATCGAACTGAAATGAAATGACACACAAATCAATTGATGTATGGTGTTCGATGGTAAAGCAAGAAGTTAATTTATTAGCCTATTGTGTCATGACAAAACATAGCAAAACAAAAACATAGCAAAAGCGACCCGCCTAACGTTGATTTCCTATTTAACATCAATTAATTTTCATCCTCGGGTTCGTTTGTAGTGTCGGAATGGGTAATTTCATACTTGAGTCTTCCCTTCTCGGCTAATAAACGTCTCAAAGTGAGATTAAAAACGACGACCTAAGAGAAACAAACATATTTAAAAAGAAGATCAAAGAATATTTCCTGGAAGCGACAAAAGCCGTCTACAAGCTTTTAATTCAGAGAAACTGATATTTTTATGGCTAAAACATGCCTCATAATATCATTTCGTGTTTATAATATAACATCCCATAAATAATGTCGGAGCGAGTGAATAACGGGCGGGCAGAGGAAAAAAAGAGCGAACGAGCGAGCCGACACATGACTAAATATTTAATAAAAAAAATAATGATAATAAAGAGACGAAGAAGTCTACAGCAGCATCTCATCTCAACTACCGAATGTGATATACTCTCAACTGATGTCTGTGGCGTGTAATAAAACAAATATAAAATTAAAATGAAACGAAGTGAAATAAACTTTACAAATTGGTTTAGTCAATTTAATGTGATGTGAAAGAAGGGAATAAAGAACGAAAAAAATGTGTTTTTGAATGAACATTTTCGCTTTGATGTTTTTCTTTATGCTATAAATTTTCTTTTTCTCATATAATATTTTGAAGAATGAATAATAAACGACCCGACGACCCTGAATTAATTGCGATCATTAATTTTATTTATTTCACTAATTTCTTATTCCTTTCGTTGTTGTCGCTAAATATATTTGTTTGTCGAATAAAATATTATTTAAGGCCGCTATTTTTCTTGCATGGAATTTGTTACTTTCCGGGACAGGAAAATGTCGAGGTTACGGTGAGTTGACAAGAGGAAAATGTTGAAAGGAGTGAGTGGAACTGGCGAGATATCTTTTATTTATATTTGAATCTTTAATTGACTCACATTGATAACTTAAATCCTACTTTATTTCAGGAAATCCATTTAGGATGCATCACAATCATATTTACAATTCTATAGATGGAAAGAGATTTCTCCTTCATCTTTCGAAGAAGTTATTAGTCTCATCGCATGAGATAAACAAACACATTACTTGAGGCTTCAGGAGGGAGCCGCATTCAAGAGGCAATTTAAATTTTCGTATTACACAACCGAAAATGTATCTTTTATTATTTATGATCGCTGTTAATGCCATTCTACACGATATTAAATTAATATAAAAGTTATATATTTTATCTTCTCTTCGTCTTTCTCAGCCCCTTAGGGGATGGCAACGTGAATCTGACTTCGTGTTAAACGATTTATCTGAGGAAATGTCGAGTGGAAAGTAAAAGCAAAGCAATAAGTATCTTTAATGTCTCCAAATAAAGTCAGTTAGACATCCCTGACCATAATATAAACTTTATGTGTAGTGCCTGTCGAGAAAATGATAATAACGACAGCATACTTAGCGTTTAACTGCATGGGGCTTACAATTAGGTAATTTATCTCTTCAACTTATTTTTTTTTTATTTAAACATATATTTCGTGCTGGTGAACGAAATGGAGACTTAAGAAAGACGAAAAGGAAAAGAAAATACACACACAAGCCACACAATACTGAAATGAGAATTATTGCGCTCACAGAAAACAATAAATTAAGCAAATTATACGTTTCTGCCGACATTGTTGAAGTGCCCATAAATCCATTCGCGAAATACACGAAATTTTTTGTGAGTACGGATCTGAACATTAAGGATCTGACAGGTCTATGTCGGCTTTCGATATGAATGCTGATTGCATAAATCGAAATTAATGTTCATTTGTTTTTCACAAACCCAAATATCTTCATATGAAGCTGTCGTTTATGGTTTACGCTAAACAACAAACACAGAAGAAAACAAAACGAATGCGTTTGAGAGCTTGAGAGGAAGACAAAGCGAGTCGTTTATGAAAGCATAAAATAATAAAGATATTTTAGCTCTCCTTGCACAGATATAAATTAATTTGTTAAATGGTTTTCTTGCGCAACGTAAAAGAAAAAAAGAGAAGATTCTGCTTGTGTTTTTTTTCCTTCCTACATATATCTTATTTGAGAAAGATTACCGCCGAAAGGAAGAGAAAATTTATGGTTTCGTTACACATTTAATTGCAGAGTTATTTGTTGGCGAAGAGCATAAAGAGCACTTTTCCTTTTAACATTATTTCTTGCTTTTCCCTTCTCATCCTTGTGACGATGATATGCTTTTACTCTCTCAACCGTCAGACTTTATCATTAATAAAATGATGTTATTTATGAGATGCCTCTTACCCCCGAAACAATGCTGCAAGCTGGCATGAGAATAAGGAAAAAGAAAGCGTAAGATTTATATTAAGCACTCTATCCCCTTTTTGTCACTTCAAAGGACACGATTCAATAGAGAGATTTCATAAATCACCTTTCACTGCCACTTCCCCTCCCTTTTTATTTTTCTTAAGAGATCGCATTGGGAAGAAACTTTTACAAATTATCTGTGCGGCTCATAAATAATAAAAAATAAATAACAAGAAGCAAGAGAAGCGACGTAGAGGAGTCAAAGAAGCATTGCCATAAATCTTTCACAATTCATCAAAAATCTGTGTGTTTAGTTATGGATGAACCTACTCAGCTATGGATGAACCAACTTGACAGCCAAAACACACAAAAGCTAAATAGCAAATAGATTTTAATTCGTGGAAGATCTTCAAATTAGCTTTTGCGACGTTCTTGAAACCCGCAGAAACCCAGTCATCGTGATGAGATATCTGTTTACATTCTCATTGCTTTTTACGGTTTCGTAGATTTGAGTGAATTATTTGTACAAAATGTTATAAATGATGAAAAGCTTTCCGGAATAGTTCAGAGAGAAAAATAAACATTCTATTTACTTACTTTTGTGTACTGTTGTGCGATGTGTTTAACTATTCGTTTTTATTCTTCTGCTTGCTTTCTTCTGAAGCATCAGAATCATCAGCATGGGTGGTTGAAGTGGTGTCATATCCATGTTTTAAAATTTTCAAAGCAACTGAACTCTCTCTCTCCAGTCGATGTTCTCTCGACTTTCGAGACACGAATAAATATTTCAATGGTGGCCTTTTCTCCAACGCATGCTTTTTATTGGCAGTCTTCAAGCAGAGCCATAATGATTTTTTCCTTTCCTTCGTTGGTGAAGTTCGAAAATGAAAATATTTCACTCTCTTTCGAACATTCGAATAAGTTTTATGCTCTCGATTCTCATTCTCCTGTTGCTTCTCGTCTGAACATATATCTTTGTGTTCACAGAAATATTTTTCTCTGAGTCACAGTTTGAGTTGAAACTTCTTACTGTACACTCGTGAATTTTTTTTATTCTGCTTCGAGTTGAAAATCAAAAGAAAAGAAAAAATTGTTGTTGGAAATTTCTTAAGAAAAAGATAAAAAAAAATTTGAAAAGAAAGAAGCAAAGTGGATTAGCATATCAATCACTCTTCTCTTAGTCTCAAATTTCAATTGGAATACAATTTTCAAATATTAATTGAATACAAATGGTTGTGCTTGAAGGAGCAAACGCAACAATGCCAATGCTTACCATAGGGAATAATCAATATTTACAACCGGATTATTTGTCACCGACACCAACAATGGTAAAAGTTAATTTTTATGAACTTTCTTCATGTCTTAAATTAATCATTTTTTATCAAAATTATTTCATCAACAGTTGGATTCAAAAAAGAGTCCATTAGCACTTTTGGCACAAACATGCTCCCAAATTGGTGCTGACTCGAACAATGTAAAGTCGATTGTGACACCAGCAGAGAAAAATAAAAAATTGGATACGAATACGAAACAATCGCAACCGACGGTAAACAACATTCAAAAATCGGATAAAGTTAACGAGTTGGTGTTCAAGCCATATGAGGTGAATGTGTTGAGTAGAAAGAATGGCGATGATGTTCATCGGCCATTATCGAAGACAAGTAGTGTTGATGAGAATATGAGTGATGAAAGTTGCAAGTCAAATCCAAAAAAAGATGTGAATAATTCACGAGTGTCGTCTCGTAACAGCAATCGTGAATCCCCTGTTAGTGTTAATAGTAATAACAATAACAACAATAATGCTGATAATAAAAATCAAAATCAAACAAGCACAGAAATAAATGAAAGTGAGAAAAGTCAAAGTGAAAATAATAATTCGCCAGGATTAACACAGAAAGAATCGCCGTCTGGTATTGGAACGAGAACAAGTTTGGAAATGTTACAAGGTCAGCAAAAGGATTTAGGATTTTATAAACCAGGATTTAATCCATTTTATCCAACTGGCATTGATCCCACAAATCCAGCATTTCGTTCATCATCGTTCTCGAGTGCATTGTCACAGCCCCACGCGTCAATGTTGGCAGCAGCCGCTGCTGGATATCCTGCAAGTGCAAATAATCCCTATCTAAGTTATGCTCGTATAAAGACACCAACTGGTGGAGAAGCATTGGTTCCAGTCTGTAAAGATCCATACTGCACAGGTTGCCAATATTCAGCACACAATCAACAGATGCTTATGGGAGTTCCATGCCCACCAGGATGTACACAATGTGAACAACAAAAATATGGATTAGCTATGGCAATGTCTTCTCTACCTCCGAATCATCCATTTGCTCAAATGTCGAAACCATTTGCTTGCAATTGGATCATGAACGATGGTTATTGTGGTCGAAGATTTTCAACCACAGATGAGTTGATTCAACACATGAAAACTCATTCACCAAACTTATCAGATCCAGCAACTGCTGCGAGTATTTTAGCAGCACAACAGTCAGCTTCATTAATGTCACCGTTGTTCTTCCCACCTGGAATGCATCGTGGTGCTGGTTATCCAAGTGCATCACCGTTAAGTCCATTATCAGCTTCGCGTTATCATCCTTATGCAGGAAAGCCAGGAACTTTACCCACTTCTTATGGATCTACATTTAATCCACCGTTGTCAGCTTACTATCCACCATACTCATGGATGCCTCCACAACGACTTGGCACAGCAGCTCATCCATAACAATAAATACAACGATAATTTCGCGCACGCTAATTTATATTACTGTGATACTCAAAACATGATTAAAATCAAGAGATTAAGAAGTGAGAAGTAATTGTGTGACATTGTACTCTTAAGTACCTTTAATTCAACTATTCGATGGATAACAGTTAGAAAAAAATGAAATAAGAAAGCAAAGGAAACAATTGTCAGATAAATTAAAAAAAGATTTACTCGTTTAGGTGCAAAGAAAGATGAATAACTCCAATAGTCGTCTGCGCAAGCCTCTCATACTCATGGATTAATTTTTCTTTTAATTTTATCTTCTTTTTTTGAATAATTACCTATCAACTTACCGTCTAAGTGGAGAACAAAGAACATAAATGTGTAAAGAAATTAAAAATCATTGAAGTCAGTAAATGAGAAAAAAAGAAAAAAAAATAATTAATGTTCTTTTATGCTTTTTAACTTTTTATTCTCTTCTTCATTTTCTTTCTGTTTTTTTTTTGTTGCTTTCGTCGTAAAAACATAAATCATCATCCTTTAAAAGTTTAATTTGAAAACGAAACATGTTATGATTTATTTCGAGGTAATAAATAATCTTGAAGATTTAAGTACATTAAAAAAATGAAAGAAAGAGTTTTGTGTTGTTTATTAATGAAAGCTGGTTTTCATGAAAAGGATGTTAAAGGTGGAAATTGGAGTAAGTGATTTATCATCGTGGTATGGGGCAGAGTCTGCGTTGATTTAAAAACAGATTTTTCATTTATTGTCGATTATTGTGGAACTAAGCTAACAAAAGCCGACATGAAAGATGAAAGAAGCTTTGTGCAGCTACTAAATAAACTCATTTCCGTTTCATGCTTTCACACATCTCAATAACTACACACGATTTCAATTTGATGTTTGAAGCATAATCAGGTCTTGTTAAACTGCTATGGAGAACTGTCAAACTGTCGGTAATAATGTCTGTCAAAAACTATGGAGATAAATATCATAATTTTCCCTTCAGTCAAGCATAATTGAAAAGCAAACCGCAAGAAATTAAATCTCATTTAAGTCAGATCAGACCACTCACAAAGGCTAAAAACGAAGCATGAAAATGAGACCAAGAGAAAGAACGTGAAGAATTATTTATTTTCCTTCTTAATCCCTTCAATCACTCAAAAGCTGTTCAACAACACGAAAATAAATTTCAGTCACTCTCGACAGTTAATGACGTTGCATGCTTTCGAACTCTCCGTTTTCTTTCTTTTTTTTTGCCTTCATCGTCGACTCTTTTTCACGAAGAAGACTTTTTTATTTTTATTTTTCATCGCTTGGTTTTACTTGGCATGGAAAAATCAAATTACGGCTGTCAGTTTCGATTGGAAACACAAGACATATTTATCATTTCCCCATTTATAAATTTCTTTCTTTTTTTACTTCTTTCTCGTTCGTTCATCGTCACATCACATTTTCAAGCATGAGTTGAAAATTGAAAAAAGAGTCGTGGACAAGTATGTTTGTTTGATGATAAATACGTTTGTTGTAGAAACGCACCAGCAGCGTAATAAATTAAAGCGGAGAAAGGGAAGGAAATGGTGAATAAAAATGTCAAACGAGCACCATCAACAAGGAATATCTTTACCTTTAAGAACCTTCATCATCAACTAATGCCGACATAAACAAGATTCGAAACGAATCGAAGTGGAATGAGATAAGTAAAGATAAAAGCGAAAGATGATATTTTCATTTCACGGGTTTTATTTTTCAATTTCTCTTAACAATGTTTGAAAAGTGATTTTGTGAAATGAGCAATTAAATGTTGAACGTACACACATCTCTATATTTATGCCATCGATTTCCACTCTTCAGTCTTTCTTGCTTCGAGGATACACGTTGAAACTTATTTTCCGCTTGGAAGAACATCGCTTAATGCAATTTATGGGATGACTACATCTTGTATAAAATTAAATGTTTGCATCACCTTTAAACAACACTCTAATGTTTAATTCTAACATTCTAATGTTTAAAATAAATAAAGACTGTCAACGCTGACAACTCCTAATTTCTTGATTATTTATAACATCTGTTCAGCCTCGTCATGTCAACATTTCATTTCTCTTCTTGTTTCTCGGTGCCAGTAGTCATTTTTAATACACAACAGCATGTCTACCTGTCAAGTTCTTTCTGTTGTATTATTTTGGATATGTTTTAAATAAGACTTAACAACCACAAGCGCAACCAAACTTTTCACAGTCGATGTGAAGAGTACGAGAGATGATAAAACAAAATAAACAACAACTCAACATCAACGGCAATGGCAAGGAGAAAATTTAAAGAGATTATTTCTGTGTAGAATAAATTATAATGTCGGTTTTTATGCTTGAACATATTTCACGATCTTGTTTTCGATTTAACATTTTTCGAGCTCTTTTGCTCGGCATTTTTCCTTCGCTTTAGAAAATATTTATGCGCTGTGATGTGCGGAAAGAAAAATACTTCATGTGTGGACGCGGCGGTGAAAAATAAATACTCAGCAACAGCAAAAGAATAAGAAAACTTCTTTAAATTTATATGTTGAAATGTCTTTGAAGCTCGGCACTTTTATTTATGTTTCAACAGTCGGACGGAACCAGTGAAAAAAACTTAAGAAAAAGAAGCAAATGTTGAAGAACGAGTAAAGTAAACGTTTTTTTGAAAAGACGACTCGTCAAAACAAATTTATGATGCCTCAAGAGATAAATTAGTGTTTTTCAACAGCATGTAAAATTATTTAAAAAGAAAGAAGAAAAGAAAAGATTCAAAGAGAATGAATGATGGAATGAATCCGAGCACATGAATCTGATACGCCTGGCTTCACTCATGCCTACATAATTACGTCGTTGAAGAATGATTGGAGTTTCAGTGTACACTAAACCGATGATTGATTTGTGGCTAAAGAAAATGTTATTTGACGTTGACATTAATGATTATCTGCATATTTACGCACACACTAGTTGATTCGTGAACCTCAATGCCTATTCATACTTACTCTGTCGATCAATGTCTTGAAAATGATGTTTGCGAATATTTTTCTATATTTTATTTTTCTGACATCACAATAATCGATAATCTGTCATTGTTATTTGAAAACACATTCACATAGAAATTAGCGGTAAAAGCAAGGTAAAAGTCAATCAAGGTTGGTGAATAGAATTGGAATGGAAGAAAACAACAGAGAGAAAAGGATCGGCAAAAGAAAAAGAATGAAAATACCCCCATCAATCATCGAATGTGAAGTGATAATCTCATCCTGAAAACCAAACAATAAACTTTCTGACAAGAAATCTTCAAGTTTTCAAAAAGTTAGACAGAGTGAGATGAGAAATACCCAATGTAAAGTAGGTCGACGTAAAGCTGTCGTTTTGTCATGACATGACGACAGGCAACTGTGACATGGAGAAAAGGGACTGTCAATCAATGACTGTTGTCACTAAAAAAGAAGACTTACACTCATGTCATGCAACCTCGTTTAGGATAGGCAAAAAAAGGAGCTGAGAACGAATGTTTCGTTGTCACATCGTACTATGAGTATCCTTGCCAACATGACATGTAACATATTTTTAATTGGCCCCGTGTTGATGTCGTTATATCACTTCGGAATCATTCACAAAGACGAGAAACGAAAGAATGAAAAAAAATCACACATCAGTGACATTATAAAAATGTTTAAATAATTTTTCAACGCACACAAGCATCGTTACCGTCAAAGCAGCACAAAACCAGCTGTCAGAAAGTATAATTGTGAAATTTATTGAAAAAAGCAGAGAATTAGTGTTCATCAGGGATTGAAACTGGTAACAAATTAAGCAGCTTCTTAGATTCAGAATTGTGAAAAAGAAATTTATTCGAGAATTAAAAAGAGAAAAGAAATTTAATTAATTTCTATCCCTGATATTGAATTCTTTCTCTCGACATTAAGGGCAACATGAAAGCCTTCCGAGTATGTGTGTGGTGCAATTTGACGAGCTAATAATAAATACATTAACTAGATTTTGAGGTTTTTGCAGTCTGATCGCGACACCAAAGAGTTGTTGAATCAGATGTGATTGTTTAATTTCCCTTTTGTCGCCTTTTCCGTCTTTTATGTCGTTGCATATTCTATATATCATTTTTGGGTTGGCAGTTTGACAAGGGGTTGACTTGAAAAATATTATAAATGTATATATACATTTATGACGAGTTTGATGAAATAAAAGGCGATAAAACATCAACATTAGCAGTTTGACTGCCGTTTTTTCTTCACTCATAATGTTATTAATGCTCGAACAAGTATGTGATGAAGGGGGAACGGGTTAAGCGACTCTTGTATGTTTCCCGCTTCTGTTTGTAATTGAAAACTTTATTGGATTTTATGGAACAATGGATTTGAACACCGCTAAAACCATCGTGATTGATATTTGATCTATAAAAAAAGGGCTTATTAGAACGTGTGGAATTTAGGACAGGCTATGGAATGTTCACTTTGATGAAGGTATATTTGACGCTGACAACAAATCAGATTTGAATTTCCTTTGTTGATCAAATGGAGAAGTCGTCGTTGATATATTTTCCATTTGATAACAATTTGTTTTGTACTTTTTATAATATGATGATGGTGTGATTGAAACTCGAACCTTTTCTGTCATCTCATGTTGAACTTTTCATGCTACTTTTTTTTGCCTTCTTCTTTCTTTTTCTCGATGAAACCGATGTTGATTTATTTATAAGATGTGTGATTGTCAAACAAAGAGAAGATCTTGAAAGAGATGAAAAATTCCTAAGCAATTCTCACACTTGAAATTGTCTCACATTCCACTTCTTCACTCTTTCCACTTAATGTAACTCAAGTCGAGCAACTCATTAAGCTCTTGAAAAAGGAGACACAAGAAAAATACTTCAAAGTGCCTCTTTGCAAAAGAAATATAAATAAAAATACATCAGCTGTCATCGAAAAAGACAAATTCACAAAATGTTTGCTCGCCTTTTTGTCGTTGGTAAAACTGTAACATTCAAGTGACATAAAACAGAACAAAAGCAACACTTAAAGAAGTTAAGAGAAAATATATTTGACGACTAATTACTCTGTAAAAATATTTCAAATAATTAACACTTCTCATGTTTTCAACGACGACGACAACAACAACGTAGCGTTTTCTTAACGAGAATGATAGGAGGGAAAAAGAAATAAAACATGAGAAAAAAGAATTAGAATTTATTCGGTGGCAGACAACAACGGCTTTCTGTCGCGCTTGTCTCATTCACTGAAGTTTTTGGACGCATTGTTCTAAATACTCCTTAAAAGCAAGCAAGAAGCAAAGCGCTGAGCATTAAAAAATCTACCAACTCTAAAACGGGACATAAATCAAAATAATAACAATAATAAAAAGTAAAAGAAGAGAGAAGAAAAATAATTTATTGCCGAGAACGAGGCAGCGGAGAAAAATGAAATGAAATAAAATAAACATATTTCTTCAGATATTTTTATGTTTATGTTGGATATAAAGCTCACAAGTTTTGTGCTTGTGAGCCGTAATATATTTCATTTGCTTGTCTCATAACGTAATTTATGACTTTTTCACCCCATTTTCTACTCTCGTTCATGGCATCTCTTTCTCTTACTTCGCTTTACTCTTTATCGAAAGAAACCCCCCGAACCGACCTGATATACTTATTTATCCACCGACAGTTGAGAACAGAACGTATGGAAGACTGGCATGTCATAAAAAATATTTTCCCGTAGATGTGTTTATATATCCTCATGCATAAATATCTAGCTTACTGTTGATGGTTTTATATCACACAGAAAATTATTTTATGTTATATTTCACTACGAGCCTGAATTATTATTTATTATGATTGTAGATCGTAAATAATATTTCTCTCCATTCATATCACTTTTCATTCTTGTTTGTGCTGTCAGTTTTGTATTATGAAGTAATTATGTGTCGGATTAAGTCAATGTTTTATGGCAGTAAAATTATGTTTGAATTATGTGTTCTTTGTAAGAACATTAATTTTGAATGTCGTCTCGACTCGACTCGATTCAGCATTTATATATGCTTTGTATGTATGCTTTTACCATATAAACATACATTGAGTCTAACTGAATGAATGATTCATTTAAATTTCATTTAAGTTACATAGAAACATGCGGCGACCGACAAACGGCCAAGTCAATAAAAGTTTATTAGCAAAAACTATTGACTGCAGAGTGTGTGGACGTGTGTGGCTACATTTTCTTGCGTCAATGATTATCCAAAAAGATTAATTATATCAATGGAACGAATTAGCCTTTTGACCCTGTCAAATGTTTTTGTGGAAGTGGAAGAAATGTTTAAATCATCGTATTTTGATGTAACGACAATAGACAAAAAAAATCTTTTTATGCTTCATTCTTCAAGATTGAAAGCGATAAACTGTGAAATGTTTTATTAACTGATCATTCATATATTAATAAATAAATCCCTCTCAAAACGACTGCAACAAAAGTACGACAGAGACTCATTAATAATACAACGTGTTTCTCTTTCCCCCTTCGTTTTGAAAAATGTGTTCGCTTTATAAGTCTCCATCAATATGTCAGCCTCAGTCAGTTTCAATTTCTGCTGATAAATGTCTGATCATTTTTCATTTGCGAATGTGTCAAAAAGAATAAAAGAAGAAAATGCTTCGACAAAGATGTATCGCTTTTTCAGTTTTGCCGGTGATGGGCCTTTAAGAGAAGAAGTAAAGATGGAAAAAGCGTAGAAAATGTTGATGTAATCATCAGTAATCGCCTTTTTTTCCATCGTTGAGTAATGAAGCTAAGGTTTCGAGTAATTAAAAGTCATTAATTATACTTGTCGTTGATGGCGAATCATTGCCACGATCTTTTTTTTTACGATTCGCAATTTGAGCTGATCTTTTCTGCTGCAAAATGTTTATCATTTCACAATATTTCAATTAAGCGCTATTTACAGCAGGCAATGAATTGATTCAAGAAGAGACGAAATAATATTGAGATGTTAAATGAATCTTAAAATGTTGTTTTGCAAAATGTAGTTTCACTCTGGTAAACAACAATTTACTGTCATAAATAAATTTATTTCAAATTAGTTAAAGGTTGCCGGTTGCGAAACTTTTATGTTCATCGAATGAATTACAAATAAGAAATATTTTCCCACCCGTCGTGCTATTTTTCATTTTCACTGAAAATACTTCACTTCTTAGCCGGTGTGTGGCATGAAGAAGAATGAGAAAAAGCGACTTTATAAACATGTTGTTATGTGGCGACAACAATTACCATGCTTCACCTCAACAAAAGCAGAGTGGAGTTTCATGAATTATTCAGCGAAAACTCCTTCGAATAGTTTCCTTTCGGAAATGTTTCACAAAGTTCACGTGAATCTCCTTTTAAATAAATATATAAAAAAAAGTTTATCATGACATTACTACAAAATCTTCTGTTTGTTGAATGGGAAACATTTTTACAATTTTCCGCTCCAACGAGTAATAAATTTTCGTCTAAAAGCGGTCGTAAATAAATTATTTGTTCAACAGCATAAATTTTCATCGCGACAACAAAACTTGAAGGCTGACATTTACGAGCCCATTTGATTATGTTCTTTAAATTCGTTATTATCTCATTGAAATCATCAGCCACGTTTATGATGGAGAGAATGGAATATGAAGTCAATGATCATAACTAATGATGACAATGCAGAGTTTTAAATCACTCTCCAGCTGCTTAACAATCAACAGCATTAGATATCGTTTTGTGCATACAAATGTGTGTATTTTCTATGCCTCGTTTTCGTTGTCGACTCGATCCCCATAAAGATACCCAATTACATGTTATTTTTTTTAATGTCACAGAAGAAAGAAATAATATTATGATATCATAAAATGTGTCATCGTTTTCTTTATTCCTTCTCTCTTCTTCTTCCCAAAAGAAACAGCAGCAGTAACATCAACTTATTTAGCAGTCAGCAGGTGGGAGGTGACAACTGGAAGTAAATAAATTTATATTCAAGTTCCATTATTTTTTATTACATTACTGCACTCTAGAGATATTTGTTGGCTGTTGCTGTTGATTATGAAGGAATAGAAGAAAAAAACATAACTTTTAGACATCAATAAAAATGTCTCTAATATGCTTCTTTAAAAATATATTTATGACGGACTTTAAATTTGAATCTCAATGTTTAATGACTTAGATAAGTAGTTACGTAGATATTTACAAGCAATCAAACTTTCCTCTTATTTTTTAAGAAGACCAACAGACAAAAAAAACCTCAATGAAAATATTTATATCCAAGTATTCAGCGGCAGAAAGTTCTTCTCATTTTATCTGACAGAACATTTTATCAATTGTGAAATGAAAGATATTTTGAGCTATCATTCTCCAAGGCAAAGGAAAAATAAGAACAAAAAAAGAGAAGTAAATTTATGGCATTTAATAACGTCGTTCATATTATTAAACGGCAAACTCAGGACCATTAATCCTGAGCGAAACCAACAGAAAGAGAAATGTTGAATGAGTGAGTGAAACAGAAAGAGAGTAGGAAGAGTACGACAGTGAAGATAATTTATATTTTTAAATATATTACTCTTAATACTTCATGTCAACATTGTTTAGTAGTTGTATGTTGCCATCAGCAGAAGGAACTGAACGTTGCCTTGCCACATTATGATCTACAACATTCAAATGATAAATGAATGAAATACATCGTGATACGGCTAAGCATTTATTCCAATGTTACAGAGCTTCGCCTTAACAGTGTCAGAAAAATAAGAGACGATGGCAAAGCAGAGAAGGCTTAATGGTTTTATCTTGCGAAATGATAATAAATGTTGCAAATGTCTCATTTCTTTGTTGCTTCTCTCTACACCACATCATTCTCTTCTTTGATATGACTAGCACAGGCTTCATGAAGTAAGCAACCATTGAAACAACACAGCAGAAAAGAACAAGATAGATAAGCAGGGGAACTAACGTTAACGTTAAACAAAAAAAAAACACAAAAAAAAGAAGAAATCATAAAGAAAATAAAATAAGAGTTTTGATATTAAAAGGCAACTTGCACAAGGTTATGTGGGCGTACTGGGAGACTTTATAGAGATGTTGTATATTTTCCACTCTACATGTCCAATTTGTGTCAGCTACATAGCTTTGGTAAGATATGTGTAGACATCTGAAAAAGCGTTTGGCATTTACTTCTTCTTTTGTTTCTGATTTTTATTAATAATCTGTAAACGTGGATGAAATTGCTACGAATGGAATGGATCCAAAAGGACTTAGTCGAGTGACGTGTACACATCATAAAACCCATATCAGATCGGGATCAAAATTAATTGTTTTGACACATGTTTTCTTCAGCTATGTTATCGATTTTTTTTCTGCTTTTGACAGCAAACGATTATTTTTCTTTCTCAATGTTGTGTTTGATTTGACATGACATGGATCTGGAATCAATCAAATGTTATTTGAAGAAATCGCGAGGGGCTAAAGTAAAATATGATGACTTCGAGGCTCGTCATATTTATTCATCATCATCAGGGATTTTTCATTCATTCATTCAACGACTTCGTTTACTTGTTTTCTTCGTGTCTTCATTCTGTTAAAGGATGAATAAAAACTGACAAGATTGAGAGAAATAATTGTGTATGTAAATCATGCCTGAGACATCTAGCACATGGAATGAAAATTTGAAGCAGCAGAAAAAAATAATAAACAGCGATGAGGCGAAAGGCACTTGTCACTCGTGCTATGTGCACACAGAGAAAAATGTTGTCTTTCTAATGATGATATGTCATGATAACGTCGCTTCGTTGTTTCTCATATAAATGAAAAATGACATTTTTTTTATATTTTGTTTGTACAGTATTTGGTTTCCGTTTTTTTTTTTTGTTGTTTTCTTTCATTGTATGATGTTGTTGGAAGCATGATAATATATGAAAGAGGAAAGCTTGACATAAACTTCAGCGGGGTGTCAGACTTTATCGTCGACGCATAGAATGATGTAAAGCGATGAGAAATTAAAACGTCGACAGTCTACTAAGAATACTAAACAGGAATTTCATGCTGAAAGCATTCAACGATCATGAACATTTTTTTGGTTAGATGTTTTGAACGCAGTAGCATGGCTCTCGTTATTTAATGCTGGTCATGTTGCTGTGAGCGACAGTTCAATAAATTTGTAATTTCCATTTATAGAACAGCATTTTTGGAGACTGTCAAAGATTCATGTGAAGTAATATATTCAACATACTTGTCTGACCATATCCGCTCGCAGTTACCTACAAATATTTCAGCAGTCAATATTTCTTGGAAAGCTTTAATTAATTCTTCACATTCCATTTAATTTTTTGCTTTCATAATTGTTATAATTACTGACATTTTAATTCATGGCAAGTTCATGTTGGTTATTTCATTGCATTAACATGTTAGAATTATAATTCCTTGGAAATAAAAGGGCAGAAAAATGTATGAATGTTGCTACCATTTAACAAAGAACATTGCACGATTTCAACAGAAAAGTTCATTTCTGTTTTTATCCAGATTAATTTACTCTGGGGCTGTTTGTAACCACCTTGCAAAAAAAGAAATTCCCAAGTCATTAAGCTGAGTTGTGGTAAAAAGGTGTTCAACAATTGCAATTGTAAACTCATGCAAATTTATTACATTGAATAGAAGTCCAAATTAAAATGCATCTGTTAGAAATGTACGGAACGTCAGTCGAAAGCCGATAAATTGCTTTCATTTATATTTCTATTTAAGTTTGAATGAACTATGAAGCATTCAGAGTTAAGTTCATAGAGATTAAGGAAAAGTTTTCCCTACCCCAAAAAAAGCGCCTCAATAATAAAGCAGTTAAAGTTTTTCATTCATTTGAACCGTTGATCCCATAAATTCCTTCCAGGCCAAGGTAACAAATTTCGGTTAAAGCAATTAGGGGAAAACGTCGAAGATGTATGACGATATAAAGAAGAATTAATGTGTTGAAAATATTTCTCATGATTCAATTTATCATAAAATAAATGTTATGGTTTCGACCGTGAAGTAAGATATAACATTTAAGCGCACATAAAAAACCATTTCGCGTTGAAAAAGAATGGAAGAGATGAAAAATACATAACAGCAATAAAAATCAAGTAATATCTTTCTTCTCATGGCGGAGAGATAAAGATTGTATTAAGTCGTTTGCCATACAAACTCAATAAATTTCATTTTAATGCCTTTTTTCTCTCTCCTTTCTCGCATGAGCTTCTCGTTGTGAAAATGGGCGACCATCAATTTAATTTATATTTTTCTTCTTCTCTGTTAGTAGACGCTTTTACTAGGCAACCCCTCTAAGTATATTCAACATTATGTTATTCTTCGATCCATCCATTTAAGAAACGAGGGAAGAAGTCATAGCCTGGTACAGTGAAATGTTATGGAATTATTGAAAGACTAAAAATCTTGGCGCATTGTGAATCCTTTCATTTTTCAAAGTTCATTCTATGTTGTAATAAAAAAATAGACAGAAAATCGTTTCATACATAAATTTATGGTTCACTACAGAACATGCCATAAATTTTTTGTGCAGAATTCCTCAGCCCTTAATGCCACAAACAATTTTTTGCTGTTTCCATCACACATTCACCTAACAAAAAAAATAAATAAACAGAATATTTCATTAAAACCTTAACATGCATGTTCAGTGTAAACGTTCCCTGCTTTGAAGCAATTCATCCTTCCATTTCTTTTCTTTTCCACCTTCATACTTACACATATCACTCCCGCCTTCAAACTCTGCCAAATATGTGGCTTGGTAATTTGTTAAATAGCAGTGAAGTAATTAACCATAAATAATTCTCACATTCTTCAGCTCAACTAGAGGAATAAAAGTAATGCGCGTTCGTATTAAAATAAAATTTACGTCTCTTCATTTTGCTGTAATGGAGAACATTGTTGTGTATGAGCATTAAATATTTTCTGGCTGTCGACTGCTTATTTGTTGCCACTTTTTTGTAATTCCTTTCGCTTGTTGTTTTATTTTGCGTTTTGCAAGAATTAAATACAAAATATTCAACATCATTAAGCTACGTTGAAAGTTATGAATTGACAAATGAGCCAAAATTGGATGAGACGTTAGAAGTGAAAGAAATAGAAAATAAAAATCACATCATACTGACATCACAACATGCCAAAATGACATAAAAGTTACATGCATGCTGAGCTGATGAGATATGGTTGGAAGTTAATTAATGTCTCGCTCAATTTCTCAACGCAAACGAATGAGAAATGTAGTGACAGTTGTGCTGTTATTCGTTGTGGGATGGCTTTGAATGATGATAAGAACTTAATATTGATTGATTAGTTTCGCATTTGCTGTCGTTTGGTGACACTGAAAACAACAAAAAGTATTAAGACTCGCAAAAAAAAAAGAGACATCGGTTGGAGCTGACATAAAAAATTATACGAAAGCTTAAAGAAAAAAATTGTCGGCCACTAAAAGTCAATAATGTCACCTTTCCAATTGTACCAATCAGTCTTTCAACCAATGATACAATAAATGTAGATTGTCAGAAAGTAATTTTTTATAACAATTTCAATTAATTAAAGTCACTTTCATATTTGTTGTTAAGTCATGTCGAAACTTTATACATAAACTTCATCTATGATCAATCACTCAACATTTTTTCTCTTCCATGAGCGCGTTAAAAAATCTGTCTATCCATCTACTGTCGCGGCTGTTAGTAAAGAATGTCGGAATGAATGATGGCTCATTTTCTTCAACATTTCAAGTTCCCCGAGCTTCGTTTTTTTTTCCTTCATCTCTCGTTTGCCTCCCAACTGCCATTCATATAAATGTTTATTTCCATAGACATCAGCCTGATATAAATTTCGCTCACTTCAACTAACTGGCGTGTATAGACGTCGCAAAGATTGTATGGTGTGTAAGTTCATGGTGTGAGGGGGAATCTAGAAAATGATAAATGACATGTCAACGAGAAACTGGGTTGGAATAGGAGAAACGTAAACGAGCAAAGACCGAGAACGAAACTTGATTTGCCATAAAAACGAAAATTACTTCACCCCGACAACTCACATTACGCTCTATCTTTCTTCACTAGACAGCTCACTCATTAGTTTGACACTGATCCCTGTCAGCAATTTATCAAAAAAGATTATTAACAAGATTTTCAAAACATTTCGAAAGGCATTGAAACTAAATAAAGTGATTTTTCACAGCAAATAATAAATTATTTAATTTGCCGACCAGGCGAGAGCGAAAGTTTAAGAAACAAAGAAGTTTACGTCTTTCGTTGCACGACAATCTTGACATCTAATTATACGGCGACTTTTATGGTCGGCGTCGTTTACGAAAAGAATTTTTATTTATTATTATTTTTTTTATACAATTTCGACTGTTTACGGGTGTCAAGAGGGAAAAAAATTCTTTTGACGATAATAAATGACTTGATGGAAAAAATCTTTTGTGGATTGAAAGTTGGATGGTAGCGTAACGATAAGTACTGACAAGAAATGAAATCAATTTCCCTTAGGTGAGATTAGCAAAGAATTAAGAGTGCTGGTGTCGATATACTTCATTGAAATTAATCTTAGGTAATTAATCATCCTCGACTCGATTTCGATAACGAAAAGCTTTAGATAATTTATGAGTGTTGAAGTCGAGTTCTAATGAGACACATTTTTGTGTGGAGGCTTGATTTGGTTTAGTTTTCCGTGAGTTAAGCCTTTGTACACTTTCGATTGTCATTGATAAAGCGTCAAGCGTAATGATGGAGCTGCTCAACATAAATATTTTTTAAACCTCTCGACTTCTAAATCCAACTTCGATAGAGTTAAAAATATAAACACACACAGAACTAATTGTTTGAGTGGCGCGCCATAAATCAAACGAGAATTTTTGTTTTGTATAAACACGTGTTAGTAATCATTCACGAGTAATCCCAAATCGGGAGTAAAGCCCTTAAACATAAAAAAAAGTGAAATCAATTCACAGTCATAATAATTCAAAATGTGACATTTTGAATGAATGACTGTAAATCAATCATTTACTCTCGTGTTGTACCTCTTGAAAATGTTCGACATTCGGGCTAGCTAATTAATCATAAAACTGAACATACGGAAAAGTGAACAACAAATCAGTGAATATCAAATTGAATGAACGATAAAGAGTACCGCGATGAGACTGGCACTGTTGGATTTGACAGACCTTTTTTCTCTATCCAATTTCGTTGAAAAGGAAAGATTGGAACTGATTATTGAGACTGTTTCGCATCGATTCATCAACAATCGAGATAAACATAATATTTATGAAGTGCAAACATATTTGATGTTTTCATTTTGTGAGTGAGATTGAGTACCGAACATAAATACACAACATCATACCGAAAACCGAACAGCAAAGCGTACCTCTCTACAACAATCCATCATTCCCCAATCCATCATAATTCATTATTATATATTATTCAAGTAAAACTTGACAGCAATGTCAGTTCGTCTGACTGTTTAAGAAATTATTTTCACTCGCTGAACGAGACGACAGGGGAAGGAAACGAATGTCAAGAAAACTCAACCAAGAATGATTCGAGCAGTTTGGTGGAAGTTGAGTTGAAGAAATATCGTCCGATGCCCTTGCAATCCCGTCGTGAACGGAATAACAGCTCAATGGGAAATCCAATGATAAAATTGTGTGATAGTGTCAGCGACATTTTTCATTTAAATAAGTTTCAAGTGGCATCACTAAACATGTCGAAGAGAAAATGAAAAGTCAATGGAAAATTTTCCACTGAATGTTGATTGATTTTTCCTATCACTTCTATTTGCATTTCATTGAAACGACAAACACTCGACTTCAAATTGAAACGAGACAAAAAAAAAAAGACAGAAAGCAATCAAAATAAATTAGAATTTTCCTTTCGTGACATTCGAGTGAATTGCACTCGCGCTTCAGTGAATTGAATAAAAATTCTCAACTGTCACTGATGTTGTCATAATTATTTTCGATATTTGTTTTAAGAAGACGTCTTTTGAAAAATGATGAAATAATATTTATCAAAATTATTTAACATCTCTGAATATTAAAAATGTCAGCTTCATAAAGTTGTCAATCGTTGAATGCAGAATGAAATGATGCATGCATGCTTTATTGACATTCAAATTGGATTTAAACTGACAAATTGTAACATTTCTCTCTCTTTATCATCACTGTGAAAACTTTTATTTCCTTAATTGAAATGTTTATTTCTGTTCATAATAACGAGTCATAAACGAAAGCATAAAAAGATCTCTAAAGAGTCAACATTTATTTTCTATCCGTGCCAACCAGAAAATCATGTCAAATGTTTATAATAAAATTTGTACGAAAATGCTATGACAGTCCGCTGTCAAAGTGTCACAGAAATATCAAACTAAGTGGAAATAAAACTGACTTGCTTGACTCATTCAAAAGTGCGCAAAATGCCAATTAGCAAGTGAAGTTTTTCATCTGTTTCTCTTTACCGCTTGCGGTTACATTCTGTGTTGAGCACGTCTCGAGAAACTGACGGATGGAAATGTTTGTTGAAAATGTAAATTGAATCAGTTATATGTTTTGAAATGAGTTGACAATCTTTCAACGGAATACATTGAATTGTGGTTTTAAAATAAATTAAAACTTCAGCAATTTATGTCGACTCATTAGATGTGAATGTTTGAGAATTTAATGAATTTTGACAAACTATTTTGCAACATATATCTATGTAATTGATATTATTGAGTCTCTCTGTCTGTCTCTTGCAAATGGATATGCTGGGAATAAAATACTTACTTATATAAGTAAATAAATTATCGTGTTTTGATGTCAAGAGAGTTGATGTCATGAAAGCTCGTAAAGGTAGAATGAAAATTTACTGTCAGACATTAAAGCCTCATTATCGACGACATTGTTGAATGCATTTGAAATTCATAATTAATACTTGCATTAATACACTCAACTTTATGAATATATTAATGAATGATTTTATCGCTGCGGCGTCTCATTAAAATTCATTTAAAAAACCACAAAAAAGCAGTTGGCTGTCGTAATAAGTATCATGGGATATCTCGTTAATTGGTTTCTGATTTTAACGATTTCATTTATTTTTCGACTCTATCAGCGTGCCAGGAGGCGACTCGTTGACTCAAGCACTAATAATGGCAATTTATTCACGTCGATTGTGAACAAACAAATTGAAAGTGAACTCGAGACATTTGCCGCTGTCGATTCTCGCTTCTCAAGCTTTGCAAAATAAATTTATAAAAAAAAACAGCAAATGGAAACGTAACGAATAAAGAATGTCAAATAAATCTTCTTGCATTCTATGCTTCAAGTTTATTACAGTATTAACGGATGGTAATATTTACACATTTATTCAGTTTAACAGAAATTAGCACGGTGAGTTTTGAACATTAAACATCTGACTAACTGATAATCTTCTATAAAAGAAGCTTAGGTAAATCCCCCCGTCGTCTCTAGTCACGTCGTAAATTTTCTAAAAGTGCATGCCACTTCATTACCGAGGTTTCATATTTTCACCTTCAACTACGTTCATTTAAACCGACTTCCATAGACTCAGTGCATGCAAAATCGAGGAGAAGAGAAAAAACTTGTTCCACAAAAAACTTGAGCTAAGAAGAAAAGACGGAGGCAATAAATAACCAACTGAACACATTTGCTAATTATTTGCGATTGTTTATCTCTTTCGCAAGTTTTGTGCATATTTTGCTGCTTCTTCCTCCTCCTGTTTAACGGCGAAAGTTCATTCGAGTGAATGTTTTTAGTTAAAAAATAAAAGGCTTAAGACAAGATAAAACAAGACGCTTAACATAATTGTTTTTTTTTTTTGGTTAAAATTCACTTCACTAAACGAATAACGAAGTTTACTCTTTGTCTCGAAGATCAGCAAGTCTTTATAGTTGCAATAATTCTTCTCTTTCACACCATCACCGTTTTCTTATCTCATCCAAATGTTTTCCTTGCTTTGAACTCGGCTTGTTTCTTTTAACACGAAAAGAGATTTTTCTTTCGCGACTTCTTTTTTCTTTTCAGCTTAATATATTTATGCCTTCAGTGCTCTAATGTTTTAAAGGAAGAATAATGAAAAGAGATGGAAGAGGACAAAGACAAGGAGGGGAAATGATAAATGCTTTCGGGTCAGACGGCAAACGAGCAGGAAAGATGAATGACTCGAGATGTTGAAAATAAATTTCCTTTTCTCAGAGTTTAAATTTTTCTGTTATTACTTTTACGTCTTATTCCTTCTTTTATATTGAAACGATCTTAAGGCAATTTTTCGCTCTTCGCCTTTCGATGAGATTTCGAACTATTTTCCTTTTCTTTAATTTTATTTTTCTTCTTTGGTTCGGGTCGGGCAAAATAATTTATCTGCTTACTATTCCCCTGTTCTCACTCTCTTCCTTTGAAAGTCCTATAAATTTTATCGCTGTCTGCGAGTGTCTAGTACTGTTCTCTGTTGTTCGTGGGGAAACTACGATGAAGTCGTTTAGCACATGTAAGAATTGTTTTCTTGGCTCTTTCTGCTTTCGTCTTTCTCACCATCGTCAATGCTCGCTCACGGGCACTCACATAAATTTTTAATTAAATTGTGTAAGAATACTTCGCACTCTCTTCTTAAGAGCTTGCGAAAGATTTATGATCTGAGACGGGGAGAGTTTTGTTAGCAAAGAAAATTTAAATGGCGATGTTGAAAATTATGCAAAATTAATGTCTTCGTTCTTTGGCATTTTCAGAATGGTTTAACATGAAGTGTAACGAGTTTTATGAGAAATCAGAGTCAGATGAAAGGAATAATTGTTTGAATAATAAATACATAAGTACGAAAATGTGTTAAGTGAAATATTTAAAGCATCAACAAATATCATTCTGACAAGTTTCTAAGTGAAAAGTCATTCAACTCATTTCAGATTTATTACCTCTCACTTTCAGTGTTATGCTTTTGATGACATGAAGCATATAACATAACTCTGTTGATGTGAATACGAAGATTAACCAAATAAAGTGACTACAGAATCTTTTACATTTTGCAAATAAAAAATATGGCCCTTGCGTGATATATGGCGTGCCATAAATTATCGCTTTTATTTTTCCACCTAAATAGGTATTTTATGTTTTTATATATTTTGTTTTCGCTAACACACGGTAGAAGATGGAAGGCAAAGCGATGAGAGGCACCAGCTTGGAAGACGATGAATAATGTGTGTGTATGTGCGTTGATGTTATATGCGAAAACTGAAATTTATTGTCAGATAATTTAATTTTCGTGTGACCCCGGCAATGATATCTCGTTACGTTTAAGTATTTACATTTCTTTCTCGCTGCTGGCAGACAATGTCGAAAATGAAGGAGAGAAGTAAGAAGAAGAGTGTTTTATGACACTACCGCAAATTGTGTTTTAGGCTGTGATATATTACATGCTAACTTTTCATGCGACGCACAAGATAATGTAGTAGATTTAAATCGTTGATAAAGGGAAACCTGAAACTTATTTATTTATTTTTCGAAAGAAGCAATTAATGAGAAAACGCCTGAGAGAAAACATCGATAAATAAATTTCTCTAATGTCCCATTCGGCCCCACTAGCGCCACATTTTCGATGAACGAAAATAAAGATTTAAATCAATTAATTCGATCTACCATAAAAACGGCTCTTAATGATATTTCCACTTAAATGTTTAGAAGTGAAATTAATGTTATCATGGCTCTTCCGACGAGATGCTCGTTTAAAATATTATGATTATGGAGCCTCGATTTTTCTTCATCTTGAAGTTTTAATTTATAGTGATGATGATCATCACAAAATCTCATGTGGCTACATTATTACTGACCATAACTCAGCTTTACCGAAGAGCAGTAAAGAGAGAAAGACAGAAAGAGATGAAGCCCATCGAGATAAGCAAAGATGAATAAAAAAAAATATTCAATATTATTTCGATGAAAGTTGTTCATAAATTATGGCTGAACATTGTGGGCACCATTAACGACTCCGATATTTTTCGGTGGGATATTATAATTAAGGAGAAGTCTTTTCGTTAAAATATCATGTTAATTTGTGATGATAGAAATGAGTTTATAAATTTCTCTTTTTCTTATCCTTTTTAATTACCCACAACTGAGATGTCTTTATGATGAAAGTTGGAAAATTGATTTCTTTTAAACATTTCTTTGTTGAAATATCAAGTACAAAAGAATATTTTAACCGTACTTCTTTGCAATACGAGATGCAACAATGTTGTTGACGATATTGTAGCTTTCACTTGCCGTTATTATTTATTGGAAGTTTAACTCACATCTTTCTAATATTTTCAATTCTGACACGATTAAAATATGATATTTAGTGAGCTTACATTGTTGCATATTCTTCCTAGAAACTTCACGAATAAATATTTCCAACGAGATATTAAATGTCAGCTTACAAAGAGTTGAAATTCTTGAACTCTTTTCGAGACTCCAAGATTGATTGTATGAGTTTAAGGAAAAGTTTATAAATATTTCTGATAGTTATTTTCGATGGGAAATATCAATTTGCGGTAACAATGTTCTGACTGCCCTCCGTTCGGAAATTGATCTTCAAAGATTTGCCGATTTATATTTTGTAGTTTCTACATCATCAGACACCAAAATAATCCGACATCCGGTTCTTTGTCAAACGATTTATTGGATTCCCATTTCTATGTTTGTGGTGACATGATCAACATTTTATCATCCTCTTCTTGACCATTGCCAAAAAAAAATTTATTACTTCTGACTAAGAAGGGAAACATAAATAAATTTAATGTTTTTTTCTTCTCTCGATATTTCTTATTTTGAAGCATTAAATAAAAAGAATATAAAGCCATCATATTGATTGAGAAATTGAACCTCTCTTCATTGTGTTGAAAACAAAATTATTGCCTTTACTTATAAATTTTCGAAAAAGAAATCGAGAGATATGTAACTAGTTGAAATTATCTTGGAAAACATAAATAATTATAATTAAAACTTCTGCTTGTTTATTGAGTAATAATATCTTAAGTTAATAAAGAAAATCGGTAGTTGTTAAAGATTTTACGATGTTGAATGGTAATTAAATTAAAAGTTACATCATAATTTTTGAAATCCCCGAAGTCTCTTTAAAACTTGTTTATCAGTATCAAATTATTTTATTCAGTTTATGTGCAAGTCAATTTGGTGGACTTCTTCTTAATTTCTCTTGGTTTTTTCGATTACAGTTGTACTTATAATAAATGATCTGACATTGTAACTGTCCATCTTGTTTCAAAGTATATAATTTATTCAATTCATTGTACTTTAATCGTATCCATTTAACTATAAGTTCATTGACATGTACTTAAATCACTTCATATTAAGCCATTTTAAATGTTACCAATTCAAATAAAAATCGATTTACTTTCTTACAAAAAGTCTACTTCACGTTTGATATTACAAATATTTAATACTTTGCGTGTGTATTAATCCCAAAAGAAAGTCTCTCAATTCATGTTGTCGCTTGTGCAAAGTGAGAAAGGAAATGACATCATAAAATTTGATAGCGATGTCATCATGTAATCATACGGAAAGAATTGACTATCAATAAAGAAAGGAGTAATTCGGTTCTGGTTAAAGATGTGGAGGAGGAAAATTTTAAGGGTGGGTTTCAAGTCAAACATTAAACGAGATGAAGAAATATTATTTTATGAGGCAGAAAATCTTTGTTGTGTGTCTGAATACACGCACAGCTCGTTGTTCAACCAGTTAACCCTTTGGGGAGAGATTTTCTTCTTCATTTGATTTCATTCGTTCTCAACCACAAAATCTTATTCTCTCCCTCCTTTCCTTTTAACAACAACATGAAGTGATTTCTGAAGAAAAAATTGCTGACATTGCTAAGGAATATGCACAGAGTAAACTTTTTTTGTTGAGTTCTTTTTATTTGTTTAATGGCTTCAAGTTTTAAGCTTGCAAGGCAGATACAAAAATTTTCTCCTTCTATGTAAATAAATTACACGACTCTTGAGATAATGTGTATGAGAAGCATAATTTCCCTACTTTAGAGTCGTTAAGATTACAACAGAAAATTTTTCTTTTCAAACTGTTTTACGTATTTATGAAATTGTGAATAAAGGTAAAGATTTCCACTCAAATTTTAAAAGATATAAACGCAATGAATGAAGAAGCTTAACTTCCATTAGCATTGAGGAACATCCGCCAAAGATAACGATTTCAGTTGAGATATTTACAAGCATCATTTATGACAGAATCATAATAAGTTGTGTGGGATCAAGTTGTGATGGAAATTTAGGTGTTGAGTGCTTAAAGTGTTTTCTAAATTATTATTTCCTTCTACAACTTTAATTGAGAGTGTTTCAGAAAAAATTGAAGCTATTTTCTGTCGTTTATCGTTGATGTTGAATGTTTCAAATCGTTTGAATTAGATTATTTTATTGCATGTCACTTGAATAAATTGTCTGTTTGATTAACTTGACGATTGAATGCTTTTAATGCTTATAAAATGGAAATTTATTAAACGAACGACAGACTTTAAGAAGGTAATTAACATATATTCACTTTTTATTATATTTCATTTACAAAAGTGAATAAAAAACTTACCAACTCTCTGTCAGTTGTCACTTAACTCACATAATATATTCATTTCAAATGAATCAAGACAGTAAAATCACTTTACATACGTCAACAACTTTAAATAATTTTTTTTTATTAGCTTTCAATTATGTAAAGTTGTAATTCTATCTTCTTCTTTCAGCTTTTTTGATGTAGGTTGGTTGGTTGGTTGTGCGATGTCTGTTAATGCTTGTTGTTTATTTTTGGGGTGATGCTTCTCGTGCTGAGTTACTTATTTTATTTCACAATATAAAAATCTGTTGCTGATGTTCATTATATTAAGTAGTTCAAGTAATTCGATATTTAAATTCTTTCAATAAAACAAAGAACATTGATCGGTTTACAGTTCCGTAAGAAGCTGTTTGTTGTTGTCCTAAACATGAGATCAAGCTAGGTTGATGGCTGGGTGAATGTTACATGATCTATCAACATTAACGTCATGGAAAGAGCGAAGTAAAGAATATGATGAAGAGTACAATGCGAAGGATGAAAAATCTTATCTTTCAAGTGTCTGAATAATGTCGGATAAATTAATGTTGAATGAATTAATGAAACGCTATGAATGCAACGCCGCAAGATAAAGTGCTTAAATGATTCAAGTCAAAATAAGACAGTTTAAATGATTAAACATCTACCTTTGTTGCTTTCTTCTTTTATTCGCTCTTTCCATTTGATTTTTCACATTTTAAACATACACATAAGACGACGTGAAGAGCACACAACATGATGAACAACTTCTTGTTCCGTGACGTTCACGATTAACACATCCATTCGTTCAAGACATCATATCCATAAACAGCATCTACCACATTTCACAGATGAGTGTCTGTGAAGACGAGCGAGATGATTAATTCAGGTTAGAGTTTCAAAAGTCTCTAATTTATTAGAGTCGATTTATTTTACTCGATCTTGAGTGGATGCTAAGATTTTTTTTCCCTTCTTTCCTTTCTTTTGAAAAAGACGAATGTTGTGTTTTTACCCATTAAATATTCTTTTCACATGTACGAGAGCTTATTTGTGATTTTTTTTCTTCTGTTGCTTTCGAAGAACGTCGTCAGCAGAAAAATGACTTTTCTTTTTGTTCTTCTATCTTTAATAATGCCTGTGCTCTTCATCATTCAACAACCAAAAACCAAAAGACTTTTTTTTAACTCTTCAAGTCAAGCAACGTGATTGATTGCCATATACACATATCAAGAACATTACTCTCGCGGAGAAGAACAAACAATTGCCAAACAAGTTGAAAATTGAAAGTGATCATCATTAATAATCGAAAGGTGGAAATTTAGCTCCCGCGATTTAATGATTAGTTCATGAAGTTGCGGTTTTTGTTGCCCTTATGAAAGACCCGCCACAGAAATCTGTTTAACAAAATTACCAATTTTCGAATGACTCGACAAGTTTCACCCATCGCTACCTCCTGCTCACTTACTCATCGCCATCAAGCTGAGAGCGGTGATCTGTCTAAGAAATGATAAATTGTTTCAAGTTGCTTCTCTTCTCTTTATTTTTCCCTCAACGTGCACGTCATGCCTGGTGAATAGGTGGTGTCAATCAAAAGTCTACCAGTCATCTCGATATATTGTTGAGCACTTTTTTTTAATTTTTTTTTGCTTCTCATACCGCTTCGGGTTCTTTGCTTATTTCGATTTCATGTTTTGCTTTTTTTTTGCGCCCCTCATCGACGAAGTGTTTGATGGCAAGAAGAGTATCCCGTCGTGATATTTTCCATATCAAAAGCAATTGTCTAAAAAACTGATGGGTGTGTCGAACAAAATCATTTTTAATGTATGTTGTACGAGTTGTACATTCATGAAGAAGTCGATGATTGATTTAGCGATCTTTCGACTCTCAGTAGAATGTCTATGTCGTCTAATATATCATTATCGCTTCACAAGTGAAACGTATTAATTCCGATATTCACTCACATGACGTGTTGTTTTTCCACTCAATGAACAAGTCACGGGGACCGGAATCGCTTACGAGACGTAATAACGTTCTTATCATTCATCTTATTCCTTTCAAAATGCTTTCTCATTTTCCTTTTCTTCGATGGCACAACGGTTTTGGGGACGCAAGGGAAAGACTCGATCTCTGAGTATGTAGGAGGATGACGAGAAAAAGACTCATGACACTTAGTGACGTGTACAATTTATTGAATCAATATTGATGCTCAAAACATTAATCATTCTCGTTCAGGGTTCGAGATGAAGCAAAAAGAGTGTTCGATAAGTAAAAGCGACAGTGAGAGATGTTGAGAAATTATTCTTTCCTTCAGATCAACTAGGATGGCTTCAATTCAACTCTCAATGTTAAAATGAAAAACAAAAAAATGAAATAAATAAATAAAAATAAAAGAAATTGTATACAAGCACAACTCACAGCCATCACTCAAAGCCGAAAGAGAAGAAAAAAAAAGAGCGAGGAAAAAAGGATCAATTAATCTTCCAAATGCCAAAAATCATTAATTTTTCCTTTCGTTTTTCTTTTTTTGGTGATGTTTGTGTTAAAGCGAAAACAGATCTGAGTGGTTAAGTTGAAAGGAGAAAGAAAGTCGCAAATCATTCTTTAACGAAACCTTCTATATTGAAAGCTATCGGAAACAAGACGAACTCGATTCCATCCGTCTAATAATTCATATTAAGTAATTTTTAGTAACGATATTGGGGTGTGACGTGACCATTTGCTTCGGGTAATAAATTACGTGATGTTTTTGTCAGGGGTGATGACTCAAATGACCATAAACGTGCGTATTGCAAAAGTTATTGAACGCTATTGATTCCTTCAATAATTTTATGTTTTGACAGCAACATGTCAGACTTCTAACTCTCAAAATTCCTATCCAGCCCTGACTTGTAGTCAACTTCATAAATTCTTTCATGTCATGCTTTTCAATGAACTCATTTCTTCATTTCTTTGTTCTTTGTATGATGTTTAATAAACATCAGTTTCAATTCGTACTCAAAAAGCAACATGAAATGCCTTCAAAACATCAATCAATCGTTCGATGAATTTGTGTGTTAATTAATAACTCGAACATACAACAAGTAATGGATTATTGACAACATAAAGAAAGAAAAATGTTATTCTTTTTTCATCATTGTTCTTTGAAGCTAAGCTCGGTTTAATTAATCACCTTACATAGAATAAGTTTTTGATATAGATTGCGCAAATAAATAAACGCAATCAAAATTTCAGCCTGAAAATATTTATCATCTCTGAAGCATGATTGATTGCTTATTTAATCTTTATCTAAATGTTATTGACGTGACAGTCAAGACTTATCGGCTTTTTTTATTCTCACAACAAACATTTATAAAAATAGAATCCAATTCAAGCATGTCGCTTGTCATTTTAATGAAATTTTACTTTTCACTGAATAAATTCTCTCAAAACGTGACTTTTGAACGGAAATCATAAAAATGAATTTCATTTCGTTCCCGCCCCAAAACGCCACTTATCGAAGGCACGTCAAGTGAGTGTTTTTTTAAGCTTCGTCTCGCCTCTAATCAAAATCTGACAACTAAATACAATTGAGAAATTAAAACGCAATGAAATAATGGAATTATCATCCATGAATTAAATAAAGTTCTGGGCGGTGTTGTTCAAACAAGCACCTCTTGAGAATGTTTGCTTTGTATTACTATTCAAAATCAAAATGAACAGAAAAAGAGAAGTCGTGAAAAGGAAATCGTGTTCAATTATCAAACAAGCGACGTCTGTTGTGTAATGAGAAGATTTGGATGCCAAGTGAGAAACGAAACATTAATCATTTGTCTTCAAGCCCCCTTGTGCGTTTATCAGACATTTCGGAATCTTTCTTCAATTGACAGCTAATGTATTTTCGTTGTACATCTCAAGTGCTTTAAATACTAATGATGTATTAACACGTCATTTTTTATTAATTTCAATCGTTCTCTTCTTTCGTCGTTTCTTAAGATCCATCAAGTTTCAAACACTGGAAATGACTTGAACAGATTGTTGAGAGTCTTGAAGGCTTTTCTTGATATCTCAAGAAGGAGGCAAATATCCAAGTAATAGACACTCGATCGGACTCTCTTATTCTGTCTCTTCATTCAACTCAAGCTCAAGTTCATCAAAGAGTGATCGTTTTTTTTGTCTTCGCTTTCAAAACTTTTCCATCTCGCGCACTCATCAAGTCGCAAACCTCTCATCTTATTTGACTTTTTCTCAACTTAGATATGTTTTTTTTTCTTTTAACATTACACAGTTCATACACAGTAGCTTTTCAGCTGTCATGGGGATTTTTTGTTCCACTCTTGTATCAAAGTGATTTCTTATGAAGTCGCCGCAGTTATGTCTGTTGGGAAACGAGAAGCTTTATTGTTTTTTCAGGGAGACCGCGATACAACCGCCGTGATATGTCCATGAAGAAGAAGATTAATTTAATTTCATTTCTTCGATCATGTCTGAATTGACTTTTGTGTCTTTTTTTCATTCATTCATTTCAATTTTTTTTGTTCAACTTTTAATTTGACCGATGATTTGACAGTTTTTATTTCTTTTCAATCCTAACTCTAAAGAACTTTGATTGAATGATAGTGGAAAATTGGTTGAAAATGTTCGTCTTCCTTTTAAATATCTATCTTTGATTCGTTGATTGATTTGGGTAAAATCTAAAATGATTCATTAATTTTATTTAATGGCCATCATCTTCAAATACAAAGCAAATCTACATAAAAAAGGACAGAAGTATCTTTGGCATAAAATTATTTAACAATAAATCAAAAGCAATTGGTTTTGACTGATTGCTGTCTAAATCAGAAAAATGAGCTTTTTTGGACGTTTTCTGATAATTTGATAATTTTTTTAGATATTCCTTTCTCTTTTCACGTGCGCAATATAAAAATCAGTCAAAATTTGCTTGGTAATATTTCATTCACAAAGATTGTTCGACTCGTCGTTTGCCTAGCCTAATTTTGAGCCATCGCAGAAGACGAGAACGCAGAAAAAATTACAATAATTAATCATCTGTCGGCTGTAGAGCTGAGCATTAAAGTTATACACACCGACAAAAATAATAAATTTATTAACAGCCCGCTACATACACAATGGAGGAGATTTATTATAATAAATTGTTTGTGATTAATGAGTTGAGATATTTATTTCATTCCTTGGCATAACTGGAGGGGGGAGCTTTATAATAAATTGGAAATCATTAACGTTAAAAGAAGAGAAGGAAAAAACACAACAACAAACTGAATTGAGATGGGAGACGAGCGAAATCATGATTTATGTAATTTATAAATGCACAGATCAAATTATACGTTCTCACAATTTCCAAAGGAGATCGCTTTTTGATTTATTGATAAATGATGATGTAGCGAAACTCTCACTGTTATCGTCACTCTTTTTTTTGTTGTTTAAAAATAGACATTTTGATAATTTATCAAAGGCATTCGAGAGATGAGAGACAATTTTATCAGCTGAAGACATCAATGAATATCTTTTAAAATCTGACATCACTTTTTTTTCACTCTCGTCTCCGACATGTAATCAGCACATCATGTTGAAATCACATAATATCAAGTTTGAATAATTACAGTAATTTATCATTTTTTCTCGAAGCAAACATACGTAAAACGTAAGAGTGGAAGAAAAAAAGTAATTTCGAAGAGCTCGAACATAAATTGCAAAATAATACTTTACCGCCATCAAAACCATCCATCAACGTCTCCGAGTTTTGATGAATTAGTTATTTATTTATAACATTATTTTGTTGTGCAAACAAACTAGTTCGGCTTTGCTTTGCAGATTAAAATGTCTATTAGATCCATTAGAAATTTATTTTCTCTCATTTTTTATTGGTTTAATCAGCGAAAGTTTTAATTTTTGTTATGCCTCAAGTTAAAAATACTTCAAATCCACTTTAACGATTGAATCAATCTAAAGATCAATAAAAAAAAAAAACTGAAAGACTGTTCAAGTGTTTTGACTTTATTTCTTAATCATTTGAGCATTGTCAATGACTTGTGCAAATTGGAATTCACCAATCTTATCAAATTTCTTTGAAATAATAAATATTAAGTGTGCTGATGAATGTTATCAAGAGAATTGATTGAAAAATTGCAAAAAAAACCTTCGATTATCTCCGGAAAAACTGCAAAATATCTATAAATAAAAAACCTTTGGACCTGTATGATGTTATTTTTAAGCTTGAGATAAAACTAATCGCAAGAGAGAATTTTCCCTTCTTATCAATAAGTTTATATAAACCTGTCGAAAATAATTATTGAACAGTTTTATTTTGGTGGTGAAGAGAACAAAACTAAACTTCGGAAATGAAATTCATTGTCGCACTTCTTGCATTTGCATCTTTTGCTTCATGTGACGTAAGCAGCTTCATTATAATTGACAATTCATATCTGATTATGATTCTTAGATTATCAGTGATCTTGATGCCTTCTACGATCAATCAGTGATTGACGCAAACAATGCATTCATGCAACTCTTCAATGCCAAATCGAACGCTCTGTCAGGTTTAGCTCAGCCACTGAGATCAGCTTATGCAAGCTATCAACAAACTGTAGCAGCCTTTCCAGTCAATCGATTGATGGCCGATACAAGACAACGATTTACTGAGGTCACAAACACTGCTGATTTGTGGTTATCAAGAGGTGTTCATACAGCTGAAGTTGATGGATTAAACGCTCTCTGGCCGGAACATCCAAATGGTGGAAGAGTTCCACCATTGCCATCAGAACTTTTTATGGAATCAGTTTTGAGATTCCATGTCACAGAATTCCAAAGTCGTGTGACTATGCATGATCCAATTTGTATTGAGCCTTTCATCCCACAAATCATTCCAAGTCTTCAACCTGCCACTGATGCTGTCGTTGCGGCTGCTCTTGATTTAGTTCCAACGCTTCCTCAGAGATTCCCGCTATCAGATCGTGATGTTGCTACTTCTGTAGCAGCAAGTCGAAACTTTGAAACAATCTTGAATGCTTGTGCATCTGCTCCAGAAGCTGTTACTGATACATGTTTCAGAAATTTCGTGAGTAATTTGAAATTTTAAAAGATGTTTACGATGTAAAATTTTGCTTCTTTCTCTTACAGTTGATAAGTCAAGTTGATTGTCAAGGCTGCGGATTCTTTGATCCATTGATGGGTCCATTTTATATGATAACAATGGAATCAAGCAGTATTGCAGGTGATTACGGATTTGCCAAAAGAGAAGGAACAAACATGATTTTGATGAACAACCAAGTCATGCAAGATATCTCTGCGTGTCCATTTGTATAATCAATTATGACGAAATAAAAATATCTGAAAATCTGAAATTCAGAATTTACAAAGCAAAATTTTATTTTTGTTATCAGTGAAATTTTTCTTGTGTTTGGGAAATTTGACCAATTTTTATACAGTGGACCTCCGATAAGCGGATGGCTCAATAGGGACAAAAAAATATTTGTTTATCGTGGTTATTATTTTATCAAGGCAATTTTTTAAAGACGATTGAATGGTTGCTCATTCATATCAAGGTTATTGCTTTATTGAGGCATCCGCTTATCGAAGTTCAACTGTAAAGAGAAACTAAAGACTGTTCAAGTGTTTTGACTTTATTTCTTAATCATTTGAACATTGCCAATGACTTGTGCAAAATGGAGTTCACTAATCTTATCAAATTTCTTTGAAATGATCAATAATACAGTGAACTTTCTTTATAAGATTTATGAATCCTATAAAGAACTTCTTCCTATGAAGAATATTTCCGAAAGGGTAACTGAAAATGCTCGTTATCAACCTAGCGTGCATTTCAATAAATATCAAAGGTAATGCATTTTCAAGAACTTTAACACAATTTTCTACAAGATTTGCACAGCTTTCACTGGTATTTTTAAATTTTGTTATTAATTTTTTTTTTTTATTTAGAGTTTTTTTCCATGAATCTGCTGCATTTTAACTTGACGTGTCTCTAGTTTTCACACTTACTGATTAAAAAATCGATGAGCGCGTTAAAGAATGCAAAATTGCATGTTATTTTCTCGTCGACTAATAAAGAATGTACTTTTAATATAAACTCTCATGCTGATAAAGAACTTCACTTATAAAGAATTTCTTCCTATAAAGAATGAAAATTACTTCATAATGTGAGTGTGTGGGAATTTAAAGAGCTTTTACTCATAAAGAGAAAACTCATAAAGAAAGTTCACTGTATTAAGTGTGCTGATGCATGTTATCAAAAGAATTGATTAAAAAATTGCAAATTATCTTCAATTTTCCCCTGAAAACTTCAAAACTTCAAAACATCGATAAATAAAAGGACCTTTGTACCTATCTGAAGATTTTTTAAGCATTTGATAAAATTTATCGCAAGAGAGATTTTTCCCCGTCTTATCAATAAGTTTAAATAAACCTGTCGAAAATAATTATTGAACAGTTTTATTTTGGTGGTGAAGAGAACAAAACAAAACTTCGGAAATGAAATTCATTGTCGCACTTCTTGCATTTGCATCTTTTGCTTCATGTGACGTAAGTAGCTTCATTTTAATTGGCAATTCATATCTGATTATGATTCTTAGATTATCAGTGACCTTGATGCCTTCTACGATCAATCAGTGATTGACGCAAACAATGCATTCATGCAACTCTTCAATGCCAAATCGAACGCTCTGTCAGGTTTAGCTCAGCCACTGAGATTAGCTTATACAAGCTATCAACAAACTGTAGCAGCTTTTCCAGTCAATCGTTTGATGGCCGATACAAGACAACGATTTACTGAAGTTACAAACACTGCTGATTTGTGGTTAACAAGAGGCATTCAAGCAGCTGAAGTTGATGGTTTAAATTTTCTCTGGCGAGAACATCCAAATGGTGGAAGAGTTCAACCAATGCCATCAGAACTTTTTATGGAACAAAATTTAAGATTCCATGTCACAGAATTCCAAAGTCGTGTGACTATGCATGATCCAATTTGTATTGATCCTTTCATCCCACAAATCATTCCAAGTCTTCAACCTGTCACTGATGTTGTCGTTGCGGCTGCTCTTGATCAGAGTTGGGCGATCCATTTTCCGATACGGATCGCCGATCCAAAAGTGGATCGCCNCGTTCTTTGAAATGATAAATATTATTTAAGTGTGCTGATGAATGTTATCAAGAGAATTGATTGAAAAATTGCAAAAAAAACCTTCGATTATCTCCGGAAAAACTGCAAAATATCTATAAATAAAAAACCTTTGGACCTGTATGATGTTATTTTTAAGCTTGAGATAAAACTAATCGCAAGAGAGAATTTTCCCTTCTTATCAATAAGTTTATATAAACCTGTCGAAAATAATTATTGAACAGTTTTATTTTGGTGGTGAAGAGAACAAAACTAAACTTCGGAAATGAAATTCATTGTCGCACTTCTTGCATTTGCATCTTTTGCTTCATGTGACGTAAGCAGCTTCATTATAATTGACAATTCATATCTGATTATGATTCTTAGATTATCAGTGATCTTGATGCCTTCTACGATCAATCAGTGATTGACGCAAACAATGCATTCATGCAACTCTTCAATGCCAAATCGAACGCTCTGTCAGGTTTAGCTCAGCCACTGAGATCAGCTTATGCAAGCTATCAACAAACTGTAGCAGCCTTTCCAGTCAATCGATTGATGGCCGATACAAGACAACGATTTACTGAGGTCACAAACACTGCTGATTTGTGGTTATCAAGAGGTGTTCATACAGCTGAAGTTGATGGATTAAACGCTCTCTGGCCGGAACATCCAAATGGTGGAAGAGTTCCACCATTGCCATCAGAACTTTTTATGGAATCAGTTTTGAGATTCCATGTCACAGAATTCCAAAGTCGTGTGACTATGCATGATCCAATTTGTATTGAGCCTTTCACCCCACAAATCATCCCAAGTCTTCACCCTGCCACTGATGCTGTCGTTGCGGCTGCTCTTGATTTAGTTCCAACGCTTCCTCAGAGATTCCCGCTATCAGATCGTGATGTTGCTACTTCTGTAGCAGCAAGTCGAAACTTTGAAACAATCTTGAATGCTTGTGCATCTGCTCCAGAAGCTGTTACTGATACATGTTTCAGAAATTTCGTGAGTAATTTGAAATTTTAAAAGATGTTTACGATGTAAAATTTTGCTTCTTTCTCTTACAGTTGATAAGTCAAGTTGATTGTCAAGGCTGCGGATTCTTTGATCCATTGATGGGTCCATTTTATATGATAACAATGGAATCAAGCAGTATTGCAGGTGATTACGGATTTGCCAAAAGAGAAGGAACAAACATGATTTTGATGAACAACCAAGTCATGCAAGATATCTCTGCGTGTCCATTTGTATAATCAATTATGACGAAATAAAAATATCTGAAAATCTGAAATTCAGAATTTACAAAGCAAAATTTTATTTTTGTTATCAGTGAAATTTTTCTTGTGTTTGGGAAATTTGACCAATTTTTATACAGTGGACCTCCGATAAGCGGATGGCTCAATAGGGACAAAAAAATATTTGTTTATCGTGGTTATTATTTTATCAAGGCAATTTTTTAAAGACGATTGAATGGTTGCTCATTCATATCAAGGTTATTGCTTTATTGAGGCATCCGCTTATCGAAGTTCAACTGTAAAGAGAAACTAAAGACTGTTCAAGTGTTTTGACTTTATTTCTTAATCATTTGAACATTGCCAATGACTTGTGCAAAATGGAGTTCACTAATCTTATCAAATTTCTTTGCAATGATCAATAATACAGTGAACTTTCTTTATAAGATTTATGAATCCTATAAAGAACTTCTTCCTATGAAGAATATTTCCGAAAGGGTAACTGAAAATGCTCGTTATCAACCTAGCGTGCATTTCAATAAATATCAAAGGTAATGCATTTTCAAGAACTTTAACACAATTTTCTACAAGATTTGCACAGCTTTCACTGGTATTTTTAAATTTTGTTATTAATTTTTTTTTTTTATTTAGAGTTTTTTTCCATGAATCTGCTGCATTTTAACTTGACGTGTCTCTAGTTTTCACACTTACTGATTAAAAAATCGATGAGCGCGTTAAAGAATGCAAAATTGCATGTTATTTTCTCGTCGACTAATAAAGAATGTACTTTTAATATAAACTCTCATGCTGATAAAGAACTTCACTTATAAAGAATTTCTTCCTATAAAGAATGAAAATTACTTCATAATGTGAGTGTGTGGGAATTTAAAGAGCTTTTACTCATAAAGAGAAAACTCATAAAGAAAGTTCACTGTATTAAGTGTGCTGATGCATGTTATCAAAAGAATTGATTAAAAAATTGCAAATTATCTTCAATTTTCCCCTGAAAACTTCAAAACTTCAAAACATCGATAAATAAAAGGACCTTTGTACCTATCTGAAGATTTTTTAAGCATTTGATAAAATTTATCGCAAGAGAGATTTTTCCCCGTCTTATCAATAAGTTTAAATAAACCTGTCGAAAATAATTATTGAACAGTTTTATTTTGGTGGTGAAGAGAACAAAACTAAACTTCGGAAATGAAATTCATTGTCGCACTTCTTGCATTTGCATCTTTTGCTTCATGTGACGTAAGTAGCTTCATTTTAATTGGCAATTCATATCTGATTATGATTCTTAGATTATCAGTGACCTTGATGCCTTCTACGATCAATCAGTGATTGACGCAAACAATGCATTCATGCAACTCTTCAATGCCAAATCGAACGCTCTGTCAGGTTTAGCTCAGCCACTGAGATTAGCTTATACAAGCTATCAACAAACTGTAGCAGCTTTTCCAGTCAATCGTTTGATGGCCGATACAAGACAACGATTTACTGAAGTTACAAACACTGCTGATTTGTGGTTAACAAGAGGCATTCAAGCAGCTGAAGTTGATGGTTTAAATTTTCTCTGGCGAGAACATCCAAATGGTGGAAGAGTTCAACCAATGCCATCAGAACTTTTTATGGAACAAAATTTAAGATTCCATGTCACAGAATTCCAAAGTCGTGTGACTATGCATGATCCAATTTGTATTGATCCTTTCATCCCACAAATCATTCCAAGTCTTCAACCTGTCACTGATGTTGTCGTTGCGGCTGCTCTTGATTTAGTTCCAACACTTCCTCAGAGATTCCCAGTATCAACTAGTGATGTTGCAACTTCTGTAGCAGCAAGTCGAGACTTTGAAACAATCTTGAATGCTTGTGCATCTGCTCCAGAAGCTGTTACTGATACATGTTTCAGAAATTTCGTAAGCAATTTGAAATTTGAAAAGATGTTTCCGATGTAAAATTTTGCTTCTTTCTCTTACAGTTGATAAGTCAAGTTGATTGTCAAGGCTGCAGATTCTTTGATCCATTGATGGGTCCATTCTTTATGATACCAATGGAATCAAGCAGTATTGCAGGTGATTACGGATTTGCTAAAAGAGACCAAACTAACATGATTTTGATGAACAACCAAGTCATGCGAGACATCTCTGCGTGTCCATTTATATAATCAAAATCAATTACGACGAAATAAAAATATTCTAAAATTACAAAGCAAGTTTTTATCTTTTTTATCAGTGAAAATTTTCTTGTGTTTGGGAACTGCGGAATTTGACCAATTTTTATCTTTTTTATCGGATTAGGGGGATTTTGCAACCCTTAATCATTTATTCCACTTCTTTGTTCTATTTCAATCTTTACAAAAGCTTTGAAAGAGCAACAAATATCATTGAACATCATCGTCTTATATCATGCGGACAAGGTTGCGAAAGAAAAAATGAAATTCACATTACTCTCAAAATATAGAAATAACGTAGAGCAGTCTGTAAACGAATGACTGAGAAAGGAAGAGAGAATATTAACGACGTGTCAGAGCACTGAACGGGTCATTAATCATGCAATAGCGACAGTTTGACAATCTACGATCATAATAAAAAAGAAACTTTTGACATATTTCGGGTATAATAACTAATATCTCATGACATATGAAATATGTTTAAATGCTTTCAAATCAAATGTTTGTTCATTATTAATGTAATTCTCGTGACAGCTTTGCTTTTTGCTCGTTGTGTTGATCACTCATTCAGCGTAAATTTTAGACACATTAGACATCATTTTTTATCAGGGGTTCGTAACAAACATAATATCAGGTTGAAATTGCTGTTCATTTAAACTCTTCGCTCTCACTTCCCCTTCACTTTAATCTACAATTCATAAAATACTTTCAATTTAAATTAACATGACGTGTGGAAGCATTAATTTTACACTGCTACGAACCGATCAGATTTTCATTACGCGTGTACACTCGCTCAGGGCTGTTGTCATTTTGACGTCAAATGGACACACAACATTAACTTATCCAGCAGTGTTTGGCTTGTGGAATTAACCGACATGGATTATTTTCGAAGGTTTACTGACTCGTTTATCGATGTTGTCTGTTATATTTGTTCTGTAGATCTTGCTGGCATTCACCTTTCAATTACAGTTGGTGAAAAAACGAAATCCACAAAACATTTAATCAGAGTAAACCACCAGAAAATCGATTACACCTTTTGACTTATTTCATCATTGTCCACTTTCATATTTACTCTGATAATTCAATGATTTTGTGAAAGTATTAATTGGAAGAAGTTTTCGTGTAATGTTGTTCTGGGTCTGACCCTCACATCATTATTATTGAAAAAGATTATAGAGATCATAGACATGAAGCTTTCGTAACCTTTTTCAACTTGAAACAATAAATTAACTCGAGAAATACTTTTTTGAAAATCTCAATGGGTAAGAAAGAGAATGTTAAGCAAATTAAAGGTCGATTAAATTTATTTCCCCAGCTTTACAAATTCAAATGAAATCATCGCCAACATATTTTCACCCTTCAGCAGAAAGGTTTTTGATGAAATTTTATTCAAATGAACTTTCAGTCTGTGAACAAGTTTTGCTCTTAACAATAAGCGTTTTGTTTTTATATTAATCCAGAGAGAAAATCATTAAAAAGAACAGCAATGTGTGATTTCCTCCTTCATCAAGTTGTGTTTAGTAAGTATTTATGTTGATACTTTTTATGCTTCAACCCTCGTTCAGTTTGTTTTTCTCTCTCGGTCTGCTTTATTTCGGGTTCGGTTAATGCGGTTGCGGTTATCTCTGATTTTTTCTCGATTCAGGACGCAAAATTTGCTTTCTTCTTTAGGAAGTTTATTTATACAAATTTTTACAAGCTCTAATCGAGAATTCTTTCAGACCTAAGCCGGGGTATTTTGGGAAAGGCAGAAAATTTATCGACTTAAAACATGACCAAAGAATGTAAGAGCAAATTGGATTGCTCATAATTTGTAATCAAATAGCATGACAGACGATATTTTAAGTAACATTGATAAATGATTGATAAAAGTTTTTTGCTCTTTTGATTCAAATTGTGCCATGACAAATTGACGTTCTGAAAGACTCTTAAACTCAAACATATCCAACAACCTAAGTTTATGAGGTTACACAAATAATTCATTCTTGAAAAATTACTCAGAAATTTGTTTTTATTTCTGTTGAGTTGAATTGCGGCTTGAAAATATAAAGCAGAGAGAGAAGGAAAAAAATTGCCCACAATATAATTAATTGAAAATTTCTTTCGTCGTTTTTGCGTTGGGTAATAAATCACCTTATTAGCATGTCAAATATTTTCTCTTTCTTCGCTTTTATTTTAACAATTTTTAAACATTTCAATTTTTCATTTTCGGTTTTCTTTCGTCGACGTTGAGAGTTCATTTATTCATTGAGCTTGTGTTGTGAGTTGTCAAATCGGTTAATTGTGCTTGGTAAATATTTTGCACAAAATATTTCTTCCGTCCAAGCTTTCCATGTTGAATGAAAAATTGCGATAATAAATATCAACACACGAACACATTCGAAGCGTATTTCCAGGCAGCATAAAAAACAAACGACGATAGGAATGAAAGCAAAAGCCTTGAATGTGTAATTTTAAGATGATAGATGGTAAGCAACCACGTTAATAATGCTCACGCTAGCCAGGAGTGGAGCTATCAGCAACTACGAAAAACGAAAAAGTCACGGTTATTACTGAAAAATATTTTCTTAAGGAAATATTTGACTCGTTCTTGACAGACAGTTTTTCTCATATGTTATGAGGAACTTCAGAAATTTCAAATTGAATGTAATTTTAGTGTTAACATTCCCATGATAAATTGATCCATCTCCATTTAACAAGCAAGTTGCACTTAATTTAAATCTCATAGTAAAGAGTTTCAATCCAATGTTGTCTTGTTTATGACAAGACTTGTCACAAATATGACACAAGAAAAAAACGATTTTGCTTGTATCAACAAGCAAGAAAATGCAGTTGGAAAATTCTTTTCATGCTGAATAGAAAAAGATTTCCTTCACACATGCAAGCTTACTCAATATGCATAAATAATCATCGTTTATAATATTTTTTCATGTTCCATTTTTACTAGAGACATAAATTAAATCCTGTGCATGATGTCAACAACAGCTGAAGCAATTTTTTTTTCTCAGTGACGTTGTTCCCGAAAAAAAATATTTTGCGGTTTACGGCAGTTTATTTTTGGAGTCAAAACAATCTCATATCACTTTGTTTTAAAAGTTCCCTAATTATACTGACACATTTTTAAATACTTGTTTAAAAATATTTATAAAAGTTAATTTTTAAATTCACTGGTTTGTCAAAACTTTTTAATCTTTTAATCTTTTTACTTGACCTGATTTATTTCTAAAACATTTTTTTCAATTTGTTTCATAAGACAAACATGCTTGACTGTTTTATCAACTGTAGATGACAACTGAACGACTACATGACACTAAAAGAACTCAATCTAAAAACATGATAACCCATTATGTGGGATTAAGTGACATCCCAAACCTTCTTGTGAAGTTTCAATCATGGATTACATTTTGCAATTCTTCTAAGAGAATTGTAAGCTGACTCCGATTAAACAACTGAATACAAATTGATATTAGTAATGTGACCATTTCCTAACTTTTATCTCATTCATTTTAATCTAATCAGCTATTTTAACAGTCTGTTACATTTCTACTTCCCATATATCTCTCAAGTCTACCATAAACTATTATGTAATAAGTTGCACATTCTCATGTCGTCTCACGACAACGTTATAATATTTTTTTTCTTCCTTTTATGTGTATAAAAATTGTATTAAAAAATATATTATTGGCCCATTTATCATTTTTATGTGGAAACCAGATCGTTAAAAAAATTTATTTCGGTTAATAAATTATTGTTTGCGAGGCATTATCGTCTCGTTCCCCGGCTTTCTTGCTCCGTTTTTGTATTATTTGGCCCCTCCAAAACGAAGAAGAAAGAGAGAAAAAATGTTAAAGTGCTTCATAACTGAAAACGGAGCAAAACGGAGACTATTCTAATGTGATAGCAGCATAAAAGCCATTAACTTTCATACACATAAAAATTTATTTATTTCTTTCATGTTTTCTCGTTTCTTTTTTTTTTTTGTCGGTTACTCTACCGTACACAGCAAGTAAGAGATATTTACTGCCTCCATTGTCAAGGAGGGGTTTTGTAGTAGAAGCAGAAGCAGCAGCAGCAGCAGCAACAATGCTATCTTGTGCCACACCACGAAATTATCTTTGGCTATCCGCAAGTGACATGAAATGCGAACTTTTTTTGTGTGTTTTCAAAAATGAATAAAGAAGACTGGAAAGTTTGTCAACAATTCATTAATTTTCCTGCTGCTTTTTGGACATTTTTCAGATGACATTCCCTCATGCAATTTTTCTTTCTTTCCTTCTTATTAGATTGTAAAGGACATAAAGGAAATTACACCAAACAGCTTATATCAATTGGGAATCAGATATCCTCAAGCTTTGTGTGGAAAACACTCATTGCTATAATAAATTTTATGTTATATGTGAAACATGAAAAAAGACTATTTTTCGTAAAAGAAAAATCTTTAAGCAATAAGACATACAACACAATATACGAACTAGCAGTGAAAAATCTATTTCGGATGTTCTGGTCGAGAGGAAAAAATATAAAAAATGGCAAGCAATACAAATGTCTGAGTGTGAATAATTTTTCATTTTGGATATTTTTTCCTTTCGAATTTCGAGTGCAGTTTACGAAATGTTCAGCAGAGAAGGTTTTGCCATTCTATGTTTATATATCTATCAGAGATTGGAATTTGTGTACAAAACAAACATTCCATCACCTATAAATCGTTTTGGGATGTTGAAAGAGTATGTTTTTCAGCTAGGATAAAGACTCAGGCAGATGTTATTTATGCACCTTGTTTGCATATTAATATATCAGGATGACAGTCAAGTGAAATAAATTTGGTAACGCGAATGCCAATGTCACAGAATAAATGAAATCTCTCTTCGAGATTGAGATCAACTTTGAAGTCTACCGCACCACTATGGAAAACGTCGACAACATTGGTCATGTTATTGGATCTATTTGTATGATTGATTGTCTTTTTATATCGCTTATTTATCATAATTTAAAATATTTCAACCAAAATATCTCTCGTCATGACTTATTTTCTATTTAATCCCTTCCACAACACTTGGCTTCTCTTACTGGCGTCACTCATATTCATCTTTCAATTTATTGTCATTTTAAATTATCTTTCACATGAGTGACAACATCTTTCTTCTTTGCTACTGAGTGGTAAACGAAATCGAAAACGAAATTTGATTCCTTTTAATCCCACGAGCAAATGAATTCTTTCTCAAAATGTATAAGCTTTGAAACATTCGCCCCTTTCACCTTTTTCCTACTATGAGCGCCACAAATGTTAATTTAATTTTTTTAATTGGCATTTAGAAACGCTATGAAATGAAATTAAGTTAGACATGCTCAAAAGAATGAACAAGTTAGAATTTCCATTTGAGATAATAAAGTTATAACATGATTTGGGTTTGGAAATTCTCATTGAAATAAACTGCTTTTGTCTTTAAAATGATTTTACACCTGAGTGAGTTTTCAATGTATCCTAAAGCTGAAAATTGTTTCTTCTTTCTTGTTTACATTTGAATTAATCAGCATTTGTTTAAAGAAGGACTGCTTCCCTCAAAGAAACTTTTTCCTTTGTAAAATCACTGAAGCTTGTAAATCCGCATGCAAATTTGATAATATTTTTGTTACATTCAAAGAATGATTAATGGGGTATTGAAAAAAATGGAAGAAAGCACGAAATGTTTTCAATATCGCGTAAAACTTATTCAATTTTATAATTATCATGTCTCTTAACTATTAATTTTAGTCTATGCAAAAATGTTTTAATTTCTAGCTGTAATACCAATAATATCAATAAAACCAATCATAACAATTTTTTGTAGTATTATTAATAAAATATCTCACGCGAGCCTTTTACTGTACCGTCAAGGCATGTGAAAAGATTACTAGCGACATCTCTATGAAATTATAGGAAACTGCTCAGCATGCTAACAAAACAGAATAAATACCTACCTATGTATCTAAACAACCGAAATTATTACCAGTTACGTTTTTTAAGTTAATACATCTCAATATGTTAACTATTATGTAAACTTTCATTTCAAGAGAGTTTCGTTTTGTTTTGATGCAAGAAAAACAACCGAAGAAAACATTGAATTTTTTGTAACTACCACCTGGTGGAATAATTTTACAATTTGAGTAGCGACTGTTGTAAGGTTTTTCTTCATCTTTCAAAGAAATCTTTCAGTTAGGCTGAAGTTCATCAATAAATGAAGAAACGAGTGCAAAACTTAAACATTAAATTTTGACCAGATGGAAAAATAAGTTTTAAATTCAAAATTTATAATTTTACAAATATTTCAAGATGAAAAAATATCTCTCTTAAACTGAGTCACATTGGAACGGACTTATACTTTTCCTTAGTTCATAATAAGAGAAAATAAACAATAAATGCGTAGTCGAAAATATGCAAGCATCAAACATACCCAAATCTATATATTTATAGAAATTTCGAAACGAAATATGCTCGTAAGGCACATGTTGATGTCTCCACACTTGAAATTGCGTGTTCTCTTGTTGATACTTTCAGTTGCACTGACTTACGATCCCCCTTAAATGTAATAAAATTTTCGTTTTGATAACTTGCGCAGTACGATTCTTATTATAAATCTTCGCTCTAACATCTTCAACCTTCATAATAAGTTTATTATTCTGTTTCGTCGATTTTATTCATGAGTGTGTTTATTCATTAAATGAAAAGATTTTCCCTCGTTTAAGTAGTTAAGAGAAGACTTTTCTGAATAAAGAAAGTATAAGAAAAAAAATAAATTTGAAAAACTTTTCGTCTTCTTTTTTCATGTTGGGAACAATGAGAATAATTTTTCTTAGTTTGTGAATCATAAACGTCAGAAATGGTTTTAATTGAAAACAAAAGCAAAAGCACGATCCTTATTGTGGTTGTCTCTGCCTAAAATAAAAGCCGCTATTTTATTTCCGTTCTTTATAATATTCATTCTTATGTAGTTATGTTGGTTATTTTCTGCTTTCTTCAGAGGGCTGGGAATAATTTAATGTATTAATTTCTGGTGAGCGAAGCACAGAGGGTTTTTTATTTGCCTTCCGCTTTTTTGGTTATTTATTTTATAGTTCGAGAGCAAAAAATCTAGGTCAGTATTTGCATTCAGACTCTAGTGAAAAAACTGCTGATTTTCATTTCTTGTAAAATTTATTAAATTTGTCTAACGTTGAAAATCGTTTATTAAGAATCACGTCAAAAAATGCTGATGATCAAAATCCGACACCACATTTCTTATTTTCTCTTCAAGAAATATATTTTTAATAACTTCCAATGATGTCGATGGTATGGTTGTAAACTAAAGCATCAGCATCTGTTGCGTATACAAAGTCCAAGTGATTGAGTTTCATGTCTGGAACAAGGATATTCTCAGCATCTTTTCCAAGTTTGCTTTCAACATCCTCAAATTACTGCAGACTGTAAGAAATCTGAAGATATTTCAAAGCCCATTTTATTATCAGCTGGAAAAGTTGATCCATGCATAAAAATAGTTTTGTTTGTGGAAACTCAGAGAAGTTGATCATCAGACAATCAGATGAAGAAGAAAAAATTCATTATAATCTTCTTCCTTCGTTTACGTAGTTCTTCTCATTCCATCTGAACTATTTTTTAATATGCTTGTTATAATTGAACGATCCAATTATGGAAAATTGAAACCAGTAATATGAAATGGAACATTTGCACAAACTTCACCGAAAGGGGATTCATCTTGGCACGAAAGTTTTTCTATTTCAAACCTCATCTTAGTCAATATGGGAGAAATTCAAAGACGCCAAGCTTGGACCGAAGAGTTTTAATCGAGTCGGCAAAAGAAACGAACACTCTTAAGTATAGATATCAAAACCGAGAACCGATAACCGGCTGTTTTTTTCGGATATTCGAGTACTAGGTTAACCGAGATTTCTTTCGGTTAACCGAAAAATAACCGAAATTAGCGAAATTTACTCCTATTAAAATTTTTTTTCGCAAATTGTTTCGTTTTTTTGATTGTTCTTGAATGAAAACGAAATAAAGTTTAGTGATATGCATTTTTTCCTTTAAAAATAATTTATTTTTGTAAAATTCTCTANACCTCATCTTAGTCAATATGGGAGAAATTCAAAGACGCCAAGCTTGGACCGAAGAGTTTTAATCGAGTCGGCAAAAGAAACGAACACTCTTAAGACAGGCGACAATAAGTTGGACATGATAACAAGTGAAGTTGAAGAAATAAAAATTGTAAAATAATAAAATCAATTCAATGAGAAATCGAATGGATTTTGGAATAAGACTAAGAAATGCTTTTATCCTTCGTTTCGTTTCATCGTTGGAAGTTTTCTCAATGAATGTTTACATTCAACTTTACCAAATGCATGCATTGCATTGTTCTAATTTTAGCATTCATTTCCGTTCATAGTGAAACCATTACGAAGAAGCATGTGGTTCTTTTCAAATAGCCAATAAAATGCAAATCTTTCTGTTCAACTTCCATTAAATAATGCAATCAATCATCACTTGCAATTCTGTTTGCCCTTAAGATGTTGAAATAAGAATCGAAATGAAATTTAATTGAATCCGTGTAAGTATTAATTTTGATAAACGTCATCAATCTCACTAAGACTTAGTGACTAAGTTGATATCATGTGAAATTCAAGACAAGGTTTCATGCATGATATCTTTTTTTATTAGAAAAGTATTTTTAATTCTTGTTTACTTTCCTCGGTAATTGATTAAGGACTGGCAACTTCTCTTTTTACTGACATCACGTGGATGAAGTCAAAAACTCATGCAGCAGGAAGACAGGTTCTTCCATAACTAAATGAAATGTTTAGAATTCCTGGGATTGCTTCAGAACTTCAAGAATATATCCATCTGGTGTTGTTACTTAATATTCTTCGAAGGAATAAACTTCAACACAAGATTAATGTTTGCATTTATTTTGCAAATGAAATAATTCTTCACACGAAAAATGTTTGATGGTTATCATTGATGAGATAAACAATGAAGAAAAGCTTAAAACTTCTTTGGTCACTCGACAAGAGATCCACAACAAAGAAAGTATAATGAATTGTAATGAAAATCTTCTCTCACTGCAAATTTTTCATTCTAAACCTCATTTAAATATTCTGTCTTATCTTTCGAAAGTGAAAAGAAAAGGGTTCATTAAATTTTCATTTGTTGCTATCAGAAACGAAGCAAGAAATACGAAAGCGAAATTCTTCTTATCTCGAAGCTAATCCATTTTAAAATGATTATAAATTTGTGAATTAGACACGAGTGCAAAAGCGAACTTTCTTGTTCTTTATGAAACCTTTCTTAATTTTCTGTTTTTCGTGAAAACTTTATTATGAAAATTTATCTCCGATATAGTTTCGTAAGATTTATGAGAATTTAAGATAATCTTCGTGTGAATAAGAAAAACTATCGAATAAAGTTTCAATAGCTTTCGGTTGTATTTTTATGAAAATTACTTCATTCTCTCATTCGTAATAATCAACTTTTCGATTAAGAAAAGTCGCTTTTTTGCCCTCGTTACAATTTCCCCTGTTTTCATTATTCACAGATGAACGACAGTGATGAGGAAACACTAGGACGCCATTCCATGAATATTATATTCAATATCATTATCACATTACATGAACTTTAAAATAATTACATAAATTGAGTACCTTTATCCATCAATTATTTACTTTAATACTTTTCAAACTTTTCGTTGATACCTTATTCACTCAAAAGTAAAGATAATTACACAAGTTTCATCGTAGCATTAAAATAATTTAAGTAAATTCAAAGCATTGCATTCTGTTTCTCCAAAATTATTCGTTTTCTTATTTGCAGATGGTAATGCAAAATAAATGTTTACAGCAAACCGCGATAAATTCTTTTCATTCTGCTTTTTTTTTATTTTACAAACAGCACTCGAAAAGTGCATAAAGGAAACTATATTTTAATCCCATGCTGCACGAACGAAATATCCATCTACTTATCCTATGATAAGATGAAAGAAGTGAGAGGAGTAAAAAGTGTAATTTTTAATTTTATCTCAATCGCTTATGTTCGTGACTTGGAAAGATTACATGCGAGTGAGGGAAAGCATTTCACTCCATAATCCATCATTATTTTCCACTTTTGCACAGACACGCTAGACAAGCTTATCTGTTGAAAGAAGACTGTTGTGCATCCTATACTAGTTTATCCTGCATTCTAAGTGAAAACAAGAGAATAAAAACCAAATATCAACAAAGAACCATGACTGAGATTTTACTGGAGCAGCTAACAAGTTTTTAATTAATAGTTTGCTTTACGAAAGTGGCAAACAGCAAAGAATTTTGTTACATAAATATTCACATGGCATATCGTTGAAGTTTGTTGATGTTTAAAATAGTTTTTCCTTCGCAACATATTTATAAAGGATTTAACGAAACAAACATAACTTTATTTTCCTGAGAAGTTAAAGCTATGTTCAAAGCACAATTTTCATTATTTTCCATCAAAAATCTCATTAATTATTCTTTTCCACGCAATAAAATAAAGAACGGAAAGAAAGAAAGACAAATAAATTAATTATTCCCTTTCTCCTTGCTTTCTTTCTATTTATTGGCTAATCCAAGATAATCACTCAGTCATAATGCGTTAAAAGGGGGGAAAAAAGACGGAAAAGGTTAACCGGAAAACCGCCTGAGGTGAGAAAAATTACAAGTTGACATTCATCTAACAAGATTGAGTTGAATTATTTAATGAAATATCATTGAAAGACTTTAAATGTGTGCATAACGATTAATCAAACAACATAATCTCAATTAATTGAGATGTAAATTTAATTCAATTACTCTGAAATTAATTGTTTACGATAAATGATTGATATCTCAGCATCAACAGTCTTCTCAACTTTCCTCCAGCATTCAAGAAAAATTTAAAATTCAAGATGCTTTCCAAAGAAATCACGATCATATATATCTTTCTTCATTGTTTCTCCTCCACCTCTTCTCTTTCCATTTCCCATCTCACTCGAGATTTTCCTTTTCTTCTTCTCTCCAAGGGTAAGGAAAACGGGAGCAAAGCTTCTAAATCGATTTATAAATGGTTATGGGTAATTTATCAAATTTATGAGTTTATACTTAATTTTTAACATAAAAATTCCAGCATTAGATTTGACTTCCTTCCCACTCACTCCTCCATATCTGTCGAGCGAGTGGGAGAATAAAACGAAAATAGAAGAATGAATCAAAATTTTATTAGACGAAAATTCATGTGAATGCTTCCATGCCATTTGTAGAATGTTGAAGAGATGTATGAAGGAGGGAAATTGTGCTAAAGCGCTGATAATTTATGTATCCCAAACCCACACCTACTTAAGAAGCTTTGACTGCAATCATAACGATGTAGATCACATACGCACCATCGTTCAAATATTTGCTTCGATTGAATGGCAACCCCACATTCGCGACACGAATTTAAAATAATCATTATTGTCTGTGCATTCTCAACGGATGTGAAATGATTTTTGTTATGTTTTGTGTTTGTTCTCTTTACTTTCGCACAATTTATTGGCATTTTCCACTAGAATTTATTGTTCAACTTGTTCAAAGGATTAAATGAGCCTTTTTCAGCCCAGACATTTAAGTGATGTTGGGGCGTGAAATCAGAGTAGAGAGATGGAGTATAACATTTAATTATTCCTAAAAGCGAAAGTCAAAAGAGCAACGACACACAAGATGAACAAGTTAATAAATTGCTTTTGTGAATTTTATGTTTGATGAAAGGCCACATGAAGCTTCGATCTAAACTCATTAAAAGTTTATACAAACGCAAACTTTACCGTCTATTTGAAGATTTACCAAAACTATTTCATAAAACTTAATTGCAGTTTTATTAAAATATTTCTTAATACCTTTCACATCGTGTGACATTTATCGCGCGCTTTTCGTGCCATGTGGAAGGAAAATGAGAGAAATTTTCGTTCATCTCCAACATGATAACATGCGCAATTAACTGTGAGAGAAAATATATCAACAAAACTTGTCGTGATTTTTGTTTTGTTTGTTGTATGCTTATTTAGTCAGACTCGTAACATCGCTGGTAAAGGAATGTTATAATGTCATTAACATCGTGTACATATTGAGTACGAATGCCATGGGTTAAAATGACAACAAACAAATGAAGAAATAAAAATAAGAACACTGAAAGAATCTTCTGAAAGCTCTATGAGAATGAGCGAGATTACGTTGATTAGCAATAAATTAATTACTCAACATGCCTTGAATTCATAATAAGATTGCATTAAATTGTATTAAAGCAATAATTACGTTTTTTAATACATTAATTTGATGACGTTAATTAACCAACTTTTGCGACTCTTTTCCCTGATGTTTGTGTCTGTGCTCTGATAAAATTACATAGAAAAACTTTATTGTCTCTCACCCTCGCTATCTTACTCAAATTTATTTCCCTTCCCTTCCATGTGCAAGCAAAATTGTTGTACTTCAGAAAAATCCTTTAAAGAATTTCCCTCATCTGTGAAAGTGTTTGGTAGTGATGCGGTTTTTAATCTGCTTTAAAAATATTCACTTTTTACTCTTGCATTTGTTGAGGATATTGTTGGAAAATAGAAGTTAAAGGACGAGAATAAAAAGACATCAGACACACAAGTTTATGTCACAAGTTATGGGCAGTAATTTCTGGGCAGCTTCAAGTTGCATTGAGATTAAAATTATTTTGATGTGGTTATCTACGTGGAAATTGTCAGCAAAAAAAAATCGTTTAACTTAATAGCTGAGAAATATGTTGCTAGATAATTTATGAAGTCAAATTTTACTTAAAATTCTCTAGGGTCGATTGGAAGTTACTGCTTTTAGTTAACACTGTTTAATCATGTTACTCTAGTCATCATATAATGTGCCCCAAGCTTTACTTCTTAAAGCTACAATTAAAACATCTTTTTAAAATAATTTTTATTCCATCTTCTTATCGAATTGACTGAAGAGCATTTTACAATGTTACAAGTAATTTAAGCAGCGGTTGGGAAATAAGTTGCAACTTTCTTTCTGTTTTTCATTTGGAAAACAACGGAGAATCGAGAAGATAAATTGAATCGAGTTCAAAGGTTTGATATCGAGCATCGTTGCATTGCGAGAATAGACAAAGGAGAATTGTTGTATAAATTTACATAAAACAGTGACACTCAAGTAAGCACACTTGACTTTTTCTTATTTTCCGGTCGTTATTCTTTCTGACCTGTATTCTAACCCGAAAAATTGCTGTCAATTCCCTAGCGCAACGATGCGATAATTGTCAGAAGATTGTAAAAGATTGAAAAGACTTGTTGATGAGATTTAATTATTCATACTTAAAATAAAAGGTAGAAAAGTTGAAAGAAAGTTTGAATACTTTTTATCATTTCAAAGACGTTTAATGTCGTTATAAACGATGGTGACATTCTCAGCTATAAAATACTGCTTTAAGTTAAGCGGATAAGGAAGCGAGCGAGTGAATCAAGTCTATGAATTTAAATCGTTGAATTAGCAAAAAGAAACAAAAAATAATAGAAATGTAAGAAGAAAAGACGAAAAGAATATTGCCAACTTCTTCAAAGCCCCATCCGCATTATCCCATCGCACTTGACAGTTTAAACTTTTCGAAAATTTATTTGTTGTGACTGCAAATACTGTCGACGGTTATCTTAACAGCCAACAACTGAGACGAGAAAGTTTTAATTCAATAAGTGGTGAAAATTACCGCACAAATCTTCAATTTATTTACCTGTATTCATTTCAGATTACATTAGAGAGCCATTAAATTTGAATAATTGATCAGCACCCCTCTTGTGGCACAAGACGAAAAAGCGAGGGAAGAATTTTCCTTCTTGGAATGCTTAATCAACGAAATTTCTTATTTTATTTCTTCCCGTAGCTGAGATGGGACATGTATCATAGTCTCGTGATGAAGATAGCAATAATGAGATTTTTCCCTTAAAAATTCTCGTTATCTGTTGAAGAGAAATATTTCTTTACGACAATTAACATTCATGCAACATCATTAATCGTGCATCAAGAATAAAGCTTCATAAAAACGTATTTGACATCAATAAAATGTTATCTCTGAAAATCTCGTGATAAGAACGCTAAGATTATGCAAATCACCCATTGGAGATTACATTGAAAAAGTTCACAACATGACCGAGTTTCTGCGAGTGTTTTAAATGCGTAACTTTTATCAACCAACGTCTTGAAAAATAAAAACAATCACTTTTGCGTTGAAACATTTTCAGTTTTCTCAAAACAAAGGAAAGAGCGAAAATGTTTTTGAAAATGAAGAAAAGAAAAAGAAAAATACAAAATTCATTTAAAAACAGCGATTCAGGTTTGTATTTCAAAGATCAGATCAGTTTTCTCTCACATTCGATAGACAAAGGAAGCAGAAAATTTTCGATTAAATAAATATAAAAAGTTTTATTCTGCATAAACAAGTCTTGAATGATAAATAAGGAACATAAAGAAGACGAAACATTTGAAGACAAACGTAAGATCATTCAAGAAGAATGTTTTAAAAATTAATTCATTTTCACATTTAAATTTTAGCATGAAACTTGATGTCATTCTTTCCCAGCCTAACTTTCTATTCATCTTTTTTGTGATATTGTTTTTAGTCGGTTTCTTCTTAATTCTTTGTTACTATCTCAGAAAGGATAATCTGCTTCCGACAAGACAAAAGACAAAGAGGAAAATTTTAGCTTATCAACGTTTAAGACGTGATCAATTAGAAAGACTTGAAAGTGTAGCTGAAGATAAAAATGTCAACGTTCAAACTCAAACACTCAGTGTTAATCAAAACACTCAACAACTCACTCAAAGTGTCATTGATAATCATTCAAAGAGCTCAAATCATTTAGCGGAAAATATAAGACAACCTAGATTTTCTAAATTTAGTTCTTTCGCAATTTTACAATCATCAGCAACATGGGATACTCCACCGTCGTATGATGAATGTCACAAACTCTCTAGAATTGACGAAGATCCTAATTAATTTTTATCGTACACTTTTTTACTATTACAACTTATCACCCGTTGTCACGGTTCAATAAACCGTAAACATTGGAAATATTTAAGTCAAGTTTTTTTTTGCTACACACACGAGAATGTAAAATGAGTAAATAATAAAGAGGCGAGCCACGAGCGTCTAATCATGACGTAAGAACCGAAATGAAATAAAATGAGAAAAAAAATCGTAAACAACTTGTTCAGTCTGTGTTCGAACATTCTTACGTTAAGACATCATTTTTTGCTTCTGGATTTTTAATTGTCAATTTTGTTTGTATTTTTATTAATTTGTTGAGAAATGGAATCTGATCGTGACGATGATTACATAAATTATGATTATAATTTAAACTTCTATGACGATTATGTGGCACCACCACCACCGAAAGGTAAGCTTGATAATTAATAATAATTATCAAATTTATGTCAAGTGCTTTAATCTATTTTTTCTTTGCTTTAGAATACGAACACGGCGAAATTCCAAATATTGTGAAAATCTTCTTCTTTATGCTTTTGTTTTTATATCTCTTTATAATATTTTATTATGCATTTATAAAGAAGAACAAAACATCAGACAATAATGATCTTCAGCTTTCGACTGATCCATTTGTTGGTTCTCGTTTAAGTCGAAGTAATCGTTCGGAGATGCGTAATAATCGTCAAGAAGTTTTGATGCCAGTTTCCAGTGATGTGACTATTTATGCGATTGAAGACGATGACTTAGGTTTCTATACTACAATTAACTTTGACGACATAGATCCTCAGATCGATCAATCTAGAACAAGAAATTTACTTCCTTTGCTGCAACAATCATCAAGAAGAGAAAGTCAAGAACTGCCACCAAACTACGAAGATCCACCATCTTACGACGAAATTGCTCACAAAGTCCCATGAAGAATGTTTAATTTGTTTACAAAAGAATGGAGAAATCAATGAATCATCAAAAGCAAAAATAAGAAGAAATCTTCGAGATGTGCATGTGAAGAAATTTTCGTGACCCACACAAATAGTTTCACACTTACACACAACGAGCAAGCAATTGTGATTCACACGAAACATGTGCCTTAATTATCATGCACAGAAGAGAAGAAAATTAAAAAAAAACTGTGAAAAGTTTCACTCACATAGATTTATTGTGCGCAAAAGCTAAAAATATTTAATTCCACTTTTTGTTACCACAATAAAACTTAATTTATGTCCATAGAAATATTATTAATTTCAGTAAATATCAAAAGTCTGAAATGATAATTCTAATTTATCAACTTATTTAAATACAAATGAAGACTTTTCAAGTGCTGTGTTGACCTTCATTTTCATGGAGACGATAGAAATATTTTGCAAAGTTATAAGTGTTCGATAAACACTCAAGATGTGCCTAGTCTGAATGCAATCTTCAATGATTTTACAGAAACATTCAAAACTATTAGTTTTACTTAGCTACATGGTTTATTTATATTTAGTTTTTCATTGGTCAATATTTATAAAATTATTCAAAATCCAAATAAAAAAATAAATTAAAAAATTTCAATTTCCATCTTCGATTGACAGCTGACGTGACGTCAGCTTTTCATACTTCTTTGTGGCTGTGAATATTTAGTCAGTATTTTCTCGAATTTTCCTGAATAGAGGTTCACATTTCAATTTCTTTGAAAATTATTTTGGAGTCAAAGCAAATGACGATACAGAAGTTAATTTGAAAATTATTTGTAAAGAAATCTTACAAAATTTTACAAAATTTTATCACAAACAGTTTTTTGCAGATGGATTCACAACAGGAAATAATTTTAACTGTGTTCGGAGCGTCATTCTGTCTAATGATCATAATTGTTATCTTGATTATTCTCTACTGTGCTTCATTGTCAGCAGAAGCTAAAGCAGAAGCACGTGACAAAGCTGCAAAACCACAATTGAGACATTCACAGAGACATCAGAATTCATCAAATACAGTGAAACTTTGATAAGCCGATGGCTCAAGGTGCATCGGTTTATCGATTCATCGGTTTATAGAAGTAGGTTCCAATATAAATTTGATTCAAGGGGGACAAAAATTATCGGTTTATCGAGGAATATCGGCTTATCGAAGTAACGGCTTATCAAAGTTCCACTGTACTGAAATTATTCGACTTTCAACCGGCTGGTATGCAAATATTGAGAATGAAACATCCTGACCCTGAATATAAGTCATGTGATTTGTAAAATCTTTAATATCATAAATCTAAAAAGATTATTTTTGTCATCGAAGATTCTTTCGTGGCTAAATTATTTAACAAATTAAATTTTATCATATTAAGGCTTAATTAATTGTCTACTTAACACATTCATAAAATAAATATCTAAAACTTGCAATGTTGAATTAAAATTGATTCACGTAGTTCAGTTACAAAAATCAATTTGAACAAATCTAAGATTGAAACCTTCCATAACTTGTTTGTGAAGATCAATTTTATTCTCCATTGCAACTTAACGTGATCATCTTCTTATAAATATTATAAAAAATCTTCATATTGATAGCTGTTTGTGAAATAAAGTCTCAAAATAATAAAATATTTAAATCGATGTGCAATTTTTTGACCTCAAACATCACAATCATGGGCAACATCAACTAAAAGTTGACTTTTTTTCATCATTTGAATAATGTCTGTGGTGATTTTGTTTAAGGATTTCTGACAAAAGCTTTGAAATCTATCGGAAAATTTTCTCAGTTTTATGTTTTATTTCTCCCACGCACTTACACGCTTGTGAGAAAATTTCTCTCTTTTTCCGTACATTTCCGACTTTTCAAGTTTTAATTCTCTCTTTTTGACACTGAAAATATCAGTGGCTTGGTCAGTGTACAATTTTTTGTGTCGATAAAGAGTTCAAGTTCTCTTATCATGTTATATAAAAAGGGAAGAAATATTTCAAATTAACTGGACTAACATTTAATTACAACATAAGCAACATGACTAGTTCAGATGATGGATTAAGTAACAAAGAAATTATGTTTGTTTGTTTCTCATTTTCTGACTCTCTGACTTTATTTATTTAGCGGCGATAATTTTTGCTGTTTCCCTCTGCGCTACGATTCTCTTGGTCATTTGTGTAATATTGTACTGTGCCTTTTTACAACATGAAGAAGACTCAAGGAGGGAAAGCGAATGTCGTGGTCGAGGAAGAATGATGTCATGTTCAGTCGTTCCTGGGACGTCACATTGCATTAATAGTTGTGGTCACACTTTCATGCAACTCAACAGATTACATCAAGAAAATCAACTTATTAATAATTCAAGTAATTCGAATAGAAATCAAAATGTCATTATTAGAACAATCCAACCAAGTTGTCGTGAAATTGATACGAACTCAAATAGAAATCTTCGAATACCTCCTTCAAATAACAATTGCGTGGGAGGATTTGAAAATTCTTCACCAGTGACAAACATTTCAAGATCCTCAAATCATCAAACGAGACAACATCAAAGTAATAGTCAAACAATTTTAAATATTCCAAATAATACTCCACCATCTTACGAAGATCCTCCGTCTTACTGCGAATTTTTCGAACAACCGGAATGATGTTCGTTGTTCAAATAAGCATAACGGGAAGATCAGGGAAATTAGAATTTATATTTAAGTCTTTGTTATAATCAAAAATAAGAAAATATAATTAAAATTTGTCGATGAAAACATTGGTGAGTCATAGCTTAGGGAAAATTGGAAAAATTTATGCAATGCGCATGCCTTGAATACATTTTAATACACTTACAATATGTATAAATGACTAAGTCAATCTTTTCAGACTCTTTTTGAAGATCGAGAGACCAGATGTGATTGTTTTTTTAATAAACAAGCTTTCATGCATATTTTAAGTTTCTGTTAAGATTCATCAAGTATAAAATGTTGTAAGAAAGACAATAAAAGTATTAAGTTGTGATTACAGTTCACATAAAAATAAATTAGTTTAACTTCAATATGTTTCTGTCTGCATGGTTTTCAAAGTATTTTGTAGATGATAATATTTATATCAAACTGTGTCGTGAACTTAATTGACTAAGATTTAATTAATTCACTTTAATTATTTCTTTATCACTCGTTGTTGTCACGTTTCAATGAACCGTTAACATCGAAAATGTTCAAATTATGTGAAGTTTTAGCTTCTTTTTTAGCAACACATACACAAGATTGTGAAATGAGTAAACGAAATAAAATGAGAAAATACGAAAATTTAGTAAACAACGACTGATTCAGTCTCTTTTTTAATATTCTAGTGATTAGACATAAAAATTTGTTCGACTATTTATTTTGTTAATTCATTTCTTTTGAAATATGCAATCTGAACATGAAGCTCTTGTGAGTGATGATGAATACTCAGACGAAAAAGGTAAGTCGGATAATTATAAAAAGTTAATTTTAAGTAATTTTTTTCAATATCATTTTTTGTAGAATTCAAATATATGCAAGAGCGTGTCGATCTCGTAATACAAACCATCTTTTTTGGTCTGATGATAGCTATGATCTTATTGATTTATTATGTATATAAAAAAAGTAAACAAATATCACAAAATAATAATAATCAGCAGCTTCCAATAAATCCAAATATTACTGTACATGTTACTCCACCTTTAACTCAAAATAACAATTTCCATGAAGATCTGCGACCAGTTCAAAGTTATGTAACTTCAGATGAGATTGAAGACGATGATTTGGGATTCTTTTTTACAATTGACTTTGATGATATGACTACGATGGATGTTGAAATTGATCCGCCTAGAACAAGCAATTTACTTCCTTCACCACAACAGTCTACACGAAGAGAAAGTCAAGAGCTGCCACCAAACTACGAAGATCCACCACCATCTTATGATGAAGTTGTTCGAAAAGTTCCCTGAGAAATGTTTAATTTGTTTATAAAAAAAATGGAGAAACCAATGAATCATCAAATGTGAAAAGGAATTGTGACTGTGTTAGTGACCACACAATCATTCAACCAACACATTCAAGTTTGGATCATCGGAAAATCAAAATATTGTAATTTATCCGAATAGAGTTTCAATTTCTACCATTCGAACAATTCAACGAAATTCTTATTAATACGCACTCAAATGAAGTCTACGCACAAATAATTTAATAATGATTACGTGGGAGACATTGATGTAATTCCAGAACAACATTCATAAGTGCCAATTCTTTAAGCATTCGATTTTGTGATTGTTTCAAAGTTGATATTCTGTGAAAGCTTTAATAAGTGTCAGGGTTTAGCCTTTTTAAACTAGTGACATGAAGATCTGCCAGTGATTGCTAGGGATAATGTTGTAAAATATCTGCACAATATTTTTTTTATTTCTTTTGTATTTTCTCAGTTTGACGTCATCCAACATTACAGATTAAGTAAAATCTTTCAATTTCTCAAAATGTGATTTAAAATTCTACTTAAAAAAAATCCTAGTCTCTTTATATAAAATCTTCATTGATTGAGGTAAAAATATGTTGAGAAACCTGAAGCGTAAAAATTGTTATACAAATAAGTTTGTCTTGTGAATTTCTTTCATGTTCACAGTAAATAAATGTTGAAAAACATTTCCATTCTGTTTTTAAGTTTTAAGGAAAATTTTCAAAACTTTTAAATTTTCAGATCAACTTGAACTTCAAATTAGAAACATGAACGAGAGTTTTCTAAAATATTTTTAAGGAGTTTGAAAGTCGGAAACATTTTCAATCCTACATGAAAGTCGACATATGAAATCGATACAAAAGTATTAGCTTTCGTTTCATTCAACTTCTAAGATTTTCCAGATTCATTCATCATTCACATTTCATTGATTAAAATTGTAGCTTAAATAAATTCGTAAAAGCTTAAAAATTATGCAGCATCACTTCTTCAACACATGTTCAACTGCATAAAAATATCATAAATTGTAACAAAATCGTCATTTCTTTACAAAGAAATCTTCAGAGAAGACAAAAAAAAATTAAGTCTCTCTGTAATCTGTTTTGGTTGTGCTTTTAAATCGATCTATGAATCCATATAAAGCAAAAAATATTGCTTACATTAATAGAAAGAGAAATCGATAGAACCAATAACTTAATTAAATTATGTAACCGCTTGTTAATTTCCCAGAAGTTTTCAACAGTAAATCGTTCAGTTTACTTTTTACGCTCGCACTGAAAGGATTTGAAGTGAAAACGTCGCCGTCAAAGAGAAATAAAATTTGTGAAAAAATTCACAAAGTGAACAAACAATAAAGCCAGGGATTTCTTGAAAATTTTCTACATCAAAACGTGGTGGCTTATCATTGAGTTGTTGCTTTAGAAAAAGCCTTGACATGGGTAAAGATGACGCAGAGACAATCGCTTTAAAAAACGAGCTCAACGAGTTGATTGCTCAAATTAAAGTAGAACAAGAGAAGCAAGCCGATTGTAAGTTAGCAGAAAAATGTAGTGACATGAGTGACGTTCCAAAGTGCAAGTTATCCACAAAAAAGAGTTTGAAAGGTCACATCAATAAAGTCAATTCAGTTCATTTCGGTGGTGATTCTCGGTAATGCAATCGTCGTTCATTCTAAGTTTAAGTTGTTACATAATTCTCTATTCGAACAGCTATTGCGTTTCGGGATCTCTAGACGGTAAATTGATTATATGGGACACGTGGACTGGCAATAAAGTTCAGGTCATTCCATTACGTTCTTCTTGGGTGATGAGCGTTGCTTATGCAACATCGGGAAACTTTGTTGCATGTGGTGGGATGGATAACATGTGCACCATTTACGATGTTAACAATCGCGATACCACAGGAAATGCGAAGCTTGTGCGTGAATTAGCCGGATATGAGGGCTTTCTCAGCTCATGTCGCTTTTTAGACGACAATCATATTTTAACTGGCTCCGGTGACATGAAATTATGCATTTGGGATTTGGAATCGGGTAAAAAAACATCAGAAATAAATGCAGCACATGGTGGCGATGTCGTATCAATTTCATTATCTCCCGATGGTAACCAATTCGTAACGGGAAGTGTTGATCGGACATGTAAGCTATGGGATGTACGTGATTTGAAACAAATACAAACATTCTTCGGACATAATGCTGATGTCAATAGGTGAACTATCATTTTCTTCCATATTTTAATTCAATTAGGACAACAAATAAATATTCTTTGATGCTCAAATTTAATTTCATGTCGATTCAAAAGCGTATCATTTCATCCAAATGGCTTTGCTTTCGCCACGGGCTCTGAAGATAAAACGGCTCGTTTATTTGATATTCGTTCTGATCAGGTCAGTTGTGTTATTTATTTTAAATAAAGTGGATTGTCTCATTTATCTCATACATAGGTAATTAAATATGAATTTGCAATAAGTCACGAGTTCTTTTTTTTCACAGCAAATCGGTCATTACGAGCCGCCAAACCGTACATCTGGCTTCACTTCGTGTGGTGAGACTAACATAAACTTATTAAAGCAGGGTTGTCGTTTTACATATTGACGTTGATTGACACTTGAATTTAGTTCTACCTCCATCGATATTCAACTCATTAAATTGAAAAAAAGGAAATCGTCTGTCAGTGAACATTTCGACAGCTCTGCAAAAAAGTGAATCGAAAGCTTTAATTTAATTTTCTTATTCAATTGATTTTCAGCTCTTTCATTGAGTGGTCGTTTTATTATGTGTGGTTCTGATGATAATAACATCCACGTATGGGACGCAATGAAGGTCCAACATAACGGCGTGCTGGGTGGTCATGAGAATCGTGTCACATCGATTTCCATGGCACCGAACGGTATGGCACTCGTGTCGAGCAGTTGGGATCAGTATGTTCGTGTTTGGGTATAAAATATTATTTCAGAGTCAGTTAATTAAATTAAAACAGATTAAACATTTATTTTAACCAAAATCCTACGGTCGATTTATGTTGTTAAAAAATGATAAAAAAAAGTTACTTAAACATCGAAATGATTTCAGAATCAAATTAATGAAATAATTGATTGTTTAAATTTTTTTTGGCATCACAATTAATCGATAACTGAGTGTCATTTCAACAGCGAACTTTTAATGCTGTAAGCAAAAATTTACTCATTGTAATGAAGTTTTCACTAAAGCTAAATGACACATCCACTTAATTTATTACTTGATTGAAATAAAAAAAAAGTGCAATAAACAAATTGTGCAATTTTCTGGTAGTTTTTCATTTATGACTTCAGATCGTTAATGGAAGTGGAGAACGAGGAAGTTTCATGTAATAAATCATTGGCCAGTTGATGATGACGATGCTTTTCTTGCAGTTTGTCTTTCATCGTCTCACAGACTGTGAATGGAGAAATATTTCCGTCGTTGTCGTCACTTATGTTCCGTTAATTGATTAATTTTTAATGACTTTTTGATTTGAGAATGTCGAGAATTTTCAATCATATGGAGAATGTGAGAACGTTAATTGACTTTGCAGCTACTATCATTAGTTTTTTATTAGAAGAGATGGATTATCTTTTGACGCAATCTCGGATAGTAAATGAAAAATGAAAAAATATTCATGAAAACCAAAAACCGTCTCTTTTTGACATTTAATCGCTTCTCCATGTTCGAGTTGAATTTTAAACATCTTCATGAATGAAAATTGAACATTTTCATCTTCTTATTAAGGCTTGGAATGTCTAGAAATCTTTTCTTTTTTTAAATTTGTTATTCATGAGCTGATGTTTAGCTAACAAATTTTTCTATCTGAGGCTTTGAGAGTTTTTTTTAAGGTTTTTTGTTTGTTTGAATTGCGATGTTGTCCATCGTCCTTTTTGGAACTCAAACGTCTTCTTTAACGCTTCCATAAATTTGATGATGTTCCTCAGAACTTCTCTGAGTTAAAAATTAACTTTCTTTGAATTTGGAAATAAAAACCCTCATCATTTTCAACCCACGTCAATTTCCTAATAATTATTTATAAATTCTCAAAAAAAAACCACACGAAATGGAAGAAACTTTTGGATGTTGTCGGGAAATCAAAACTCTGATTTCAAAATTGTATCTTAATCGGCTAAAAAGAAATCAAAAATATTGAAGCCGATGTCAAATATCATCAGCGAGACATTGAACATGTGGAATGGAGTAAAATAACATATGGAAGGCAATAAAATCAAATTCGCTTTTTCCTACAACGTTATTTGCTTTTCCTTGATTGATTTTTAAATTGCTTTGAGATTTTGTTTATCAAGAGTCAGGACCAAGACATCAAATTAATTTTTTTAGAATGAAAGTTGTCATAAAAGTTCTAATGAAATTGAGAGTTTATCGAATTATAATTGATATTGATTTGGAAAGGATGACAAATCTTTCAGAAGAAAGGAAATCTGGGTTAATTTCAGTAAATATCATAATTCTGTAACCTTATTTGATGGTAAACGAGAGATAAAAGACATCAGCAGCGAAACAATGAACTTCATTTGATGATATGATAAATCATAAGCTTTTTATATTTTCTGCCTCTATTGTAATCACACATGGTTAGCAAATGATTTTTCATTATCATTTTGATTGCAATTTTCTGAATAGATGTGGAAAAAAGAAAACGAAAGGCAGCACAATGGATGTTTACACATCTTAGGTAATTGCTTGTGGCACGAAAACTTCTTTTTCTTCGCTCATTCTCATTCGCCCGGAACAGTAGCAAGTTGCGACAAAAGGATTTAGCGAAGGTAATCTTACTCTTTCATGCTTTCAACATGATGTGAACTAAAAGCAAAAATTAGATTCAACCATTCAATGGAAAATAAATATGATTTATTGCTTTTAATAAAAATGCTTTTTTTTTGTTATTTCTTTGTTGGTTCTTTGGAACCTTGTTAAATGCTTCACTTTGCGACCCAACTACGGCGTTGTTCGTTAAGGTGCAGAAAAAAGTATTCCTGTTTGTTCCGTTCAGTGAACGGTTAAAGAATCTTTTATTGAAAGTTCACCGGAATTTCACACGAGCAAACAATGGCAGGTGACAATGTCGGTCTCTAACTGACATTTTCCTTTATTTCCTTGGCGGTTATGTGACGTTAATTTCTTAAGATTGCTAATATTGTTTTTAAACCATTTTGTTCCTATCTTGCTTCACAATCCATTTCCAATATTGCAGCTGGAGATATGTAATCGTTGTCAAAGACATTTCACGTATTCTTCTAAGATAAATATAGAAATCAAGAGCGATATTGGAAAAGTTTATTCTACGATATTTATTTTCTGAAGAAACTTTTCCCTAGAAAACTTCATGAAGTTTCTTTTTAAAATAATTTAACAATCGATTTAAAGATTAAGATATGTATTTAGAATGTCTACTATAAGTCATCAAATAATTTTATCATTTCAAAGTTTATAAACATAAACAAATTGTTGTCATTTGAAATTATAAAATATCTACATTTAAAGAGAAATATTTTTGAGAAAATATTTGACTTCAGTTATCACCTTTTGCAAACAAACCAAAAGACTCAACAGTCATCTCTTCTTGACACTTGTTTTGACATGAAAATACTTAACTACCTGTATCCAAATCGTCGTACCTTCATTGGAATTTTATTAATGTACAAACAGATGAAAGGCTTAAACACTTATCTGTAACATTGTTGTTGAATTTAGAAATCATACAAACGAAGCTTTGCATACAAGTTAATTACAAATCCAGTTATTTGAATCGCAAAAAGCCAACAGCAATGAAGCTAATAAAGCGCTTGTTCACACATTACATGCTTGGTATTTATTCAAACAGGCAACGAGTGGGAAAAAGTAGAAGGGTTGAAAAAGGCTTTTTTGAGCAGGAAAACAAAGTAACAAAGCTGTTGAACAAAATAAATATTAAATTTATACGCTTTCGATAGAATGGAATGCTAGTGAAAGCAGGAACAAAATAACAGTAAATCACAAACCATAAGAGGCGTGGGTGGAAAACTGAAAATGTTAATATGATGATATCATCAGAAATATATTTTAATTATCTTTAAAAGAGGGATTGACTTTATGGCCATGAGACCACATGAAAGGGAATTTTGAATTTCATTAATGGAATTCTTCTGGTATGTGAAGCTAAACAATTTCTTCTTCTTACTTCTCTATTTACATGGTGAAAATGTAAACAAAAGGAGAAGATTAACAATTTTCAATCTTTTATGTGTCAACTGGTGTTAAGAGCAGAAAATGAAATATTTTTAATAAATGGAATCTTCTACAATTGAAGTTCAATATACTTTCAATTTGACTTAGAGCCATGATGATGGTCAACCACCACTGGAAATGATGTTACTTACTTATTTATGAATGAATCAATTACTAAATTGAAATTTGATTCAGTTAAAACATTTAATCAGACAGATCCATTATGGATTCAAACTTAAAAATTTCATTCGCCTTTTCTCTTTTTTTTATTTTCCAACCTCACTCAATCACTTTCTTGAAGCCTCTGAAAATGAAGTTAAATTCAACCGAAATGGTGATGCTAGAGAAAGCAGTTGAAATCGATATTGAAGATGAATACATCAATGATAATAAAACATTTGGTCATAATGGACTTTATGTTTTCTCTTGGCCAAGAGTCGACGAATAAATTATTCATCGTCAAGATTCAACTTCCACCCAACCTCCCCACACCAACTCATACCGTATATAAATGCATTCATTAAGAATGTATCTTGATTCGATTTTATACTGAAAAGCTCTCAGAGATGGCTCATAAATATTTGATCACAAATGATGAAATGTTTTGGTTTTGGATTTTTTTCCCCTCTGATACTCGACCGAAGGCGATGCGAATTGTGAATAATGAAAATGACTCGAGGGGGATGCTGATGATAATAAAAGCCACGCACTAAGCAGCAAATTGCCTTAAATATTTACTTTTACTCAATGGTCAATCGAACTTCAAGAGGCGAATGATAGCCGACAATGAAAAAGATGTCAGACATTGAGACATGAATATTATTTGCAAACGTTTGACAACAGTCAATATACTTATTGTGCGTCTGTCGTCGTCCTTGTCGTTGTTTCTTTTTGCGAAATAAACAATAAAAATAAATGAGAGAGTCATTATAATTGTAGCGAATTCAGCTTTACATAAGAATTGCGAATCAGCATCTGAATGACACACAAATAACATCAACAAAATGTTATGATTAAACTTGGGTAATGGCGACCCAGTGAGATGAAAAATGCTTAAAGTTATGTCAGTTGAAAGTTTCCTTTTTACATTGTTGTTCATCTCTAAATTACTTTTTCATCTGTTGAAATGTCAACATTTTTTATCCATATTTAATCCAATTCGATCTAAAATTCACGCTGGGCCAGTCAACAGTTCATTTAAGTAAAGCTCGCGAGCTTTTACATTTGTTGTTAACAATATGTAGTTTCTCCGCTGCTATTATGCAAACTTAATGTCATTTTCTTTCTCTCACATCATATCAAAATATGTTTTCTTCGCAAATTATCCTCCCCTGACTTCAAACTCTGTTGAACTTATGTATTTAGTTCCATTGAACGTAATACGTTGTAAATATTGCATATTGAAAGAAAAAATTCTTTTAACGAAACAAGGAAAAGTTTTTGAAAGTTTTTCTGTTGATTGAGTGGAACGAAAAGTTGATTATTTGCTTGAAATTAAAATAAATTTTCCAAAGTCGTTGTAAACGATAAGACAGCCTGCTTGACTTCACCGTCATGGCGTTATATATTCAACTCATTTTATAACATGATAATTTCCAACTTGCCAGTCAATTAAATACTCACCCCCAACCTTCTTCACAAAAAATTACACACTTTTATTATTTGAACGCTTTTCCATGTGCTAAATGTTAAATCGATGAAAACTTCAAGTGGAAAATCAGTTGAAAGTCACGAACCCGCCACGGAGATTTTCATCAAATTAATCCAGAAAAGGAAAGAAAATTTCTTTTACAATACTTTTCTGTTGTGCCTTCATTCAGTCAGCGGTTATATTCTAATTTTCATACTGTTCAACACAAATGAAGGGTGAATTATTGCCTACGGTGGAAAAGAAGAAAATGTAAGGATTTAAGGGAAGATTACGAGCTTTTTAAAGTTGAGTTTTTCATTAAAAATTTTCCACAGGAGGTGGCAATGGCGAGGAAAAAAAGAAAAAAGCACTAGAAACAATTTTCATGCCGTTTCTCGCCTCACTTTGTCGGGTTTGTGCAAATGAGAACTTTGCAATCTTATCTTATGAAACTCTAGCAAGGTGTAAATTATATTTGTGAAGCTTCTGGTTTTGGGTTGTTTTTGGCGGCTTTACTTGTGTCTTAAATATTTAGATGAAACCTGGCACTTTGTAAAGGTTATTACATCATCTTAATAGAATACCTCATCTTGTCTTGCTTCGCTTTATTGTGGTAAAATAAAGCAATAAAAATAGAATCTTTACGCGATAAGATTTTCACTTTGATCTGAAGAATTTTTTCCTCTATTTGCCATCGAGATCAAATTGAATTTCAAAATAAAGTTTTATGATAATTCTTTGGTCCAACTGTGCAAGAAGTTCATAAATTATCTGAATAGAATATCAATGGGCATTTTCCTGTTCGTACTTGATTTAAAGGAGAAATTTCTGAGCATAGAGAAAGCTTCATTTATAAATCAAATGCTTAAGCGCTATGCAGATTTTCCCTTCACCATTTGGTCGCCAATTTGACTGTTTCAAGATTCTTTTTTACTGCAGTGAAGGAAGTGAATATAATAACTCCCAACTTGTATCAAACCCAACATGCTCCAACTTTTCCTTATTGAATATTCATATTTGCTATCAGTTTTGGGCAAATTATTTTGTGCCATGCTTCTTGATCCAACTTTTCGGGCCCGACGAAAACGAGCGAGAGTGTTAAATAAGATTTCCTTTCTACAAGCATGACTTTTGCCAAAAACCCTCCGCTTTAAATTGTATGTAAAGAAGGCTTTCAACTAAGTAAATCATCATGTGAAAAGACGGAAACAGGAAATCACGCCTCAAATACTTTTGTCAACACTCTTTCCAACGAAACGGTCCAGTTAACTTCTAAGAATAGAAATATTATTCAATTTACAAAGATTTTGATGAGAAGGCAAAGACTTTTATGATTATCTAAAATTTTTCTTCATAACCGTGAGTGAATATGTTGAAAAAAATTATAATTAATATTTTTAACGAGCTTAAGAGTTGCAAAAAAGTTCCTCAACAAGCTTTTGTTCTTATTCGCTTTCGTAGAAATCAAAATTTATATCCTGAATCAGCGGTGAAAAAAATAAACAAGCTGAGGTCGTTGTAACTTTTAATGACTTTCAATGAAGCTATCAAAGCATTGCCAAAATAAGTTGAGATAATGATAAGAATGGAATTCAGACGTTGTTACAATCGAAGTAGAAATGTAAAATCTTAACGTGTTGTGTACTTTCCACTTCAAAATTCGTTCTAATTCAAACATTTTGCTTTGAAATCATTGCTGAAAATCCCATAATGCAATTTCCAATGAAACATTTATATGTTTTACAGCTTCTTAACCCGTCTACATCGTTTGAACTGATAGTTCAGTAAGTTGAATCATTTTATTTTAAATGCATGCAATGATCAAGTATTTGAATTTAACAACACTCACTGCATTCAAAAGTGTCAGTCAAACGAAAAAAAAAAAGAAAAATGGAAAGTTTTTTAATAAAAACATCACTAAGTTAATAAAACTTTATTGACTATTGATTTTTTATTTTGGTTTAGCTCCGGGTGTATAAATTATTTATTTCTATCCTTTTATTATTATTACACCAGATCAAAAATTTAAGGGTGGAGTGGAATTTTTTTTTTGGCTTATCAAATATTTATTCCAACACGTTAGATGGAGAAGTAATTTTATTGAATCGTCAAACGGGATGGTACATGTAGCCTCGATTCTTGTGCCAATATTTTATTTCCACTTCCAACATTCCACCTACATTAATAAAAGTGATAAAAATAATTTGAGGAAATAAAAAATTGATAGACCTGCGGACTTGTCGATGCAGAGAAGGGTGAAGGGTACGGAAATCCATGTCGATATAAAATATAATTCGGATAAAAAATTAGAGCTCTATCAAGAATTATTATTTAGTTTGATTTGTTTTGTTGCCTTTTTAATTCCAAACAAAATGTTGTTGCCAATGAAAACGATTCAAATTGAAATTTTGTTTGATGTTTTAAGAATTTTCGACAGTTATTTGGAAGGATGAAAATTTTAAGAAGAGAGCAGTTTAATAAAGTTTTTTGATGTTGATTCTTAGTACTAATTAACGATAAATATTTGAAATTGGTTAAAGAAATTTTATTGTTTAATTTCTGAGAATTTTAAAATAATTTAGATTAAAGCGTCATAAAATCACGGAACATGAAAATATGAATTGAATATCAGGATGTAATTTGAGAATTATTGTAGGAAATCTTATTAATTATTTAGCTTTGTAATAGAGACATATCCTGACTACCATTCACCTAAAATTTCTGTTAAGGAAGCTACTGAAAATATGAGAATGTAGAATGAAGGTTGCCTAGAAGATTTTGATGTGTGTATGTACGTACAACTTGATATCTTCGCCCTCTAATAGATACATTGGATTTATGATTCAATAGAGTGAATACTAATTTATTTACAGACTCACTCATTGCCTTATTTGCAGCTAAGGAACAATAGAGAAAGAAAATTTCTATGTTCATTGGATTTTGATAAATGATATGAGATTGAAAATTTCTATCCTCCCTCTTCGTCTTATGGTGTCTCAATTTATGACTCAAAAGTCATATCTGATTTGTATTCAAATCAATCATGTTTTAAATCAAACATGTTAGAAAAGATTGAAGCAACAGACGCTTGTCTTCATCAAGTTTTATGATTTTCAGAGTTTTCAAAAGAGATTTATTGAAAGTCATGGGAAATTTCAAAAGTTGAAACTTTGCAGACGATTGAAAATTGTTTGAACTTTTTGAAAGAATAAAGAAATAATTCATTCATCATGATTCATGAAATGTCTTTCTGTTAAACATCAATTCTCGGATAAGAATCGTACTCAGCTTTTCTGATCTCTCGTCAGTTCAAAAGCACATGAATTTATATGTTATGGAAACAATAAATGTTGATTATTCAGTACAAATAATAATCTTAATGGATCTTTTAATTACATAGTATACATTCCATCTGATATATAAATAAATACTTCACCTGAAAGCTTTCAATTCAACAAAATTTTGCGATCCTTGAAATTCAGCGCCAACTCAACTTAATTGAAAAAAAAAAGTTTCGAAAATATTTTTGCGATGTTTTGCATAAAAAATTGATACATGCAATCTCATTTCTTTTATGCTTTCAGTCGTATCATAAATTTTCAACAATAGAGTAACGCCATCCCTCGATATCCACATGTTTCATCAATTTATTGCCCATGAATCAAATATTTATTAAATTGAGTTTCAGAGGATTTTGCCAAAAAGCAGTTGAGCAATGAAAGGAAAGAAAAGCAAAGCTAGATAAGGAGAAAGTTGAGAGTCAATAACGATATAGGAAGCAATGATATAAATATTGTAGTCTCATTTCTTTCAAACAACAAAGTCTCGAAGTGAAATAAAAAAAAAGTAGGAAGAAAGAAGCAAATGAAATCCTTTTTCTGGAACAACATTTTTTTCTCCTTCTTTGGACGAAGATCGGTATGCAAAAAATTATAAATTAAGTTGTTTCAGATACACAATAGCGAGGAAAAGAAATAAAACCAAAAAAGGCGTGGTAAACAGACAACAAGGCGACAGCTTAACTCATTCTTTAAGTGATTTGAGGTCGAGTAGGATCACAACATAGTCGAGATATTGCGTCGAACAGCATGCATTTGCGGTCTCCGCTCTTCATTTATTATTTTACGATTTGGCTTTTTTTTCCTTACGCAAAGATTTAATCTTTGATAAGTTTAAGAAAGCAAAAGTGGTCGTAGAGAGCTACAAGAGGGAAATAAAGCTGACTTAAAATATCGATTGAGATTTGCTTAAGTTTATATGCATACATAAAGAGAACTTCATTAACATAATTCGCCTGTCCCCTCCTCACTTTTTGCTTGCTTCTCATTCCTTAAATAGAACGTAAATGAGTCATTAGAATAAATTAAGAAGTCATGTTGCAAGAGAAGGAAGTTGAATTCATTGAGTTGTAATATTTGGTTAAATCGTCTTGAAACGTTCTTGAAAGAAAAGGAAGTTCGTCTTTATTCAGACCATCTGCATAAGATTTCCATTAAACATTGCATAGGCAAATGAAAGTTTTCTTTAATTTTTCTTTTTTCTTCTCTTGCACAAAACGAATTAAACAATTGAATTAATATTTTTCAATACTTCTTATTCCAAACAACTGTGCATGCTCTTGAATGTTCTTTCTTTAATGTTCAATGGAAAGTTTTCGTGCTACTGAGTAGTTTCATTTGTAAAGATTTTCATTCGTAATTTGATACAATTTTCTTTATTTCTCTTTTGATTACTAATAGGTAATCATATATGTATGAATGATATAATATTTTGCAATAAACGCACGCTGCATTGAAACTTATTACGGAGGCATTAAAGCTCACTTTTACGACTCCAGTGGTGAAGTTAAAAACACTTACCATAATCAAAATTCTTGTTATACTGTGAATAAATAAGTAATCTTGAATTAAAATGTCGTTACGTATTTTAACGTAGAAAATAATTTTCTCACAATGGAAACGTGTGGGAACGTAATTGCATTTAATCAAAGTGAGAATAAATTACTAATGTAGATATAATTAACTTTTTTTTTAATTCTTAAAGAAATATTTACACGATTAGTTTCAAGTAGATATTTAAAAAAAAATGAAATCTCTAAAATCTTTATGACTTCAACACAATTCAAAACTCATTGACATGATGTTTATTTAAAAATAAGAAACATAAATTTCATTCAACGAAAGCTCATAAACATGTGAGGTCTTGAATAAATATTTGAAGTGTACTGACAGAAATATAATTCGAGAGAAAGAAAAATTTTCCAACTGTTTGCATTTAGATAAATGAAATGAAAATATTTCAAATATTTTCCATCATATCAAATGTTAATTTGTCTACCTTTATTAAGTTGAGAATCAGTGGGAGTCAAACTTAATTGACCATTACACTTCTAAGTATAGCAAAGACTTTAATTAAAAAGCTTTAAATAATGAGAAGATAGTCGCACTTTTACAATTTTTAAAACCTCTCGAACGACCTCGACCCTTAGCACTTTAATAAATCTTTTTGAGAAATAACATTTCACCAGATAAGTTTCATCTTTTGCTTTCTCTTTTTTTTCATTTGAATGGAATGCAAATTGGATTGTTCGTGCTATAATACAAGAGTCTCATTCCCGTAATAAAAGAGCGCGTGGAACCTGACAGAATCTCAGCTTGAGACTCTCGGTGCCTTACGAAAGATGGAATTAGCCATATAAAATTAAATTTTATGATCACATCATAAATACCTCGCCTAAATTGCCCAGCGGTAATGAATAATTTTCTTTTTCTTCACAAAAATTAAACGCTACTACCATGGAGGTGTTAAGGTGCGAAAATATTATAAAATGATTAGGGGATGTTACTTGAAGGACGTTCGCTTCGGAAAAAAAAACATTTCAAGTAAGAATATCTTGTAAAAGGAACTTTACATTTATTTTTCTTTAATTAAATTCCGTCATAAACATCAAATTTAAGCTTTCAAGCAGTTTTTTTTCTTCTTTTCTTTTTTACAGACAATTTTAATTATTCCGTTTCGGTATTGGTTGAAAGAAGCAAGTTTAATTTAGTTAATGATAAGATTAAGCAAGCATGAGCCATTTGAAGTCATCAAAGAGAAAATAAAATAAAAGAAATATCATAAATTGAATTAGCTGATACGCAAAGTAATGTTAAACATTTGCAAAACGAGAAAGAGAAAGAGAGAGATAAATAATTTAAGCGAATAGCAAAAGAATTTATCATAAACATACCTTTATAGTCTCTTGTGGATAGAATGGGAAGCCGAACAAAAATGATTGTATAATAAAATAACACTTTTCTTTAACAACGTAACGAGCATTGTTTATTTTTGTGATTCCCTCTTCATCGTTTTCAATCACTAGGAAATCTCAACATAAAAACGATGTTCATGTTCGCACAACAAGTTAAACGATAAACTGCGCATGTTATCCAAGTATAAAGCATTCAGGAGAAGTTGATTCTGATTGTATCAAAAAGAGATTCTTGTTTGATGGTTTCATTCAGTTTTGTCGTCGAGCTCTTGCTATGTAAACGTGACATCGCGATAAGCGGTAACTTGAGTGAACTAAACAATGAGTTTAAAATATTTATACCATTGAAAGCCTGTATTAATTATCATTTCATTGCTGCTAAAAATGAATAAAAGATCCGTACAAACGACCTACATTACAAGAAAAAATCGTTGCGAATAAATTTTATTTGTGATTTAAATCTACTTTCATTGTCACGACAATTAAAAACTTCTCAACAAATACGAAGAGCGAAAGCAGGAAACCGGAAATATCGAATAATGGAAATGAATTAAGTGCGAAACAAATAAAATAAATAACCGGAGACAAACACAATTCCGCAGAGCGTGGTTAAAGAATAAAAAAAAGTGTTGATAAAGGCGCTTTGATATCACGCGCCCTTCTTAAAAACAGTTCAAGAGCCAATTAGGAAAATTGAAAAGGATACGCATTAATAAGAGAATTGCTGTGTGTTGAACGACTTTGACGAGGTCGCGAAGACTGACGGGAAGGCACATAAAAATAAAAGAAGGAAAGAAAGGAAGCAAGAAAGAAAGAAAAGAAAAAAAAAGTTTTGTCAAATCAGAATCATGACACGAAGTCAAAAATTCTTTCTTTGCGTTTATGGTTAAGTGATTCGTGACACCAAGTAATAAAGAAGATAAATAAAAAAAAGAACCAACGAAAGAATCTTCCCAAATAAGGAAGGAAGTTATGATGCATAGAATGTGGGAGTAAGAATAAAATCGCGAACATTTCAACCTTTAACTGTGATTACCTTGATAACATCAAGCAAGGCAGGAAAAAAAGAATATTTGAAAGCAGTTAAGCGGTGTATTTGAAATCGCATTTTCAATAAGGAAAGGATAATGTGCAGGGAATATTATTGTTATATCTGATATCAAGTGTTATTTAGTGGCTTTTAAATCGCAATCAAAATTTATCGACGACAAGGGAGGGAGAAGACTCGTTTTTCTCATTTTTTAACACTAAAAGTGTGGAGACGAGCCAGGATTTTTTTAATAATCAATGCCATGATTTTTACCTTCCTCCTGATCATATCGAATGGTGTTCTCATAAGCAGTATTCAATCAAATGAAGGTATTACTTGTTGACCTGTGAAATCTTTTGTCTCTCTCTCTCTCTCTCTCGTTCTTTTTCCTTCTAAGAAATTCTCCGACCAAACTCGATGACGTTCACAAAAAACGCTGCCAGAAGAAATAAATTTTTTCCGCTGTTTTTCACAATAACAAAAGTTCATGTAACATCAAGAAATTTGATACAATTTATTGTGATTCAAAATGGCATTTACTGAATAGAATGAATAAAGGAAGAGGGATGCGCTCGATAACTACTGAAATAAAATTATGAAATCAAATGAATCAAACTTTTTTTATCGGCGGTTTTTCAATCATAATGAAGATCAGTTCATTTTCATTCAGTGAAGGGAAACAGGAAACAGACGTAAATATCCGCGTCCGTTCGTTTCCTATCAGCATTTCCATGAAAATTCATAATTTTTGTCAAAGCCAGGCAGTCAAAAGTCGAGAAAATATTCGAAAAGTTTCATATTTGGCGAGATTCAAAAGCTTCGGCCGATGAAAAACTGAATAAAAAATTTCTCTGTCTTGAATACAAATGTGAATGAGAAGGCGGTAAATAGAAATTCTTCTCTTCTTTTTTGTTGTCACTTGTTTACAATATTAAGGCTTAAATAGCGGAAAGTCGAAAGCTAAAATCTGAATGAAAAAATCATGCTTTGAAAGTTTTAAAAAAGTGAAGAAACTTTTACAACAAGCGGGACACAATTTGATTTTTCACAGTTCATGCAGGCAGTAAATAAAGTGAACGAAGAATTTTCAATGTAATAAAAAATGCAATCAATGAATTGAAATAAGCAAGGGGATGTTCAGGATGACATTTGAACTTCATCATGAACTGCCAGCGTTATCACGACAGTGACTAACAATTCTCGATATTAAAACCGATAACCGAGAACCGATAACCGGATGGTTTTTCCGGTTATTTCGAATACTAGGTTAACCGAGATTTCTATCGGTTAACCAAAAAATAACCGAAATTAGCGAAATTTACTCCTATTAAATTTTTTTTTTCACAAATTGTCTCGTTTTTTGATTATTGTTGAATGAAAACGAATTAAAGTTTAGTAATATGCATTCTTTCCTTTAAAAATAATTTATTTTTATAAAATTGTNAAAATGCAATCAATGAATTGAAATAAGCAAGGGGATGTTCAGGATGACATTTGAACTTCATCATGAACTGCTAGCGTTATCACGACAGTGACTAACAATGTAATCCCCTGCATAAGGAAAAAGAGTGAAAACTTTAATGAAATAAAAATTTAAAATCATGATCGTGATTGAAAAGAATGCAAATATTCATTTGAAAGGCAGAATTAATCCAATTAAATGATGAATTATGAAAAAAAAAATACCGCAAATATTCATTAATGTAAATTCTAGTGAATGGAAAAACATTGTCATTGCTATTTAGACTATGAAGTTTGATGATGCGCTGTAAACAAATTTCACTTTAAACCTGCTAATCTAGATTATAAATAAACTGTTATTTAATGAAAGAATTAAATATCAAAACTATTCGCTGCCTTCCATCCACCCCCGCTACTGTATACTTGAACTTTTTATCCATAATTTTCCAAAGTTTTCATCTTAATTTCAAGCAATAGGATTGCTAGCTAACGATATCAGGAATCCAATATTTTTCCTCCTGAATTAATCCTTTCTGAAAAGTTCTTAAATACATAAAATAAAATGAAATGCACGAAACTTTTGCCTTCTGCTTAACAAAACTTTATGCTCCTTTATGTAAAAGGCAAAGAAGTTGAAAAATCATGCATTTTGAGAATTTACAGCGAAAGTCACGAGATGGTCGAAGAATTCTTTTTCCTCTCCTTAAGTTTTTTCCATTGTTGACAGTAAAAAAAATATCTATAGAGATTCGAGGATGAGCGAGAGTCAAAAATATCCATTTCAGGTTTCAAAAAATTTCTTGTTTAAAATAAACGAGAAAATTTCGTGATTATATTTTTTTTTATCATTCTTTTAAACTCTCGTATGAAACTTTTGCATTCCAAATGAACGTTTTAAGCAGAACATCCAAACGAAACCAACTCATATATTCAAGATAGAGGTGAGCAGTGTTAAAAACATTTTTCCTTCTTTTTACTCTCCTTTTTTAATTTTAATTTTCACCTTTGGCAGAATAAAAGGAAAACTCAATAAGTTAGAACAGTTTTTCACGTAAACTAATGTTTGACATTGGTTTATTATTCACTAGTACAAGTAGAAACTATTTCTTCTTGTAATGATGGATTTATGATGATTGCCATGAGAAGCTGCTTCATAAAAGAAAAGTTAAATTGTGAGGGGTTCGTTCCTAGAAAATGTCGCTTTAACTTAATAAATTATTAAGAAGCAAAATCAGTAAACATTTAAATAATTCTATTTACAAGTCAGAAATTTTTCCTGTTTTCACTTTTTAATGCTATTAGCAACATCAATCATAATAACATTTAAAATCATGAAGTGGAATTAATAATTCTTTAGAAAAATGTTGACGCTTCAATTCAGGTGAATCACTAGTAGATTTTATTACACAATTTCCTCAACTTGATTCTTCTCCCCAAGCCCACATAACTCAAAACGTGTATAAGATATTTACTCGTAATTTCCCCTAGAAGAGACGAGTAGCAATAAAGCTTCTTTCTGACTAGAACGGAAACTTCTTGTTTAAAATCAGCACAAAAAAAACTTCTAAACTGAAACTGCAAGGAAATTTATTTTTCTGTCTCTTTAAGCACAAGACACGAGTGAAAAGTGTATGTGAGAGGGCATGAAGTGATAAAAAATTAAAATGATAGTGCAATTGCTAAAAACTGAAAACAGATTATGTATATAAAGTATAAACAAGGCTCACAATTTATAGGACGTACGAACGAACTCGAGTAAGAGTGGAAAATGAAGCATACGGTTGGGTCGGTTGTTTGTTGTATGAATGCACATGAGCATACATTTAAGTACATAATTTTTACCGCAAACGATTCTGTGTTGTTGTGGCTCTTTTTTTATTCTGAATTTCAATAAAAAAAATAACTGATATTGTTTCGAAAATTAAATTGATTTTAATGTTTGCAAATAATTTATATTTTGAACTTCTCGACTTTTTTTTATGTCGCTGGAATTGTTGAGAACAGACACGCCAAAATTTGGTGAACCAATCCAAAATCAGACGATAGCAGTGGGACGAGAAGCTGTTTTTAGTTGTGTAGTGGATAATTTACAAACCTATAAAGTGAGTGAATAAAAGAAATTTCTTTTCTTACTTTTTGTGTTCTCTTTTTATCATTCACTGAAGAACTGGAGAAAAAATATTTCTAAGTCCATAAATATTTAGTAGTATGAAGTCTTGCATGAAGTAGAAGAATTGCAAATGGATGGAAAATATGTAGTTGGAAATTTTATGAGGCAGAAGACAATGAGTGCAATAAAGTTCACGGTTATTATCAGTTAACACTTCGCAATGAACTTTAAGGTCTTTAAGGGACATTTTTTAACTTAAGGCTTGACTTAAGGGTTTACTCGCTAAATTGCATTTGCACAATGAAATATATTTTCTGCTTTTACGATGCTTTAAATTCGCTGACTTTTAAGGTTTCAAAACAGACAAACATTTTATGAGAGATTTACAATTACACGAGTCAAATTGGCGTGAAGTGATTAAAGAATTACTCGCACTTTTAATTTATTTAACAATAAAAGTGATAAGTTATGCAAAATGAAATTTCATTATGAAATATTTAAATATTATTGTAATTAAAAATTAGCTGTAATCACATTAATTATTAATCAAATGCATCATCAATTTCAGAATGTTATGATTATTTGTTAATGACTTTGTCACAATCAAACAATTTATGTTTGAAATCTGGTTAAGTTTGCATGTTTCGAGATTGTTACAAAATGTGTCGTAATCAAAACCACTTAATCAATGCAATGCCTCTATTAAAATATCAGCAAATATTGCGTTGAAATATTAATTGGTTTTGCGGTCTTTGCGTGAATAAAATTAATTATAATTCATTTGTGGTCTTTTATCACTCATTCTACAATTTCATTTACTTTTAATAAGATTGCGTGGCTGAAAGTCGACACTCAGACAATTCTATCAATTCAAACACATATAATTACCAAGAATCATCGAATGACTGTATCGCATGTCGAGAATCGTGCTTGGGTTCTTCGAATCAAAGAAGTAAAAGAATCTGACAAAGGATGGTACATGTGTCAAATCAACACAGATCCAATGAAGAATCAAGTTGGTTTTTTAAATGTTGTGGGTGAGTTTCAACATCAAATAGAAATTTGTTAAATTTTCCAATGTTTCTTGTTTGTTATTCAGTGCCTCCAGACATTCTGGACTACCCCACAAGTACCGACATGGTAGTTAGAGAAGGAAGCAATGTAACACTAAAATGCGCAGCTAGAGGCTCTCCAACACCAAATATCACGTGGCGTCGTGAAGGTAGTGAACCAATCGCGTTAGCAGGAAACAAAGAAGGTAAAAATAAAATTATGATTCGATTCGCTTTTCTGCTCCACTTTACAGCTGATGAATTGTCGTTCATTTCATTCTACATTCTACTTTAAATAAGTATTAAGAAATTAGTCACACCGTACACTCGACATTGTACACTGTTTGATATCTGATTACTAAGGACATTCTCCAGTGCTTTAAAGCAAGCACGTCTCAATTAGTTTTCAATTTTGTCCCTTGTTTCTCAACCTATGTATGTACTATTTATTTAATGTTTTTATATTTCTTTATTCTTTCCTTTTTTCTGTTCTTCTACTTCAACCACAACTCTGTTCTCATTCTATACTCAGTGACCAGCCATAACGGATCAATACTCAGCATATCTCGTGTAAATCGCTTGCATATGGGTGCATACTTATGTATAGCTCAGGTAAATTAGAAGGAGATCTCACTTGTAGATAGGAAATTTGTGCGAGCTTGTGGCTAAATATTTACTTTTTCCATTTTTTATTATTCCAGAATGGTATACCGCCGAGTGTTTCGAAGAGGGTGATGTTAATAGTTCATTGTAAGTATTTAACCTACCCAGTCTAGCGAGTGTTAAAAATCATTAGAAACACCATATAAAATGCTTACTTTCCACACCATCTGCAACCGCTTTTAAAGTGTTGTGATCTATGTGCAGTGGAAATTGTTAATGTCATGCATGTGTACAACCCAACCTTACGTCCGAAAAAAGAAAAGAAAAACGCTTAAAAAATGGTAATTTTATGCACTGATTCTAGTTTGAAAGGAAGGAACGGGAAAAACAAGAATTTCTCGCAATAAAGAATGATAATCGAATAAAGATAAACATAAGTTATACAGTTGAAGAAACAGACGTTCGTTCATGAACGATGCTTGTAAGCTTCACTTTCGCTGTTTCCTTTCTGGTGGCAATTTTTTCTCTCTCAACTCTTTTCATACTTCAGAATGAAATAAAATCCTTTTACACAAAGTTTATTGAGAAATAAAAGAGAAAAAAGAAGAAGTCGAAAGTGAACGAGTTTTAAGTGGAATTAAATGGAACTTTGAAAAAGTAGGAAAAGTTTTTTGAAGTTTCAATAATTATCGATGGTGTGAAGAAGTTAAGAAGGCAAAGTAGGAATAACAATTTGTGTCATTTATACGAAATGAAATGACATCAATGATTTCCTACATTCACCTGCAATAAAAAATATAACAAAGGAAATTTAGATTGTTGCAATTCCCACAAATTTTGTCGTTGCACTAAATTTGAAACTCCACAATTTCCACAATAAAAACTACATTGAAGTGAATTTCATTCAAATAATTGTGCACTCAAAAGTGAGTCAAGGTAACAATGTTTGGGTAGATGGGAAGTCGACGAATAAAGTATAAAGTAATCATCAGCTGTGTGCGGTAGCGAGCATAAAAAAAATATTTGTGGCAATTTTTCATGTGATTTCGTGTGGAGTCAATTACCAGTACGGAATAAATCTCGCTGCAAAGCAATGAAAATGTTGAAGGTTTTCTCTTTTCATTTGCCGCAGGTTTGTTTGCGTTGTTTCTGAGCTTTGCTTTCATATCGTTTAAATATTTTCAAATTGAAATCATAACATCAAAAAGGTGTTTGATGTCTCGTTTGAAGAGGCATAGATGCATCAGTGTCATGATGACAGAAGTTTAAATTTAATTTAATGAATAAGAGATGAAAAGTTCACATCTGATTTCGAGCATAGAGTGGAAATGTTGACTTTCCATCTTGTATATTTATTTGTAAAGAATGCAATGAGAACTACGATAGTAAAACGTTGAAGCAAATGCTACCGTATCAAGTAATCGTTTCAAATTGCATTTTCCATCTCATTTAAAACATAAGCAACATTATAAAAGAAAATAATGAAATAAAAAAAATGTGATGTCCGAAGGAATAAAAAGAGATAAAAAAATTAAATTGAAATTTTGAGACGTTGTGTATGTGCAAAGTCTGTGAAAATTTAATTTGGCTGATGATTCAACTTTTCTTTTTAATTTTTCTGCTTTTTCCTTTAATGCTACAACAACTGCTTTCGATGATATTTTATTTCAAACGTATTTTCATTCGCTCTTCGTTTATGTCGACACGTTCATCTTTGTGCAGTTCCTCCAATGGTTTGGATTCAAAATCAACTTGTTGGAAGTGCAATCGGACAAAAAATCACGCTCGAATGTCAATCGGAAGCTCATCCAAAGTCAATTAATTATTGGATGAAAAACGACACGATCATTACAAACGGTGAGTTAAATAATTTCACATTCTACATGATTTTTTAGGTCTGATTTAACCTTGAGTCCCATAAATTTAATACTCAATGATCTTAATCATGACAATAAAAGCCTCATTGAAAGAATTTATTGACTTAGAAGCTCAACAAGTTCAAAAATTAATGTTTCGTCGAGCCATTGACAAAACCCTTCGCAATCTCTTAAATAAATCGAGAATGTTTTATCATCGTTCAAGTGCTATCTGCTTGAAAAAGCTCCTTGAGTATCCTGATGAGGGTAAATTAACCGAGGATTTATGGGTTCATCATTATTATTGTTAACTAAGGGACAGAGAAAGAGAGAAAGAATGTCTAAGCTCAGCATTTTGTGATTAATCTGATAAACTTGAGGATAGCATTTAAGTAAGAAAACATCATGATAACATGCGTTGCAATTTCTTCTAGGAAAACGCTACGAGCCAGTTAACATAGACAACACTTACAAAGTTGTTATGAAGCTTACCATCAATTCAGTGAGTCAAGGTGATTTCGGTTCCTATCGTTGTGTCAGTAAGAATTCTCTTGGAGACACAGACGGCTCGATTAAGCTTTATCGTAAGTATTGAAAGTGCCGGAAGAAATTTCACCACAATTTTATGATTATAACATATTATTTGATCATTACCCGTAATGCTTGCACATACGTTTTCCTTTCCTCTGCATGCACACAAAAGTGGGGGAAAGAAATAAAAATTTCTTTTCACTTAGCATTGGAGCTAGTTTACCTTCTCATACATTTATAACAATTTCCTGCTCACACAGAGAGCATAATAGCAGTCGATCTCGCTTCTTTGGTCTCGGGAGGATAAAGAAAAAAAATGAAATAATAAAATAAAACCTTTTGATTTAATTCAAAGAATAAAAGGCGAGATTATACGAAAAATTATTTTTCAATATTTGCTTTTCCAGAAAAATCTTTATGTGAAACGAAATAATAAAATTATATTTATACGTAAATTTTCTACACAGTTTCGACTACCTCCATAGCATATTCACATCATTATATTTTCATACATGACTTGTTTTTATCGTTTTCTCAAAAATCTAAATTTTTCTCCATCCGTTTATGTTCGAACTTTGTTATACACATCATCACATTTCTCATGAAAAAGGTGGCATGGGAGAGATGAAGAAATAAAAATAGAAAGAGAGAGCGAGAATGGAAAGTTCGGGACATTTATATGTGAAATATCCAATCATTTATATCCTCATATGTTTCAATTTATATTTTAACAAATGTTAGGTTGACCCGTTCTAATGCAGATCAGGAAGTACACTAACGAATATCTTTACCTGCTGCCTTTCGATATTTGATAGATATCCTGAGTGTTGTTGCTTCGTTCTACTTCCCTTTTAGCCTTTACGTCTCATGCCACAATGCTTGTTCAATCCGGATGGTCACACAAGTGTTCATATTACGCTTATTAATCAAAGGGACAAGCAACGAATATTTGAATCAATATTGAGTTTTCAATTTTGATTTTCTTGTAATTTTGAAACCATTCAGATATGTTATTTTCAATAACATTTCAATATTACAATGTCTTAGCAATCTACTGTCAAAATATGTTTCATTCAACTTGAGTTCGATGTAAATTTAATTTGTACAAAAATCTTTTGTTGAAGCAATAATAATTATAAGTTTCGGAAATAATTGCATTGAAATTTTATTCTCTATCGTATTAAACCAGATATACCGCAAGCTACGATGCAGACTACACTTCCGCCAACAACAACAACTACCACCAAAATGATAACAACAACATCTGTCCACAGGAATGAAAATATGATTGGTAAGAGAGTTTTGGTGTGTTTGTGAGCTTTTTAAGTTAAGTTTTTAGCTTTCTATTTTATTGTCAAAATGGCTTTGTCAAAATTATTTGTTCGAGTTAGAATGAAACAATTATCAATGCATTTAAAATAAATTATTTTATGTTCGACATACAAATTTGTGTTTATGATATGTTTTTATTAATTATAATAACGAATCAATGATTTTGCTTTAGTTTCTCTGAAAAACCTTTCACGAGAGAATACTTTTTAATGATCTATAATTTACATTTTGCATTAATAAATTTTGTTAAATAAAAATACGTTGGATACAAAATAAACAACTACAAAAAAAGGTGCTTAATGTTTAACATTTGTTTATTTTTATTTATCATTTGATGCGACAATAATATTGACATCAGTGACCCGAGAAAATAAAAGCTTGAAACAAAATGCACTCGCTTGCAAAATATTTTTCCCTTTTCACACAGCTCTGAATAATTTTAATGATTTGTTATTTCGAATAGTAGATAAGTTATGGCGCATATCTCTTGCAGAATCTTCAGTTTCTCTTCACGATGTAAATTCATTTGAATAACATTTTTATTATTTCTCATGTTTCGTCTCTTCGTCTTTCTTTCTTCTTCTCTCTCTTTCTCTTTTTCATGCTTTACTTGTACAGATAAAATGTCGAATTACAAATCAATCGATGATTATTTAATATTGAAAAACGTTGGAGGAACTTCGGGTCAGAATTGGAATGCAGACAGCCGAGACAGGGGTATTATGTTCATTTTATTTTCTTCTTTCGAACTTTTTTTTTTCTTTTTATCATTCAAACACTAAAAGAACAAGACCAAGCGTTTGATAATTCATGTAATGTCTTGTGGAATTACAAATACGACGATTGGCTTTTCGCATCATTTCTTCACCATTACACAAATTTAATTAAATTTTTTTTCCTTCATTCATTGTTAGTACTTGATAACAAGAAGACTAACTTCATTCATCCAAATCGTAATGTTTTACTGATGATATTATGAAAATAAATCGAATATTATTGATGATGGAAATTGTTTTAAAAGGAATTGTAATCTAGAATTGAACTTTATCTATGCATGACAAAAAAAAAATAAACGAAATCATTTCCTTCGTTCTTCTTTATTTCGATTATATCAGTACTTTGTGTAACCCAAACGTACATTTTGATCTTCCAAACTGTATTTTCATTATCAGGTTTATTGGAACATCATTGATTATCATCTAAATAGAAAGCTCTCATGCGGATAAAATTCCTACCAATTCTCCTAATTCTCCTTAATTAAATAGTCAAACAACGTTTTCGAGGGTGCAATAGAGTTGTCACATGTAAAATTCACAATATTGCAATCTCTTTGATTGGATTCTATTTTCAAATGATTTGGTTAGATAGAATTCTACGGTAGATACATACTTTTATATAGATAACTTGCAATAAAACTTTTCTATCATCATCTCAAGCAAGATGAAGATTTTTGACTATCATCAGCACATATCATCGAGAGTAATTAGACACAGAACTAGCTAATCGTAAAAATGTTCAGGATCAATTTCAAGCTTCATCACTCTCATAAAACTTAATTCACATTTGTAATTTGTGCCACTGCTGGTAGTTTTGAAGTCTTGAAGAATTCGGAACAAAAAAAATAATATAAAATGAAATAAATTTCAGTTAGTTACCACACGTATCTTGATCTTCATTTTCACCCAAGAACAACCACAACTCAATCAATCGTTAACAACTTCTGACTATTTTCTATTCAACTCCCACCATTTTGAGTGGTTTTATGTTTCAAATCATAAAAATCCGAAAGCCATCAAAAAGTTTTCATCATGAAACTTTCTTTAATTCTTCATCACATTTTTCTCATCTCATTCCAGATCATCGCCTGCAAAGTGAAAGCATAGCAAGTACAGAAGTTCAAAAAATGAATGAACATGAGATATCTTCTTCAACAAGTCTGCTGTCGTCAAAAACATTAGCATTAATTTATTCTCTTTATTGTTATCTTTATATTTAAGAGTGATTTCGCGTTTTATTTTCATTTACCTGTTGACGAAAAGGGTTTTTGCTTCTCATCAACTTTGTTCATATTTGCGATTATTGGGCGTCATTTAAGGCGGACAAATTATGAGTGAATTAAGCGCTTTTTACTCTTGTAATGTCGAACATTGAAGAGTTGTTTTATAAGAAAAATATGTATTTTAACTGAATAATTATTTACAGAAAATCTGTTTCCTTTTTTCTGCTTTTAAAGCCGTTTTTAATTTGACTGCAAATGAAGCTTTTGCTCTAGTTTATAGGAAAATTTAGTGAAAGATAAATGCTAATTTGTCAAAGTATCAGCTCAATCGATCAACTGTTTATATAATAAATAAAACTATTAATAATGTAAATAAATAATGATTATTGATGACATTAAAATGGATAAAACGTTGTAGTAGTTAGATAATTGCTGTAAAAAATGGCTCATTAAGTACAAAAAAAACATGAAAATTATGACAGGTTTTCCCTTAAAATTTAATTCAAGAACTTTGACGAAAACTACAATAAGCAACTTATAACGAGGTCACAGATTCTGCAATATCTATTCAATGTATTTTAAATTATTGAAACATCTTAACTCTGTCAAAAAGAATATTTATTTTATGTATTGAAGATGAATTTAATCCGAATAAATTATATTGTACATTGTGTACTGGCATTTCTTCTCTCAGAGCAACAGTTCAGTTTGTATTTTATTTCTTCACTTTCATTTAGTTGTTTCATTTGATAGCTCAGTAAAGCTTGAAATTTCTTCCTCAAAAGAAAATAAGAAATTATGCATAAAATTGAATTTAAAAATGTGAAGCTTTTAATGAGATTAATTAGACTCCCTACATATTTACATAGAAAAGTTTGGAGAAGAAACTATGTAACTTAAATCTTGACTACTCAATCTTAAATTTGAGACGAAAAAGCGATGGAAAGTTTTAAGTGAAAGTATAGTGTTAAATAATTAAGAATGATATTTGGAGAAAACCATGTATTGAAATTATTTGATAAAGAATGATGTATTAATAAAAGTTAAATGACCGATATATGACTCATAAATGAAGCATTTTTGAATATTTGTTGGTAATTTGAAAAGCATAGAAATTGAGAATGCCAGAAAATTCCGTAGAACAAAATTGCGGCAGATAAGTTCTACTTCAATTATTTCTTTGTAAGAGCGGCGAAACTGCAATGAAGGCTTTTGTATTTGCGTGTACCATCGACACCTTCAAATGCAAAAGCTTTCATTGCAGTTTTGCCGCTCTTACAAAGAAGTAATTGAAGTAGAACTTATCTGCCGCAATTTTGTTCTCCGGAATTTTCTGACATTCTCTAGAAATTTGATGACAGTTTCATATAAATTGTGTCATTGGTAAATGTGATGCAATGATAGTGAAGACACAATTCTTTCATTTTCCAAAAAGGACGAAAGCTTTTATAACGAAACACGTGGAAAATGAAACAGTGGAAAAAACTTATAAATAATTTTAAAAGTAAAAATAATGTTTACTCTTGTCAATATTTGCGCTTTATTTCCATTTCTCGTCTTTTCAGAACAACAGAATATTAATTAAAAAGCATAAAAGCCCTTTAAATGTTTTTTTCTTCAAATGAATAACATTGCAATTATTTAGTGTAGTAACATTTCTTTCATCTCAAAGCTTCGATTAAGGAATTTATATGCCAATAAGTTATTAATGAACAAAAGAAAAATATCTCATTTACCTGAATTTGAATAACTTTTCTTTTAGATAGTTCTTAACATATATTTAATTGATTTATGAATGCTTATATTAGCACTGCGACGTAAAAGTCATAAATTGCAGCATCTAAGTCGATTTTAAATTTTCAAGACATTTCAAAAAGCAGTCTTTAGATATATTTAAATCTAGATATTTATTCTACAACGTCGAATTGATAATTTTCAAAACTGCCGTCAAATAAAATCATTTGTTTATATCTTAACATAATTTTAATAATGTCCCTGTCTTGAAATTCTTTCATTTATCGAAAAAACGAAATAAATTTTTGTTTGTGGTAAATGTTGCTTATGGTTATTTCATTTAAATACTGAACGATGATGTTTTATGATATTTATATATTCTTCATTCAGAATCGTGTCTTTGTACAGTTATTAATTATATTTTACACTGACGCCAAAGCTACTAAAAAAAAGATATTCTTACCATGATCACTTAACATTTAAATGTTAAAATGATTTAATGTCTTTTTCAACAGCGTATTTATTTGATTTATTTCTTTCATGCTATGATATACTTTTCTCAGGTTTCATCTGTGATATAAGTTACACAACTAAACACTTACAAAATACTTTTACTAATAACATTTTCATTACAGTAGCGACGATCATTTGAGCAATTTCCTTGATGTACAAATCACAAAAGCAGCTGAAAACACCACCACATAGAGATGTGAGAAATTTTCATTCCCTTGTGATGTGTACTCATACGAATCACCATTCGATTCACTAATTATCAGTTCTAAAACGAAAGAAAGAAAGTTAAAAGAATAAATTTATCAATTTTCTAATGGCATCGGAAACATTTTGTTTACCTTTTCGCTTACTTGAGTTTTCCGCCTCGCCATCCGAAACGTCATTGGATTCAATAAAATTATTTCCTTTTTTGTGTTTGCCTAGGAAATATTAAAAAAAATTATCTACTCTCTCGTTTCCGATATCATTGACATCGTTGAGATGTTTTGGAATGAGTGAAGGAAGAAAATTCAACCATCGTTTGCTTATTGAAAATCATTCAATTGTAAAACAGTTTAGCAATCGTAGAACTAAAGATGCTTCATCAGAATTCATAATTCAATATTATATTCGCTATTTACTCATAAATTAAACATCTTGTAATCAGATAGATAATGTCATAGACAATGAAAATGTAGTAAACTCACCCTTCCGTCTTCCTTCATGAAAATCTAAAGCGTTCATTTCTCCCCTTGGAATTTCTGAAAATTGTTAATGCTAATTAATTACTATTTACGAGAATGTCTGTTGATACAACTTACTATAAAGCTTAATAGTTCCATCAGTGTCACCAAGAGAGTTTTTAGCAACACATCTATAACTTCCAAAGTCGCTTTGACTTACAGATTTAATGTTAAGTCGCATGACTACTTTGTATGCATTATCAATAAGAACAGGCTCAAATTTTCCCCCTGAAAGAGAACATAAATGAATGAAGACAAACAGAGAAATGTTCGCGTGCAAATGATAATCGAAATGACATTTGAAAGCATATTGTAAAATCATTTGAATGGTGATGAAATGAGGTTACTAATGTGATCAATTTGTTGGGGAGTTTTCTGATATGTAAGTGAAAATTAGCCACCAGTGACTGGTGAAAATGATGATTTTCTAGTGCTATGAAAATTTTCATTACGAATATAATAAAATGAAAACAATAAAATGAATCTCAAAGGCACTATTAGACCTGAAATATTTATTTTATTAGAGAGATCATCCACATACACACGCATTTTTTTGCTTCTGTTATGTTAATTTACATTGGAAAATTTTGTAGTGTTTAATCAAATTGGAATTGAAAATGTGCTGAGACAATTCAGTTCAATCGACCAAAATTTCCTAAAGGAATAAAAAAATTATTCTTGAAGGAAAGATACAAAATTTTATTGTTGAATTGTTCGGAAATTGCATCAAAAGAAGTTTGTATCTTGTATCTTCCCTTGGATTCTTTTTTTGAATGTCACTTGTGGGTGCGAACAATAATAGAAAGTATCGAATTTCACATTTGCTTTTACAACATAAAATGGAAGCAAAACCAAAAACGATAAAAGGTCGAAGAAGAAACGATTTGCATTTCTGTTGGAGCATTCAATCTGGAAAATTTCAACTGAATGATTTAACGACCACTTTGTAGTTGTTCTCGATTAAGACAATGTCTTACAAAATGCCCATTTATTGTGACATCTTCGTTCCTCTTGCATGCTAGACCATCATTATAATTTTCCTAATAACTGACTTCGCTGAGATTGTGACACGTTCCAGATTTAATTTAATAATGGAAAATTTTAAAAATTCATTGAATTGTTCAGTGAATAAATTATGAAAAGAGAAGGCAGTTCGGAGCTTACACATGTGCATTTGATCGTGAGACTATAATTGAATTGGGAAGTCAATGCCAGAAGCGGATATTGTGCAGTTAAATATGGGATGGAAATCATTGGTAAACAAATGAAATGTAAATCTCGTTCTCTACCTTGTGGAACAATATCGCCTTTTTCCTTCGTCCAATAGTTAATAGACTTTGGATACGCTTCTGAATGGCACTCAAGCTTTATTTGTTGACCCTCGTACGCCCCTACGAGTTGGTTTGCTGTAATTACAATTGGAACTTGGCATTATGAAGACACAAAAGACTAATGACTCTTCATTATTACCTACTGATATCATTGGCGGAACTGAAATTAGAAACGATATCGTAATTAAAAGATTGAATCACAATCCATTCATCCGTCTTAGTCATATGTATGAATTTTAATTAAGATTAAAAGGAAATTTTGAAATACGTACAATGTACAATCAATGTTATCCTTTTGCTGACGGTAGGTGGTACGCCATTCGATGCGATGCATAAATATGCTAAAGCGTAATAAATAAACGAATGAATGAATGAACATCGAATGAAGATTTAACGCACAAAATCATTGAAGTGAGAAAATTTTAACATTTCAACTTACAACCCATGTGTAGGCGATCGACACGAGGAATATTCAGTGTCGCTCCTTCAACTGTAACTGAATAGAAATAAACAAATGAACTCATCTAAGTGGTTTTATCTTAATCACACATGTAAACAATAATGAATGTCAAAAATAATTATCGATTAAACTTTCAACTTTCTTATTAATCATCACGATCTCTTCAAGCCTATCTATTCATTTAACTTTCCCTTGATTGTCATTAAAAGTAGTCAAGTCATCCATTGAAATACGCGCCGCGACGAAACAAATTGATTCTTAATCATATTTGATTTTGTAACAGGATATAAAAACGTCATGGTAAAGTGAATATTAATAAACAATGAATGAGAATCTGATAGCTTTGCTGTTATTCTATAGTCGCTTTTCTCTTTCCCTTCTTTCCAAACCGCTCACGAGACGCCGCCACATAGAAATTATTTATTGCTTTATTTTCATTGTAAACGAATTCGTTTTCACTTAATATTGTTGGGATGTTTTCTTTCCTTTCATTCTTCACTGTTTCGGCTTTTGTGTGGCTCTACTCAACTTTTGGTTCATTTCGTTGTTGTAATGTTGTTAATTTTTGTGTCTTTTTGTGCCAATCACCATATTTTCGTCTTCTCTCGAAGGCAGAAAAAAGGGAAAAAGAAAATTTTCTTTTTATTCGACATGTTAATGTTTCCTTTCTTACTTTTTTTGAGTTTTTGAAATTCGTGAACTTGGAGGGTTTTTTTTTCATTTTGTTGTTGATTCTGACGACGAAGTGATGGAACAGACAAAGATTTCTGTCTTACCATAATAAATGGTTTAGAGAGTGAACGACATATTTAAAGTTTGAACTAGTTAGACATAAGTTAATGAAAAATTTAAGAAGTTAATTGAAAATATTTATTTATCAAGAAACTTTGTTGAAAGTAATTTTATAAGTTTTCGAGTGACGTAGAAGTTCGTCTCGAAACTAAATATTTATAGCAAAGCTTTCAACTCATAAAATTGCGTCTAAAGACGCATAGGGAAAGTTTCCTTTACGAGTTCATCTATTCAGCAGTCATGATTTCGTTTTTGTATCTTGGGAAAACTAACGTATGTTCGGCAATCATAAAAAGACATGAAACGGAACCAATTGTTAAAGGCGCTCACAAAGGGAACAAGAGCAAATTTTTATGGCATTCCGATCGTTATTTTTATGAGGATTTGATACAATTTGGTTGTTGCGAGTAAAGAAGAATCAACATGAACTTATGTACACCACAAGATCGGTTTTGTTTTATTGGAATGCAAAATTTTACGAGTTACAATAGGACAGAAAATTGAAGAACTTGACCCAATTGAAAACAATTTGGCATGAAACTTTTACGACAATTGTTTAAGATGCTTTAACATAGACATATGATGAACTTTCTTGGCAGCGATTTTCATATCAACGCAACAAAATTAATATTTTATAACATAATTTTGACATTTATGAGGCTGGTACTGACAATTAAAGACGACAATTTGGAACAGTTTCAATAATGTTCACAATCATTTGTTGCATTTAAAATTTAAATCTTTCAAAATATAATTTGAAAAATTTCTAAAAAACTGCGGAAATTCAATTTACAATCCTTACTTTAATTAAAAAAATTTCATGCAATTTCAAACCAATTTTCCTCCTAATGGTCAGGTCAAATAATATTTCAGTTGAAGCAAAACTTTTTTCTTAAATGTTGCTTAAAAAAAGTTATAACTTCAATAATAAAGCAACTTTTTTCCCACTATCACTGATCAGATGGATATAAAAGTGCATCATAAAAGAAAGTTATTTCTAATGTTAAGTTCCCACAGCAACATGAAAACAAATTTAAATCAGAGTATCATTTCCATTTCCCCAAGATAGCTTACGAAAAGAATTTTCTTTGAAAGTTTATTTTACGGATTTATGAACACTAAACCAAAAGCCGTCGAAGAATATTTTTGAAAAGAATTTCTTATGATCATAAATTGAAGTTATTTTGCCTGCTTTTATTTCTGATCGTTAAAAGCGCAAAGCAATTTCTTTAATGACATTTGTAAGCTACTCACCATCACTACCACTGTGTAGCATGATTTTCTCACCACCTTCTCTCCGCCATGTGATGTTAGGAGTTGGTGAACCAGTAGCTGCACATTTCAATGTAACATTACTGCCTTCTCGAACAACCATATCAGTACTCGTTGGATAATCGAGAATGTCAGGTGGCACTGGAAGTGAAAGGAAAAGAAAAACAAAAACATTTCTTCGAGGTTAATCAACTCTTATCGATGCAATCTGAAATATAAAATAAAAAGAAAAATTTTCCCGCAAATCACTAAATTAACCGAAAATAAGAGAAATTGTATTGTTATTGCCCGTTTACATATTTTCACTCGTTGAAATAAAATGCAAATATTTCGCTTTTCAATATAAATAATTAAAGTGAAAATATTGCCCTGCTTTTCTTCAGCGCCAGACGTGGCTTGTCGTTGAGGTGGGCAATTTATTTATATCGTGACTCAAAGTTGTTACTAATTCGAGAGTCAAAGAAATATATATCCTAATAATATACTTTCGACTGGATATTTAAGGGAGAAATTCTTTCAGGTTTCTTAGCCCTTTCACAGAAAAAAAAGAGCCATGTAAAGTGTTTTCGGAATAAAATAGCACAAGATTGAATAATCAAGAGAAATATTGAAATAAAATCATTCTTATTTCAGAAATGCTCACAGTCTAGATTTAATTAATGATTGCAAAACTATTTTCTCTTCGACCAAATAAACAAAACAAAATGTCAAGTAAGGAAGTGAAACGAAAGAGAATTCAATTCACCAGCAATTATTAGCGTTTTCACCCTTTCTCTTCCTGCCTCTTAAATTGTAATAAATCAGGCAATAAACAAGCCACCGACAGAAAATTGAAATGAATCTTAACAGACGCATGAACGTGCTTAGAAGTTGAAGGTCTTTTATCGTTTGGAAGTTAATTTCACATTTCTCTATGACTTGAAGGTTTCAGGATTTTCCTTTGAATTATTCTAATTACGTTTCAATGTTGACTCACCTACAACGTCCAAGTAGCCAACCTGTGACTTCATCGGGTCAGTATTGATCTATGTATATAGATTTCAATTGAGTTGGAAATTGATTTTAATCCAAACATTTATTTCAACCACAATCTCACCTGGCACATGTACCTAAGACACGTAAATCGAATGTTAACTTTACATGTTATGATTGAGAATGATCTCAAAATTGTGCATTCTTACCATCCTTTATCCGACTCTCGAATGTCTTTTAATCTCAACTGCCATGTACGTTTCTCTGTAAAGCTAATTCCAACACGATGATTTTTGGTGATAACATTATTTTGAATGGTTAGAATCGTTTGTGTGTCTACTCGCAACCACGCAACCTTGAAAGCAATTGCGACAAATTATTATTATAACAGGCATAAAAGATTTTGTTTTGTTATTTTCATGTGATTATCTGATGGAAGATTACGATTAAAACAATTTAAAAATTTGTAATCAAGGCCAAAATCACTGCAGAATTTCTTTTCGTTTCTCTCTCTCTCTCTCTTGCAATTATTTACTTCCTTACAGCCTTTTGTCAAAAGAAATCGCCCCATAAATTCCTTCTTATGTTTCCGGTTGAATTTCCAACTCACCGTCAACATGAACATTTGAAAAAAGCTTAAAGAAGTTTGAGTATGAATTAAGAAGACATTTGAATGCATAATAACTGAAGTTATTTCTCATATTTGCGCAGAGAGAAAGGTAATAAGAAAATGGTAAATTAAAACAGGCAGCAGTTAAGCATGAAATTTGTTGACGTTTTTAATGGCTGAATATTCCAATAAAATATAACGTTTCGTGTTCCTACGTGGCACCACAAAAACTTTACAGAAGAAGAATGAAATTATAGCTTTCAAAACAGGAATTTCTGCCATTTAAGATCGCTAAGTCGCTTCATAATTTCGTAATTAAATATGTTGATTTTAGCATCAAAGTAGCATTTACCTTATATGATCCTAAATCTATAACTTGGCACGTCAAAATTGCTTCCCGGCCAACGGCTGCCGTAACATTGGCGATTGGTGCGGAAAATTTCGGATCTGTTGATAACGAAACTTTTTTTTGGGAAATTATGTTAAAATGTATGCTTAAATATATGCTCATGTATAGAACATTGAAAAGTCAACTTAATAAAATTAATTACAGAAGAAAATACGTCAAAAAGATTGCAACCGCATATGAACTAATGAATGACTTTGAGTATTTAACGCTCTGTGATTTCTGAATCACTTTTCAAAAAGCTTTTTTTTATCAGATGATTGTAGATAAACGCTTTGAGTTCATCCACTAATTAAAAAAGCAAATTTTAATTACAGTTAATTTTTGGGAGCTAATTTTGGTGTCTGCTGTGTCTGTTTTTTGTTATCAAATTTATGTTGGGAGAATTAGTTTTTGTAATTAAAAATAATGACAAGATTATACTCTTCTAATATACATGGATGGAGATACTTGTCGAGTAACAATGAAATTGATTTTAATTACTTAATTGAGTAATTTCGCATCTCTATAAATAACAGACACTTTATCAATGAAAGAACAATAAGTAATTGAATCTCGTCAAATTAAGTTTTCATTTAACACTTGAAAATTATTTGAAAAGGAAGAAATGAATTCGAGCTCGGAAATTATTGGAAATTTGTAAAAATGCAAGCTGTGTCGTTCAATATTAAACATGGAAATGCATTTTTGCATGAATACGCAACTCTAAAAATTGAATCTATTTACGAACAATCCGACAGACATTCGTATCACCAAAGCATTCCATCAATACTCTTCAAGCCTTTCATTCACGATTGTGAGGGTTTTTTTTTCAAAGCTAGTTAAACAATTGTTCCAATAGGATCTGATGGAAAATTTCGAGTCGTTGTACATGAGCATCTAGAAATGTAATTAAACCAAAACATTATAAAACAAACATGCAATTCAGATATTTGTAGTTGAGTTGCAACTGAACATATTGAAATGTACAGAAACAGAATGCGCTCGTCTAATGAAAGTAGGAGATGCATCATGCAGAATTTGAGTGAAACAGGAGTTTGTTTCAATTCATCAGCTTTACTAAGCTAAATATTTTTTCTTATTTAATATTTGTTTACAACAAGCAAACATTTCGTGCAAAATTTTTAATATTTCTTTTGAAGTGTTTAAAAATTTACAACGCATTGTTATGAAATTGTTTTCCAACGACAACATGTACGAATGTTTATAAAAACCAGCATGATGCATAAAAGCAGGCAGTGCAACATGCATTCACAAAGAAATTTGTGGAATAGAAAAAAGAAATGTAAAACATATCACTTTGTTATCTCTCACCTGAAACTTCCGACGAAACAGCACTCAAAACGATATGCAGATATAAGTTGCAAGTCAAAATTATAACGCCCAGCTTAAAAAACATTTTAAATTGCACTTTCACGATGGTGAAAAAGAATCACTTTTTTGTGTTTTAAAATTCATGTATGGAAAAGTTCTTTTCTACTGTTTTCATCCGTTTTTTCGTACTAGAAAAAAAAGTAAGCGTATTATTATTGAAATAATTCCTTTTGCTGATTGCTTGCAGCACTAGAGAAGCCGTAAGAGAAAGCACTTAACACGCAAACATTAAAGAAAGCAAAACAAAAGTTTAACAAAAACTAGAGTTTGTTTGAAGTTACATTAGTTGAATATAAAGTCATTGATAGGAAACCGCTTCAAAACAATCATACTCGAAGAGAAAGAGAGAAAAAAGCACTTATTGAAATTAAAGCGAAATATTTGAATGTTTTCACGTAGTTTTTCCTTTGAATTGATTTCGCGAGGCATCGACATAAAAAACTTTTGCAATTTCTCATTTGCTAATCATTTCTTTTGTAAATTTTCAGTTTTCCATTTAATTTATGAAAGCTTTTAAATATTTTCACGTCGCCGAAATATAAACAACAAGAAAACACTGAAAATATTTTTACGATCATTCGAGAACGAAAAACATTCCTTCTAGACATGAGAATTTTTATGATTTTCCTTTTGAGCATATTTCATTTATTTTTCAAGTGTAAAACATATAAAACTGTCTTCTTAATTCGCTAGGATGATAGCTCACTTTCAAACGATATCAAGAGTTATAGCACTGCACAAATTCATTTAAAAAATAATCCAATATAACAACCGTGACGTTCAGCAACCACTCAAATCATGATACAATTCATTTAACTTGAAACTGTCACAGTAAAAGTTTAAGGAAAGAAGTTTCAAGCTTCTTTCTATTATTTTTTACAATGCCAAGTGATAAAAATTGCACACGTAATGTGTAAAACACAATTTTATATTTTATGAACTCTCTTTCCATCTTGTTTTGTGGCCATGCAATAAAAAATGCTAAAACACTTAGAAGATCCTTTTTATCCATATTTGATTACATTCGATTCGATACATTTGCCGTCCCGCCGTTACTTGAATGTCGTAAACCTTACAAGCTTCTCTTTTCACGTATTATAGACGAATGAAAGAAAATTTTTAATGCATATTTCATTGGAGAATTTTAAAGACAGGAATAATCTACATGAAGCCATGTTTCAACTTACAAAACAAATAAGAATTTTTCTATTTATATTTTTCGATCGATCTTTTCATTTGCTTTGCAATATTTTCATCACCATTTCGAGAAGAATTTGAGATAAAGTGAAGGAGACGAACCTCAATTTTTATTTTTTAAAAAAGACTTCGAAGAATGTTCTCTTTATTACCATTTGAATAATTCATAAAGTTTTCACAATTAATGCAAAATAATTATCATTTTTATATTATAATTCGCATTAATTTTTAAATGATTTTCAACATCTTAAAAATCATCTTTCTTTACATAACTTAAATATTCACACTTAAACAGAAAAGTTCTTTTTTATTATTTTTATTTTATCGCGACTAGTTTTTATTTTGCTTCCTAACGCAATAACATTCAAACAAGAACTATCGCTTTGAGTCGAAAAACATTTTCCGTATTGAGTGTTTGAAGGCAAATCAAATCGCACTGTGTTTGTTTGATACTGAAATTTGATAGAAAATATTTAACCATGCTGTGTTGTGCGATGTTTCAACATAAAAAGTCATGCGCATTGGGTAGAAGGGTGAAGATTCTTATTAGCAAGTTTTCTTTCATTCATCGTTAGTCGGAAACGAAAACCGCCGAGACTTGCACGCTTTCAATTCATATCCGATTGATTCTTCAAAGTTAATGTAAAATTTCTGTAAATAGAAGAAAACATGTTGAAGTCAAACATAAACTTCTACATCGAAAATATTTTCGTTTGCTACTCTATCAAACGCAAAAAAGAAGAAAGTTTCTTTTTTCATTACAATCCAACATTGAATGAAGAGGATCAATGGGAAAAATAAACTTTTCAATTTTCAAACTAGCATGTTTTCCTTTTTTTATTTTGATGTCTGATTTCAATCAATCTCGTTTTCTTTCTCATTCTCTCTCACTCTCCATTTATATGTTTTACGAAATCACATCGATAGACATTGCAAAAGCTTATTAACATTTTATTTATTAATATTGTGTAGATAGACAAGTCCACAATTTTCATAATGGATGTTCGATTTTGCCTTTTCTATCCTAAATACTAAGTAAGTTTAAATTTATATTTTATTTATGTAATCTGTTGTTGTAAACTTCCATGTCACATGCTTTCATTTTGCTTGTTGTTATCATTGACAAACACTTGATGCTGTGGCCTAGAAAATTGCTACCGAATACTAATTAAGAATCTCTCAAGCATTAAAAGATTAGTTGCTTCGTATAACATTTTTCACTATATGTTGTTCACTCCTCTCACTTAATCGTGGTACAAAAAGATTAAATAAATGTATTAAAACATAAATTGTTTTTAACATAAAATCGTTTACACAATTTCAGTTTCTCGACAAATCTTTCATAATTAAATTCATTCACTTAGATATAAGAGAAAAGTTTGAACACTTTCGTATCAAGATTATGCTTCAAATGAAATATGATGGAATCATGTAAATGATCCAAGCTTTGTTGCTATGAAATTAAATAATTAAGAAAAATTTCTTGTTTCTCGAGTTTTGATAATCAACCGCAAGAAAATTCTTCTTAAACTTTTAGTAATCTTAACAAAGAGTTTGAATAATATGAAATTTTCCTGACCTTCTTTTCATATTGTTGTTTGACCAGCAGTTAATTGTTATCAATTTCGAGCGTAGATAATCACATATTCACACTGTTGGCTACTAACAACTAGCCAACATTTCATTCCGATAAAATAACTGTCTAATTATGTAACGCATGAAAGATTTATTCACCCATTACTAGTGCTTTTATGATCGTTGTCTTCATTACCATCGTTTAGTGTGTCGAGTGGGAAAAAACGAGAGTAAATCAAAGATGTGCGTGACAATAGCAATTATTAAAATGTGGAGTAATGAATGACTAGGTGGTTATCATCATTGATAATACAGCATTTTTTTGTCAATAATTAATTGATAAATGAGTCTAAGAAGTAGAATTACCAACTCACACGCACATTCAGTCTTAAACTATTTTCACAACAGTTCACAACTCGGAAGCAATTATGCAATAAATTATTAGATGTTTTTTTTCTTCCACTCTCATGGAAAGCTTTATCGGATATGTTCGTTAAATAAAAAATTAGAGCAGCAAAAATGTTTCCTTCACTCTTTCGAATAAGTGTTAAATATATTCACATCATGTAGGAATATGATAAAAATAAAAATCTTTCTATGAATACTTATAATCGAATGTATAAATACAAATGAAACATTATCGTCGCTTATCACATGATATTTTCACTTCTCATTCTTCTCATAATTTGTAATAATAAATTTCTTTATAATCTCGGATAAGCAAGGATTTATTTGAAAAATTATTAAAACTTTCCCATGCATTAAAGTTCCTGATGTGAGATATTTTGTTACGATTTCATTCACAAATTCATTCAACAATAGAAAGAATTATTTTTGTGAGAATTAAACACTTAAAATTCAATTTTTAACTTTGTTGTTAATTTTAATTAATTTTCGGGATGAATATTTTTAACAACTTTGAGCTTTGAAAAAATCAAACAGTGACGAGTCGACAAAGCAATTAAAATAATAAACACTTCTCGTGAAAATTAAAAACAATTGAAGAAAGTTTCAACTAAAGTTTGAATGACGATCTCGTGATAATTGAACTCAAGGGCTACTACTCATAATTAATCACAAGCTTAAAGAATGAAAGCATAAAAGTTCTACTTTTGTTGGAAATAATCAACTTTTGCCTTCATATCTCGAATGTGCATAGCAACAAATTGAACTTTTACATGTTGAACTTCAAAGCATATTAATTAGTAATGAAATCCCATGAAAAAATCATCAATTACTGTCTTGAATGTACACTTTCTGCATTGAAAAATCAAATAGGGTTCGAGGGTTTAATAATTACGAAGCAGATTTCAATGAAAGAATAAAACAATTGCACAACAATGTAAATAAGTTGATATGCAATTAAAATGGAAATGATCAAAGCATGCCCTTAAGCTTACAACATTAAAGCTGTTTATCTGCTGATGTTTGTGATTTAAAAACAAAAATATGTAAAACTGATTCCCATGTCTCATTCAATAACTGACAAAGTTAGAGAGAAATTATCACGTGGACTTCCGGCACGTGTTTCCAAAATCTCGTTAAAATTCATATCAACATTGTCGAATACTTTCTCAGCATGCGCATAAGTGCGATATGGTAGAATATGACATGAAATTCAGTTGAATTTCTTTTTATTAATAACGATTGACAAAAACATGACAACTTTTTTAACATATCTAACGATAAATGAATAAAAAACTATTCCAAGATAAATAAAATTATGAAAAGAATTGCAAAGAAAAACATCGACAATTGTTTTGAAGAAAATTCGCAGTTTACCGCGCAATAAATATAACAAAGAAAATATTTTTGTATGCAAGCACACGACGAAAAGCAATTTAATAAATGAGTTTTTTCATTCAAACAATTAAATCTTTTAAAGCACGTTTGTTTATTAATTATGTGAAGTTGAATCGTAAAAAGAGATGGAAAATTGTGTCTAGTTTCTACTTCAACATTTAAAGCTTGCACAAGTGTTGTCTTGACTATTGTTTAATCATTCGTATTGTTAAACAAGAACACTTTCTGGTTTATAATTTTAATTGTATGTAATCTTTTGATATGATTCACTCACAAGTAGTTGGTTGAGTTGATGAGAATCTCATCAAAACATATCTGGAAGGGATGTTTGCTTCTTCTTCCTTTTCCTTCTTGTTTCACAGCTTCAGACGAACATCCATTCACTCCTGACGACTCACACTCACATCATGTGAGAATTAAGCAAGAGACGTTTGTAATCTATAATTGAAAATGCAAAGCAGCATGTGCTATGTGAAAGTGATGCGTGGGTGTGAGAAACCAGGAAGAGATTAAAACCCAAAAATTAATTAAAG